TGATTTCGGTGTTGGGTTCGGCCGTGGATGAAGGCATTGAGGAATGTGGTTGCTGGCGATGCTGCTCCTGGGCTCTTCGGACCCGAATCTTGCCTCCTAAATCGAGGTCCACCTCTTGCATGTCTGCCTCCGACATGCCGAGGATCTGATTGACCTGAATGTTAGCCCAGCGCCACCAGAGCAGATGTCTCATGGCTTCTGTGATGTGGCCACTCCAAACTCACCAGGGCGGCATCGTCAATGCCGTTTGCGAGGAGGTTGTACTTATATCGGAGCAGCTCGGCTTGTTCGAGGAAGTGGTCGAAGGGGCCGTCCATCTCTGCAGCCACACGGAACAGGCGGGTCTCTGGGGTCGGTGAGTAAGTCTGTTCTGTCGAGACACGTCTGCCAGAATCGTCTGGTGGATTGAGAAAGGCAGGACCAAATCGAACCACAGGAGTTGGCTTGTCCACGCCCTCGATCCAAGACGGAGGTGATTGGTCCAGGACGATTCGAAGGCGCCATGACATTTGATGTCGTTGCTTGACGCTGCTCATGGTCATGGAGGTGTGATCAAGCCATGACGGAGCCATGATTGTCTTGGTGCCGAGATTGCTGCCTATGGCGATGGATGGAGCATCGTGCATCCGAGAAGAATGGAATCGGGCCGGTGTCTGACTCGATCCATGATGAATGCGACCATCTCAGCAACTCGTTGGGATCAGGAACGAACTTGCAAGCAACAGACCCGTTGTCGACTGTTTCCCCGGGCCACATAAAACAGACTGAGTATTCAACAACGGAGACATACTCCTGACCGAAGGATGCACGCCCCCGTCAGCACAGTCCTGACATCGGAATGCGTACCTCAGGGAACTGGATGTCGGGTTTCGGATGAGCCTCGCGGGTGGGAGCCAGTCACTTCCCCAAAGGCAGCTCGACAGTGACGCTGAGACCCACATCCCGTTCAGGCTGCCAACTCTCCACTGCGAGCCGTCCTGGTGCACATCTTGTCGAGGTAGACGCAGGGTGGCTTCTGGACGGCTTGGCTGATCGTTAGGCCCCCATACAGCCGCTTGGTGGACTCGGCCTCGCTAATGAATCGATGATAAGAAATCGACGTGGTCAGAGCCGCTGCCACACATCAGCATCAGCTGTGCTTGGCCAGGAAGGACACGAAATAGAGCAGAATATGTAGAGTCGACGATGGAGAGTGGCATGTGAGTCGCTCTCGCGGCTGGAAACGGTGGCAGCAGCACGGACAGATGAGCCAGGTCTATTTGTCCCATCCTGACGACGGTATCACTCTGAGAGGGTATCACCGGCAAGCCCCGGACGGCGGCATCGCACAAGATGCCGATCAGCCGTGGCTACTGGACAACACAGCTGATCTCTGCCGTGCACCCAAGTGCTGTCACATAGCAGAGGCTGTGAAATGAAGCCGAATCGACCTTCCACTCAGCAGAATCAGATCGGCCCGGGTCTTACGCCGTCCTGGTTGTCTCATGGGCAGCAAGAGTCATGGACTGGACATGTGTATATTGGCATGCGAGACAGCCGCACCATCGTGGAGTGTCCAGGTGTGCATGCAGAGAGCAGGTCGATGAGATGATACAGAGTGGGTATTAATGGGATGGGATGGATGCACATGAGGCGGGTGCAAAGTCGGTGGTGCTTGGCCGCTATTGACAGTATATCAGCCAGTTTACGAGTCGCCGTCGCTTGGCTTGGATCCAGAAGTGTCCTTCTCGGCCGAAGCGTCCTTGCCGTCCTTGCCGTCCGAGTCGCCGTTCTCGGCCTTCTCTTTCTCATTCTGCTTCTGCTCTTCCTCGCGCTTCTGCTCTTCCTCGCGCTCCTGCTGTGCCCGATACGCTTCCTTGATCGCCTGCTCAATCTCCCACTCGGACTTTGCGCCAGCCTGGATCTCCGAGGCCCGCTTCAGGAGCTCCGGGACCACGCTGTCGGGAGCAGCCCGGTTCAGGATCATGATCCGCATGGCGTCGGCAGGGGAGATGACGTGCTCGGGGAGGGTCTCGACGCCCTCGAGCACAGCAGCAGGATCGTCCATGACGGCGCGGTACATGTGCGCGAACTGGTACTGGGTGCAGTAGCCCAGGTCCATGTGCAGGTCGATGCGGCCGGGCCGGATCAGGGCCGGGTCCAGGACTTCGGGGTGGTTGCTCGTCATGATGACAATCATGCCCTCCTCGGTGACATAGCCGTCGAGGCAGTTGAGCAGCGCCGAGAGGGTGAAGCCGGTCGAAAACAGCCTGGCCTTCTGGTCCAGCGAAGGACCCATGATGCTAATGTCCTCAAAGGCAGGCATCTCGGCATGCAGCAGGGCACGGCTGGTCCGCGAGTGCACCGTCTTGGACTGGGCATCAATGTCCTCAAAGACAATCACCGAGTTCTTGGGGATGCTGGAGAAGGCCGACTGCAGCGCGCTGTCGTCCTTGATCTCCCGGAGGTTGATGTAGTAGAGGTCGCGGTTGAGCGACGAGGACAGGGCGTTGACCAGGCTGGACTTGCCGGTGCCCGGTCGGCCTGAGAACAGATAGCCGCGGCGGTAGGGAATGCCCATGCGGGCGTAGAACTCGCGATCGGCCGTGAAGGTGGCAATGTCCTTGCGCAACTGCTTCTCCTGGGCCATGTCGAGCGAAACGGCGTCGATGCCGCGGCTGGATAGATGCACAGGCAGCGTGGGTCAGCGACGAAGCAGATGGCCAGGGCGAAGATGGGTGCTGTGTCGGTGCGATGGACCAAGGCATGTGCTGGCACCAACAGAAGCGACCCGATCCCGGCTGCCCGATTCACGGTGCATGGCTCACCTCGAGTGCAGAGTGCAGGTCATGTTCCAGTAGTATGAGCCGGCGTCCCAGGAGGCAGCGACTCGCTCGTAGCGGCCTCGGGTCTTGTTGCGCTTCCGATGGCGCTCGAACTGGCGGGCGACCTTGATGACCCAGTTGCGGATCCACTCGACGTTGTGCTTTTTGCCGGGGGTCTCGGGGCAGATGACGATCGTGGGCTCGGCTCCGGCGCGCATCGAGCGAGACGACTCCGAGTTGTTGTTTTCCTGGCCATTGTCGGCCTTTTCGAACCAGACGCGGAAGGTGTCGCCGTCGTCCTGGAGCATCATGCTCTTGCTGTTGTCGACGGGGAGGATGTTGAAGTCCGAGATGTCCTCGTCATCGACATCGTCTGAGTCGTTCGAGATGGCGCCGTCTGCACCGAGCTCGCTCTTGCCCGGCTTGGCGTCGCCCTCAGGCTCCTTGGTCGGGTCCGACTCTGAGGCTGCGGGCTTGCTCATTGCTGCCGAGCCGGCAGCGAGAGTGCCAGAGACGCCGGCCGAGGACTCGAAGGGGACGAGCCGGAACTCGCCGACCTCCTGGCCCTTGGCCAGCTTGGAGATCAGCCAGGCGAGCGACAGATAGTGCTCGTTGACACAGCGCTCGCCGTACGAGTCGATGCGGAAGTATTCGACGCGGAGACTGATGTCTTCGGAAGCGAGCATCCAGCTGCCGATGTTGTCCCAGATGTACTTGGCAAGGGCGAGGCCGATGGTGACGATGGCGGAGGTTGCTGTGGGGCGAGTCGAGAGTCAGCACTGCGGGAACGGACAGTCACCCGAGAGACAGAGCCACCCCGAGGACATGCTGCTGTGCGGAACGAGAGCAGCACCGGGGACAGGCTCGTCTCGGCTCGTCTCTACTCGGCTGCACAACACTCACTGAACATGTCGACGACGTAGATGCCGGTGTTGATGTAGTTGCCAAAGTGGACCGGGACCCAGGCCAGCAGCAGCATCTGCAGCTGGGACTGGCTGAAGAGATCGTAGATGGGCTTGAGGCTGCCACCGGTCAGCTGCTGCTGCAGATGGGTCCAACCGCTGTTGGCGGCATGGCCGAGCGAGACGACGTGGCTGACGAGCAGCGACGCCTGTTCGTGGGCGAGGAAGGGCAGGAGCCAGAGCAGCCACGACTCGGCGGCGGATGCAGGCACGGGCGTCATGGATTGGATGAGGATGAGATGAGATGGAGATGGGTGGTTGGCAGAAGTCGAAGCGAGTGAGGGGGTATTTATATCGACAAACGGAGCCAGAGGCGTGGGAAGGCGAAGCACCATGGGAATGGCAAAGTCGCTGGGACCCATGTGTGGCTGAGCTGTGGCTGTGTTGTGTGACAGCGCAATCCGAATCGAGCCAAGTGCACTGGATCCGGAGCGATCCGCAAGCACGTGGACTGGTGGTTGCACGTGTGTGGTGTGGTTCGCACATCAAGGCAATGATGTCCATCGACAACCACTCACCACTCGCTCACTACTCACCGCTCGCTCACTACTCACCACGTCCAGACCAGCTGAGTCCAGTTGGGCACATCGGACGATCTGTGTATCTCCTCTGTGTCGCTGTCTCGATTGCCAATCCCATCTCTGTCTCGGCATTGGATCTGTGGGCCCTGATGGTGATCATCATGACAGTTGTCGATGGAGGACGGCGTTGCAGGTCTGGGTGAGTGAGCTGCTGCCAACCAATCGATATCCAACGCCGGTGGTAATGACAGGTGCTGGATGTGTGGGAATGCGGGTGACACGTACTGATTGACTGGCACTCGATCCATGGATCCAATGCGATCCTGGTTTGGTGACTGTGCCACTCTCATTCCATTTCACCCATCTCGCCTCATCGCCTGGACATCATCATCGCCTGGATATCATCATTACACTCTCCTCACATTACAGTCCTCCACATCCTCAACCGACATGGCTCGATTGGCCATAGACAACCACAACCCTGACATCTTCACCATCATATGCTGCAACGACGGTTTCCAGCTTGCCCTCGACCACAACACCATCAAGATCCTGCTCAGAGTATGCAAACGAGCCCGACCCCTCCTGAGCTCCAAGATGCCTCGCTTCCACCGTTGGTATCAGAGCATGGAGCTACTCAATCTGGAAGGACAGTTGCGGATCGGCCTCACACCGAGCGACCAGATCGCCCTCTCGCTACACTGCGAGGATCAGGCTGCAGCCGACCGATCCTGACTCATCGAACTAGCTGACCAGGGAAACGCATCGGCTTCATATCTCCTGGCAAGGATCCTGCAAGCTGAACTTTTCTCCCAGCCCTCGCCTTACAAGTCTCGGCGGCGAGCCAAGCGATATCAAAGTGTCCAATATCTGAAGAAGGCCGCTGGCGCTGAACACTTGGTGGCCCAGTTCCATCTGGCTGAGCTTCACCGCAGCGGCAACATGGTTCGTCAGAATCACTCCAAGGCATTCGATTTATATCGTAACCTTGCAGAAAATGGACTTGCCCGTGCCCAAGTTGTCCTCGGTCGATGCTACGAGAGCGGCGAGGGCATCGATCAAGACTACGACACAGCCATCCTGTGGTATTCCAAGGCTGCCGACCAAGCCAACGAAGACGGTCGACTTCATAGCGCATTCCTCCGTGGATGGTTCTCGCTCATTGGCCATGATGTCGAGCAGAGCGATGTCAATGCGCTCAACCACTGGCAGGAAGTCAGCACCCTGTCCACTGACCCAGTCCTCAAACCCATCGCCACACACATGGTCGGATGGATGCACTATCTCGGCCGGGGCACCGTGCGAGACGAACAGAAGGGGATCAAAACGATCCGAGACAGCAAGTCTCCTGAGTTCCCACTTGGAGAAGACGAGTGTCTAGCTGTACCACGCTCCCACTGCTCCGACTCACCCGTTGCCCGCAAGCTCTTCAATCTGTGTCAGCTGGGATCGGAGCGAGACTGGCTATGCAGGCATCTTATGGCCGTGTGTCTATTCCAAGGGTTCGGAGTCGCAGTGGAGGAACAAGCAGCGGCGGATATATTTGAACAACTTGCCAACGACGGCCACAGCGACAGCCAGTTGTGGTTCAGTGAATGTTTTCGGTATCAGGGAAACGTGTTGCAAAACGCAAGAAAGGCATTCAAGTGGTTTGGGAAGTCGGCCGAGCAAGGCAATTCGTACGGACAGTGGATGCTTGGATATTGCCATCGCTGGGGAGATGGAGTCCCTGAAGATCACCCCAAAGCTGCTGAGTGGTATCGCAAGTCAGCCGAACAGGGCAATCGGAACGGACAGTTCGAGCTTGGTGATTGTTATCAGTTTGGCCGTGGTGTTGCCAACAACATCGACATTGCTGTCTTTTGGTACCGCAAGTCGGCGGAGCAAGGCCACGATAGAGCCATCTACATCCTCCAGGGGCTCAGCAAGTGGCCTTGATCCCGAGTTTGACTGACTCCTGTCTCGGATCCTTGATTGACACTGTGTACTATCGAATGACTCGGCTATGACAACTCGTCATAGTTAGCAGTGCATTGGAGAGTCAGCCTGCTGGACCTGCTCTTTCGATCGCACTCCCCCTCGCACTCGCACCCCTCTCGCACTTGGATCGCTTGCTGCTCATGTACCCGCTCCCCGCACTGCCTTCCGAGCATTTGCACTTGGAGCGCACCCCGCTCCAGCACCCGTTCCCACACTCAGTGTAGTCCCACCCTTGCAGTCTCCCCCTGCACCCTCATCACAGCGTAGTATAGTGCCAGCACTTGTCACTCCACCACCCCGACCTCCCCTCGATCCTGCTGTTCCCTTGTGGGAACTGCTTGAAAATGTGTTCACCCGCTTGGTCTCAGATCTTGTGGGCAGCTGAGGCAGCACTAGGCTGCAACAGGAGTAAATAGGCTTGCCTGTGTACTCAACGTGCCGGGGTACCAACCTGATGGACCTGATGGCTTGTCTTCTTGAATGAAGTTGGCTATGGATATAATGAAGCAAGAAGGATGAACAAGAGTCACGCTCCTGGGATGGGTCAGCGCGTGAGATTATATATTCATCAGGTTTTCGTTGTCCACGAGAACAGGAACAAACGATAGGGCTTGAAAATGCGCTGGTACTGCCCACGAATCGTCCTAGATTATGGATAGTGTCGATAGGCACCAATGTTGGTGTCAACAATTACCCATTGAGACAACATTTGAATAACCCCCGCCTCGTCCTTAAGTTGAACCATGGCTGAAAAATCCCCTTGCTTCTCCGCAACCTGCGCCATGTCTCTGAGCGTGGAGGCAGCGTCAGTATTTAGTCGAGTGCCATGAATTTTCTTATAGATGTCGATCGCTTCCTGGTAGTGTGTGAGGGCAACCTCGTAGTTGCCTTGAGATGAGGCGACATGACCCATGTGGCGGATCGTGTCGGCGACTTCGGGATGCTCTCGCTTGCCGTAGATCTTGGCTTTGATGTCGTGCGACTCTTGGTAATAATTTAGAGCGGCCTCGAGGTCACCTTGGGTGTAGGCGACATTGCCCATATTGAAGAGGGTGGCAGCAATCGAATGGTGCTCCCGTGTGTTATAGACCTTGATCTTGATATCAACCGACTCCTGGTAGTACTTGAGGGCGGTCTCGTAGTTGCGTTGGGAGTAGGCTATACAGCCTAGTTGGTTGAGTGCAGTGCCAATCCATGGATGTTCCCGGGAACAATAAACTTTGACCATAATATCGAGGGACTCTTGGTAGCATTCGAATGCGGCCTCGGTGTTGCCCAGTCTGTTGACGGCATTTCCTATGCTATTGATCGTGGCTGCGACCTTGGGATGCTCACGAGTGCCATGGATCGTGATGTTGATGTCGCGCGATTCCTTGTAGTATTCGAGAGCAACCTCGTAATTGCCTTGGGTGTAGGCGATGTTGCCCATGTTATGAATCGTGGCGGCAATCTCTAGGTGCTCTCGTGTGCCATAAACCTTGGTATAGATGTCGAGTGCCTCCTGGTAGTGCTTGAGGGCAGCCTCGTTGTCGCCCAGCGACATGGCCACATCACCGAAACTGTGGATCGTGGAGGCGATTGTTCGGTGTTCTCGGGTGCCATATATTTTGGTCTCCATCTCCAATTCTTCCTGGTAGTACTTGAGGGCGGTCATATACTGCCCCTGCGCGAAGAAAACATTTCCCAGATGATGAATGGCCTCAACCACTTGTGGATTCTCCCGTGTGCCGTAATACTGGATGCATTTGGAGAGATGCCGTTCGTACAAGTCCTTGGCTTGACTGTAAAATCCGCGATCGGATGCAATCCGAGCGGCGTGGTAGTCAATTTGTTGGTGAAGGTCCTTGGTATAACCGTTGATTGTCACCACCTTAGCGAACCCTTCGAGATGATTCACGTAGGGATAGGTGTCCGTGAGAAGCGATCCGGTCAGCTCGAGCAGCACTTCACCCATAGTATCTTCGATTCCTTCGGCATTCAGTTCACTGTGTGCTTGGACATACTCTCGAGCCACTTGCTGAGTGAGCGAGTGGGTCGAGTAATGTCCCTCGGCTCCACTTCGGAGGAGACCACTCTGGACCATCATCTTGATCAGATCGGTCACTGTGGACAGGAAACTGATCAATTCCATGCATCCATGCACTGGCACCATTGATTGCACTTCGATTCAATCCCAACTCACCTTCGGTCTTGAGCTCCATCTTCTGTGCAATCACCTTGATCAACTCGAACTGGATGTTGGTCGGCGCCACCAGACTGAGGGCACCGAACAGCCTGGCTGCCTCGATGCCTTCATCCCCTCGCTTCATCAGCGAGTCCAGCGACAGATCCACAATCACCTTGAGCGACGACCGCGTGTCGTCCTCGCCATCCTGCAGCTCCAATGCTCCTGCAAACGTGGCCTCGAGCTCCGACAGGGGAGTGTCGTAGTTCTCGGCAAATGTCATGAATGTCTGGATGACGAGTGGATATCCGCTGATCTTGGCCACGATGCTGTCCAGTGACTTCTTGGCCTCGTCCGACACAAGTCGCTGGACAATCATCGGCGATGACGACAGGATATAGTCGAGTGTGGTTGTGTCGTCCCAGTTGCCGAGACGGAGCAGATCGTGCTGGAAGCTCGGTGCCTTGGTCTCAAGAGCACTGGCGAATGCACCAGGAGGCAGCGAGGCCAGCCGGGTCGTCACCACCACATCGCCGCTGAATCCGACCGACTTGGAGTGCTCAAACACAGAGTCGACCACGCTGATGTCGTCAACATTGTCGAGCACCAGGAGATAGCCGTGGGTGTTGGCGAGGAACTTGGCGGCATGTTCCTTGATCACATCGGGCTTGATGCCAGGGAACATGTCGATGAGTCCATCGATGGCAGTCGACTCGGTCGAGCAGTTGATCCAGAAGACCTGGCGGTACTGCGGCTTGATGCCGATGGTCTCGGACTTGATGGCGAGGAGGTCTTCCTTGTTGCTCGCATTCAGAATGCCCATCATGAAGAACAGGATCTGGAGGGCGAGGACAGACTTACCCATACCACCCATGCCAGAGATGACGGCACGACCAGTCAGGGTAAGCTGCTTGAGCAGGGTGTCGAGGTGGGCGGGATCGAATCGGAACTTGGAATCGCAAAAGTATTTGCGATGGATGGCCGTAATGAGATCCATGTTGGGTGGGATGGGATGGACGAGATTGAGGAGGCGGTAGACTCGCTTGTGCATCTGGTCGGGGCGGAAGCCAAAGGACTGGATGTCTCTCAGTCTGCCGAGGGTCTGGTTGAGGGGGGCAAAGGCAGGGTCGTCGGGGAGGGACACCATGAACGGCAGGAAGGGAGTGAAGTCATCGACGTCATCCTTGGTTTCCTTGGTGGCGATTCCGAGGGGAAGGACAGGGAGGGAGCGATTGGCATCCTTGAGATCGAGGGCGGTCTTGATCTCAAGCAGAACGCTGTCCTCCTGGCCGGCGAGAGTGTTCTCAATTATGGGTGTAAACGATTCCAGACTGAGGAGCAGGAAGACGACTTTGCTGGTGGGGAGAGCATTGATAGAACTGGCTTGAGGGTCGCTGGGATTGTTGAGGCAGTCGACATCGTGGAAGACGGAAAGGGTTTTGCCATATCGACGGAGGGCGACCGAGGTGAGCACCTCCTTCAGAGCCTGGACAGTGTCGGCATCAGTCTGGGCTTGGTAGGAGAGGAACAAATCGTGGTCGGTGCCGTGGGCAGGACAGGAATAGAGTTGGTTGCTGGTGGCGGTGAGCATAGCCGGGGGTATCGTCGGATCGATGGTGCGGAAGGTGAGGAAGACTGAGGGCTGGGCAAAGGGACGAAGCGGCCTGCTTTTAAGGCGGATGGGGATTGCAGTGTCCATACATCTGGAGGGTATCAAAGTGCGCTACCGAAACAAAAAAAAAAAAAAACATCATCTGGAGGGTATCCAGCTGTCATGATGACAAATGGACTGTCTCGATTGGGACAAGGATGCGATATCGAGCCTGGCGCGATGTTTGACCTGACAATCGTGTCGCTGCTTGAGGCGGTTGGGCAGGGTGATGAGTCCGCATCCGAGATGCATCGCTCCGTCGGATGTGTTCCGCACCACTCTGAAGAGTCGGGTCAGACAATGCATCTGTGCCCGTCTGAGTATCACAGCTTGCTGCTTCGTGAGCACTTCGAGGGTCAGTCCATACTCGAGCATGGACCGAACGAAGGTCTTGAACACCCTCGTCACCGTCTTGGCCGAGTATCGGCCCAGGCTCATTCCGTGCTTTACCAGCTTGTCGGCGGCACCTCTAGCCTTGTGGGTGAGGTTCTGGATCTGGCGGTCCATCCTGAAGCCGTTGATGTCGACGATGGGCGGCAGATGAGCACCCCATCGTCGGCGAACCACAGCGAGTTGACCTGGACGGCTCGCCCTCGGGTGGTGGTTAGGGTCGTTCCACCGTCTGCCCGGAGTTTCCCAGGGAGGTCGTTGATGAACACGCTGAACATCAGCGGGCTCAGCACCGATCCTTGGATCAGTCCCTTCTGCAGCCAGACCGGATCGGATCGACGGCTGTGGTGTGGTTCGCACATCACGGCAATGGTATCGTCTATCGACAACCACTCACTCGCCACCACTCACTTATCACCACTATCCAGACCAGTTCAATACATCAGATGATCTGCGTATCTCGTCCATGCCGATCATCCAATTCCCAATCCCATCTCTGATCCCACATCGGATCCACGGCTCCCGGCCACCCGAGTCCTGTTCCTCATCATGCTTGATCCCTCACCAGTGATCGGATTGACACATCCATATGCTCATCACAATTCATCTGGGATTCTTGCTCAGGTTCACCCACTACATACTGATCAGATGGCCGTAAACTCCGATGGCCAGCAAGAATGTCTGCCGTGTTGTCTGCCAGTCACTTGCCGAGACTAATTGATGCACAGCCAGAGTCATTGATTCTCCATCAGCAGAATGGAAATGCCCCGGCCTCTTCCACAGGGCTTGGCTCTATGCTGCTCTGGGCTTGTCGGCCGTCACTTCTTGACACTGCATGCTCATTCCAACAGACACGAGACTCAAGCCCGTGTGTTCATCCCATGGGTCGAATGTCGGTTCACGACCACGCAAGCCTGGTCATGTCTTGGTTTTCCAGACGCTGCGGTCCATCGGGCAGTGATCTCGAGTGACGAGCCACTGGGTAATGCAGTGCAGGTGGAACACATGCGAGCATTCGCCCCACACTGAGACGCCGATGTAGAGGACGGGAGGTCGGAGAAACTCGGTCAGCAGCCAGCTCGCAGCGATATCTGTTGAGCAGGTAGTGAAGCAACTCTGTCCCATCGACAAGCCGCCCTCACCAGTGCCCATTCGGTCCCCGTCGGTTCACGAGTGAACTTTGGCTCAGGAGGCCGACCGGCCACACCAAGTTCAATCCACACAGTCAGATAGACTTACGCAACGAGCAGTCGTCGCCGGGGTTCTTGCAGTTCGGGCAGCAGGCATCGTATGGAAACCGACAAATGCCGCAAATATCCTCATCGTCGTCTTCGCCTTCATCATCAGCGTTGCCGATCACCCATTTCCAATATGCGTGGGCGTTCCAGCTTCAAAGACCGAGTCAGATCCGTCATTGGCCCGAGGGCACGGAGAGGTGCGATCGCAGTGTCCCATGCAACCGGCATGAAGTCAGACATGAAGTCGCAGAGGAATCACGGTATCGCGGAAGTGGGCAAGAGAAGGGAGAGATCAGTGGGACGCAGCCAACAAGGTGCCTTTCGTGCAAAGAGATGCTGTGTGATGAGAGGGTATCGCGAAGTGAAGTTGACGTCGGCTGCGATCCGAGCGGAATCGATTGTGATGGAATGATGGGCCACGAAGCCGGCATATACCCTTGATGAATCCGTACAAGATTGTGTCAGAACAGCCGGGTCTGGCTCATGAATGGGCTGCGAATGGAGCTGGGAGGATCAATGTGCAGAACGGGTGCCTACTGTTGATGGTGATCTTCATGGCGGCAGCGGTTGGATGGAGGACTGCGTTTGCAGGGCTGAGCGAGCAGGTTGCTGTCGTTGAAACCGACTGATCTCTGGTGCAGGAGGAAGCGACAAGGTCCTGAAGAGGCAAACGAGACATTCAGTGATTGGCCGGCACTCGATCCATGGATCCAATGTGGTTTGGGTTGGTGGCTGTGCCTCTCTCGATCCATACAACCCATCTCGTTCCATTCATCTCATTCCACCGATCTCATTCACCACATTGCCTGGATATCATCGTTGCACTCTCGTCACATCACAGTCCGCCGCATCACATCATGGCTGCCAGTGTCCATCCCACAACCAACATGGCTCAACTGGCCATCGACGAACACAGCCCGGACATCTTCGCGATCGTCTGCTTCAACGACAGCTTCCAGCTCGCCCTCAGTTTCGACGACATCAAGACTCTCCTCCTCGTGTGCAAACGAGCCCGGCCCCTCCTCAGCTCCAAGGTGCCTCGCTTCCACCGCTGGTGCCAGAAGGCGGGACTGTGTCGCCCAGACGGAGGGCTGCGTATTGGACTCACACACAGTCACGAGATTGCCATATCGCTCCACTGCGATGAACAAGTCACAATCGACCGATCCTGGCTTGTCGCCCAAGCCGACAAGGGTAATGCTGCCGCATCGTATTTCTTGGCAATTATCCTTCAAATCGGGGTTGGTGGACGACCCTACAGGAATCGGTCCAAGCAGCAAGCTATCCACCAGCAAATCTTCCGCCATCTGAAGAATGCAACCAACGCAAACGACACGATGGCGCAATTCCACTTGGCTGGCTGCTATCACGATGGCACTGGTGTCGACCAAGACCACACCAAAGCCGTCGAGTTGTATCGCAATCTTGCCGAACGAGGTCTTTCTCAGGCTCAAATCGCTCTTGGCTGTTGCTTCGAGGGAGGCGAAGGTGTCGATCAAGACTTTGACACAGCCATCAAGTGGTACTCCAAGGCCTCCGACCAAAGTAGCGAAGATGGTCGACTCTACATCGTGTTCCTCCGAGCCTGGTTCTCGTTCATTGGCCATGGTGTCGAGCAGAGCGACGAAAATGCCTTGAACCACTGGCAGGAGGTCAGCACCCAATCCACCGATCCAGTCATCAAACCCATTGCCACACACATGGTCGGATGGATGCACTACCTCGGCCGAGGCAGCCAGCGTGACCAGCTGAAGGGAATCACGATCATCCGCAAGAACGAATCGGATGAGTTCAACCTTGGAGAGAACGAGTGTCTGACATCGATTTGGAAAGACATCAAGTCCGACTCACCTGTCGCCTGCAAGTTCTTTCAGTTGTGCCAGCTGGGATCGGATCGAGACTGGATTTGCAGACATCTCGTGGCTGTGTGTCTGTTCTATGGATTCGGAACCACCGAGGACCGGGTGAAGGCAGCGGGTATGTTTGAGCAACTCGCCAACGAGGGCCACAGCGACAGCCAGTTGTGGATCGGAGAGTGCTACCACTGGAGCGTGGGAGTATCGGAGGACAACGACAATGCCTTCGAGTGGTTCAGCAAGTCGGCTGACCAAGGCAACTCGTACGGGCAGTGGATGGTTGGTGAATGTTACTACAATGGACACGGAGTCGCCGAGGACCTCGCCAAGGCCGCCGAGTGGTATCGCAAGTCGGCCGAGCAGGGAAATCGATACGGGCAGCATGATCTCGGCAATTGCTACCGATATGGTGATGGTGTCCCCAAGGACATCGACACTGCAGTATTTTGGTACCACAAATCCGCAGACCAGGGTTTTGAATATGCCATCAACGGACTCAAGAGGCTCGGCAAGTGGCCCTGATCCTCAAGTCTCTCGAATGCCACATCCAAACTGACATGCCACAGCACCAAGCATGTACGCTGCCGGAGCAGCCAAGCAACCCGCCGTCAACGCCCATCATGAGAATGGTGAAACTGAATCGGCAACGACAAACTCCACACGATGCAGCACGTCTGGATCAGCATCGATGGACCAGCGAAAGGACGGCAGAGACGACAAACAGGTGGATGTGTTGGGGCCCGTTGTGTCAAGTCAAAAGTCTGAAAGCGGACCCGCTACTGACCAAACTGCTGACCAAACTGCTTAACCGTCAAGACTAGGGGAGGAAGAGGAGCAGGAGGAGGAGCAGGAAGACCAAATGAGAGCTATGAGGACATTTAGGCGTATCGCGTATTGGTGCTCTTGGTCGACTTGATGGAGGATTTTTGTTTCAGACTGAGGGATTCGGTGAGGCTCTTGGCCAAGCTCTTCTCGGTGCCATAGCGATAGACTGGAAATAGAATTGAAGTGCTTTCCTCGCCGGCCAACTTTTGGTCGAGCACGGTTGGGCTGTCGACGATATCAAGCAGCCCTGGAATGCCATAGAGCTCAATTGGATCGATCGACCGATCGGCAGCGGTGGCAGTGGCAAGAGCAGCCTTTTCATCGCCATAGGGCTGCTCCGGGCCTGCGCGGATCGGCAGCTTGATGTCGCTATCGGCAGCCGCTGACACAGATGACGCAGATGTCACCTGAATCGCTTCGACCGGAGTGGCATCGTACTCGGCATGAACGACGGCAGAGTCTGGAGCCATTTCCGAGACGGCAACTTGCACCGAAACGGGCGATATGTCAGTGGCAGGAACCTCATGATGGGCTGCAGCAGAGGATTCGGGTTGCTGCGAATACAGTTCGTTGTAGCTTGGGAGCTCCGAGGTGGTCGTCGCCGAGGCGTAGGAGCGACGCAGGGCCACTTTGACATTGTCCGCAAAGGAGGCCAGCGAATTGCGCTGGGTTGATGGGAGAGCACGAGGCACCTCGGTCGTGGAGTATCGTGGTGGGAACGCCAGTCGAGGCTGCGATGCCTGTTCCAGCGCCATGCCAGGGACATACGAGCCCCGTGGCGACGACGATGAGGGACTCTCCGGCTGGGGCGATGAGGTATCGGAGACGACCAGGGTGCCAGAGGATCGGTCTCGGCCTTGACCAGGGTCCAAAAGATCATGGTGTGTTGGTCTGTGGGTGGGTGGCTGTGCTGAGCCTGCCTCCAAAGCAGGCGTCTTCTTGCCCTGTTTGTACCGAAGCCAGAAGAATGCCGCCGCGACACCGGTGATGGCTAGCGAGACAAGGACAGGGTCATTAGAATCGGAGCAAGTGCCTCCCAGGGCCGGCAGGACACTGCAGCGCGACGGGGTCCTACCTCCGATGATGCTGCAAACAACAGCAACGATGATACTGTTTGAATTTGTGTCTACCGTCGGGACGGGTGTGGTCTGTGCCGTTGCACTGGGCGAGGCCACCGGCCCGGAGCTCGACGGTGCGGTCTGGTTGGGAAAGGCAGTCGGAATCGTGATGCTGGAGTCGCTCAGCACCGGGCCGTTCGTGCTCGTGGTTATGTTCCAGGGCGGGCCGGAAGGGGACGGGGTGCAGCTTTGATCGAGTGTCAGTCCGTATCCAGGAACACAGGTGTTGCAGCCCGGATCAGAGCAGGCATAAGTCGAAACGGTCGAATTAGGTGTGGGTCTCTGAGATATAACGTAGAGGCCGTTACCGATGCTGGTGCACTTGAGATAGACGGGCACCCAGACGACGGAAACGATGTTGTCGCAGGAACCGCCGAGGCTCTGGGCGCTGTAGGCGAACGACGACGTAATGAAGCTGCGATCAAGCACGCTGTTGAACAGCGCAAATGCAGGAGATGACAATCAGGTCAGGATGAATAGAGAGCGTTGATGCCGATAGGGGCGGGTGCTGGTGCATCTCCCACCTCGGATCCAGTGGGTTCGTTGTGTTCAGGAGCCGATAGCCTTGGATGTTGCAGGGATTGTTATTATCGAGGATGTAGGTGGCGCTCATGATGCATGAATTGCGACAGCTCGTGTCGTTTAAGCAAGTGTACTGATGGAGCGTATTGTCCGAAGGTGATCGAGCTGAGTACAAGCATGTCACGCCCGAGTTATCGATGTTGGAGCACTTGCATCGGTTTGTCACATCGACTTTCTGCCTCAGCTTCGAGACGGGATTATTGTTCAAATCAGAGGGGCCGATGCAGGCTGGCACATTGTATTGGCTGGTTACGATGATGTAGTACTCGGGGGCATTCGGGTTGATTGGGATGACTGTGGTCATGATGGCAACCGGGGGGGGGCGACAGGAGGGAGCGACAGATGAGGAACGAACGAAGCGAGCGTCGCTCCTGGCCAGGCAAGAGCAGCAAGAGCGGCGCCCCTCTTGCCCTCCTGCTCTCCTGCCCTCGCTGTCGACTGGGGGGTGCTGGTCGCTGGTATCCCGGCGGTGGCTGATTTCGCGGCTGGCCTCCGCGCAAGAAAACGAGGGGGAGGGGGAGCCTGGCCAGCACGAGCGCGTCTGCAGTGTCCACCCCGTGGCTTGCTCAGTCCCGGGCTGACGACCCCATTCACCAATCGGCTCCCGGTTGGAGTGCCACCGCAGCGACACCGCAGCGACAGTTGCCAGCGTCGCCTGCCTTGCTTGCCATGCCCCATGGTCCTGGGCAGACTCTATCACGACAAGGCCACAGCGGCATCTCTATTTATCGCAGATACGACATGCACGGGCAGCTCGCTCGGCCCGTCGCTCGTGTTGACAAGTGCCGGAACCAGGGCTGCCTCTTTCGTTGCTTGGCTCCTTCTCCATCACAGCGATATCAATGAGCGTCGACGAGCGGCGAGGCCACCTCGGGGTTGAGTGCAGTGCTTGGTCCATGGGTCGACGATGACGATGACGATGACGGCGATGCCCCGGCGGCCGGACCACTGCTCGACGAGGCTTCGTTCGGGAGGCCGGCATCTCCAAGCCGGGCCGAGGACGTGGTGGCTGTCGCCGAGACATCCGGGGATGTTTCTGGAGCGGTCGCGGGCTGCGGCGGATACTGCTGCTCGGTAGGCTGCGGCACGGGCAGATTCAGATTCCCCAGCAGCGGATTCAGGTGAGGATCGCGGTGGTCGCGGGTCAGCTCCGCCATGATGATCTTGACAAAGGCCGGCGCCCGGAGGTAGTGCGGTCGCAGTGGCGGATCCGAGACAACCAGCTGGCCGTTCGGGGCCAGGTTCGGATAGACATCGTCCAGAAAATAGTAGATGTGCCCGATGACCAGGCCAAGCAGGTCGCCCCAGGGCCACACATTGTGCAGTGTGATCGAGAGGCCCAGCATAACCCACGGCAAATACGGCGCATTGAAGTTGAAGCCGAAAATGCCCATGCGTGCGTATGGGTTGCGCCGGGACCAAACATACACGAGGACGAAGGATAGCGGTGACGAGAGGAACGGAATGGACTTGCCGAATCCCATCAAGGGATGGATGATCTGGTTGGCGTGAGAGACAGAGTCGTCAGCAACAGATGCCAGTAACAGATGCCAGACAGGGCGAGGGCAGTCTCCAACCGAAACGCAGTCAATGTCTGCGATTCAACAAGCATCCGAGCCATGCACTGCGCGGCGTTTGTCCAGGAGTCTATAGCGCCGCTGCGCTGTGTGCTTGCTGGCTGTGTCATCGAGGCCAAGCGATAGATCACTCACAATCAAGCACACCGCCACGAGGAACAGCATCCAAAAATAGTCCGCGGTTCTGCCCCGGAACGAGCCTTCTTCCAGCATGCGCGAGTATCTCGTCCTGTTGTGGCGGCGATGGCATGGTGAATGCATGAGAGGAGGAGTCCCAGGGAGGATCGGGTGAAGGCGCCGAGAGGGAGTATCAAAGTCAGATCGAAATCGAGCGCTATTCTGGAGCTGCAAGGCCAGCTGTAGTCAGGCCAACGACTCATGGACACAGGGTGCTGAGAGAATTCAAGTCCTCGGATGCGGCCATCGCATAATTCACACAATACGTACAGGAAGAACATGTGGAAGAAAAAGTCGACGGAGAATTCGCCAACAAACAGAAAGCTGGTGATGAGGCGCCAGTACTGGCGGGCCGTCATGTTCCACCCGTCCGGAGCAGAGCGACAGAGGGTCGAAATGCATCCAGGCAGCGATAGAGGACTTTAGTAGCTGCACAAGATAAGGCTGCTGCGGCAGCGAACGATGTGCCTGGTGCGGGACGCAGTTGGGCAAAGGACGCCAAGCCGGCGCGATTCTGCAGGCTACTGAGACGATGCACAGCTCGGCATCGAGGACCCACCTCTCGGTCCCGGTAGATGTGTTCCCAATGGAAATAGAGCCATAGCGGCGATACCAGTTTGAGCAGGCAGGCCGCGGTGGTCATAATGACCATCGTAAGGTATGTGCGGGTGATGATGGGCACCTCATAGTACCACTCCTCCAATACCATGGGCATTTTTGCGATGAGGAGAGTGACGTGTGGAGTGATGGAGGAGGGATGGAGAGAAAAAGGACAAAACTTGCAGTGCAGTCTCTGGTGGATGGACTGGAGGACGGGACAAGGGTCGCTGAGAGGGCGAGGCCTGGCGATATCCGAAGCGACGGCGAGTGTGCGATCCAGGGAGACGCAGCTTGTTGTCGGACACGGACCGAGACGGGTTCAGACAGTTCAGACGAGTTCAAATTAGTTCAGACGATCCCAATGGCGATGAGATCAAGCAGCGGCGGATTCAGTTACGGGAAAGACCGAAGGCGACACCAAAGGCGACACCGAAGGCGAGGTTGGATGGGTCTGGGCGGCGAGCAGAGAGACGCGCGAGGAGCCACTCGCTGCACGTCTCGGCGGCTCTCGGTTGCTCTCGGCGAGAGACATGCGCGACACGTGACGGAGGAAATGACGTGGTGCGAAGCGAGAGGGCAGGGGCCATGTCGATCCTGGCCGTGTCACTCGTTCATGCACCCATGCGCATAGTATCGGATGCAACGTGCTGTGTGCTTCATTGAAGAGGGCTGGTTTGGAAAGCGAGAATCCATGAATCCACAATATTCCAAAAAGAGATAAGGGGGGGGGGAGGAAAAGCGAAAAACGACAGCAACAAAGAACACGGAGAAGAGCAGGGGCAAGAGCAGGAACAAAGAAAGGAAAAGAAAGCGCAACATCGACAAGTGACGGGGGCGACGAAAGAGGACCGAGGATCGATCAAAGTCGGGCTGAGCCAGACCGAGCCAGACTGGCGAAACATGGAAGGCGCCAGGATCAACGAGATGGAGAACATAAGCCCAGCAATGCACAGTCACAAGCAGATTAGAGAGGCATCGCGGTTTGTTGGAGAGTGCGGAGCGAGACGAAGAAGAAAAAAGGAAAGCCAGAGACGGGTGATGGATGGCAGACGAGGTCAATGAAGACGGAGGGAAGGTTGGTCAAGGGTGGAGGGTCGATGGGACCATCGATCATGGCCGAAGCGAATCGAGGAGGCGTCCATGTTGGATGCAAAAGTATCTCCGAGATGACAAGCCACGATCGAGCGAGATTGCAAGCGACGCGGCTCAATGCGGCCGAGCGGATTGCGGATGTGACGACGGCAACGTCACTGAAACGAGGGGGGGGGGAGCAAACGATGCAGAAAAAACGGACAGAGATGGGGGGGGGAGAGACTGGGATGAGATTGAAGGGGGAAAATGCAACTGAATGCGGTTGTATGCACAGACAGAGACGAAGAAGGGGAGAGGACGAGACGACTCTGGCGGCTCCGTGTTATGACCTTGGAGGATTTGCAAAGACACAAAGGGAGGAAGATGAAGCAAAACACACTCGGCCGCAGCCTCTCCTTCAGAGTATCACACAGGGACGCTTTTTGGGGGTGATGTTTGTCAGGGCTGCTCGGCAGGCATGATCGAATGCTTCGTTGACGCCCTCCCTTGTCTTTGCCGAGGTTTCGACGTATCGGTAGAGCTGCAGTCTCTGGGCCACGGCAAAGCCCTGCCGATGGCGCCGACAGAACACCAAATCGGATGGGTGTTGGTTCATGTCAATGGACAGCCAGTCGGGCCGAGTCGATCCGCGTGCGAATGATGCAGCCATTGACCGAGCGAGTCGAGACCGACAATCGAATGCGATTCCAAATGAATTGGCGGGGCGTCCGGTGGATTGGTGCAGCGAGTCGTTCAGCATGTATCGAGCGCGGATATTGGAGCCCGGGCGATGTTGTTCCGTAACACAACGAGTTGGGGAAGGGAGTGGATAGTATACGAAATTGGCGGTGAGTGTTTGATCTTGCATCTCGCATCTCGCATCTCTACACTCCGGTGATCCTGCAGCTCGGTATCCAGCGATCCCACATCCCAATGTCCCAGTGATCGCAGTGATCGCAGTGATTGCACAGCTCAATGTCCAGTACATCTGCTGCAGCACAGCACAGTCTGGACTCGCTGTCCGACTGAAAAGCAATCTGTTGGAGGTATTGGCCGATTCCCTTCTCCGACCCAAATGACAGCTGGCCGACGGTCGCCAGGGACCCCTGTCACTCGGGCGCGACACAGTGCATCTCCCCTCCGCGAGGAAGACGAGCAGCTGGATCTGATTTTACCTGCTGGGCGGTGACCGGCTCCAGTCCGATGGCCCGAAGCGAGGCGATGGTATCGGGGTCGGTCCGCAAGTCCTTTTTGCATCCAACCAGAACAATCGGTACATTGGGGCAGTACTTTCGGACCTCGGGGTACCACTGCGAAGGACAATCGACTTGGTTAGCGACTGGTGACCGTCGATCGATGCCGCCGATCGGACACATTCTCACAGTGTGCAAGGATTGGTGAGGTGGCTTGTTGTCGTGACGTCCAGGAGCCAGACGCAGCAGCTCAGGTACATGTCAACAAACAAATAGAGGCAAGACGAAGGCCGTAACAAGAGCTGGAAAAGCCCCCTGGGCTCGCCATGCCATGACAAGCATGCAATGGCCCAATGCTTGTCATGGAGAAAGCCGCCAGCGAGCATATGGGCACTCATCCATGGGATTGGACTCGATGTCGCAATCCGCCGAGATGCCTGGGCGACAGGGGGGGGGAGGCGGCGCAGCCAGCCAGCCAGCACAGATCCCCATGGCAACGCTGTTTCGGCAATGAGCTCAGCAATCACAATCCACCCTCCCCCTTTCTCCAGACAGATGGGCGGCTGGAGCGCCATCGCCGGCTCAAGGGATCGGGCGGCTGGAGGCTATCCCTGGCCAAGAGCAGGGCCAAGCCGGGCAGAAAAACGCCTGGGATGGCAGGGCAGACGACGAGGAGGGAGCGATAGGGGACAGGCGGGACATAAGATCCTTACTTGCAGCTCGACGTTTTCCAGCGAGTCGGGCGAGTCGACCGAGAAGCAGATGAAAATGACATGGGAATCGGGATAGGAGAGGGGTCGCAGGCGGTCATAGTCCTCTTGTCCGGCCGTATCCCAGAGAGCCAGCTCTACAGTGTGGCCGTTGACGATGATGTCGGCGACGTAGTTGTCAAAGACGGTGGGGATGTGGTCCTGAGGAAAATCCTTGTTGGAGAAGACGATGAGGAGCGAGGTCTTGCCGCAGGCACCGTCGCCGACGACGACCAGTTTTCGTCGGATGAAGGTTTTCTGGGCCATGCTGGAGGGTGCTTGGGAGAGACGAGGCGAAGATGGAGATGCTGGGTCGACGCAGCCGATGAAGCAGAAGAACGGCGAGCAGGCCGGACAGGACGAGGCAAAAAAAGGACGGCGAGGAGCAAAGGCCACGAGCGGGGGGGAGGACAAGCCCTTGTGGCGCGCGGCAGACCAGCGGGGGAGAACAGTGGGAGAACAACGGGAGGACAAGGCCTTGGCGGGGGGTGCACTGTTACTGTTGCTGTTTGGGGTTGTTTGCTGTTGTTTGCTGTTTTGGGGTTGTTTGGGCTGTTGCATTTGCTATCGCTGCAGCGCCATCCGTCGCCCTTGCTTGCTCGCTGCAGCGCGTCTCGAACCGTCGCACACATCGCTAGAAAAGGCTGCGTGTGCATACAGCCGACGCGCTCTCGCAAGGCCAGTCCCGCGCACACAGGGACAGCTGCAACAGCGCACAAGCGCTGTCGGGCAGGCACACGCAGCAGCAGCAACACGACCACACGCGACAACACACGCGACAGCACACAGGGCAGCGCCAGCACAAGCGACTGTCGCTGTATCCCGCCTGTGCTGTCTCGCCACTGGGCCCCATTCGTCCGCTCCTTGCCAGGCACAGGCGCGCTGCTGTCTCGGTGTGACTGTGTCGCATGTCCGCTCCCGCGGCAGGCCAATCGCCGCAGGGCGCACACCGCCCCTGAGCGCAGCACAGGCACCTCATGCACCGCCACACGCTGGCTCGAGCCGGACCGAGCCGGACCGAGCCGGCCGTTCCCGGATGGATCCAGCCGCCTTCCGCGAGATCTCGAAAGCGTCGCTCCCGCTTGTCTCTGTTTTTGATCATCGTTGCCCAAGACCAGATCGGCCCCAGTCTTGTCCCTGATCGGCCTGGCCTCGACCCCGCTGCGGCCGTCAACACCCACGCACACGCTCGGGCTCACCGCATCGACATCCTCCCTCCTCTTCCTCCTGCGTCACCGTCCCTCTCTCCGATCGCCCGCCATGTCAAATAAACTCAACTACGACCTGCTCTCGGCCGCATCGTCCTTCCTCAACGCCGTCAAGGACCGGGAGCTGGACCTGCGAGCTTACAAGATTTCCAAAATCGAGAATCTGTCCATCACCAAGGTAGGCTGCGCTCGTTGCTGTCGCGGCCGTCTCGCGTTCGTCATTGGACCGACATCGAGTCTTGGTCGCCGATTCGACCGTTCGCCACGCGGAGATGATCCCGTTCGATCGTCGACCACGTCTTGCCCACACCAGCGACAGCAGAGCAGTCGAAAGCGCCACATCCAGCCTCTCTGTTCAAGGATCGCCACATGCTCCCTTTCGCCTGGCCGCCAAGCCGACATGGAGATCGAACCGCACATCCAACACGACCTCCGAAACGACCCACCCTGAAACCACCCTCTGAAACACAGACTCCACGAGATGCCCTCGCTCTCTCAACGAGGCGCCATGGCACAATGTCAACTGCGTGAGAATGCCAGGCTTGATGTGGCTGCTCAGCTGACTCCTCGACTCCCCTCTCGCCGACTTGCAGGACCAGAACGATACGATCGATCTCTCCGACAACGACCTCCGAAAAATCGAAAACATCCCGTACATGACCCGCCTAAAGAGCCTGTTTCTGTCCAACAACCGCATCTCGCGCATCGACTTGGACGTTCCCAAGAACTTGCCCAACGTCCATACCCTCATCCTGACCAACAACCAGCTCCAGGAGCTCGGCGATCTCGATCCCCTGGCGGACTTTGCCCATCTCGAGACACTCTCTTTGATCGACAACCCCGTCGCTCTGAAAAAGTACTATCGCCTCTATTTGATCCACAAGTGCAAGGCTCTGCGAATCCTGGACTTTCAGCGTATCAAGGATGTGGCAAGTATCGCCCGGCGAGCTGCAAACAGGGCAGCAGCCACTCGTAATCATCAAGCCCTTGACTGACTCGGTATCCTACTGCTGCTGCCCATCCCGTCCCATCCCATCGCATCCCATCCCATCCACACAGGAACGCGCCGAGGCCCGTCGTGTCTTTGGCGGCGCGGACGGATCCCGGCTCCTGAACAGCATATCCACAAAGTCGACCTTTGAGCCTGGGCAGCTTGAGAAGAAGGACCTCAAGGCCTACCAGGGCCCCACTCCCGAGGAGGCCCAAAAGATCCGCGAGTCCATCAAAAACGCCTCGACCTTGGACGAGATCAACCGACTGGAGCGGCTGCTGCGGGGCGGCGTTGTGCCCGAATCCAACATGGATGTTGACGAGGAGCAGGAGCAGGAAGCGTAATAGACTAGGATTTCAGAACGGAGCAGAACAAGGCCATCGCATAACAATGGCCAAGAAGCACCAAGGGCTGGCACTTGACTGCGTATATGTGGCACTCCCTGGCCCGCTGTGAGGTACCCTGGTGGATGCACTGGTCGGCGCCATTGAGGAGCCGGTATCGCTTCTTTGGCACTTTGGTCGAGGGCATTGGTGGGCGTACTATTGTCTACGCGGGAGGACTGCCACCACCTGAACCTGAACTCACAGACGCCAGTCGATCGATATGCCTTCTGCAATTGTGGGGGCGACGTGGCAGCTGTCATGGACCGGAGGTCGCAGCCCGGGAAACATCGGCGCGGGTCACCATCGACCGGCCTTCCCTTTCCTCTCCCTCCCACCAGACCCGAGACGATCGCTTTTTTTTTCCGGCCACGGGCCAGCGTTCAGGGTTCAAGGCGGTGCGGACACGATGCGATGCGGCTCGGGTACGACCGGTCATCTCTCCGGGATGCAGGACAGGGCGACCCAGACTCGAGCTTGGAACCAGCCAGGCCACGAAGCACGAGTTGCGGACGAGTTATGGACAAACCTTCTGAGGGGGGGGGCTGGGAGATGGGAGGCAGGGTGCCAGCGGCTCATCCGGCCTCTGGCCGTTTCCTGTTGCCCCGGGCACATGCATCGGCGGTGTTGGGCTGCGGCACGGGCTGCGACGCAGGGCGGATGGACGACGGCGGGAGGCATGCCGCAGACGGCCAAGACGCAAGGGGTTTGTGCGACAAGGGTCTGGCTTGCCGCTCGGCTTTGCGCTTTCCCCTTCCCCTGCCGGGCCTTGCTCCTGCCTGGCCCTTGCTCCTGCCGCCGCTGGCAACTGGTGTGGTGGGGGACTTTTATGGATGTACTCGCGGCTGTTGCTCAACCGATGCACTCGCTTGCAGTCATGGCGCACATGTTTCTTTCTTCTGTCCCCCATCGGCCGTATCTTTCCTTCCTGACCCACCTCCGCTGCTGCTAGTCCATCCTTGCTCTCTCTCTCTCTCCCGATCTATAAAACTCGCCGCCTCCCTCTCTCCGTCCTTGCAACCGCATCCTTGCAACCGCATCCTTCACCCCCTCCCTTCTCTTCTGATCAACAGCCACAGCTACTTTGTTCCCAAGCCCTCAGCCTCCCGCTCCTCAACACTATTCACCATGTCTTCTACCAACTCATCTCCCAGCATCAAAAAGTCCCTTGGTCTGCTCCCGCTCCTGGTTATTGCCCAGGCTCCAGCGAGCTGCGTTGCTCTCCCCCTCCGTTCCGACGTTGTCGAGGACTCGGCAGCCTCGCTGAGCTCTGGCGACAGCGCCAACGTCTTCCACAACCCCCGCTCCTTCAACGAGCCTCTCCTGGCCCGATCTGCCGAGGATCTCTACGACGACGAGGTCGAGCGTGCCATTCGCTTGCGCAAGCGAGTCGACAGCTTCCTTGAATGTGCCCTCGGCAAGCGCGGTGGTAAGTGCTCCATGATAGCTTGTCCTCGCTGGCAGGGCGCGGCCCCCATGAGATGGTGATCAGATCGGATCAGATCGGATCAGATCGGATCGTGGTGCATTTGGGCAATTCATTGAGTGGACATCTCCAGTGCGTCTCAGCGCCACTTTGTTTGAGTCCAAGCTCATCTCTATTCGATTTTATGTGATCCAGATTGCTCGGGTCTCCGCAAGCGCGATCCAGGCCTTATCCAAAGCATCGCTGCTATTGCTGCTCCTACTTCTGCTGCTGCTCCTACTTCTGCTGCTGCTCCTACTTCTGCTGCTGCTGCTCCGTCCTCGGCGGTCCAGAGCCCCGTTGTTATCCAATCCACCACCACCCAGGCCTCCGTCGCCACCTCCCAGGCTCCTGTTCAGGCTCCTGCTCCTGCCACTACTCAAGCTGCTGCCCCCACAACCGCCGCCGCCGTTGCAGCTGCAATCGCTCCGACCTCCAGTGCTGCTGCTGCCGCTGCTGCCCTGCCCACGGCCGCTGCCAACCCTTGCTCGGGAGTCTCCAAGGACCCAGGTGTCATCACCGCCGCCGACATGGCCGCCATCGCCAACATTCTCAACGATCCCAGCATCAGCTACACCGACAGCCAGGCAATTGCCTTTGAGAACTGCCTTGTCACCAGCTCGGCGGACTGCTGCCGCCAGTCGGCCAAGTGCTCTATCATGTAGACGGCACTTGCATCGTCGCGCCAGAGCTGGTCTCGGGAGACATCCTCGGATCCCATTGCTCCCTCCCCTATCCATACTTCGAGAGCACAGCGCCCTCCCCACCCCCCATGGGCCTCTATTTCGGCTGCGCTGCGGACGACTCTACTGCCCTTCGTTCATTCATTCGTTCAATCATTCATACTTGCATGGCAGCTCAAGATCTTCACCAATTCATTCGCATCCCGTTCATTTCCTGCATTCCCATCCTTTCCACCCATTCTCTGGCATTCTGAACAATGGCTAGGCACCTCACTGCACTGCAATGCACTGCTTCGTGTATGCTGCCTGCTTCAATGTACCTTCATTGACTTATCGACTCGTTGATTCATTGGCTCGCTTCTGTACCGCCTCTCTGCGTTCATGACTATTCTCCGACCTGGCATCGGCACTTCTTTCCATGATTGCGTTCTTCATCTGTAAGCCTCCCCCACATCCACTACCGTCGTCCCCCCCCCGCTGCATTTCAAGAGCATCTCTGCTCTTTCATCATCATATGGGATGCACTTTGCAAATACAATATTGGTTCCTCACCAGTGGACTTGGACCATGATCCATCGTGACGATCCCTCTCTCTCGGTATATAAAATGGCAGGCACCAGCCCATCTCGAGAATAACTGCCCGACAACCGAGCTGTGCTTATCGGCAGACACCGGAGGGTCTCGGGGACGATGGCTCCATGCAATCGGATCTTCACGACCTTGGAGCGGAAACTGAGAGGAGCCTATCTCGAGCCACACGGGCCCCACGAGCCATATTCACTCCCGAGCCGACTCCGAATCGATACGCAGACGGGCGGAGCGCTTTTCAGTCCGATCGGAACCGCAGCAAATGTTGGCGACATCATGGAAGGGTGTTTGCTCGTTCGTCGATGGCTTGCAGCGGCAATGTCGCTCTCGACCGCAATCCTCTCCTTGGCCATCTGCCGGCCACTCTCTTCCGCTGGTATCCGCTGTCGCCGTTGCCGGTGCGGCGTTTCGGCACCGTCCTCGGCGGAAGAGGAAAGAGATGTCTCCCGACGGCGCCGATGCGACCACACTTTGCAGCCCGGGCCCCCCCCCGCCTTCCGACAAGAACGAGGTGCTTTGGTCTTGCCTCTTTCTCCTTCGACCAGCCTCGTTTCCGGATGCTCCTGTGGGAAAACAGACATTTGGCCTTTGCCGAGTGGGTGGGGCCCCCGTTTCTCCGTCGTCCGTATTGGTCGCCGTTTCCGTCTCCGACGGCGGCTCTTTCTACCGTGTATTTAAATCGCATCGGGGCAGCCCCGCTTTCCCCCCGCTGCGTTTGCTCGTTGTCTTTTCTCATCGTTCCGGAACTCACCTGCTCCTGGTCGAGAGACATTCCCGTCGACTTCTCAAGCAAACTCCTTGCGCGTCTCGTTATTGCCAAAGCTTGCGCACCATCGACATCACACAAGCGATATCACTCAAGCGATATCACACAACACGCCATGCTCCAGCGACCGACTCCATCGCATGTGCTCCTCAGCCTGCTGTCCATCATTTTGATGCTCCTCTCGGGCGCCCAGCTCTCGACGCAGGCCGCCGTTCCCGCGCTCACAGCAACGGATCCTGTTCCCTCTGGCGCAGACACATGGTTTGAGTGGATTCACAGCCCAATCCCCTCAGTCACTGCATCTACCGCCTCGCTCGATCCCACCAGCAGCATCGCCCCTTTGCCGGCTGCAACTTCAACGGAAACAGCGCTCGCAACAACCAATACCACAGTCACACCCAATGCCACAGCCACACCCAACGCAACGGTCGCATCGACAGTCAATGCCACAGCATCGTCCAACGCAGTTGTCAGCCCCACCAACACACTGACACGCCCTCCTCCTGCCCAGTCCTCGTCGAGTCCAGACCAGACCATCGTCTGCATCAAGCCCGCCAGACCTGCAAACTGCCCGACCGAGGCTAGCCAGGGCGGCCTGAGCCAGAACGACATTGACGAGATGCAGAACCTGGATCTGACCACCATGTCGCTCTGCCAGATTGCCGTGTTCCAGGACTGCATGGCGAGCACTTATACCGTGGCTTGCTGTGTCTCCTGGATCCAAGAGCTGCAGAACTAAGTGCACTGCCGACTGGCTGTTGGGTCCGCACTTGGACCTTGCCGCCCACGGTTGTCCCAGCGTTGTGGTTCATTCCGAGATTCCCGCTTGTTGTTGTTTCCTCTGGTTGTACTTTGCCCCAACCTTCAGTCATGCCCCCCCCTTTTCAATTCCTGCCTGCTGTTAGTGCGTCCCTCCCCCCCCCTCAGTCTTCGCTTGACCATTCGTGTCAAATACGATACATTTCGCTCGATCCGCCCAATCGGTGTGCCGTAACTACTTCTGCACGTGACGCCTCTGCCGAACTGGTTCAACTGCATTTTGGTTGATCCGCTGTGTCTTTTCGGATCCTCGGGGCGCAGAAAAAATGAGGTTGCTCTCTCTCTCTCCCTCTCCCTCTCCGTGCGTTGCCGGATCATCTCTGCCCAAGTCTGCGATTCGACGCCCGGGGCTGCCCGACTGTTTCTCATCTGCAGACACAGTCTCTGTTCGTCCACCGGCCCATCTATTCGTCCATCTGCCCGACTGTCCCGTCTGTTTGACAGCGGCCCATCGTCCAGGTCCATCCAGGTCCATCCAGGTCCATCCAGTCCAGGTCCATCGAGCCCAGTCCAGTCCCTCAAGACCCATCTCCAGCCATGAGCGTCACTCACTCACACCACTCCTGCCAGTGCTCGGTCGTCAACCACCCAAGCTGTCCGTTCAACTTTCTCATCACCGACTGTCCCTCCAACGATACCATAGACTCGTACCGCCTCCTCTTTGAGGAAAACAGCGTCACGGATCTCATCCGACTGTGCTCGCCCGATGCCTACGATCCCACTGCCCTCAGCTCTGGTCTTGGCATCAACGTCTGGGACAATCTGGCTTTTGAAGACGGTGGGTGATGGATCCGTTCATGGGATGAAATCCCTCATTGCCCTGGCCCCCTTCTCGTCTCCACCAACATCGTTCGGCCGGCATCACTGCCCGGTCAATGACAGCGCAGCCAGCATGTCTGCAGCTCTGCGGATGGCCCCGCTCTTGACCCTGCAGAGCCAACGAGCTGCTGACCCACATTCTCACTTTCCCTTCCCTCCCCCTCTCCGTTCTCCATTCTCCGGCCGTCCGATATCCGCCGACCACCGTGCACATCGAATCGTCAAAGGCTCGGCCCCATCCGACAAGATCGTTGCCGACTACCGCGAGCTGCTGGCCCAAATCGAATCTCGCCCGGACCGGCCGACGGGCCAGAAGCCCACCATCGCCGTTCACTGCGTCAGCGGCGTCGGCCGAGCACCCGTCCTGGTCGCCTGTGCCCTCATCGATGCTGGCCTCGAGCGTGAGGACGCCATCGAGTTTGTCCGGGGGCGACGACGAGGCTCCTTCAACAAGATTCAGCTGCGCTGGCTCCTCGATGCCAAGGGCTTCAAGAAAAAGCCCTCACAGCGCACCTCGATCCTGAAGCGCATGTTCGGCAAGAAGACATAGGGCAGGAGGGGGGGATGGGAAGTTGCCGGGCTTTGGCTTGTGCTCTGAGCTTTCCCTTTCCCTTTCCGCCGACTCTCAACTTTCTCGACCGTCTCTATTTTTTGCTTGTCGAGTCGCTGCGATCAGTATCTCCTGGACATATGAGTGCTGGTGCATCTGCGGCGGCAACGGACCGATTCCTTCCCTCCTCCGATCGTCGATTGTCACCCAGAACCTTGGGGCTGGCATGCCCCCGTCGCTCTTCTTGCCATAGCGCATCCTCCTCTTCTGTTTTGTGGCGGCATCTTCCTCCTCCGCCGCTCGCCTTGTTTCTGTCCTGCCAGGGTCCTCCAGAAGCCCACGTCTGCCTTCCGCCATCGCTTGTTCTCGCCGCTCTTTTCAATCTCGCATGTGTAGGTAGAAGCAATATATGAACCAAGTGAAACACTCCAGGCGGTAGAAGTGAACGCGAGTCATGGATGTGAGGGGAGTGATGGATATGGAGGGAGTGATGAATATGAATATGAATGAGGAAGGATTAGCCAAGGGTGATTAGAGGATAGTAACGAAGAGAATCGAATCGCCAGATGGGCGGGATCTGCACTGTCCGGTCGCATAGGAGCATCGTCGCTGACAACCGGGCCTTCGGAGGCCCTCAGCGGCGACTAGTTGTCCCGATGCAAGGCCTCCCACGAGAGCGGGAACAGGAATGCCTGTGAGTCGCTGAACGGGACCGGCGGCATGGGAGTGTGCATCGGCGTGTTGGCCGGGGTCGAGCCCGGGAAGCTCGTCGACAACTGGAGCATGGGCTTGGCGGCGGTGGTGGTGGTTGAAGAAGCTGAGGATGAGATTCCCTCTCGTGAATGGTGCCGGCGACACTGGATCGATTTGGATGAGGCTGGTAGGGCCGATGGCGATGCTGCATTGGCTGATGGTCGCAGAGGCCCAGGTGTGCTGGTGCCGCCGCTGCTCATGCGGTCACTCGAGTCCATGGTGGTTCTCAGTTTGTTGCTTGCCGAGGGAAAGTCGGGTCTCACGCTCGAGTGCAGCAGGGCTTGGTGCGGGAGGCGAGACGGCATGCATGTCCGGATGGACTTTTTATATGGGCTCGCTGTTTCTCCCATGCAGCGGCCGCCAAGGAGACAGATTCTCCCAGGGAGAGAGGAAAGGAAGCTTGGTGCAGGGTGCAGGGTGCCGGATACCGGTTCTCACGAACGGCAGTCAAAGTGCCGCATCGGCATCCCCTCAGGGAGACAGGCCCTATTCTGTCGGTGCGGCGCTCGTCCATCGGAACCCCCGTTCGTCCTGCCCAGGTTGAGCTGCTCGTGGTCGGCAGTAGTCGTTGATTGCAACCCAAGTCTATTCATGTGATTGCCAACGAACTCGGTTCTGCGAGCAGTGCTCAGGACCTGGTTTCTGAGACTGGCATGGAACCACATTCTCGATCGATATCGGACGGAAGAAATGGCTTACAGTACTCCAGGAACGCTGGCCAGCCGCATCGATCGTAGTCACAGGACAAGGCTTTCACTGGACGGCCATTGAAGAGTATCCGCACCCAGCGACCATCGCCATCCTGCCACAGCTCGACAGCCACATTGGCGGCATAGCCTGGCCAGCGCTTGTCTGCCGCTTGCAGCAGATACAGCAGCGCCCCGATGGTAGTGTCGTGGCCGCTGTACAGGAACAGCCTCGGGGCTGAGAGCCGGGAAGTGCTGTGGGTGGCAGCTTGCATTCTGTCGAGCAGCTCCTTCAGCAGCGGGCCCACACGCAGCCTTGCTGCTTCGATTCGTGCTGGAGACCCGCCGCTTGTGTATTCGTATTGCATCCAGTTGCTGGCCAGGGCCATGACATGCTGGACGTGCGAGTCGGTGATGCACAGCGATGTGTTGGCTGGATGACACGGCCGGGGTTTGTCGTTGCAGCTGCGACACATGAGCATGTCAAAGTATCGCTCGAGGGGGATGCCCGATGCCGACAGGATCGCATCGAATTGCGAGGCCAGCTGCTTTGCGGGAGCGGCGTAGTAGTGATCATAGGGCGTACCCTTGCCCTTGAGCGTTTTCATGATCTCCTGTAGTCGCGGACAGCCGAGCTCGGACACGGTCAGCGAGTCGACTTGGACTGGCCTGATCTCAATTTCAACGGGGTGAAGCGGATCTGCACTGGGGAACATGGCCGAAGCCAGGAATTGTGCCGACTGGATTGTTCTCCTGTTTTGTGCATGCCGTTGGCCAGCCGGTGCGATTTGCGTGATACGGGCCGGAGGAATGGATGAGCGGATTGAGCGAGCCGCAAGGCGTTCCTCACTCCCCATGTGCACTGCCAGTCGAGGATTCCCACATTGATCCAACTCGTGCTGGACGACGATTCATGCTGAGCCAGCTTGGAATGCCCAGCAATGTGTCCAGTGAATTGCCCAGCAATGTGCCCAGTGAATTGCCCAGCAATGTGCTCGCCTCCCAGCTGCCGGTAGTAGCCCTCACCATACGTCCGTGCTTCGGATTGCAACATCCCCGATATCAGGCTTCTCGCCGTCGATCCAGAGGGAGTGCCCGTTCGGTGGATCGACATAGACGCTTTGTAGACCTCGGCCCAGTGCCCTCATCTGCTCGACGCCCTTGCGTGTGAGCTGGCCCGCATAGCAGTTTCCCTCCCAGAACATGCCGTTGCGGTAGTCTCGGGTGTCGCCTTGCCCCGGGTTGTGCATTCGGCGTGTGAAGCGAGGGATCCGGCCGGATTGGTCCTCATCACTGGTCTGGAGCAGCAGTGTCTCGACAATCCCGTCGCATTCGTTCCAGATGGGCTCGGGGTTGATGTTCCGAGAGGGTGCCCGGTCGCCATGGCGATGAAACACATGGACTTGAAGGAGCTTTGCCAAGGGACTCTGTTTGATCCAAAGAGCGAAGAACGAGCAGAAGCAGTGATGGTGAGCAGGGGAGACATATCGGTGTGGAGCCGTGCGCCAAGCGAGGTTGGAGAAGACGAGCGGCTGCTTGCTCATGCATCGGATTGCCTCGGGACTGCTGAGGCGTGGCCAATCGGCAAAGATCGGCACTGCTGCTCACCAGGGGGTGATACGTCTCATACGACGGATAGGAGGAGTTGCAGTAGTGTTCGTGCAGTGTCGTGACGGGGGCGGGTGTGATATCGACGATCAGGTGCTCGCCGCGATGGGGGGCAGATGCGAACGGCCACAGATCAAGCATTCCGGTGCTGTGCCAGAGCATGAGCACCGAAACAAGCCCGACCAGTGCGGACACAGCTGCGCCAGTCCTGTCGATCATGGCAGCCGATCGATGCGCAAGCCGAGTGAAGACTGAGCCGATCGGAGCAGCCGACGCACCAGGCACGGACGTGGCCAGAAACCGGGAAGGCGCAAACCCGAGACGGATGGGATCTGGTTCGAGCCGGCACGGCTCGAGTGTCCCGGCTCGAGTGCAGAATGGCGCGGATCCTGATCCTTCTTGCCCACCTTGTGGGTCTGAATCAATCACCCTGGCTGGCCATCCAGCACACCGCCGAACACTGTCTTCTCCGCATCGATCACCGCCGTCTGCATCCGCTGTTGGCCCATGGAACACAACGCAAAGCCGTCCCTCGAGCGTCTGGCCAGCGACCTGGTCCGCCTCAAGACACTCGTCTCGGAGCTCAACACCCTGACCCAGGACTCGCAGTTCACCCTTCTCGAGAGCGACGGAGCTTCCCCTCCCTCGACAGAAAGCGAGCCCCCCTTCCAAGAGGGCGACGATGGTGCTGTCTCTGACGATGGCCCTGCCGCCGACGAGCCTGCACCCCAAGTAGGAGCCAAGGTTGAGGCCGTGACTGCAACGCAACCTGCTGCCCAGCCCAGCGAAGGCGACTTGCTTGGAACGCTCAAGCGCCATTTCACCTCCCGCGAGAAGCGTCAGTCTCAGTCCCTCTCCAGGGCTCAGTCGATCGACGAGATCGCCCCGCTGTCCGATGCAAGCTCGGCAAAGTCCCTGAGCGAGCAGCTCGTCGATATCGAGCTCGAGTTGCGTCCGACCCTGACCCGGGTGGCCCGCCGCCAGACACTCGCCCGGGCTTCGTCCTCGGCCCGTCTGGCGACCCTGACCCGACAGCGAACGGCCCTGAAGCGCCAAGAGTCGGTGCAGTCGATCCCCGAGTACAACAACTTTAACTTTTGGTCGTCCTTCCAGGCGCCGATCGCCCAGTTTGACGAGGAGGAGCTGCTGCGCGAGTATCTGGAGCAGTCCAAAGAGCCCGTCGAGGAGGCTATCCAGGACGGCCCGGATCAAGTCGAGGCCGAGCCGGGCGAAGGCACTGTCCCCGACCAGGACCACGAAGAGCTCGAGAGCCTGAGAAAGAGAGTGCAAATCCTCGAGCGGTTGGTATTGATGCAGATGGAGAAGACCAAGACCGAAAGCATCCAGGAATCCGTCCCCGAGAACAGCACTCCCGAGAACGATATCACGAACGATGTTGCCCCTGGGGATACACCGGCGGCTGATGCCACTTCAACCCGAGAGCCCCAGGACGCCGCTGTCCCGCAAGTGCCCGTCCCAACCCAGCAGCCCGAGCAAGCCGAGCTGGCGCCGCAGAGTGTAGCTGAGCCCCAATATGTCGTCGCATTGGGCGATAAGTGGGTCAGTGTCGAAACATACGAGCAAGAAAAGCAGAGGGCGTTGGAGACTTTGAACCAAAGCAAGCCCAGCCCGAGTCTTGAGCCTGCATACGGCGCCATCCATCCGTCTGGTGAAGGATACGGTGGGGCCGTTGGGCTTGCTCATGACGATCCTGGCCGTGTCGATGAGTCTCATGCCGATGCTGTTCATGGCAGTGCGGCTCATGCTGAAGCCAGACACTTGGCTACAGCAGTGAATTCCCCTTCCAATCTCGCTGCCTCCGAGGGCTCCGGGTCTGCAGGACACGAATCCGACCACCCTGTTCCGTCGCATGCGCTGCCTGTCGGTGCCACTGGATCACACAATGTCCATCATGACGTCAATGCCCAAGATGCGTCACACCATAACCATCATGAGTCCCATGAGCGCCGTGATCACCAAGAACAACAAGAACACCAAGAACAACAAGAACAGCAAGAGCATCACGATCACCAAGAGCATCACGGGCCATCCGTCGATGTCAAACCAGGCTTCAGCTCGGCTGACTCTCGTCCCGACACTCAATCAGGACACTCTGGCGCAGCTCCCCACACTACCGCCACTCTCGACGAGAACTCTGCATCTCATATCGCCTCGAGCCATTCCAAGGATGGCGAATCCCGCCCCGTGGACACCAAAATCAAGCCTGAACTTCCCAGCAGCCACTCCAGCGATGGTGCACATGCCACATCCAAGGCCACATCTCCCTCCGAGGCTGCCTCTGAAACTCCCCGCAGTGTCGAACGCGACATCAAGATGCCTGTCAACATGAGCACTGCGCCTCAAGTCAAGGGAGCAAACGACTCCGGTGTGGACGCTACCTCACACCCGGACGCCTCGACCACGGCTCGATCTCCTGCTGCAGCCAACAAACCAATTCCGAATCCGGCCGACGAGATCACACCTCTTGGAGAGGAGCCCGCCAAGGCTGCCCCTTCGCCGTCAGCCACCACATCGACTCCAAAGCCGGTGGCCGCCTCGTCTCCCAAACCTACGACCTCATCTCCCAAGCCAAAGACCGTCGACCATCCTTCTGTCGACAAGCCCGCCGCTTCGGTCGCCAAACCCATCGCTGGCGTTTCGGACGAGCCCAAGACGGCGCCGGCAAAGAGAAGCGACCCTGCTGCCGATCCCCAATCGGCGACCTCGCTCGATGACCTGCTGGATGACAAACCTCGCCCTGGCGACAAGCCCTCCAATTTGTTCAGTCGTTTTGCCAAGGACAAGTCCGACGCAGATCTGACCACGGCCGACAAGGACGAGAATGGCGAGCCGACCAAAAAGAAGGTCAACTGGGGCCAGATCTTCATATACTTCAATCTTCTCCGCGCGATCGCCACGGCGATCTTTACCGCCATCGATATTGACCAGGGCTTGCGCAACCCGGTCTACATAGACATTGGCGCGCGCGGCTTCCTGATCGTCCAGGCCATCGTTCTGGTCATTGATCTGGCGATCGCCTTTGTCAAGGCATTCCCCAAGGTCCTGTGGATCTGTACGTATCCTGCATTGAGAGTAGCTGGTCGTGGATGTGGGTGTGAGCAATGGTCAAGACCGATCGCCGTCACTCGATACGAGCCGCTGGATTGTCGACACAGCGCGATTCCTTTGCGGTACCTCTTTGTACTGACTGTGGCTGACGCTTGCAGGCTGGAACATTGACGACTGGGATCCGTACGAGCGCACATGGAGCATCTGGGCCATAGTTGCCGACCACCAGATGATCATCGACGTGGCTCCGCTCTTGGTATGATTCATCATCACATGCCACTTTTGTTCAGTCCCCCCCTCCTCATAAGCTCTGGTTCGTCAGCAGGACCTGGGCCGGCTCGGTGCTGCTCTGATGGCCGCGACTGATTGGTTTGCCAATGACTTGATTCCAGATTTCAGTCATCCTCCGTATCTATGGCTACCGCCTGGCCGAGATCATCGAGAACCCCGACGTCCGCAACACCATCAGTGAGTAGCCAGAATTGCTGCATTTAGATTCTATGCGCTCTCACCGCATCTGGGTCCGCTCACACCGCATCTGGGTCCGCTCACACCGCATCTGGGTCCGCTCACACCGCTCGATCTCGTTGCTCGCCTTTATTTCAGCCAACCCGCAGTTCCAGATCAAGGATCTACTCTCGCCGCTGCAGCGCAACTTTGAGCTGCTAATGCTCTTTGTGGCCAGCTTGCTCTACACCATCCTGTTCCATACCTTTCGCCTTGCTCGAGTCCTGTGGATCCGCAAAAAGTCCCAGGCGCTTGCACTGCTGGTTGGCCTCAAGGGTCTGCTGTTTACCTTTGACATCTTGACCAACGGGCTCCTGCTCTACGAAACCCTGATCACCCTGGGACTGAACTTTTTCCGTGCGTCGCTGACAGCCAACCTCATGCTGAGTGTCGTCGGGCCGGGCCCCATCGTCACCTTGGTGACCAACGTCCTCGTCAACGCCCCGCTGCACTACTTTTATCTCAAGATGCAGATCGAGAACCGCCACCAGGAGCCCGAGAAGCTCCGGGGCAGAATCTGGAAGACAGCCTTCCACCGCGCTTTCCATCCCATCCTCATGGCGGTCTTTGGCACCTATGCCCTGTACGCCATGATTGCCCTCCTGCAGGTTCTGAAGGCAGTCCAGGGATTCGACGTGATCGGAAGCATCAAGAGCGGCAACGGCATCCCGGCCCAGATCATCCCGACCAGCGGCTTCTTTGGCTGGAGTGGCTCCAACGGGCAGAATGGACCCAACGTCCTCCTTGGTATGGTCTGGCTCGATGTGGTCATGAACTATGCCGTCGGCGTGGTGTTTGCCGTCATCTACTGGATCTACGCAGTCCTGTGGATGGGAATCGGCAGCAGCCTCTGGAAGCAATTGCGCAAGACCAAGAGCGGTGGCCCAGACGCCGTGGACATTGTCTGAGAGCTCCCTCCTGGCCCCACGTTGGAGCAAGGCCATAACCGAAGCAGACCCATAGCTGGAGCAGATGCACGTTATCGAAACAATGTCTGGCTTCGCCTTGTCCTCACCGGGTCAAACTCCTGGCCTCTTCAACCGCCTTCTCCTCCGGGGATTCGTTTCTGTATCGTCCGTTCCTTCCCCTTGACACTTGATCCTGCCTTTGTTCTAGCTCCTGTCTTTCATTCTCTGAACCAACTCTCTGATGTGTTTTGATCTGCGAAATGGCTTGTCGCAGTGTGATCGAAACGCAGCAGCTGGGGCTCTAATTTGTTAATGGCATCGCGCCAGAATGCTACCCAGAATAACAGAGCCACCTCCAAGCGATACTGCTATCCCTGTATTCTATCGTCTCACTCCGACCCCTGCTGCTTTATCCAGCGAATGCGTCGATCCAAGTCCAGCTGGTGTCCTACTTTGGCAGTGTCCGCAGATTTCGCCATTGATATGGCCAACTGCTCCCCGGTTTGTATCGAGCCGCATCGGCTTCACATCCCCTGCCACGGACAATCCGTACAGGAATCGGTGGATGATGCTGCCTACAGGCCGGGTGACTGCAGGTTGCGAATCAGAGTCGTAGCGCCACTTCCCGACCAGGGACTCGCCGAGGATACTCGCTTTCCACAAGCGGGATATATTACGGTGGGAGCCGTATGTGCATATTCACAAAGTCGTTCAGCTCCAGCCGGACACAGCCCGCAACACGATCCCATCGCCATTTCTCTCGCAATTGAAGGTCGCCGTAGCTCACCCTTCCACTCGCCCATCCATCTGTCCGGCTCGGCTAATATATTATATCCGACTCGGGTCTTTGCCTGGCTCAGAGACCCGGTGGGTGTAGCGAGATCGCACGAACCAATCCACGGTCGCATTGTCGCCAACAATCGTCGGTTTGACCCTGGTCCTCTGACCACCGCCTGACACAATGGCAGCCATATCTCCTCGCGGATATATCACGTCATTCGCCAGCCTCCTGTGGATCAGAGCCCCAGCTTCTCTTCGGTCCGAAAGCGTCGTTCCCTCGTCCCGATTCTCACTTTCCAGACTGGATACTCCGACATGCCCAAACCCCAGGGCGGCCAGAATCTGTGGGCAAGCGAAGACCGAATCCAACAGGAAGGTCACCGGAGCTCCTCTCTCAGCGACATCAGTGCTAAGCTATGGTCGAGCAAGGTGACTCAATCACGAGAGTCGACATCCTCAGCCCGCACCCCGCTTGGTGGGTCCGCAATCAATGCGCATTTTGACCCGAGCCAGTTCCAGTCCTTTTCGATTCCACAAACAAAAGACCCCAGAGGCTCTCGGAGAGCTAGTCAGATCCCTGGGAGCGATTCCTCGGACCCAGCATCGCTCACAAAGGATTTGGACATCTCGGTCCTACTGAACTCTATATATGGACCGGCCCTTGTTTCGCAGCTGATGATGCAGGATGAAGATTCGATGGCGAGAGGGAGCACTACAGGATCGACCGGGCGACAAAAGGTTTCGTCCATTTATGGCACAACTCAACGGTTCAGCGGCGGTATGACGCATGCAGCAAACTCGGTCTCCTACAGCTCGCTCGTGGCGGAGAGCAAAAAGAAGACTTCAAAGGAACAGAGAGTCCACCGTCCCAGCACCTCGGCAATCACGGGCTTATCACCCAAGAATAGCATGGAGATTTCAGGCTGTAGTGCTCCCTCGCCACTTTTAAGGCGCCAGTCGAGTGTCAAGGGCTTCCAGGAGTGTGCAACATCTCCTCCCCAGGACTTTTCGTCGATGCCACACCCAAGGGCGAGTGAAAGCAGACCCCAGCCGACGATTGACAAGGCACACAGCATTGGTAGCACTGATATAGCCAAGCTGGCGGAGAACACTCTATCATCCGACTCGTTGGTGGCACCCAAGCACTATCCCACGGCTGCCAATATCTCCAGCTCTCAGCTCCTGGACGCTTCTCTGCGTCAGTTTACGCCGTACATGGGTGTCTCAAGTTGCAATTACGCCCCATCGGAGTTGACCCCGACAAAGTCAAAGTCTATAAAAGCCACGACACCCACGACTCGATCGCAGCAGCTCAGTCCCGAAGTCGGTCCACGCCGACCTTCCCGATCTAGTCCCAACACCCAGCAAAACCAAGACGACGATATGCCACCTACCAGAAGCCCCAGAGCCGAAGATATCAACAATCTCCGCATGCAGATTCAGGGGCTGCAGCATCAGCTGGACAACACAAAACAGGACGCCAGCACACACTCCACCCCTTCATCCCTCTGTAGAAGTGCCGCTGAGAAGCCTACAAAGCCCAAGCACGGATTGCTTCACAAACTACGCAGGCTCTTCACGAGACCAGGATCCAAGCACGACTCCAAGCCGGGGTCTTTGTCTGTGACAGACTCCGAACCAACCTCGGTTCCTACATCTGTGTCGGTTCCTGTCCGAGGATCTGATCGAGTATGAATGTCTGCGTTGCTTATGTCCTTGAATAGAGCTTGCACAAGCACAAGCACGCACGGCCGCCGTGCAACACCTTCCGTCGATAGGAGTGGGCTTCGTGCACATCGATTCTCATAATGCTCGTGCTGTTGTTCGATGGCGCGCTTTGCATATCCAGACACATCTGCACTCGGCATTCCGGCTTGACTCGAAATAAATATTTGATCATATCACGGTGATCATGTCACCGCGATGGTGCAGCGCCGATGTTGCAGCGCCGATGGTGTAGTGCCGATGCTGCAACGACACTCTGGTGATGTCGATCCGCAGGTCAGGTGGACACGCGCCACACGCGAAACGGCACCTGTGGCGGGTCTGTCTTCCGCGCTCATTTTTCTCCTGGCTGGAGACGTTTTGCCCTTCGTCCAGGCTGCCTCCCCCTTTGCCTGGCCGTCCGTCGTCTCATCTGGCTGCCCAGGCACCCCGACGCTCGCCATGCCACGTTCCCGGCCATGCGCCCCCGCACTCGCCCCATGTGTCTCGCTCAGGACAGCGCGCACAACCAGCAGCTTCCTGTTGGGGCTGCTCTGTCTCCTGGCGCTCGCGACCCTGAGCCAGGGCCAGAACCTCACCAGCCCAAACTGCGTTAACGTGATAAATACCTGGTCCCCCATCCCATCCGGAATAGTTCTTGGTATGTAGATTGCCTTCATACTGCTCCGCTATAAACTCAGGATCCCAATTCGGAGCCGCCCCGGATCCTCGGCAGGATACCAATCAGAGAGGGGGAAGGGAGGCGCTGCACATCCGAATGCTGTCGCGGCAACATCCTTCTCGGCGAAGGCCACTTATGAAATTATCCTACACTCCTCCAGACAACGGGCAGAACAGCTCCTTCACGCTCGGCTCGGTGAATGTTTCACTGACACCGTAAGTCGACCCATCCTTGAAATAGCATACCCCAGACCCCTGACATGATACTAAAACTCATCCAATTCCTCGGTTCAAGACAGCAGTCGGGGTTCCACTTCTATACCAATGGAACTATGCTCTATGGACAAGTGTCGGCTCTGATTTTAGGATCGAGCACGCCAAACATTATCACGTCTCTGCGACTTGAAAACATCAAAACCGGAGAGCGTATCATTCTGAACGTGTTCGGGGGCGGAAATATTGAGCAGGATATCGTGTTATCCAGTAAGTCAACTCTTTAAATCGCTGTCAAAATCTTCTGAACCGATATTGATAATATCGCCCATAATGGACACTCTCAGTCCCAGGCACTACCGCGGGCTTAGTGTATAGAAGTCGAGTACCGATTTCTGGCATGAGTTTTCAAAACTTCACCATCAATTGGACACCAGACTTTGTGGTAAGAGCCCGATAGCATTAGTGAGAACTGATCCAATTTTGTCGGATATGAGGTTGCATGAGCATAATAACACGATACACTCTCCGCAACACAGTCCTTCTACGGCAATGGAAACCCCTTCAGTACTTATAATAGGTCGACCGTTCCGTACGGAGCTGTAAGAGTCTCGCTGCCCGCAGGCCAATATCTCTTCGTCACTCACTCATCACGACTCGTTCCTTCGGTTAAAAAGAATTTTAGTTCACCCATGCGGGTCGGAGTTGCTGTGTACTACAATTCCGATAACGGAGGTTCGTCATCGTACCACGGTGCTTCATACTGACAATCTGGTGGATCTTCCATCCTCCACAATGTATTCCCGATACTCACCAGCATTACCATCATTCAGGCAAATTGTCAACCAATGCCAATTATACAATCGTCTCAAACTTGACCATATCTTGCAGCAACATAGTTGAGTCACCCAAATCTGTCACGGTCGCTCCTTCGCCGATCGCCACTTCAATCGTTTCCACACAACCCCAGCCAACAACGACTCCCCCGCCAGTGGTTGACCCTCCTGCCACGAGTCCCGCAGCCATTGCTGTTCCTGTTGTTGTTGTGGTCATCCGTAAGTATGATCCAACACCTTCCCAACTCGCTGCCCTGTCCTCCACCGATCTGTGCCTTCACTGGCTGCATATTGAGTCTGCTCCCACCGCTCACATGTTTCTGCGACTCACTGTGATCCCGAATCGATCTGCCTTGGCCAGTCGTCGCTGCTGGTGTTGGCTTCTACAAGTTCAGAACCCGCCTGGGACTCGACAAGTTTGCTGGCTTGGGCAGACAGAGCGGCTCCGGATCGTCAGAATCAAGATCTGCTCAACCTCGTGCAATCCCACCCATCCAGATGCTTCAGTCCAATCCCTCATCAACAGCGGACCCATTGCAGAACAGTATCCAAGATCGAGAAATGACTCTGCCTGATCGTGATGTCCTCAGTGCATCATCCGATCACTCTGCTACTTACAGAGCAGATCAGCTTAGTCAAGCCGACATTCCTTTGAGTGCACTCGATCCCTCCACCGGCAATCGCCGCGGGTCCATCGCCAAGCTGGGTCTGCCTGATCATTCATTCCACGACTCACAGCCTGATGGCAACGACCACAGTGTGCCGGCATATCCAGAATCTTCACCAAATCTCCTCTCGCGGCGCCATTCAAGCTCAACGCTGCCCCCTCCCTACTACCAGAGCATAACCTATGTGCCTCCACCTGTTCCAGAGATCACTGTCTATGTATCAACCTCGGAGCCAGACTCCAGCGACAATACGAACAACCCGCCCACGACGAATCGCGAGTCCATGCTCTCTGGCACCACCGACTCGGTGCCTCAGAACTGACACATGGATCTCCTTCCTCGAGGGCTTGCAACCTCATCAAGGATGTGACAACATCTACAGCAAGTAGACGTGACAACATCCACAACAAGTACAACACCTTCGCTATGGCCAGCGGCAGCATTTCTGGATCAAATGCTCAAATGCTCGGTTTTATCTATGTATCTTGTCGTGTTTGTTGCTACAACAGTACATTTGATTCAATATGACAGATTATCAGTGCTACAAAGTCTTCATCAAATGAGGGGAGGTGTATGTGCTGCCGATCCAAAGAGCCACATGTCTCCGGAGATCCGCTCGGCCAGACAATAGACTTCTCAGGTGCAGATCCTCAGAGTTCAGCTCTTACTTCACTGCGCTGTCCTCCTGCCTTTTGCTCTCAGGCGGTAAGGCCAGGCACGCTGCGACCGCCGCTCTCGGTCATGCTCTCCAGCCTTTGGACCAGGTCCCACATGATCGAGTCCGAGACCACAGAGTCATTCCTGTACTCCGGATGCTCATGAACGAACTTGCGGATATATCCCGCGGCTGTTGGCTTGATCACTCCACGGCCACATTCGCAGCAGCGCTCGAGCACTCTCGGCACTCACTCCCGGTCCCTGGCGGTGCCAAACCCATTGAGCAGACATCCTACCACACTCTAATCTGCTTGGGTATAGTGTGTTCGATCGGCTCACTTTGCCGCACACGGCATTCCTCATCCATATCCCGATGACTCAGCACTCAGGCGACCAGTCCTTGACCTCGCACTCGGTCTTTTGTTACTCTTTCTTGTTCTCACGGTCGTCTGATCTCCCTCTCTCGCATCAGCAACTGGTGTTGCCGCCGGACCTTCTCTGAATCCATCCATCGATATCCACACTCAACACAGCAAGGGATGAACACACACTCCTCCAGTTCTCACGTCCTTCAGCAAGATCATTCTGCCAAGCCATCGACAGAATCATCCCGCAGATTCCAATTCGCCCCCATCGCCACTGTCCAGCCAGCATCCAAATCATCCGATGAGTCAGCGCTCATTACTGGATTCAAATTTGCTCCCAAGCCCAAACCCAAACCAAACGGCTTCATACCACAGCCAAGCACCACCCGGGACAGGACGGTATCGCAGTCCAAGTCGCCGTTCTTTGAGCCCGCCGGGTTTGCTCTTTCCTCTCTCGATCGGCAGAGCCTTCGTCCCGAGGTGTCTCGATCTGAGGAGTCCCGTTCTGCCAGACCCTCTGGAGACAAGCAACAACCGCCAGCGCCGTCTCCACCAGAGATGCTCCCCAGAACCGGAAACCAATCCCTTCTCTCAATCTTGGCGTCGCCGCAGCCACTCGCCCAACATCCGAGGTCGGGTTCGCCACAAGTCGTCCCTCTGCTCGATCCGGCGGTTGCTCGTGTCTCGGCTTCAAGTGATGCATCGGGCGCCAGTGCTCGATACCCTCCATCGCATGCTGACTCTGAGTCGATGCCGATGGCCAAGAGCAATGCCGACGTAGACAGATGTGGTTACCAGAGGAGGGATGGCGGCCTTGCAAGCTCCACCCTTTGGGATACTCCTGGATGTGATCTCCCCAGAGAGCTGCCATGGATCGACTCGCCCAACTTGGAGGCTTGCCACTCAACTGTACCAAAGAACGACAAATCCGGAGCCTCATCCATCCATCTGGAGCTGCCGCTGAGTCGCCCATCATCCGTCGAGACAGGTTTGTTGGCTATCTGCCAAGCAGCCACTCCGGGGTCGTTGACGTCTTCATTTGATACAGATTCCCGCGATGGTCTTGAGACAATCGCATCATTATTGGAGCGGCTGAGACAGAGGACGACAGCAGAGGACCAACGAGTAGCGCATCTGGTGAGCATGCTGACGGATAATGACAGCCAGACAAATAGCTCCTCCGCAGCGTTTGGGCAGCACTTGTACCCTCGCTGATACTATGTCGCTGTCGAGCCAGTCCAAAGTGATGAGGGCGCAGCAGGACGAGCTTGCCAGGCGGGACAGCGAGATTCAAGAGCTCTCGGCGACCCGACAGGCTGTGGAGAAGATTGTCGACAAGCACGACCAGGATATCCAGGAGCATGATAATCTGTCCGTCTGTGCCGCTGCTCCTCTCGCACTTGTCTTTGACTGACATTGCTGTTCTGGTCGCCACCAGACTCAAGGCGCTCAAAACCGACTGCCTGTTCTACCAGGTCAGGCGAGGGTGTTTGAGATGCAATGTGAGTCGCTACGGAGAGCATGTATTCACGATGCTTCGAGTTTCTCATACAGACATCCATCAATGAGCTGCGCGGGTTGGTCAAGGATGCTCAGACGGACAACGAACATCTGCGAGCCGAATGCGAAGCAATAAGGCAGGGTTGGTACTTGCAGATATCTGTGCCGATTGTAAATCGCTTGCACTCACCCACCTGCTTGCAGAGAACTGCAAGCTAAAGAGCGAAAGCGAAGCCGTCGAGCGTCAAAACGCCGCACTCGTGGATGAAGCTGCTCGCATCAGAGAGCAAGGTATGGCGGCGGTAGCAGCAAAATCCAACTCTCTGATGGATGGGAGAGCCATAGTCGATCATATCCCAACCTGATCTTATCATGTTATGTGACCACTGCACCATCTTCCCAGAGCAAAGGCAGGCCCAAAAGTTGGCAGAGCGTGAGCAGCAACACTCCAACGAGCTTGAGTCTCTGCGGAAGCAACACGCCGGCACAATCGCAGAGCATGAGCTCGATATCCAGAAACGAAGCAGCGAACACGACGTTCGATACCAACGCTCTTTGGATCTGCTTGAGGAGGCTGAGAGGAGTAGAGGCAAGCTTTGGTCGCCGTTTGTGCTCTGGATCGTGGAGGCAGTGCTCTGATGCCATCTGCCCCTGATCAGTTGCCAGCACCAAGAAGGTCGACTCGCTCTTACAAGAAACAGAACGTCTTCGCCAGCGCATCGAGTCTCTCGTTGCAGAATGCAGCCAGATTGAAGGCTTGAGGAATGAGAGGCAGCAGCTTCTTTCAAGCATATCCCAGCTGGAAGCTAGGCATGTGGCTGCTGTTCAGGATACCTGCAAAGCCCGCGAGGATATGCATGCCATGAAGCTGGATATGGAGCGCGATATCGAAGCGACCCGCAAGCGCTTGACTGAGCAACTGGAGAGCTCGACACTGGAAATGCGAAGCCTGAAGGAAGAGAAAGCCGATCTGCTCTCATTGAACACCCGCATTCAGGCCGAGTTGGATGCGGTGACTGACGAGTGAGTCTGTTTGCAGTGACGCAGCCACGGCGGCTCATCTCTGTGGCCCCGTGACGACATGTCAGCATTGGCAATACCATGATGATCAGTTGGTTGACCATATGCGATATCCCACTACTGACAGGCACTTCAGGGCCGTGGAGCGATACAAGAGGCAGAACGAGTCGGATGCACAGAGAATCCAGAGCCTCACCAGTCAATATGCTCAGCTCGAAGATCGCCTGACGGGGCTCAGGGAGGAATCCATCGCAGAGCGCGAGAGGCTTGGTTCTCGAATCGCTGATCTGCAAGAAGAGCTCCACTTACAGTCCTTGGAGCTCAAACGGAGCAAGCACCAACTTGAGCACAGCGAGGAAATGTACCAAGAGACGCTCGGACGCCTGAAGAGCGAGTATGTGCTGCGGGGACATCTTGGCTCTGTCGTTCAATGAAGCCAGCATCACCGCACAGACAGAGGCGCTGCAGGAATCTTCCAAACTGACCCGCACGCTTGTGTACATACAATAACACCGAGCAGACTCAAAGAGGCGAACGCAGTCGCTGCAGCCAGATCCAGCTCCCAGGTGAAGGCCCGTGTACTCCTAGCCGGTGCGCTGTTCGCTGTAGCCACATCTCAAACTTTTGTGGCTCGTACGTTCCCAAAGCACGCTTCTGTCGAAAGCGCTGCTCGAATTCAGTCCCGACTCGAGGCACAGCAAGCTGAAATGACGCAGTTGCATATCCAAGGCATGAAGGTAAGAGTCCGATGGAGCATATGTATCGGACAAACCGAACTGACTGGTTGTCGGTATTCGAGATTCCCTCGCTCCTGCTGGAGATCGAATCTCTCAAAGAGCGTTTGCAGGCATCCGGTAATGTCGCAAGTCACCCTACCAGCACCCAAGACCGACGAGCGCCATCGAACGACGAGGATGCTGCCCTTAGTACTGCGCCACACGGACATGAAGGCAAAGGCGACAGCCTCAATGAGGAGCAGCGGCTGCCCGAGGTAATGTACTCACCACAGATACAGGCAACGAGCATCACATAACTCAAATCAGCTGTGTCTGCGAAGGGCTCGATTCCAGAATCAGTGGTCGGCGCCATCGCCTTGGAAGACCAGGTCAAGCTGCTCATGCGACAGCTCGAGGAAGAGAAGCAACAGGTGTAGAGTCCGGCACCACTTGTAATCACGCTCACCAACCGGGCAAGCCGCTTGATTCATTTTGCTGACGCTGTCCACATCAGAAAGCAACTGCGGTTGAAGAAGAGCGTGCGAAGCTGCTGCAACAGTTCAGAGCGCACTACGAATGCGAGCAGGTGGGCTGACAGCAACGGCGTCGCGAGCAACGATTGCAAATTACACTACCGACACAACAAATGCTTTGATATCCAGATCAAGGCCGGGCGATCGGGCAAATCCTATCCATCACATCAGCCAGATGCAGACGACAGTCAGGACAAAGCCCCGGAAGCCTGTCTGACAGACGCAATCGAGGGGCTGCCAAGACATGTTGCTGAAGGCAGGGAGGCATCGGCGTCCCTTGATGGCGTGCCAGTGAGTTGATCGCGACGGTACTGAGCGTCTGCTTGAATGCAACTATCGATGTGACTGACAGCATGCATTGGGCTATCGGGCTCGAAGCCTCCGCCTGAGCAAGACCGGACAATGAGCCTCACCACACTCGATGAGCCAGGCGAGGTTTCGGCTCAACCCACGAGCGCCATTGAGCCTTTGCCGCTGCAGGCAAGTAGCCACCGATAGGTCCAGCTGGTCCCGAGCCGGATCGCGAAAGATCCTCCAGATCCGAACGACAGCAGTATTAACGGCCAGTAGGGTGTTGCGGTGAGGACTGCTTGCTCAGACGCAGAGCATATCGACGGAGATCAGCCTGTCCAAGGCGCATCCAGTGTGTCAGCTGCGACTACGACCGAATCGGCCGAGCTCCATCCACTCAGCACATTTGCCCAGGGATTTTGGAATGCGGTCGTCAAGGCACAAACGCCGCAGGTTCCGGAGAAACGGGTCCATGCTGTCGATCCGCCCGCCTCCCTGATGCTTGGCCAGAGAGTTGGTGACAACGCCGGCACTCATATCGCCGAGCCACAAGCAAAGAGACACAGGATCGGAAAGGAGCCAGGCAGCCAAGTGCCGGCAGGGGAGGTAAACATTGCCAGTCGACATTGACCACAGAGTGGCAGAGTGGCGGAGCAATGCTGATCCAGTGTGAACGCAATCCTGATACAGGTCAGGGGCAGCACTTCTCGGATAGCAAGACGATCCAGCGCTCGAGGGCTGGACGTGTCCGATCTGAGTGTTTGCTTTTCCTTCAGCGATGATGGCTCTGAGATTACCGATCGAGGACAACCAGACGACGACTATGTCGACGGAGTGGCTGCAAAGCTTGCAAAAGGCACCGCTCGACGACGCAAGCGGGACGCACCGACCGGCAGTAAGCCCCAACCAAAGCGAGGCAGCCGAGCCGTGCGACAGCTGAGCCACAAGGGTATCTGAGATCAATCCTCCCGCCTCATGACCCGAGCACCGGTGGACACTATCGAGCACCAAGGGAGATTGTGCGGCTTTATGGCATGAATGCGCTGCGACAATGTGCAGTTGGGCAAGCAAGCTTGAGAAATACATGCGGTCGCCTCGGTCGACGATTAACGGGGCTCCTGAGCGTCTTTCGCAAGGTTCTCGATCACGATCTCGGCCTTGGTGATGATCGAGGCGTGGGCTACGTTATCGTACAAGTGCAGCTGGGCGTTGCGGATGTGAGCGGCCATGTACTCGGCGTGCTGATACGGAACATTGATGTCGCTGCGGCCATGGTAAATGTGGATGTACGGATGGTCGATCTCGCTCAGGTCGAAGCCCCAGGGCTGGCCGAGTGCAATCAGGTTCTGCGGCAGCGAAGCGTACATTAGTCTATGCCCACAGCTGCGTTCCGAGGCCCCGCCAGTCAGCCAAGCCGGGTTTCATTCCAATGAACACGACCGCACATCGCCAGGCTGCCAGACTTACAGCAGCAACGTTATCGGCAGTCTTGCGGATGTGCACGAGCGACTCTTCCATGCTATTCTGGAAGAGCTCGATGACCTTGGGATCCTGCTCGGCGAGCGCGCGGTCGGGCCCTCGGAAGTGCGATGGCTGGAGCTTGGGGATCTTGCCGTCCTGCATCCGCAGAACCCAGACGTGGAACGAGCGAGGCAGGCCCGTCATCATGAAGCTCATCAGCTTGGAGAACAGCGGACCGGGGGCGTTCCAGACACCGCCCATGGCATGGATCGGGCCGATGGATGCAATCGTGGCGGCCGAGCGAAGGCGACTCTTGGGGAAGAAGCGGGTGCAGGCAAGGGCATACGGGCCACCGCCGCTGGTGCCGGCGACAGAGAACTGGTCGACGCCGAGGTGCTCGAGCAGTTGAGGGACCTCATTCTGGGCAAAGCTGGCGGGGGTGCAAGCCATGTCGATGTCGCTTTGGCCAAAGCCGGGGCGGTCGATGCCGACGACTTGGTAACCGCGGCGGTCCTGGACGCTGTGGAGCAAGAGCTCGACCTGGCGAGAGGGCAGCGGATGATCGGCCGGGAAAGATCAGTCAGAGGCCTCTTATGCCGATCGAGTTGGGCTGGGCTCAACTGGGCTGGGCTGACACAGCAAAGCGATAGGAGCAGGAAATCTCACCTCGAGTCTCGAGCCAGGGAGGCCGTGGAAGTAGATCAATGTCCCCTTGACCGGGCCCTCGGGAGGGGGGTAGATGTGATAAGCGAGCTTTCTCCCGTCCTTGAGGACCAGGAACTCGGGCTCTGGAGGAGGCGTCTTCTGGACCTGGGCGACCGCCGGGGTCTTGGGCTTGAGGAAGTGAACGGAGGCAGCGACGGCAATGAGGGCCACGGCGGCGCCAGCGGCAATCGTCAGGGTGTTTTCTTGGGTGAGCATGGCGATGGAAAAAGGGACTGGTCGGTGGCAGGAGCGGTCTCGGTTCAAGACGAAGCAGACCATCCAAACCGAAACGGGTCGCTCTTCCTTTTTCTTCGGGGTCACGAAGAGCCAGCACGCCGCAGCCCGTGCCAACAATCTGGGCGCCATGGAGATACTATGCCCATGGAGACAATATGCCCTCATGAATACAGAGCGATAATGGAGACAGAACAACAACAGGCTCTATTCGGTCTGCATGGATCGCCGCACCGCCACTTGCCGACCCAGACATACTCTTGGTCGCATCACCGACGCTCAAGAGCACACAGATCCCATTGCGCCAGTGTCTCTACTTTTGCTGGTTGCCCATGAGGCCGGCGCGCTCGACGCCCTGTAGATATATGCGATCAGATTAGCGGCCGGATTATCCCCACTCACAGCGACAGCACCATCGACATCACACCATACCACAGCAGCAAGACACAGCACTCGCAAACGATGATGCTCACCTCCTGTCCCTTCTTTGCCGGCTGGTTCCACGACAAATAGGTGTGGTCGCCGAGCTTCCTGGGCTTGATCATGTGGCGGGCCAGGAAGCCGATGCCAAGGATCCAGCAGACGCATCCGACAAAGATGTAGGCGACGCCGAGGAACGGGTTCTTGCCACCCATGACAGAGACGGTCGAGATGACAATCGACTTGGTGCCGCTGAAGGTGGCGACGTTGTATTCTGTCGAGCGCAATGCCCGTGCAATGATGTGAGTGTTCGCAAACCAAGCCCGAGACCAGGCAATTCGTGTGCATGTGGAAAGACGGCAATGTTGCCATGGCAGCTTGAATCCGCGATTCGCTCCATTTTCGAAAATATGTCGCATTTACCACCGGGCACAAACGCACCGCACTCTCTCCCCCGGCACGAGTACATCCCATCTGCTCACTCACCCATGTCAATCGTGACCTGCCAGATGCCAGGAGGGAGGTCGCTCGAGATGTTCCTTCCCCAGATCTTCCTGAACGTCGGCAGCCCCGCGGTCCTCATCCAGACCTGGAACCGCTCCATCTTGCCGAGATGCGGGAGATTGGTCGAGTTGTATCCGTTGGCCCACTTTGGATATCGCAGCTGCCACATGGGCGGCGGGACGAGCGTGGCATTGATCACGGCATCAGTGGCCGAGGCCCAGGCCGTCAGGCCATACTTTTGGGCGTCGGAGGGCCAAGCGATGCCCTGCTCGGTAAAGCCGTACACGTTCCTGGTGGAATCGAGCACGACGCCGTTGGAACATACTCCGGTGACGTTGACGCAGGTGAGGTTGGAGATGTTGTCTGTCGAGGCAGAGACGGAACGAGCATTGAAGTGTTAGTGGCTCAGGCGGTGCAGTCGATGGGAGTGAATGATTCGACTGCTCTCGATCGCAGCAGACACGGCCGACGAGTGCCAAAGCCAGGGAGTGTCGTAGCCAGGGACGACTGTGGCCAGCACGCACCAGAGAAGAATGAATTGGCGATCAGGCCGCAAGGATAGTACTGGGCACCCGGCGCCCACACCCCCGAGGCGTCGAGGAGGGGAGCACAGTTTGAGCTAAGCTGCGAGACTGTCATCTGGCTCCCCTGCAGTTGGCTGGAGTCAAAGGACTTGACGTATCGGCGGTGGTTCTGGTAAAAGTTGGTGAGGCGATAGTACATGAACACGGGCTGGGAAAAAGTCTGGCTGATCTTGAACTGAATGGTGCACTGGTTGGTGGTGGCGTTGTAGACCCAGGCGATGATGGGGTTGTCGATGGTGTTGAGCGGCGGGCTCAAGGCCACTTGGCTTGCGCCGCCGTTGGCAACGCCTTGATCACAGTTGGTGTAGTCAAAGACGACCTGGTTGACCTGCACGAACGCACCAAAGCGAATAGATCCAAGCGCACACGCGTATGAGAACGAAAGGCGCCGAGTTTGAGGCGTGGGATGCAAGCAGATACGAATGAGAGAGGCCAAATGATGCCAGGCAATTGCACTATAGAGCCTCTCTCTCTCTCTCGGAGCATGATATGCAAAGGGTCGCTTCACGCGGACACAGGTAGCGATGGCGAAGCGACGAACGCGAGACTCTGAAACGTGGCCGGCAGAGAGACGGTAGAATGGTCGCTCACCTGGTCGCTCACGATATAGAGGGCGATGCCGATCGGAATAAAGATTGCACCGATGATGAAGTAGGCTGGAAGCACGGTCTTGGGGGTGAGGATGGGCTGCCATGCCTTCAATCGCTGCTGTTTGAACGCCGTGTCTGGTGGGATGGGATGCAATGACGAGAGCCATCGGCGCTGTTAGTGTCGCCAGAGCCAGAGGGTAATCGTGGTGTGGCTATCGTCGGTTTAGAGTGCCAGGGGCCGAGTTCGAGCCAAAGATGTGCACCGGGATGGTGGTCGCCTGCAGACGAGTAGGCTGAACAGTCGATGCGCACTGGCTACGAATGCGGCCGCGAGAAACAGAAATGCGAGATGCAAGATGCGGGATGCAAGGTGCGAGATGCGAGAAACAGAATGCGAGATGCAAGATGCGGGATGCGGCTCATACTGGCGGGCTTCTTGAGCCTGGGTCGCTCCTCGGGCATGATGTCGCGTGCTGGATGGGATGATGGATGTGCGGGATTGTCGACGAGCAGAGGACAGCTGCGGTGTGCTGATGTCTGGACCAAACCGATGCCGAGGCAGATGGGAATGCGGTGCTGCCGCAGAGGAAGGGGACTGCGATCGATTGCGCCGGACCTTGGTCGCTCGCTCCCACTCCCACGACTGGTGTCTTTCCCGCTCTTTTTCCCCTGTGCTCGTCTGTGGGCGGGAACGCCGTGGCTGATCAAGACGATGGCCCATCGGCCGAGCCAACTCACATACAAACGGACGGCGACCAACCTGCATCGCTTGCTGCAAGACAAAGAAAAGAAAGCGTCTATTCACCGTGCCGCGTTCGCCATCACAGAGGGAAGGCCAAATCCAAGATGCAGGCGATCGGGGCGGCGAGATCATCACAGCACCGTCACGATGCGATGAACATGAATAAAATACACAAGCTACGTATGGAATACATATGTGCCATGGGCCTGAAGGCATGGCAGAGTCGGTGGTAAGGAGGCCAATGGAGACGTGCGCAACAAGCGCCGGTGGTGGTGGTGCTGGCACGGCCTGACTATTGGCCGCCGCTTCGCTGCATAAGCTGTTCCTGCTGCACCCAGCCGAGCTTGGAGTGGTCGCCAGGAGACCTGCGATGCAGAGTGCAGTTGTGAGAGGGCAGTTACGCACAAGAGGGCATTATCCAACGGCATCGCTGGTGGCTCACAGTACGAGGGTACGGCAACCGAGAGATCAGAAAAGTGAGACAACTTACCAAGGCTTGACCATGTTGGCAATGACGAGCCCCATGCTGATGAGGATGCAGAGACTGCCGACGCCAATGTAGGCCAGTCCCAGGAAGGGGTTCTTGCCACCAATGAAGGAGACGGTCGAGAGGACGACAGACCGGGTGCCGCTGTAGAGCTCGGTGTCGTAGTCTGAAGCGGAGAAATGGTGGTCAGGATCCGGCAGAGAGATCACAGCCGCGAGTGCATGGCGATGGGCAGGACACCCTGCGCATAAGCTGTCGCTGTACTGGACTTACTCATGACAACGTCGATGGACCAGGTGCCGGGGTAGAGCTGCATGCCATCGTTTCGGCCGTAGAGCTTCTTGAAATTGGGCAGGGCGGCGACACGCATCCAGACCTGGAAGTGCTCGTCCGTGCTGATGTCCGGGAAGTTGTTCTTGTTGTAGCCGTTTTTGTAGGCCGGGAGCTGCTGCCAGAGCGGGGGAGGAATCAGTCGCTTGTTGAGGGTGGTGTTGTCCCAGCTGTTGACAAAGCTGGGATAGCCGTAGAGGACGGGGTCGGCCGAGGGCCAGTTGATGTTCTTGACGTTCCACCAGTAGACGACCTCGGTGGTGTTGTTGGGGCTGCAAGGAGGCGCGCCAGAGTTGCCGGGAATGCCGTCGGACTGGTAGCATGTCAGGTTGCTGAAGGTGTCTATCGATCGAGAAGCACCGATGCTTGGTCAATAGATCAATGGGTGGATGAATCGGAGCCGCCGAGCGATCGATCGTACACATAGATGATGGCGGGGCCGTCATACATCTGTTGCCGCACCACGACGCATGCCGTATTTACCCGTGAACATCGAGTTGGCAACGAGGCCGCAAGGGTAGTATGTGCTGTTGTAGGCCTGCAGATCGTCGGGTGTCAGCCAGGTATTGGCGGGGCCGCCGTAGCCAGGGAAGGTGCGGTTCAGATCCGACAAGGTGACTCGGCCCAGGGTCGTCAACGAGTCGCAGCTGCCCTGCTTTCCAAGCAACTGCTGCTTGTCGATCGACTTGACGTAGAATCGGTGGTTCTGATAAAAGTTTCCGAGCCGGTAGTACAGGAAGACCGGCTGGGGCATGGTCTGGCCGATGTTGAAGAGAATGGTGCAGGTCTTGGACGACGGGTTGTACTTCCATTGGCTCACGACGCCGCCTTGAGTGTTGGACGGGGCCGTGAAGCTGGTCGATGCCTGATTGCAGTTGCTGTAGTCAAAGCTGACCTCGACGACCTGCGCATTGAGGTGGAGAGAGTGCGTCAGGACAACCGCCAAGGTCATTCGGGTGTGCTGCGAGTAGGGTCTGGATGCGAAAGTGAAGATTGGGGGCGAATGGTATATGGAGAGCGCAGCGATGGGGGGGGGTTCTTGGCATACCTTCTCAGATGCGATATAGAGGCCGATGCCCAAGGGGATCAGGATAGCGCCAACAGCCAGCAGAATCGAGATGGCATATTTGGGCGTGAGGATGGGGTTGGATGACTTGAGTCGCTGTTGCGAAAAGGCCGTGTCTGCAGAGTAAGATGAGAACAGCAGGTGGACAACCACAAGAGTCAGCGGTGGATGTGAGCGATGATGCCAGCCACTGCCAAGGAGAGGCAGCCACAGCCGAGAGGACGGAAACGAGGAGCGCAGGCCAGGAAGCAAGGGAGGGGAGAGCGGGTCGGCCTGGAGGTGTGCCGGTGACTGGCGAGTATCGAGGTGGGCGGGTTGCTGAGGGAAAGGATCAGACGAGTCGAGAGGTCGGTGGCCAGGGTGCCAGCAAGAGGCGAGTTGGGAAGCAACGTACTGGCCGGCTTCTTGAGGAGAGATCGGTTCATGGGAGACGGCGGCCGCTGAGCGGAGGTTTGCAAGGAGCAGACCACAAAAGGGATGGGGTATGAGTGTGGAGTAGGAGAGAGGGAAGGATGACGTGGAGGATGGAGATGGAGATGGAGATGAAGATGGAGATGGAGATGGAGAAGGCCAGCCAAAGAGGCGGGGCAATGCGGACGGGCGATTCCGGGACGGCTCGGACAAAGGAGCGGCGGCGGCCAATGCGCGCAGGGGTGGCGGTGCGCGTGTATGTCCAACTTTGTTTGTGCTGCGCTCGCCACTGACACTGTGCGATATGGGGTGGACGGTTGATGTTGTGGATGGCGGATGGTGGATGGTGGATGGTGTGGGTGATGTGGTCGCAGACATGGGCAGCACGATGTGGCCGATGCAACTGATGTGCGATAGCATCTCGGAGATCATCTTGCAAGCCGGCCAGACCAACAACATCGCCATGTTTGTCTTGGCGCGACAGAGCATTGTCGGTGTGGCGAGAACGAAGCCGTGCAGCACTCATGTGTCTTTCGCATCGACTACTGCTCACGGCGCTTGGCGAATTAGAGTTCCCATGGACTCGATAAGTGTCCAATACCTTGCTCTCACGAGACGTTCTCAAAGGCAGCCACAATGCCAGTCTGCTTGGCACGCTGTTTGGCTGTGATGGATGCGTGTGTACTCATAATCCAAAAGTCATCATCTGCTCCAAGAACAAGTGTCCTGGGTGTGCAGTATATCTCATCAACGAGAGCATTCCTGCTGCTACATCTGGACGCTCCAGAACCGTTGGCACCTCCGACAAGGCCGTCCATGACGTGCTGCATGGGGATGGCTGCAATGTACTCTCTCAATAGTCCCGATCATCGTGGCGGGCGAGGGCAATGGCGGTCCTTCAGGGTGGCCATGAACGAATCGTATCCACCAACGAACCTGGGAGGAGGCAAGTACACCACCGCATCAGATGTGCTCCAGAGACATGCCCGCGATGCCCGATCTGTATCCTGCGCAAGTGATGCAACTGCAGTGCGGGAGCCGATGCTTACTTTCGTTCAGACTCCTTGCAGCCCTCGAAGATAAAAGGCGAGGTTTTGTGGGTCTGCGCTTCGGGAGAGTTTGCGAATTCCTGGAGAGGCAGAGGCAGGGTCTCAGTATGGCGATGCCTCGAGCGGCAGCGAGCCGGGGACGCTCAGTCAAGTCGTTCCCGTTGTGGCTGCAGTATCGACCATGGCCGATGCCCGAGTGCAGCATTAGACTCCCAGACCCGATGGATTGATGGATTGGTGGATCGACAGATCGATCGCAGCATCCATGACAGGATAGAGTCTGGACCATTTTCTGCAGCGGTACCACCGGCGATACACCGGCGATTCCACCAGTGATTCCGCCAGTGATGCCACACTCATGCAGCAGCGGCTACCTGACGAAGTTGCTCCAGGCGTTCCTGCCACTGGGGCTTTTCGAAGGCGTTGGACGAGATCTGCACGGTCGTGGTTTCGTCTCGGGCCTTGACCGACTCGGCGATCGCAATGGCGTTTTGCATGTACTTGCAGTTCAAGAAGCCTTCCTGCATATGTGCGCATGGGCCGGCGAGAGTGCGTTGGCAAAGGTGATCGCAGAGCGCACAATAGTGCCCGGCAAGCGGCCGTCGGTGCTTCGTCGAGGGATCGCTATGATATCCCGACTAGTGCCGACTCGGGCCGCGGTGCATGGTCAACTTACGATGTGGTAGCAAACCACGGGCTTCTCTTCCTTCTTCCAAAGCCAGCTGAGACTCATTGCGGCAGTGATGAATAGGGGCTGGGGGCTGCGATCGAAGCACTGCGAACCGAGAACTGCGAACGAAGAGCCGTGAACGGGGTGTGGTGACAGCGGACAAAAGCGCAGACCAGCGGAGCCGGAATGGCTCGATCCGGTTTCGTTGGATGCACCGGCACGAATGTCGCAACCCAGGCTGTTGTGTGATCAAGATCCATGCGATCTTTGCTGTTGTGGGATCAAGATCATCCATGCGATCGAGCCCCTCCTGAGCGAGTCGACACCCAACGCCGTATCCAGCACCACATCCAACGGCAGCCGCACATGGCCGACTCGCAGCCAAACGGCCCCGCCATCCGGGCGCTCGAGTTCTTCTCGGGCATTGGAGGCATGGTGTGTGTCCGAGGCATCGCCATCGACACATCGGCAGCACCGTCCCAGCCGAGCAGCTTCTCAGAGTGGCAATCTCCCGTGCAGGCATGTTGCTCACCTTTCGCTCGCTCTCTTCATCGGCTCACATACACCGCAATCGCAGCACTACGGTCTAGAGTGGGCCGGAGTCGACGCCGAGGTCCTCGCCTCGTTTGATATCAACCACATTGCCAACGAATGGTCAGTCCGTCTGCATGCCTTTGCTTCAGCCCCAAGCTTGGAACTATCCATCGAGACGGACAGCAATCTGTTCCTGACTCTGATTGTCGGCCCGATGCTTCTACATCCACAGCTATCAACACAACTTTGGGATCGCTCCGATACAGGTGGGCATCCTATCCATCTCCTTGCGTTTCGCATCCTCTGATTGTGCGGCAAAGCATTGGCACTCATGTCCTGAGATCTCCAACAATGCCCTCTGTCCTGTACCCAGACAGCAATCCAAGCATTTACTGCGTCGTATGTGGAGTCATTTGGAGCGAATTGTTGGCTGATGTCGCCGCCGTGCCAGCCATACACCAAGGGCAAGTCTCTGACTGCTCCCAGCACGGATGAGACGCAAAACGAATGCTTCTATCTTGGCCATCGGTGCCTGCTCATCGTAGCCTGCTCATCGTAGCCTCCTCACCGTCGCCTGCTCACCGTCGCTTGATCTGCTCCCAGGTGGAAAGCGCCTGGATGACCAAGATCCAAGAGCGCTGGGACTCTTGCGGCTCACCCAAATCCTTCACAAGCTCAAGAGCCCCCCGAACTGGATCTTTCTCGAGAACGTTTTGCTCTTTGAGGTTTGCAACCATCCCCGGAACAACCAGTCACAGTGCAATGGATACTGCACTCGATGCAAACCATCCAAAGTTGAGGAAGGAAGCGGGCGGATTGCACTGCAGTTGCTGATCAATCTGCTCGCTCACAGGAATCGCGATCGAGAGATCTCCTGGTGTCGACGTTGAGATCGCTGAACTATGAGATCCTGGAGTGGCTGCTGACGCCGCTGCAGTTTGGAGTCCCAAACGATCGGAAGCGATTCTACATGACCGCGCGGCGACTTGGAACCGACCTTGCCGATGCCGATGGTGCTGGGCGGCCAGAGTACACTGGCAGAGTCCATCGAGACTGGCCCTTCGAGGTCGTCTTCCCCCGCCGGCCAATCGGAAGCTTCCTATCGGTGCTGTCGGCCGAGGAGCAGCAGACCTGGACCATCCCGGAGGTGTTTGTCAAAAAGAGGCAGTACTTTAGCGACCGCGGTAAGACTCACCCTTCCCTCAAGCTGAAGGAAACACAGATCATCAGTTCCCTTCCCACGGGCCCATCCATGCGAGTCGATGTTCGCGGTTGTCACAGATTGCAGCCAGTGCAAGTTGACTGAGAGAACAAGGTCTCTGACGATGCCTAATCCCTTCTGTCACAGTGGTTGCGACGCCGGACGAATACGAGACAATGTGCTTCACCAAGGCATACGGCCATCACGGCGTCGGGGCAGGCACATTTCTGCAAACCAAGGGATTTGATGTAAGTTTTGTCCTGTCGAGCCAGGGCATGCAGTTGTGCAAGCCGTCAACGGAGCCACTGGATCAATTCTTGAGTCGAGCAAGCCTCAGGGCAGCATCTTGTGCCATGGTCCCACAGCTCTGGTGGCATGCTTTTGCTTTGCTGATGATACGGCCTATGGGTTTGTGCACTCGCTGAGCTCTGTTTGCTGATCGTCGAGTCTTCTCGGCTACCCAGGATCCAAAGAGACTCGAAGAGCCATCGACGGCGATCGAGCGGCTGGGGCTGCGACTGTTCACGCCGCTTGAGTAAGTCACCCCGGCAAGCTCATCACCAAGCTGCTCCGTTTTGCTCTGGGGTGTTGCCTTTGGCCTTTGCGAATCGAGACTGCTTTCCTGCATTCTTCTCGTCGTCTCTGATGCGGCTCTGCTTCTTCGCTTCGCTGGGCCGGCCCTCTCTGCACACTTCCCAGGATTGCTCGGCTGCATGCGTTTCCGATCGACAGCTTGGCTCCGCAGCCGCCGCAGTCCCTCGATGCTGCTGCTGCTGCTGTTGCTGCTGCTGCTGCTGCTGCCGCAACTGGAGGCGCAAAGCGACACTCGTTCGAGTTCCCGGCAACCCTCTCCACCATCCAGCGCTTCCGGCTGCTCGGCAACAGCATGAATGTCCTGGTTGTTGGCGAGCTGATGCGCAACGTCTTGTTTGCCGATCGGCAACATTGGGACTTTTGGACGAACAGCCCCAACAGCAGCGCAGGCAGGAGCGAGCCCGATGGCGCTCACAGCAGGGAGTGAGCCGATAGAACGCAGCACCCTGAATCGTGATCGTCATTCTCCCTTTCTGAGCCGATGCATCAAGCACACCAATAGACATTTTCAACGACTGCCAGGGACTCTGCCAGGAATCCGCCTGGGTTTGGCCCACGAACGAAAGCACATGGCCATGATGTTCAGTCGGTCTGTATTGGATATGGTGGGGGCTGATGTCTGTGCGTGTGCATGTGCTTGCATGCTGGAAGGAGTGCGGTTTTGGTTCAAAGAAGAGATGGACAAATAGGGTGGAGTTAAACCAAGATAGAGGCACTGGGATAGAACAATACCGAGATTGAAACGCGCATTGCGGTTGGCAGGGACGGGAGGAAAGCTGTTAGAAAAAGCAACGGCAAAAGACCGTGGGCAGGCAGAACGAAATGGCAAAAACAACGAGAGCGACAAATGACGGCCGATAAGCCAAGAGGATAAGGACGATAGTGACTACGAGGGAGGATTGCTGGCAACTCTAGTGTTGCTGCATCCTGTCCCACCAGAACCAAAGAGACAGCGGAGCGAGGAGGGAGGCACGCATCTCCTTCCAGGAACGTCGCATAATCGCTGCACCAACACCAGAAAACGGACTGAGGAGAGCGGCTCGGCTTAGACAAAGTCTCCGGCGGGCTTTTCATTGATGGGGAAGTCGATGGCGAGCTCGCGTCGGTAGTCGCCCTGGAGGGTTTCCTCGAGGCTTTGCTCGTCGGCGTCTTCAGTCTGCTCCTCAATGTTGGAGTCGGCCAGGGACCAGTTGCCCCAGATGTCGATGGCGCTGGGAGGCACCTGGTACTCCTCGTGGCTGATGATAACCTTGACGGGCTTGGACTCGACCGTGATGCTGCCGTCCTCGCCGATCGACTGGTTCTTGCGCTCACGGACGATAAAGTAATAGTCCGTGTTGCTCTGGTCGATGACGCCGCCAGGGCGAGGGACCGGCACGCAGGTTCCAAGCCGGGCCTTGGGCTTGATGCCGAGAGCGTGCTGGAGGAACGTGTAGAAGCTGAAGCGGGCCGACTTTGCGCCTTCGGTGCTGATGCTGAGCAGACGGCTGTCCTGCTGCAGAACAAGGCTGCGGGAAGAGTGATGGTAGTGGGGCGATCGGTTAGGGAAATCCACCATTAGCGACCGGCCCGGGTTTGGAGAAGGGTGCAGCGAGTAACACACACGCGCCAGGGATTCGAACACACAAGCGCCAGCAAATCGAACACTGCCTGTCGAGAGAGCGGTAAGGCTGTGCAGATGCGGCAGGCTGCCAGCGCATAGGTCGGCTACTTACTTGGCCCACTGCAAGTGCCACTGAATCTCGGAATCTTCGTAGATCTGCGAGAAGCTGTTGTTCAACATGGCAATCAGGACGTTCAGGAGCAGGATGGCTGTGGGCAGAAAGCGGGAACAGGAGCCGGTTTCCAGAAGCAGAGACATTGAGTCAGTATGCGGCTCCGTCCGTAGATCCCCATCCCACAGAAGACGCATTCGCAAAGCAGAGGGGCTGATGCTGACCAGTGAGGGTTTGGTACACAAAGTACACAAACAGCGAGTATGTGCGGTTCTCGATGGTTTGGAAGTCTGCGGCAGGCGAGCCCTGTCCAAAGAGGTAGCTGAGAATCGCCAGGGTTAGTCCAGAACACGCAGCCAAGCAAACACCAAAAAGCTGACATCGGTGGCACTTCCATAGCGAGAGAGCTCAAGGGATTTCAAGCACGAACACGGCAAACGCAAACAGCCAAGGCATCACCCAAACAAGCGCCCCACATCCCAAGCGAGACTCACCCAAAGATGGTCATGAGCGAGATGCCGTAGTCGGAGGATCCCCACGATGTGGTCGCCAGGGTGCCATCCGCAGCCTTGAACTGCAGGAAAAAGATGTTGGCAAAGGCCATGAAGATGACGGCGTAGATCGTGACCCAGTTGACCAGGTCGGTGGTGAGGCATCGCCAGAAGATGACGACGAGCGTTCCGAGCTTGGAGAAGCCCTTGCTGAAGAACAGAATAGAGATCCAGGCCGAGAAGGCGAGCAGGCCGGCGCCAATGGTGTCGATCTGACGATCCAAATCGGGACTTCCGACAGTGATGGGGCGGAGAACAGTGATCAAGGTGACGAAGAATATGATGATCCAGGACATGATATTTTCTTCCCAGCCGTTTCCAGCCCAGTACTCCTGCAAACCAGAGCGAGGCGGGTGGGGATGGAATGCGTGAGTGCCATGTGTGCAAACTGCACGTCGTGGGGGCGCGACAGAAAGGCGGTATCATCGTGGCAACGGTCACGCAGATAACACCGTCGATGATCGCGGGAACGGCAGCTTTGGACTTCAGGGATACTCGAGCCGAGGAGAAAGATAGTCCCACACCGTTCCGGACAAACCTACCTTTGTTCCTTCGGCAAACCATTCAAGAATCTCGCGGACCAGAATGAGGAAAGTGCTGAAGATCACCAGACACTCAAACACCAGGCGAGTGACAGAAATGGCGCTGGTAAAGTCGTAGTTGCTCCAGTCGGCGTGCTGGGTGGGGAGCAGAGCCAGCGAGACCGACAGACAGACGACCATGAACATATGCAGGATCATGTCCGCCAAGAAGAGGCGCTTGGCGAACTGTTCCCACTTGACACGCAACACCAGGCTCATCATGGGGTGCATCAGCAGCTGGGCATCGTTGTTGCGCACGGCAATCTCGAGGGCCGAGATCGTCTCCTGCTCAGACGGGCTGGCGTTGGGGTCGCGCCAAGTATCGATTTCCGAGACGGGGAACATGTACGAACTGCACATGCCGAACTGGGGAGACAATCGATCGATCAAGCGCAATCATGTCAGCACGCGGGTTTCATCGGGCTCACGAGACACGAAATCGCAGGGAATGAGGGCCAGGGTCTGCCAAGAGACTGGAAATGCATGGAGATGTTTACCTCCCAGAGCGGAATCTTGGCGACCTCGAGAGCCTCTCTGTGGCCGCGATCGATGCCAACAAGGAAGGGAGTCAGCCCCTCGTTGTTGCGGATCTTGAGGGGGTGCTTAGTGTGCTCGACATTCTCGTTGCAGAAGTGTGAGATGGCGTGCCAGCAGCTCTCGGTCTTGCTCTTGGAGTCACTGTACAGGCCCCAGTAAGCAAGGACCTGAATACGAGCTTGTTAGCCAGATGCATCGGCAGCGAATGCCATCCGCGGTGCTGGGTGTACAGGGCAAGACAGAGCAGAGCTGCAATCGATTCATGGGATAGCCACGACTGCCAGTGACATTTGATCCATTCCCATCGCACATCGGGATACATACGTGCAGAACGGTGTTGCCTATGATGGGTTGGAGGCGTTGAGGAAACGCAGTGACTGAAGATCAGCATACAAACGCACAACGAGTCCCCTCGAGGTTGGGAGAGCACACACACATACCCAGCTGTTTGTCCTGTCTGCAGGGATCGGCACGCTGGCCCTCGGGAAGCGAGAGAAGGTACTTGACAATCTCGGTATGGCCCGAGACGGCAGCAAACGACCTGGGAGAGAGAGCGATCGACGGCGGAGGACGTGAGAATGCGAGCGCGAGCCAAAGACAATGTAGCGTCACACTGGTGGCAAAATGAACGCTCGATTGCAATTCCGCTGGCCCAGCGACATGCTGACTTACAGAACAGTGCCACTAAATCGGCGGGACGTTATCGAGAAGGTGCAAGCAGAGATATCGAGTGGTTCACAAGTCAGTATGTCGGTCTCGCTCATGTCGATCAGGACGGCGTGGTCTGCGTGATATCGCAGGGGGTTACAGCCAGGTGGCGACACGGATTGACACAAAAGAAAAGAGAATCGAGTGCCACCATTCCATTCCATTCCATTCTCTGCTGCTCCTACAGCGAACACGGCCCAACGCATGCCCTCGTCAGACAAGAGCGACGAGCGACTTACCCGTAGTACATAAAGCCGGTCTTGCCGGTGTCCTTCTTGCGGTTGTTGTCGGTGTCGGCGCGGAACTCGTAGCCCGTTGCTTCGCTGTGGTTGACGCAGGCGCCATTCTCGACAAGAAGCTTGGTCATATGCAGGTCGTTCTTGACCACCGCCAGATGGAGCGCGGTCTCGCCATAGTACCGCTTCTTGTTGTAGTAAGCGTTCACGAGCTGATTTTTGAAGCGGTGGACGAGGTAGCGGGCAACGTCGCGGTGACGGTTGGGATGGTCGTGTTCGTGCTGGTTGATGTTATCGAATGGGATGTCGGGGTGGTCGGTGTGGTGGCCCTTATCATCGCCGATGAAGAGGACGGCGGTGTGGAGGAGGGTCTCGCCCTCGGGACCACGCCAGCGCTTGGCAACGTTGGTTTCGTCCACACCAAACATGGCGAGGGCCTTGTGAAGCCCAAAGAGGTTGCCGCTGCGAACGGCGATCCAGAGAGGGTGGGTGCCATAGGTCTGACTCTGCTCGAAGGCTGCGAGTCGGCGACGATTAAATACAGCCAGTTAATGGTTGTGAGCGACAGGGTCGGCGGAGCGCAGAGCAAGCCGGTGGCGAAGCCTTGCCAGGGGATACAAGCGCATGGAGTTGGCGAGCATGGGGCAACGCATATGGATGGGGAGATGAATCTGCCGTGAGCAGGTATCTACTATGGGGAAAGGGGGGGGTCTGCGTTGGTTGTTTTGAGGGGACGAGGATTGCAGGGACGAGTTGGACGGACAGGCGGGGAAGCAGGTTGTTGCGCTGCGTACGCACCAAGAGTATCCTCGTGCTTTGGACGAGGGGTGGTGGTCCTCGGCGCTGCAGGCATGGGAGGCGGCGACGACAGACAGCAGGAGAGTTGGTGCTTGAGGGGTGCTGGGCTGCAAGGCACACGGAAGAAGGATGGCAGCCAAACCGAATGGAAGGAAAACGACGAGCCGGAGCAGATTCGGAGGAAAGGGCTATTTGAGGGCGACCGACGGATATCCCGGAGGTGGAGGCGCCAGCGAACCGAAGGGGACACCCGAAGGCGGTGCAGCAGGGACAGCCGGTGCAGCACAGAGACAGTGGGGACAGCTGTTGCCGAGTGGCGCGCACAGGATGGAGTGCACGCGCACGCACGCGTCCCATATCAAGGTGCTCGTACAGCGGCCGCGTCACACGGACACCACAAAAATGCAAACACACAGCAGAAGGGGAGCCGAGCCGCTCAGCCGGGCTGGTGATTGGCTGCGCAGAACGCGAGGCCGCGGTGGTTGGCACAGGACCGCCAGCAAGGCGCCGGAGAGGTGCAAAGCCGTGCCGCTCGTCATACAAACAGCCTGGGCGGCGGCAAGGGAGGGGCAGCGCGCCAGCGAAGAACGACGGGTTGTTTGTGCACCACGCCCAGAACAAGAAGGGACCGCGTTTCTGGGTCGATCATGACCAACAGCGCGTCCAGGGCGACAGGCAATGTGATCGCAGCAGGGACATGTGGCAGAAGAATGAATCGGAGGAGAATGCATCGTGCCCACCGAGATCCGCCTGGCTTCCTGGTCGGCAGGCTCCGCGGACATTCTTGGCGATAACATGGCGTCGCCTCGCCAGCACCTCTTTGGAACCTATTCCACTCTTGGAATGTATTCAACGAATACATTACGACGGCCCGACTTGCTTTGACGCCATTCCCCGCTCGCTGGGGCGGCGGCTGCGGGTGAGCTTCTTGAGCACCCGTTTGGCATTCTCATGCCCTTGCTCTGCTGCTGATGAATAGTATAAAATAGCAAGATTCGAATTTTTGTGAAAACGATCGTTGTAGTAGCCCCCAAGCGCATGCTGTGCGTATTGGTTGTGCTGATCTGCGGACTTGTGAAGCCAATCGAGCGCCTTGACGGGATCTCGTTCGGCACCATGGCCATGGAGGCAGCACTCGCCAACCATCCACTGCCCATACGAGTTGCCGAGTTCAGCCGCCTTGGTGAACCAATGCAGCGACATCTCCTTGCAAACATCACCTACACCCCAGCCATTCTGAAAGCACCTTCCAAGCCAGACCATCGCTTCGCTATACATCCCCGTGTCGGCGAGTTGTTCGAACACCCGCTTGGTGTCCTTACTTCGATCGGGAAGCGTTCCAAATCCTTGGATTTGACAGACCGCCATGAGATGTGCGCATAGCCAATCGTGCTCCGCACCGAGTTTGCACATTTCAAAAAACTTGCGAGATGCATAATAGTCGGAGAACATACAATTGCGTCCAGCAAGACATTCATCTTCGCCGAGCGGGAAGAACTGCGACCTATTCTCTCGGATGATCTTGATGCCCTTCTGCTTGTCCTGTTGGGTGCCCCGGCCGAGGTAGTGCATCCATCCGACCATGTGGGTGGCGATGGACTTGAGGTCCCGGTTCGTGGAATGGGTACTGATCTCCTGCCAGTGAGCGAGGGCAACTTCGTCGCTCTGTTCGACGCCGTGACCGATGAACGAGAACCAAGCGTGCAAGAACACAAGATGCAGACGGCCATCTTCGCTGCCCTGGTCTGCGGCCTTCGAATACCACTCTATTGCTTTGCTGTAGTCCTGTCCGACACCATCACCGTTCTCGTAACATTGGCCGAGGACCATTTGAGCCTGGGCAAGTCCATGTTCCGCCACCTTCTTGTGGAGCTCCATAATCTTGGAGGGATATGGTTCGTCAAAGTCGTCGAGGTCGAACCGATGTTGAAGGTCCTGAGCCAGACGAAACTGCACAATCAAACTGCATCGTTCAAAAGCTGCATCGAACAGCGCCATTTTGTGGCTATCGGGTCGATCGTAACGTAGCATCTCGAAGAGTTCGGGCTGGATGATTTGAACGAGCATATACGACGCGGCAGCATTGCCCATATCGGCTTGATCTTCGAGCCAGGATCGGTCGGCTGTGCTTTGACCCCTGCAATGCAGCGAGAGGGCGATCTGGTCGCTGGGTGTGAGGCCAATCCGCATCTGTCCGTCTGGATGACACAGTCCTGCATTCTGGCACCATTTATTGAAGCGAGACACCTTGGAGCTCAGGAGAGGACGGACTCGTTTGCACACTCGAAGGAGGGTCTTGATTGTGTTCAAGTCGAGTGCCAGCTGGAAGCTGTCGTTGCAACAGATGATGGTGAAGATGTCTGGGTTGTGTTGGAGTGAGTGCTGGTTGATATCGGGCATCGACGAGGTTGCTCTGGCTTCAGCTTGAGCTTGGTGAGTGGGAGATGATGCGGTGGTTGAAGCAGACTCGATCATGCTGGCCATGTTGAATGTGGGATGGAGGCAAGTGGGTGATGGAGATGGACAGGAGACAGCGAGGGAATTTGTGGCAAAGCAAGCCAAACACTGGCAAGCCATACACTGGCCATTGAACACACACACAGGCCTGGCTCGATCCGATGGTTTGATGGCTGTAATCGATGTTCTTTGCACTGCCACAGGCACCGCCACATTCATCGAATGTGGAATCAATCATGAAATCGAAGCTGACAGTTTGTCATCCAAGGCAAGGTGCATCTCACCCATGACGCTCTCATCTTGACCATGTGCGCTGTGCCCTTCTCTCATCCAGACTGTGCGGCTCATATTCCAGACCATTGATCCCGATGTATCGATGTGTTCCAACATTATGTCCCATTCCCCATGTCGGGTACCTTGACATATCACATCTCACTACATCCACTTTGATACGGCTCTCATTTGATCTCGATTCTGCGGGACCCTCATCGAGCGAGAGCGCACACCGAGATATCAACACACTTCGCCGCGTGCCTCACTGCCAATGATGGTGGCCAAGGCCCAGAAGAGTAAAATACATGCTAATTCACCTGTTGAATCACAAGGAGTCGCTCGAGTCGATGATCCCGGCCCATGTGTTGATCTCCCTTCCATCTGTCCCGTTCGATCAGGTCCCAGAGAAGATCTTCTGGACGATCCAAAGCCTCAAACCATCGAGAAGTTGTTTCAACTTCTGGGACCTATCAAGATCGCACCGGATATCGCCATCAACGATCTCCACGAGCAATGTACCATCATATTCATCACACAGGCTCGGGGATGACCAGATCAAAGCCATGTTCGATCGGGTGTCCATCCAAATAGTCAGCAAGGGTAGATGATCCAAGCCAACATGGCTCCAGAAAGGACTGATCCAAGGATCGGTGCTGAGCCCACTCTTGTTCAGCACCTTCATTGACGATCTGCCAGGACGCCTCCGAGACATGGGAGGCACTCCCTCCAGGGATGCAACGGGGCCACCAGCAAAATGAACTCACTGTGGTTCGCCGACAACAGTGTCCTGATCTGCAAATCCGGACAAACACAAAGGCTCCTCAACCTGTGTGATGCCCACAGCCGGAGAAACCGATACAGATTCTCAACTGCAGACTGCCCACGATGTGGAGACTGGATGGATGGATGGCAAGCCGGCGATATTCCTGGGTGGGACATCCGAAACACTCGATGTTCTCCATGAATGAGCGAGATACCGGGGACCTCGGGGTCATGATGACTAGTGCGTCGCCGCAGAAGCGATTGCATTATGATGGAAGAGAGATCTGTCTCAGAATGTACTCCTAGCACAGGGCCAACGTTTGTCGATCTCCAACCGTGCTTTTGAAGAACCCTCATGGCTCTTGGCTGATGGTGGACTAGTCCAACGAGCCAGGGACGCCGCCAGCAGCAACTTGCCACTTGTTGTGGACAGGCCGCTGCGGCTGTGTGCAGCGAGACTAATGTACAAAAATGGGGAAGGGTGAAGAAGCCGGCCGCAACCAAACAGAGTCGGGCGAGCTCAGTTCAGTTCAGTCTCGTGCTGGAGTGCCTAATAACGCCGGGCAAAGCAGAAGGTCTTGTGGTCGTCGACGGCCTTGACACACTGGTCGGCGGAGTGGTCGACGGCGTTCATGCAGGCGACGGCATGATCGGAGCCACCATCCTGGCAGAACAGCTTCTTGAGCTCAGCACGGAGGTAGGTACACTCGGTATAGGTGGAGACGGCTGAGACAGGTCGGATGAAGATATCGGTGAGCAAGCTGGGTCAGAGAAGCAGCCGAATATGCAAGCCAGAAAGGGATGTGGCTCGGCCAACCTTCGGTGATACTTACGGAATGTTGTTCCCACAGCTATCGTCAGAGGTCGAGCCCTCGACGGCAGCAGAGGACTTCCAGGAAGGCTTGGCGCACTTGCCCTTGGAGCAAACAAGATCGTCGGAGCAGTCGTGCTCGCTGCTGCAAGAAGTACCCTCGCAGTGGCCCTTCCAGGAGCAGTAGTCATCCTTCTTGGCACACTTGCCCTTGGAGCAAATCAGCTCACCAGAGCAGTCGTTGTAGTTGTTGCACGAGGCACCCTCGCAGTGGCCAGGCCAGGCACAGCTGGAGCCGTGCGAATCAAGCTGGGAAAGATCAAAGAAGGGGGCAGCGCGAGCAACAGCGAGGAAGGCAGCGGCCGAGACGCAGATGAGCATGATGGACTTCATGGTGACGATGGAGATGTGCGCAAAACGAGGGAATCAGAAAGTGGTATGTGGGCGGCCGAATGGAGGCTGGAGCGGTGTTTGAGCAGGTTTGGCTATGAGGTGTGGTGGTGAGGAATTGATGCCAGGTTTATATCAGACAGGCGATGCGGTGGCAGAGCGATCACCGCCCCTAATCTTGCATGGAAGTGCCCGGACCACAGGGATCTTTCGTCAGCGTCCTGCCACTGAGGTGCATGTCCAATCCAGAGGGATCTATCTGGCATCGGTGTGATCATGGGCAAGCGAGCTTAGTGGCGCTGCAAACGAGTTGGATGCAATGAGAGACGACGATTGAAACCGAGGACGGCCATCGACACAGGCGGGAGTTGACAGAACGAGTGATGCTACGACCATGATGAGTGATGCAACGATCATGACGAGACAGGATCAAGACATGGCACACATGGCGATGCGCCGAGCTGCGTTGATTTGGTGTCGTTGTCTCCTGGCATCGACAGCACCATGTCTGGTCCCTGTCCCCACACCTCAGCAATCCCACCGCCCCATCCCACGCTGCATGGATTCATGGTTATCGTGGGTGCTATGGCTCCATACACACATGTATCGCCGTCCCTGTCCTCGCCACCCTGCATCTCTCCGTCCACTGCCACCATCGCAAGCTCGCTCTGGGTTGTCACGTTCTCGATTCCGAATGGGGACGGTGCTTGGTCGCCCACTTGGCACGCCCTTTCCGCTTGGCCCAATGTTCGGTGCCGCTCCCTCGTCTCCATCTGTCAACCTCCAACCCATCCAGCTTTCCATCGATTCTTTCATCGATCCGTCCGCACATTCCCATCCAGCAGCCAGCGTGCCATGTCTGCAGCCACAGGTGAGACTCTGTTGATGATGCATCACCGATGGTTGGCGATGGCAATGTCTGCTGCTGACCCTTGTGCCAGACTTTGATGCCTTCCTGGACAAGCACGATCTCACCAGGAACAAGACCCTCCTGGTCGACCACGAGATCAACAGCACCGACCTGGTGGGTTGCTTGACTCTGTCGCCGATGGCATGATGCACTCGATGGTTGGCGATGTCCGTGCTGGCGATGGAATGTCGCCGACACTGCGGCCGTCGATGCCCCTGGCCATCCAGACATTGTTGCTGAACAACGGCTGCCTGTCCAGGTCCTCTCTCTGACCGAGCCAGAGATGAAGCAGATCGGGCTCAAGCTCGGCGCCATCAAGAAGATCCAGCGAGCCCAGCGCCAGAACACCGAGCCGCCTGTTGTCGTCCACAAGAGCGAGCCACCGCCATCCAAGACACCCGATGGCAGCGAGAGCGCTGTTCTCCCTGTGGTCCGATACAGACCGCCTCCGCTGACGAGGGGATGGAAGTGCCAGCTGGGCAACAGGGACCACGAGGTGTTCATCAGGTGCGGCGATGTCTGTGGTGCAGTAGTGGGGTGTCTGCACTCCAGCCGGTTGATCATCAATCCATGTCCATGTCTGCACTGGCAACACCGACATCCAGAGTGCCCACTGACCATCGCCTCTTTGCCCAGCTATCGAGTCTTCAGCGACGAGATGCCCGCAATCAAGCTCTACGCCGCCCTCAAGTCGTCCAGCCAATACGACAAGAACCTGTGTCCGTACCTCGACCAGCTGTGTCTCGTCGATGCCATGAACTGGGAGACGGGCTTCATCAACGGCCTGGTCAACTCGCAGGTCATTGTGCTGGTTCTGTCGGAGCGGGGACTGAGCCGCACCCGCGAGGCACACCTCAAGCCAGACAACCAGTTCCTGGAGGTGAGCAAGCGAGCGGTTGGCCAAGCCATCCATGTCGATGCACTTGCACTCAATAGTCCCCACACTCACACTCACACTCACACTCACACTCACACTCACACTCACACTCACACTCACACTCACACTCACACTCACACTCACACTCACACTCAGGTCCAGCATGCCCTGCGTCGGATGCGAGAGTCGGCCACCACCGGCCGCCCGGTGACCGTCCAGCCCGTCTACATGTGGTCGACCCGCATCATCAACAACCAGACCTATGCTTCCAAGTACTTCCCCAACCCCGACGACTTTCCCGACGAGCCGCCCTGCCACGATCTGAGTCCCCTCGTCGACGGCAAGCCCGTGTCGATCCGCCAGACCATCCGAGATGTCCTGGCTCTCCAGCAGTTCAATGCCGCCGATGGGACAGCGGTGATGAGGTGGGTGGCTGCTGTCATCCCATCGATGGCAAGCCATTTCTGCTGCATTGCTGTCATGCTTGATCGCAACATCCTGCACGCCATGCACACCATCCATGCCATACACACCATCAATGCCATGCACACCATGCTGCATCAGACTCCTCTCACAACACCACACGACACCATGTACATCGCACTCACCTTGCTGCACATCCATCTGACCACATCCAACTGACTCCATTCCCTTTCGCACTCGTCCATCCCCCGCCACCAAACTCAGGCTCTCTCCGTACATCCGAGTGCTTGTGGCCAAGACCGAGAGGGCCATCGCCGAGGGCATCCTCTACCACCAGAGCCGACCCATCGTCCTCGCTGCCGACGAAGACTCGCAGCTCCGCGTCCTGCTCGATCCCATCGACTTTGACCCCGACAGGAAGGCGCTCGAGGATCTGTATGTCGAGGGCACCCGCCAGTGGCTGTTTGACCATGTCACTGCCTGGGTCGACGACGACGACAACGCCGACCGGGTCCTGTGGGTCAATGCCGTCGCCGGTGTCGGCAAGTCCGTCGCTGCCGCCCAGATCGCCAACATCCTGCTTGGTCGGGACCAGCTGGCGACATCGCTGTTCCTCAAGTACAACGACACCCGCAAGAACAACCCCCGCATCCTGCTGACCACGATCGCATATGGACTGTGTCGCTGGTACGCACCGATCGGCCGTCGGCTCCTCGACGCTGGCCACACCAAGGACGACCTCGACAAGATGAGCATCCCGGACCTGTTCAAGGCCGTGATTGAGGATCCACTCGAGGCACTTGGCCAGTACCGGCCCAAGGGAGCCGTCGTGGTGATGGTCGATGGACTGGACGAGTGCCATCCGCGCGACGAGATCCTGTCGCTCCTGGCCTGGCGACTCACGCAGCTGAAGGACGAGTCCCGGATCAAGCTGCTGCTGACGTCCCGCCCCGAGGCCGACATCAAGGGATGCCTTCCGAGGAGTGCCGACCACGACGATCGAGCCGTCGAGCGAAGACAACATCCGCGACCTCCGGGTGTTCATCGACCATCGTCTCAGGGACCACCCCAGCCTCAGCGAGTCGGACCGCACCCAGGCGATCTCGGTGCTGCTGGACCAGTCCAAGACATTCGTGTGGATCAACCTGATCCTCAACACCGTCGAGCACGAGCTGGAGACTCCCGAGCCTGGATCGACGCCGTGCGAGGAGAGCGACGCAGCACACGAGCCACGGACACTGACTCTCGAGATGATCCGAGAAATCAACGACTCGTCGGTGGATCTCAAGGGACTGTACCACAAGACATTCGCCAAGATCCACTCGCAGTCGAGTCACCCAGCCGAACTGGTCACGGTGGTGTCGGCGATCGCCACGGCCCAGTCGATCCTGACCCCGCAGATCATCGCCGATGTGTTTGGACTCGAGATCGGCGTCGTTCGCGAGTGTCTCAAGAGCCTCAGTCTGGTCCTCGATCCTGGCGCCAATGGATTGGGTCCCCGAGGCAGCCAGTCCACCAACACCGAGGTCAAGTTCAACCACAAGTCGGTGGCGGACTATCTCCTCGGCGATGCATCGACTGGCCATCCGTGGCATGTGTCGGACTTCGTTCCACACGGTGTTTGCCAAGGGATGTCTCGGAGTGATCCTCTCGCACGAGCCAGTGATCAACATCTGCGATATCTACGACTTTCCACGACAAGATCGCTGACCTCGAGGACAGGGTCGCAGCCAAGATCACACCGTCGCTGCGATACAGCGTCGCCCACTGGATCACACACTTTGTGTGGTGTGTGGAAGGAGTGGCCGAGTCGAGTCCGGTGTGGCAGTCGGCCGAGATGGTCGATGTGGCAGCGGTGCTCACTCGGTTCGTCAAGACTCATGTGTTCTTCTGGCTCGAGTGTGGATCGCTCACACATGTGGTCAAGCCGATCATCGAGCAACTGGCTGTGCTGCGAGGAGTGGTCGTCAAGGCACCCAGCACCATCATCGACGACACCACGAAGGAACTGGTCAAGGACACGTATCGATTCATCCGCGAGTTTGCCGATCCCGATCATCAAGAGTGCACCACAGGTCTACAACTCGGGGTATGCATTCACACCGAAGGAGACGGCGATCTACAAGACATATGCCGACCGACTCGAGGACAAGATCCCGTTCCTGGTCACAGCCGGTCCAGCACCCACCTGGGATCCGTGTGTGATGACAATTACTGGACATGAAGGTGGAGTGAGCTCACTTGTCATCTCGCCCGATGGCAAGACGATTGTCTCTGGCTCAATCGACAGCACCGTCAAGGTTTGGGATTCCACCACGGGTCAGCTGAAGTACACCCTCGAAGGACATACAAAATCTGTGAGTTCTGTAGCCATTTCAGCGGATGGCAAGTGGATCGTCTCTTCCTCGGAGGACAAGACCATCAAAGTGTGGGATGCCGCCACGGGCCAGCTCATCATTAGTATCGATGGGGCCACAGATTTTGTGACCTCCGTGGCAATCTCTACCGACGGCAAATCAATCATAGCCGGGCATGGATCGTTTATCAAACCCGCTGACAACAAACTCGTGATGTGGGATGCCACTACAGGCTTGCCCAGCCTCACGATTCAAGGAGACACAGGCTTTGTGAACTCTGTGTCGGTCTCTCCTGATGGCGCGCGGATTGCCTCTGGCTCGGATGACAACAGCATAAAGTTGTGGGATGCGACCACTGGTCAGTTGAAATCATACCTTGAGGGCCACACCGACACCATCAACTCCGTTGTCTACTCTCCCGATGGGAAATGGGTTGCTTCTGGCTCGGACGACAAAACTGTCAAGTTGTGGGAGTTGGCTACTGGTCAGCTGAAGTATTCCCTTGAAGGACACAGAGATAGCATCAATTCCGTCGCCGTTTCAGCGGATTCCGAGTGGCTCGTATCTGCCTCAAGCGATAAATCATTGAAAATATGGGATGTATCAACGGGTCAATTCCGGCACACCCTCGAGGGTCATGCCGACAATGTCAGTTCTGTCGCGATCTCCCCTGATGGTAAATGGATCGCCTCTGGCTCGAACGACAACACCATCAAGGTGTGGGAGCCAGACGCAAGTCAGTCAGCTCATGCATCAGTTGGGCATTCCGAGAGATTTTCAAATGCGGCTATCTCCTCCGACAACAGATGGATCGCTTCTTGTTCGAGCGATAAATCCATTGCTGTTTGGGATGCCATAACAGGGCAACTGAAGTATACTTGCGAGGGTCATACAAGCGGTGTACTCTGCGTTGCCATATCGCCTGATTGCAAATGGTTCGTTTCCTGCTCGTTCGATCAAACCGTCAAAGTATGGGACTCAGCTTCCGGTCAATTGAAACAAACACTGATTGGCCACAAAACCTGGGTGAACTATGTGACTGTGTCATCTGACAGTCATACGATTTTATCGGCGGATGTTGGCCGAGAAACAATCGTTTGGATCCTCCGAGACCACAGTTTTATCCGACTGACCCAGGAGCCAATGTCGTCGGCAGCTGTATCGAGTGATGGAAAGTGGATCGTTTCTGGCTCGAGCGACCCGGCCATCAAGATATGGAATGTCACTACGGGCCAGGTGCAGATGAGCTATGAGGGACATTCCGACTGCGTTAGCGCCGTGGCATTTTCACCCGATGGCAGATGGTTTGTTTCGGGTTCGAATGACACAACCCTCAAGGTGTGGGAACTCGACACCAGCCAGCTGAAAGCAACCCTGCGTGGACACACTGACAGAATACGCTCTGTTGCTGTATCGCAAGACGGCATGTGGATTGTGTCAGTTTCGGGAGAGGACACCGTCAATATGTGGGACGTCGGTACGGGTCAGCTCAAGTTTACTCTCAAACTGTCCTTACTCAATCTCAAGTCCGCAATAGTATCCCCCAACGAAGATGCAATTCTGCTCGAGGACATCAGCGGTTCCAAAATCATCGCGGTTCGTCGCGATGGCCATTTTGTCTATGCCAGCAATAGCCCGGCTGGCTTCTCGGGTTCCTATTTTTCGCCTCCAACTGAGTGGAACGAAATCAATTGTCAAAATGCGCCTGGATGGATCCGTCGCGGTACCCACTCTGTCAGGGTTCCGCACGACTTGTATAGCAGGAAGAACTGCTTCACCGTGGCCAATACTTATATCATGATTCTCCGGCGCCCGACTATATTCATGGTATGCCCTTTGTGATCAGTTCGCCCACTCCGGCCCTGCGTGTCCCACACTGACATCGTCGCAATTACTCAATTATCACCCAGGTCCCCGACAAGAAATACCAATGATAGAGCGGTGAGCTCTCTCTGGTCAAGTCGATCAACTTTTTGATATTATTTGGCTGTCGCTTGAACAGCGTTAACGAACTACCAGCAAATGTCCGATCTATCTGGATCGTCAGTTGCAACTTTGTCGTATGTATTCGAGTTTCAAGCATAAGATCGTACACTCTATCTCGACGAGAACTGGGCTGTACACACGAATATCATGGCCGGAATATATTCCATTTTCCTGTCCATCGATCAAGGCCACTTTCCAAGCCTCTTGAGCCTATTCATAGCAATGTCGAGGCCCTGGTCGGCAGACTTGCGATACCAGAAAACGGCGGCATTGACGTCCACAGGGACACCGTAGCCATATTGATAGCAGGCACCGAGATCGCTTTGTCCGTACCGATTTCCCTGTTCGGCCGACTTGCGGCGCCACTCGAATGCCTTGGTATAATCCTCGGCGACCCCGTGTCCATTGTTGTAGCACACACCAATCCACCACTGTCCATATGAGTTGCCTTGGTTGGCCGACTTGCTGAACCACTCAAATGACTTTTCTCGGTCTTCCGATGCAACGTGGCCACTATCGATAACACTCTCCGATCCACAATTGGCTATCACTGTGGCCGTCGTTGGCGAGTTGCTCGAATATACCAGCTGCCTTCACCCAGTCCTCAGGTGGTTCCGAATCCGTGAACCAGACACACAGCCATGAGATGCCTGCACAGCCAATCCAGCTTGTATCCCAGCTGGCACAGCTCGAAGAACTTGCAGGCTGCGGGTGAATTGGACTTGATGTTGTTCCAACGCGCCGCCAGACACTCGGACTCTCCGAACTTGAACTCATGCGATTGGTTTTCACTCGAATGATCTCGATGCCCTTCTGCTTGTCCTGGACAGGTACCCCGGCCGAGGTAGTGCATCCACCCAACCATGTGGGTGGCGATGGGCTTGATGATCGGGTCGGTAGACTTGCTGCTCACTTCCTGCCAGTGGTGGAAGGCATCGACGTCACTTTGTTCGACACCATGGCCGATGAATGAGAACCATCCACGGAGGAATATGATATGGAGTCGACCATCTTCACTGCCCTGATCGGCGGCCTTGGAGTACCACTCGATGGCCACATCGAAATCTTGATCGACACCTTCGCCACTCTCATAGCAGCGGCCAAGAGCGATATGGGCCTGAGGGATTCCACGTTCTGCAAGACTGCGAAACATATCGACAGCTTTGATTTGGTCTCGGTCGACTCCGAATCCGTTGTGATAACACTCGGCCAAGTGGAGCTGGGCCATTGTGTGGTTTGTGTTGGTTGCCTTCTCCAGAAAGCGGAAGGTTCGGTGGCGCTTGACCTCCAGCTTGGCCGGGGTCACATTTCGTTGGCTATCGAGGATCCTGGCCATGAAGTAAGAGGCTGCAGCATTGCCCCGGTTCGCTTGGGCGATAAGCCAGGATGGGTTGGCTGAGTCTGGGTTCTTGCAATGCTGCGAGAGGGCGATCTGGTCGCTCGGAGTGAGGCCGATCCGCAACTGTCCTTCCAGATTGAGTAGCTCCATACTCTGACACCAGCGGTGGAAGCGAGGCACTCTGTAGCTCAGGAGAGGACGGGCTCGTTTGCACACTCGGAGGAGGATCTTGATGGTATTGTGGTCGAGTGCGGCCTGGAAGCTGTCGTTGCAGCATATGATGGTGAAGATATCTGGGTTGTGGTTGTCGATGGCAAGGCGAGCCATGTCGGTTGAATGATGTACACTGGCAGCCATGATGGACGATGTGTGGATTGAGTGGATTGTGATGATGTCGACGAGTGATTTGCAGAGGCGAGAGCATCGAAGGGGGGATGCCCGCCAAGATCTGGACAAAGTTCGTAGACAGCAGGATTGGCTTCCCGCCCGCGCCTTCTGCTGGATCGCTCAAAGGCTTCCCTGACCGAGGACGAGCCTGGGATGGACAGCGGTGGTTGGCATCCCGATGGCAGTCTTGGCGATTCAGATGCTCGCGATCATGAGCAGCGTCGTTGCAGGGCTCGGGGCAGCAGAGGGAAATCCCAGCAGTTCTTGCAGATGGTGGACTCGTGTGCTGCTGGCGGTCTGATTGCTCGAGCGCCGCTTGTTCAAACATCATGTATCCGTGTCCCGCCAACTCGACCATCTGGTTCGTCGACGACCAGGGTTTCGTCGTCGACCAGGGTTTCGTCGTCGTCGACCAGTGCTTCGAACACAGGTGGGTCTGTGTACTATGCGACCAGGCGATGCGTCTCCCAGCCGCTCGCTAAACTCCTTCAACCTATCCTCGCTGATGGCTGTTGACTGCGACCCTGCCACGCAGCTATGCCGTCGGCATCCTCCCGCTGGCCCTGATCGTCGCTGCTGTCCTCTGGGCCGCCAAGGACATTGTCCATCCCGCCGCCTCCTCGGACGGCTCCGACACCGCCCTCATCAACAGCGAAGATGGATCCACCCGCAACCGCTACGGCGCCATCCCTGCCGCCGACCAGCCTGCTCCTCCCGCCGTCGTCGCCCAGAATCCGGCCCTCAAGTGGACCTGTCTGGCTATCCTCGTCCTCGAGCTGGCTGTCTCTGTCGCTACCACATTCCAGGACCTGAGCCAGTCTGGTTCTGGCTCCTTCGTCTTCTTTGGCTCGGCTGCCTGGGCTCTTGCATGGGTAAGCCATCGCAGCAGCATTGCTCGTCTCCTCTCACTCTCTCGCCGGATGCCATGCTCAAGCCCTCGCCGGCATCGTGCTCTCCCACATCGACTGCATCATACTCACACCGCCCGCTCATCCCGCCAGGCCATCGCAACCATCGTCTTTGCCGCCTCGACCGGTCCCGTCCCGGCCAGCATCCGCCCCAAGCTGAGCAGCCCCATCCAGCCCTTTGCCCTCGGCTGTGCCGTCCTCAAGGCTCTCCATCTCCACAACACCCTGCTCAGCAACAGCGGCGATGCCGTCGCCCCGATCGTGCTCGCTGTTGTCCTGAGCACCATCCTGTCTGTGGCCAACTTTGCTCTGCGTCTGAGTCTGCGCGAGCAGGTCGAATCGCTGCACATTGTGAAGCTCAAGGGCCCCAAGAACACCGAGGTGAGTGCAGATCCAATGTATCGAACGAACGCACGAACAGCGACGCCTTCTCTGGCACACATGATGATTCCATGCCACCGCCATGGCATCGCTGGGTGCGGCTATTGCCCTCGCTTGTTGCATCGATGATGTCAATCGCAGGACTGACTCCATGTTCTACTACTCCCACACATGTGCGTGCTGTTGGCATTCCCATTTGCACCCACAGATGCTCCCTGCCCCCGAGCCCGAGTCCACCTGGTTCGAGAACCTGTTCTTTGTCTGGATGGACGGCCCTCTCAGCCGCGGCTACAAGACCCCCCTGACCAAGAATGACCTCTTTGACCTGCTCGAGCGCAACAAGTCTGCCAGAGTCAACCATGTCTACCGCGAGCAGTACAAGAACAAGCACAAAAGCCTCATCTCTGGCCTGTTCATGATGGAGATTGTCAGCTTCACCATTCAACTATTCTTGGGTATCATGGTTGCGTTTCTCATATTCGCTCCCGCTGGATGCTTATACCAAATCATGAATTACATCCAGAACCCGAACGGCCGCCCCGTTACCGTTGGCTTCTTCTGGGTGTTCATGTCGTTGGTCTCTGGACTCATGTGTGCAATGGTTGATGCGCAGGTAAGCTGCGACAGCTTGGACGGGATGCATTTCGTGGGCGAGGAACTCAAAACCTCTCCTTGATGATGGTGATATGAGCCAATATCGAATCCGATTCCATCGTTAATCCTACGGTCCTAATTATCTCTAGCGCTTGAACGCCACGCACGACATGAGCTATCGCGTACGTGCTGTCCTGATCAACGAAATCTTCCAGAAATCTCTCCGCCGCATCTCTGCCAAGGGCAAATCCAAGAAGGACGAGGACCAGTCGGCGGGCAAGCTCGTCTCGCTCATGTCCATGGATACCGAGAAGCTGGCCATGGGCAGCGCCGCTGTAGCGTTGTTGACCGCAACGGTGATAGAGATCATCATCGCTGTTGCTGCATTATGGGGCTTCCTGGGATGGTCGGCTTCGATCGGTCTCTCGATCATGGTCGTCAGCATTCCCCTCACCAGCATCATCACCAACGACTCAGCAAAGTCCTACAGAGGCCCTCATGGAGAAGGCCGACAAACGCAACACCCGGACCCTCGAGGCTCTGCAGGCCATTCGCATCATCAAGTTCTTTGCCTGGGAGCCACAGTTCCTCAAGCGCATCGGCGAAGCCCGCAATGCTGAGCTCCGCGAGCTCATTTCCTTCTTTGTCACGATTGGCCTCAGTGTCATGCTCTGGTCGTTTGTGCCGGTGATTGTTGCGGTTGTTACCTTCCTGAGCTACACCCTGATCGCTGGCCACGACATGGATGGTAAGTGATGCGCTCGCACCACCCATGGCCTCGGATGTCTGGTGTATGTTGCTCGGAGCATCTCCAATCGACTCGAAGCCGATTGAGTGAATATGTCTCAGCCTCCCACGCAATCTCCAGTCGCTGATGTGCTGACCGCGCTGATGTCTCACTTTCGACTTGTGCATGTCTCCCATCCAGCCACCACGGCATTCACTTGCCTCAGTCTGTTCAACGCTCTCAAGTTCCCTCTGACGGCTTTCCCTGACACACTTTCGGAGGCAAGTACTCCTCGCATGGCATCGTTCTTGTCCTGTTATCCTGTCGCCATCCTCTTACCCACAGGACTCCCGCTGACACCCGTCTCCCCTCGCAGTTCTTCCAAATCTATGTCTCATCAGACCGTATCGAAAAGTTCCTGAACGAGCCCGAGCTCCAAAAGTTACTCCGACGACCTGCCCGTTTCTCACCCCGCCGGCAACACCGAGCCCTGGACCGACCCTGTTGCCATCGAGTTTGTCGATGCCTGGTTCGAGTGGCACCAGGCCACCTGCCGCTCCCGACAGCAAGTCGCCCCAGCTCCCCTGGCACTAAGAGACTCGCCAGCCTGTTCAAGAAGCAGTCGCAGCAGACCTCCGAGACCACGCCGCTCCTCGGCTCGGAGCAGCCGGCTTCTGGCGCGGACGACTCGTCCGAGCCCAAGTTTACCCTGCGCGGCCTCAAGATCAGCTTCCCTCTCGGCAAGCTCAGCACCATCTGCGGCTCCACCGGCTCCGGCAAGTCCTCGATCATCCATGCCCTCCTCGGCGAAATGAAGTCGCTCCAGGGCAGCGCCAACCTGACCCGTCTCACTCGCAGCCACCGCTCCAAGGGCGGCATCGCCTTTGTCGCCCAGACCGCCTGGCTCGCCAACGCCACGATCCGGGACAACATCCTGTTCGGCGAGCCCTACGACCAGCTCCGATACGCCCGCGTGATCGAAGCCTGCGCCCTGTCCAAAGACCTTGCCTCCTTCGAGTCCGGGGACCTGACCGAGATCGGCGAGAAAGGTATCAACCTGTCGGGCGGCCAGAAGCAACGAGTCTCGCTCGCCCGCGCCGCGTACTCCCGGGCCCACTACATCCTGCTGGACGATCCGCTCTCAGCCGTCGATGCGCCCACAGCCAAGCATCTCTTTGACAAGTGCATCACGGGCCTGCTCAAGGACCGCACCCGCATTCCTCGTCACCCACGCCACCAGTCTGGCCCTTCCCGCCACCGACTACCTCGTCGTCATCAACCAGGGCCAGATCCTCGACCATGGCTCGGTCGCCGAGGTCTCCCAGAACCGCGAGGTCGAGACCATCATCGCCAAGGAGAACCTCGAGGCAGTCTCGCTCCAGTCCGAGTCCGACCCCGACTGCTGGCGAGCTCGACGTCGACCTCACCGACGAGGAGCTCCTGAGCCGCAACTACTCCAACGGCAAGACGCCCGAAGACGCCAAGAAGCTCATCGATGCCGAGGCTTCCAGAACCGGCGCAGTCCAGGGCAGCGTCTACTACTTCTATCTGACTGCGGCAGGCGGCTTTGGTGTCATCGTCGCCTACCTCGGTATAATTCTTGTGCAGCGATCGGCCCAAGTGCTGGCCGACTACTGGCTCAAGGTCTGGGCCGATGCCTACAACCATGCCAACGAACTCAACACGATGTTTGCCGTGACGCTCTCGGCCCCGCTGTCCCTCAGCTTCCTCAACCCAGTCTCAGGCAACGACAGCAACACCCTTGTCGATGGATCGTCCGGCCAGTCCGTCAATGTTGCCTACTGTGTCCTTGTGTACGCCCTCATCAATTCGTGCGTCCTCTTTCTCATCATCACCAACTTTGCCTATCGCAGCTGGGTTGGCTACAAGGCTGCCAAGAAGCTGCACGACCAGCTCATCACCCGCATCATGTATGCGCCGGTGCGCTGGTTCGATGTCACCCCGCTCGGCCGCATCACCAACCGCCTCTCCAAGGACATTGGAACCATCGACCGTAACCTGATCAACACATGCGCACGGTTTTTCCTTATCCTGGCGAGCGCCACCACCACCCTCATCGTCATCGGCACCGTGACACCGATCTTCCTCGCCGTGATTCCCTTTGTTGCCTACATCTACTACAGGATTGCAATCTACTACCTGGCTTCTAGTCGCGAGCTCAAGCGTATCCACAGTATTAGTCGCAGCCCCATCTACAGCACCTTCAGCGAGTGTCTCGTTGGCGTGTCGACCATCCGCGCCTATGGACACGAGGCCCGATTCATCGAGGACAACATGATCAAGGTCGACACCAGCAACCGAGCGTATCGCACGCTGATGCACTCAAATCGGTGGCTGTCGGTCCGGATTGCCCTGGTCACCTCGTTGATCACTTTCACTGCCGGTGTCGCCATCATTTGGTCCAAGGACCTGATCGGTGTGGGCCTTGCCGGTCTCAGCTTGACCTGGGCAGCCACCATCGCAGAGAGTCTGCTTCGCATCGTTCGTATCCACTCACAGATGGAGCTGGTAAGTGCCAGTGTTGAAGTGCGACTGATATGGCAGTGGAGTCGATGCTCACATTGTCGCTGTGTTATTCGATGCGGCTGTCGCTGTGACGGTTCGGGTGACTCACTTCGTCTCGCCTCACTCCCTTCGCTCCGTCTCACCATCGACAGAACATGAACTCAGTCGAGCGTGTGCACGAATACCTCGAGATTGACCAGGAAGCCCCCGCCGTCATCGAGACATCGCGTCCTCCTCCCGGCTGGCCTGCCAAGGGCCACGTCCAGTTCAACGACGTTGTCGTCCGCTATGCCCCCGACCTGGATCCCGTCCTCCGCGGGGTGTCCTGCGAGTTCAAGGGCCGCACCAAGGTCGGCGTCGTGGGACGGACCGGCGCGGGCAAGTCCACGCTCACCCTGGCGCTGTTCCGCATCATGGAGCTCTCCGGCGGCAGCATTGTCATTGACGGCGTCGACATCTCCAAGATTGGGCTGCGCGACCTCCGCCAGAAGCTCACGATCATCCCGCAGGATCCCGTTCTGTTCACGGGCGACATCCGCAGCAACCTCGATCCCTTTGGCGAGCACTCGGACGACCGGCTCTGGTCGATCCTGGAGCGCGTGCGGTTCCTGAACACTCTGCAGGCCAAGCTGGACGGCAGTTCGTCGAGCGACAACCTGCCCGCGCAGACATCCGAGAACCAAGGCCAGACCCAAGTCCAGGGCCAGAACACCCGTGCCGCCGCCGAGGCGTCCGGGTTCTCCCTCGACACCTCTGTCTCCGAGGGCGGGTCCAACTTTAGCCAGGGCCAGCGCCAGCTGCTGTGCCTGGCCCGAGCGCTGCTCAAGGAGTCGGCCATCACCGTGCTGGACGAAGCCACGGCCTCGGTCGACAACGAGACCGACGCCTTCATCCAGGAGACGATCCGCGGATCCGAGTTTGCCAACTCGACAGTGGTGTGCATCGCCCACCGCCTCCGCACGATTGCCGACTACGACTCGGTGCTGGTCCTCAGCCACGGAGAGGTGGCCGAGTTTGGCACGCCCTTTGAGCTGATGCAGCGCGAGGACGGAGTCTTCCGCAAGATGTGCCAGGACTCGGGCGAGTTTGAAGAGCTCGAGAAGATGGCCCGAGCCAGGGATCAAGCCAAGAAGGCCCTCTGAGCCCGCCCTCATCCCGGCCAGTGTGCTGGTCAACAACAATCCGAGCGGGTGCCCAGCTGCTGTGATTTGTGATTTCTGTTTTTGTTATTGTGTTGGGATACCGGACTGGTTGGAGCACTGTGCCTATTGGACACCGATGTGCTTGTGTGGTTGACTGCTTGTGAGTGATTGGATGTTTCAGTGTGCCGTTCTGGTGGAATGGGGTGGTTTTTGGTAGATTCGATCGCTCGACTGAGAGCTCTGTCAAATGAGAGTCTTTGTGACATCTATGATATTTCTTATGTTCATTCAAATCAGAATGCCCCATGAATGATAATAAACAACCGACTTGGCGACGACATCCCAGATTGTTTCGTGGATGTGTGCCTGAGAGTCCCCAAACGACCCGGCACCGCAATCGCACTCACGCTGTCGCTAATCGAGTGAGATCGAATGGTGCAAGTGTTGCTCGTTCAAAGTATCGGCAATCACAGCCATCGGAATGATGCTGGATTGCTGCTAGGCTGGGACGAGACATCCTGGACCTGGGTCGATGGGCTGCTTGCTCTGGCCATCCAGAGAACACTCGTCAAACCATGAACGGGACACCAGAGCCCGACAATATCGAGTTGACCCGATCGATACCACAATATCGGCCATGGGAGGGATGGCTTCTGTTCCTGGGGTCGAGGATGTGTTGACTCGTGCAGCATTGCGACACGATTGGACTCGGGAAACAGACCCAAGACACATTGGCCAGGAACAGGATGCATATGATGCCTTCCAGGATGTGATTTGGAGTGATATAGTGATAGAATGATGGAGTGATGGAATGATGGAATGTGTGGGAATGATGGAGTGATGGAATGTGTGGGAATGATGGAGTGATGGGATGTGTGGGAATGATGATGAACACAAGCAATCGATCCATGGATCCAACCATGTTCCTGGCTTGGTGGCTGTGCCACTCTCATTCCATTCCACCCATCTCGTCTCGTCTCGTCTCATCATCGTCTGGACATCATCTTTGAACTCTCATCACATCCCACTCAATCCACACATTGTCCATCATGGCTGCCAGTGTACATCATTCAGCCAACATGGCTCGACCGGCCATCAACGAGCACATCCCAGATATCTTCACCATCATCTGCTGCAACGACAGCTTCCAGGCCGCACTCGACCACAATACCATCAAGATCCTCCTCCGAGTGTGCAAACGAGCCCGTCCTCTCCTGAGCTCCAAGGTGCCTCGCTTCCACCGCTGGTGTCAGAGTATGGAGCTACTCAATCTGGAAGGACAGTTGCGGATCGGCCTCACTCCGAGCGACCAGATCGCCCTCTCGCAGCATTGCAAGAACCCAGACTCAGCCAACCCATCCTGGCTTATCGCCCAAGCGAACCGGGGCAATGCTGCAGCCTCTTACTTCATGGCCAGGATCCTCGATAGCCAACGAAATGTGACCCCGGCCAAGCTGGAGGTCAAGCGCCACCGAACCTTCCGCTTTCTGGAGAAGGCAACCAACACAAACCACACAATGGCCCAGCTCCACTTGGCCGAGTGTTATCACAACGGATTCGGAGTCGACCGAGACCAAATCAAAGCTGTCGATATGTTTCGCAGTCTTGCAGAACGTGGAATCCCTCAGGCCCATATCGCTCTTGGCCGCTGCTATGAGAGTGGCGAAGGTGTCGATCAAGATTTCGATGTGGCCATCGAGTGGTACTCCAAGGCCGCCGATCAGGGCAGTGAAGATGGTCGACTCCATATCATATTCCTCCGTGGATGGTTCTCATTCATCGGCCATGGTGTCGAACAAAGTGACGTCGATGCCTTCCACCACTGGCAGGAAGTGAGCAGCAAGTCTACCGACCCGATCATCAAGCCCATCGCCACCCACATGGTTGGGTGGATGCACTACCTCGGCCGGGGTACCGTTCAGGACAAGCAGAAGGGCATCGAGATCATTCGAGTGAACAAATCGCATGAGTTCAAGTTCGGAGAGTCCGAGTGTCTGGCTTACCGGAGCTCGACATCATCATACTCTCTCGCATCCCACAATTACTTCCAGCTGTGCCAGCTGGGATCGAATCAAGACTGGCTGTGCAAACACCTTATGGCCGTGTGTTTGTTTCATGGATTCGGATCTAATCGAGATCTCGAGAAGGCAGCGGGTATCTTTGAGCAACTCGCCAACGACGGCCACAGCGATAGCCAGTTGTGGCTGGGAGAGTGCCACCATCATGGGGCGGGGATATCGAAGGACGAACAGAAGGCATTCGAGTGGTACTGCAAGTCGGCCGACCAAGACAACTCGTATGGACAGTTTATGGTTGGTCTCTGCTCTGACTTGGAGGACGGGTTCACGAAGGACCATTCTAAAGAAGCGGAATGGTATCACAAATCGGCCGAGCAAGGCAATCGGCACGGACAGTGGATGCTCGGCTTCTACTACGAACATGGCATTGGTGTCCCCCAGAACATCGACACTGCCATCCTCTGGTTCCGCAAGTCCGCCGACCAAGGTCTCAGCGACGCAGAGTTTAGCCTCAGGCGGCTTGGCAGGTGGCCCTGACGTTGACGATGTTGCCGGATCCACTTCCAATTCGTAGCACTGCTCATGTACCCGCTCCCCGCACTGCCTTCCGAGCATTCGCACTTGGTGCACATCCCGCCCCAGCACCCACTCCCACACTCAGTGTAGTTCCACCCCTGCAGTCTCACCCTGCACTTTCATCACAGCGTAGTATAGTGTCAGCACTTGTCCCTCCACCACCCCGTCCTCCTCGATCCTGCTGTTCCCTTGTGGGAACTGCTTGAAAATGTGTTCACCCGCTTGGTCTCAGACCTTGTGGGCAGCTGGTTCAGCAAGTCCGCCAACCAAGGCAACTCGTACGGGCAGTGGATGGTTGGAAGGTGCTACTTCAATGGATACGGAGTCGATGAGGACAAAACCATGGCAGTCGAGTGGTTTCGTAAATCGGCCGAGCAAGAAAATCGATACGCACAAGATTATCTCGGCTACTGCTACTATTATGGCTATGGTGTCCCCCAGAACATCGACACAGCCATTTTCTGGTGCCGCAAATCCGCAGACCAGGGTCTCGAAGGTGCCATCAACAAACTCAAGACGCTCGGCAAGTGGGGAGGTCCTGATCCCGAGTCCCCTCAAGTCCCACTCCCAAAGTACCAAGTCCCAACACTGAACATGCAAGCAGCCAAGCAGCCAAGCAGCCAAGCAGCCAAGCAGCCAAGCAGCCAAGCAGCCAAGCAGCCAAGCAGCCAAGCAGCCAAGCAGCCAAGCAGCCAAGCAGCCAAGCAGCCAACGCCCATTACAAACACCATGATGCCAAGAGTGTACTTGCAAAGTGATTCCAATTAATCGATATTGACCAAATGATATTGTATTTGACATCCAATAAATCCAATATACAATAGTGCTGACTCATTACAGTCGCTGATGTTGATCGACCGAGAGAACATCTGATAACTCAACAACGACTACTCCACCACCACAATCGATACTTGTTCTGCAACCATAGATGGTGGAAAGAGTCAGCACGGTCCAGACCATCCCTCGCCACATGGTACCGGAGAATGCAGGCAGCAAGCCACAAGCCTTCCCCCTATACCAAGACCATCCTCCCTCGATCCGACACCAGGCAGCGTGCCCTGATCAGCATCGATGGACCGACAAAAGGATGGCAAAGGCAACGAATGGCCTGGATCCAAACGGGCAGAGGTTCGCCTCTCCAGCCGCCAAAAGAAAGAAAATGGCCATACTGCAGCTTTCTGGTCCACCCTCGATCCGACCCAGGGACGCCAGGGCACGCCGGCGTATGTGGTCAGATCATGCGAGGATGAAACCAGTCCACTGCAGTGCAGCCTGGCGACTGAGAGAGGACTCTTTGAACCACGAATGACAAGTACCACCTCCTCTCGATCCACATCTTCTGCCAGGACACCAGCGTCCTCACGAACGACCTCGTCCGCAACTTTGCCCACCTCAATGCCAGTATCCACGACTCTGCCCATTCACCACAGGGCCGATGCCACCACGGTCGATCCTGCCACGGGTCTTCCCTTGGAGACCTTTGAGTTCATCGATTACTCCCTCTGCCAGTTTACTGCATTACGATGTATTCAACAGCTGGTGTCAATGTGCCAGCGCCATAGGACCATTTCGACATGCTCGCGGTCACCACGATCTTCAAGGTTGAGCCAACAGCACAGGCCGCAGAGAAGCAACACCCTGCGGCTGGGACAAACAGCAGTGACCTTTGATATCGACTGGGCGACACAGCGGACAGCCGAATCTCTGTCATGGATATACGAGCGGTGCGGTCTAGGCCCTGTCAAAAGCCTCAAGGCTGCTGCTCGTCGTGTTTGCTGCTGCTGCCTGGCGTGGGGCTGGCTGTGTTGGCGCGGGTGGGGCGGGTCGAGAGCGTCCGGGTGAGCGCGGCGAGGGTGTTCTTGGAAGTGACGACGGACCACGAGCTCCAGATCTTCATGCGGGTCTCGGGAACACGGTATTCCTCACGGCCCGTGATGACCTTGATGGGCGTTGGCGTCTGCACATATTTGCCCTCGTTGTCGGTCGCCAGACGTGCACGGACAATAAAGTAGTGGGCATAGGCACGCACGCTCTCGGGGGGAATCGGTCGATCAGGGCGGCTTCCAACAAAGGATCCATCAGCCCTGGTCAACGGAATCTTGGTTCCGAGCTGGACTTTGGGTGGTCCCATCAGACGCTGGAGGCCGTGGATGATGGCACTACCACCACTGGGCGAGGCGCTCTCGTTGTGGAGGCGACGATCGAGCTGGATGATCATGCTGGGTGGCAGCAACAAAGGCGTCAGTACTCGCCAAGGGCTTGCATCGCCAACCTAGGGCTTCCAGCTTCACGGCCGCAGAAGCACCTACCTGGCCCACTGCAGATGCCACTGAGTCTCGGCATCGTCATAGATCTTGGAGAAAGTCGTGTTGAACATGGCAATCAGCACGTTCAGAAGCACGATCGCTGTTCGTCGTTTGCGGACCGATGATTTCGTGTAAGTATACATCTGGCAAGCAGCCGAGCTACAAATGCACTCGACATAGGACCGGGATGCATTGCACTACAGCGTACCCGAGGCGGTTTGATAGATGAAATACGCCGCGAGGGTGTACTCGTGGTCCTGGCTCTGCTGGAAGTCGCTGATGGGAGAGCCTTGGCCGAACATGTAGCTAAGAAGTTTCGCCCAGTGTTAGGGTCACGGTGGAGGCACATTTCCCCCACCCCATCATCTCATCGACGCGTTCAGTGTGCCTACCCAAAGATGTTGAGGAGCGAGACGCCGTAGCTTCCCCATCCGGTGATGGCGTTGCCACTGTTGTCGCGGGTTTGAAGGATAAAGATCTGTCCAAAGGACAGGAACAAGACAACATAGATGGCCGCCCAGTTCAGCAGATCGCCAGAGACGCAACGGTGGAAGACAACCGCCAGGGTACCGAGTCGGGGGAAGCCCTTGAAGTATGTGAGCGTAAACATCCAGGCCAGGAACGACAGGAGCTCGATGCCGATGGTGTCGAACTTGGTGTTGACGGCGGCACTCCCGATCGTCATGGGACGCACAACGGTCACGGCGATGCCCATTAGGATGAATGCCCAGATCGAAAAGGCCTCGACCTGGTCCCACATACTGCCGGTCCAATACTGTCACAGTCGTGATTCGAGGCGGTAGTAGTGGTAGTAGGGCAGGAATCAGTACCGATGCCGTCCTCGACCGACGCCATGCGTGGAGCCGCTGGCAATTCCGACAAGCGACGGACCGGCGTGCGACTTACTCGGTATCCTTCGAGGATGACTTGGATCGACTCGCGAAGGAGCATGAAGAGAATGCCAAGGACACTGGCGACCTCAAAGCAGGCGCGAACAATGCTCTTAGCGTCGCCGGTGCTGTAGGTGTTCCAGTCGCCGTGGTTCGGGGGCAGGAGAGCAATCGAGACGGTGATGCAGATGGCCACAAAGATGTGGAGAGCCAAATCCTTGACAAAGATTTTCTTGGCATACTTCTCCCACTTGATTCTCAACACGAGGTTCATCATGGGATGCATCAGCATATCAGAGTCCGCGTTGGCGATAGCGATCTCCAGCGCCGAAGAGGTATCCTGATCAACGTCGGACGGGTCTCTCCAGGTATCGATTTCGTCGATCGGATACATGTACGAGCTGACCATGCCGAACTGAGTTGGGGCGGTGCCAGAGTCGCGATTTAGCGAAGCGCAGGTATGCCCGTGTCGGACTTGTGGCATATGCCATGCGAAAAGGTGGATGCACACGATCAAGGGAAGCAGGGAATGCGCCGCGAAACGAGCGACGAAAGGGAGGGCGCCCAGCGGGAGTCCACTCAAGGGGCAGAATGTCCCGCCAAAGGAGAGATCGCTTGAAAGTAACGCACCTCCCAAAGAGGAACCTTGATGGACTCGAGAGCGTTGATGTGCTTGCGCACGACACCGGTGAGGAAAGGGGTGTGGCCATTGTTGTTCTTGTGCCGGGAGGGGTGGATTGCAGGCTCGAGGTTGTCCGTGCAATAGTTGAAGATGACATCCCAGCACGACTCGGCGGAGCCGTCCTGGCTGTCCGAGAACAGACCCCAGTAGGCCAACACCTATACACGCGAAGAAATGGGTCAGTAACCCGAGTGAGTCGGTACAAGCCAACTCGAGTGCGAGGCTGTGTTCTCTGGTCCGAGCTCACGGCACTTACATGGAGAACGGTGTCTGTCAAGTGAGTGAATGAACAGTCGGGCGAGTCAGCGGGGTGAGTGAGCGGGCTAGCGGTTGGTCGTCGACATTCGTGACTGCTGATGGCCGTGCGGAGCTGTCATCTACTTACTGCCCTGGTCATCGACGGCAAGAACATCGGGCTTGCTGTTTCCTTCGAGGCTCAGGAGGTACTTGACGACCTTGGTGCGTCCTGCGACAGCAGCGAAAGACCTGTCGGCACCGGCGTGATTAGAGGAGACATTCCTGGACGTCCGGGCAGCCTGGCTCACATCCTGCCATAGATCGCAGACATACAGCCTGGATCTTGCATGAGTGGAACAGCCCATCGAGCCCCATGGAGACTACTTACAGCACCGAGGGTCTTGTGTGTCATAGCCGAGGTCGTGGTCGTCGATGGATATGAGTCAGCGGCGATACACATGAGTCAGCGTTCAGTCCGACAGCCGGGCTGTGCATCGACGTCGAGTCCACAGCGGCAGGCAGACTCACCCATAATACATATAGCCTGGCGCGGCGCCCTTGCGGCTGTCGCCGATGACTTCGTCGGGAAGGAAGCTGTAGCCCGAGACGGAACTGCAGTTGACCTTGGCGCCGTTGCGGATGAGATAGGCAGCCATTTGGAGGTCGCCCTTGACCACAGCGAGGTGCAGGGCGGTCTCGTCGCGATATCGGTCGTGGGCATAGACGGCGTTGACCAGGTCGGGGCCAAAGGTATCGATCAGATACTTTGCGACGGAGCGCTGGTTAGGCTGGCCCTCCACAGGGTCGGGGAAGGGGCTGTCGGCCTCCAGGCTCTCGTCGGTTGGCAGAAACAGGACGGCGGCATGAAGAAGGGTTTCGCCCTCGGGACCACGACCGCCTTCGGTCAGTAGATACTCGGTGGTGATCCTTTGGCGACGGATGGCCTCCTTGAGTTTCGTAAGGTTGCCCGAGCGGACGGCGAACCAGAGGGGGCTCTCGGCATAGAGTTGGGGCTGCAGGAAGGCTGGCAGCGGCAGGAGCAAGCACGGACGATGAGCAAGCAATGAGCAAAGATCTCAGCCAACCAACGCTGCAAGCTGCCGGACATGTGAGGAACATACCGATACTGTGGACCGTCTGCTCATTTGCGCCCTGGCGGTTGAGCGGCTGGTGTGGATGCGACATTATGCTCTCCGACGGGCTCGACAGCAGCGCTGGCGACGGAGCAGGCAAAGCGCGGATGGCGAGAGAGGAGGCCAGGGCAGCGGACGGGCTGGTTGCGGCCTTTTCTTCCGGGTGGAGGTTGTGCACGAGGAGGGACACCGGAAAACGCGATGGGCTTGGAATCCGAAAAGACCGTATTATCGGCGCAAGGCGGCGGTGCTGTGGATGGGCGGCCGAAGCAGCGCAGATGCGCGAGGGGAGATGCGAGGGGAGATGCGAGGGGAGATGCGAGAGAAGAGTGCGATCAGCCGATACTGGAGGGGAAGTTGGCCCGTAGACTCTTAACAACCCAACAACATCGAACAACAACCCAACAACATCGAACAACACCCAACAACATCGAGGAGCATTGAATGACATCATCGCACACCAAAGCGCACCGAATAATCGACAAGGCCACAGCACAAGGGCGCCGCCAGCAGAAGAGACGCGTCCATGCTGCCGCATTGGGAGCTGTGCCACCTTGGTGCGCGCACGGGCGTGTGGCAGTGTGTTCCGTGGCAGCATGGCGCCAGGTGAGTCACACGTGATGCATATCGCCGCTGGATCCAGCCGACCGAGCCAGCCAGCCAATCCAGCCGACGGATCCAGCCAGGCGGCTTATCGCGGCGCGAGCCGACCACTCAGCGCGCGCGTCTTTGTTCGCGGGATCGATCCGGCCCGACAAAGGCGCCGCCCCCGATTGGATTCGGTTTCATTTGGGCTTCTCGCTGCGCGTGTCTCGCTTCTCGCCGGCTCTCTCTCGCCTCCTGCCGACCACAGAATACTGTGGCCCGCCGAGTCTTGGCATCTGCTCTCGCCTCGCCTCGGCTCAGTTTGGCCCGTCTCGCTCTGGTCGCAATCGCGCATTTGTCTTTTTTCCTCGCCCTTCCATCCATCCGTCCGTCCTCGTCCTCCATCTCCTCTTCCCTCCCCCCACTCCCTCCATCTTTCCTGCTCTTCCGAAGCTTGTCGTCATGGGTGCCGGTGAATCCAAGCCTGCTGCTCCCAAGGAGCTCCGCATGGTCCTGATGGGCCCCCCTGGTGAGCATCGTCGCTGCATCGCTGCTTCTACACAACCCCCCGACTCGTCGCGGCCATGCCCATCCTTCCAGTCGAGCTGTGCAAGGTGTTCTCGGCCTCGGCCGTGCTCCCGGCCGTGCTCCTCCGGACCTTGTCTGTCTGCCATCCGGCTGTGCTTGCACTTGTTCAAGTTGCATCCGCAGTATCGCCCTGGTCTGCCGCTCATGCCTCTCGCTTCGGGGACTTGCTTCCCGCTCCTCTTGCGCACCATCCAGGTGCCGGTAAGGGCACTCAGGCTCCCAAGATCAAGGAAACCTACTGTGCCTGCCACCTTGCTACCGGCGACATGCTCCGTGCTGCTGTTGCCAGCGGCTCTGAAGTAATACTGCGCCAGTCCCTCACCACCCGAGTCACTGCGTGCTGCGTCATGTTCTCTCAACTGCAGTCTCTGACATGTCAACTTGTCTGTTTGTGCTCCGCAGCTCGGCAAGCAGGCAAAGTCCATCATGGAGTCTGGTGGTCTCGTCTCCGATGAGATCGTCATCGGCCTGATCCGCGAGAACCTCGAGAGCAACCCCGAGTGCAAGCGCGGCTTCATCCTCGACGGCTTCCCCCGCACCGTCCCCCAGGCCGAGAAGCTCGACGATATGCTCATCAAGCGCAACCAGAAGCTGGACTGCGCTGTCGAGCTTGTTATCGACGACGCCCTCCTCGTCTCGCGCATCACTGGACGGCTCATCCACCCCGCCAGGTGAATATCCCTGCGTCTTGTGCACATGTACCCGGCATCGCAATCGGCCATCTCGCTCCATCAGATCGCATGGCGTCTCGTCAGATCCCGTCGGATCCCGTCAGATCGGCGAGTGTGGCTCTTGGAATGAAGCTGTCAGCCGCACTTTGTCTGCGTATTTCTTGTGGATCGATCTGCGACACTTTCCACCCTCAGACACGACAATCTGCCACTTGCGATCGTCATTCGACTCTGGGCAGTGTCAGTCCAGCAACAATGCCGATTTTGATCACTCGATCTCTTCGAGTGTCCGTCCGAGTACGTGCAGCACGAAGGAACTCGCCTGACTGATCCAATCCTCCGATCTCTCGTTTGGCAGTGGCCGCTCCTACCACACCGAGTTCAACCCTCCCAAGGTCAAGGGCAAGGACGACATCACCGGCGAGCCCCTGATCCAGCGCTCCGACGATAACGCCGTCACCCTCGTCAAGCGCCTCGAGTCGTACCACAAGTCCACCGTCCCTGTCGCCGAGTACTACAAGCGCCGCGGCATCTGGTTCGGCGTGGATGCTTCCCAGTCGCCGGCCACCGTCTGGGCCAGCCTGACGGCTATCTTCGAGAAGGTCTAAAGCCTCTCTGTCTCGTCCTTCTCGGGATCTCCCACTAGCGCCAAATGCTACTTTGCCCTCCCCGACACACCTTCTCCCAGTCTGATCCCCGTAGACACCCAGCGAACGACCCCCCCTAATAAAAACCCGGATCGACTGCTGTAGCCCCTTTCTTGCCGCTTCTATGATTCATTTCGATCCTCTCTTTCGCTTGAATCCTTTCCTCCTCCGCCCACAGACAGATAGTGCGAGTTTCGCTAGTCCATCCTCCGCTTCGCCTCGTGACCGAAAAATTAATCGATCAACCCATCTATGATGCTTCATCTGCTATGGGCAAAGAGACTCGGACGGCATCACTTTCTCTGGATGCTCCTCGATCTCCAAATACAGCGCTCCAACCGAACTGGCACTTGTGCGAATGTGCGGTCGCTGATGTGCATTTCGGCTGGGGCTGATGCGCTGCTCCGACTCAACCGTGAGCTGCTCCACACCGACACGAAGCAGCAGCCTGGTCTTCAGAGTCAATCGTCTCCAGCGACAAGACGCCGGGCATAACGCATGATGTACGGTGCGTGGTGGTGTCCTTGGTGTCGGTTGCTTGTGTTGTCTCGGCCACCACTCGCGATCGGCGACAACACCACTCGCAGATCCGCAATCTCCCGCATCTCCCGCATCTCCCGCATCTCCCGCATCTCCCGCATCTCCCGCTCTTCCCCGTTCTCTCCGAAACCATCTGCGCAGGGCACCACGCACATCCTGTCCATCCGACTCCAGCCGGGCCATATCTCGCACTTCCCTGCCGCCATGATCCGTGTTCCAGCGCTCCAGGCCAGGACCGCCAGCATCCGTCAAAGCATTCGCTGGTCCCGCTCGCTCCCGCTCCAAGCCCAACACCAGCCATGGTCTCCTCGCCGATCCTTTGCCTCCCAGGATAGCAGCACGCTGTCCCTTATCGACAAGCGACTGCGGTTCAACCTCACGCCGGCCGAAATCGAGTCCGCTGCCTCATCCGCGCTCGATTTGCAAAAGAAGAGCAAGTAGCTCCAAATAGAACCCATATCGATCTTGCCTGGGCCGAGTCCGTCGGTCCGTTTCTCGTTGCTCACTCTGACGACGGGGTTTCTCTTGCCTTTTGATACAGCCCATGATGCCGTCGCCGGCTTGGATCTGGCCCAGAGGAGCTTTTCCTCGTCCTTTGGCCAGCTCGCCCAGTGCGATAACGACATCACTGGCGAGCTTTCGGTTGTCCAGTTTCTCAAGCACATCTCGACTGAGCCCGAGGTATGCCGACACAGATGCAATCTGGCTGGCAGCTATGGGGAACGAATGAATGCTCAGATCCGAATGCGATCCGTCCCATCTCCCACCCAGGTCCGTGCGACAAGTACTGCAGTGTCCCAGCAGATTCAGTCGGCCCAGATCGAGATCTCGATGCGATCGGATGTGTACCGCTCGCTGCTCTCGACACCCGTCTCGGCCCAGACACATCCAGACGGAGACGAGGACTCCCGCCTGGTCGAGAAGACACTACAGGACTATGAGCGCAATGGCCTCGGTCTGAGCCAGGACCGCCAGGACCGGCTCCGCAAGCTTCGGATGAGGATCTCGGAGCTGTGCCTCGAATTCTCAAAGAATCTCGCCGATGACCGCACTGTCGTCAAGCTGACCCGTGATGAGCTGGAAGGTCTTCCGGAGGTGCGTTGGACGTGGGGTTTATTGTTATCAAGATGGTGAATCGGATGCATATTGGTGTTTGCATGGTATTGGAGCTGCTTGCTTTCTCGCTCGCACTGACAACGACACCCACAACTGGACCGTCAACCAACACCGGCACCGACAGGCGTTTCTGCAGGGCCTGGAAAAGGCGACGGAGGATGGCATCGACAAGTACATCGTGACGATGAAGTACCCGGATATTATTCCAGGTCAGCATCACCTCTTATCTCTGATCAAAATGCGACCATGCCAGACAGGGCTTGCCATCCTCTGCTCGGTATCATGCATGTTTCTCGCATCCACCACACCGATCTCGCTATTCTCTCAGCCCTGGTCGTCCGCGCTGGGGAGGCCCTTCTCACCTGCTCCTTGGCCATCTCCAAATGCACCATGTGTCATTCTGGATCCGCCGCAACCTGCCCATATCCAGTCATGAAGCTTGCAAAGAGGGACGAGACGAGAAAGAGACTCTACATTGCCAACTCGACAAGATGCGCCCCAAACATTGACATCATGCAGGAGGTGCGTGGTGGCTCCGCTTCGTCGTGTGCTCAAGTGTGATATGGAACGAACTGACCAGAACCACAACAGGTGATCCAACTTCGGAACCAGTGCGCCACGGTAAGTCGGGAGCGACTTGCGAATGAACACGACGTGGTTGTGGTTGTGGTTGTGGTTGTGGTTGTGGTTGTGGTTGTGGTTGTGGTTGTGGTTGTGGTTGTGGTTGTGGTTGGCGATGGCTACTTTCCTGGAGATTTGATATTTGCAGTCAATCAGTGTCTGGAACTAATCGCTAATGCCGTCTGTGAACATACGCCAGCTTATGGGATGCAGCAGCCACGCCGAGTTCCAGCTCCAGCCCAAAATGGCAAAGACCCCCGAGCAAGTTCTGACGGTACGAGACTGCTGTTCGATGGAGCGGCTGCCTTGCCAAAGTTGTGCTTGTTTCTAGAGCCATGATCGGGCTCATTGAATCCGATGCTGGCCTCACTGGTATCGAGTCTCGCCGCTTGGCTCATCGCGAACATACTTGACTCTGTCCTTTGGCCACAGTTCCTCAACAAGCTGCGGGAAGGTGTCACACCCATTGCCCGGCGCGAGCTCCAGACCCTGATCGAACTGAAGCAGGTAAGCTCATCGAGCCACCACTGAGCGTGGTCACGATTATCCCAAAGTACTTTGCATCGATTTCTGGTACATATCGCCCATACTGGAGCGCTGGCACTCACGCTATTCCTCGCAACCCTCAATCTCACCTGGGTACAGAAGGAAAAGTCAGCCCTTGGACAGGCGTTCGATGGCCAGCTTCATGCTTGGGACGTGCAGGTAACCACATGCCAGCCCGTCGATCGTGCAGCGGCAACAATGGCCTACAGCAACATATCTACTTGCGCGCCATGACTCGCAAACCCGGGCTCAGCAGGGCCGTTGGCAGAGTATCTTCATGACAAGGGTCCGAATGGATCAAGAGGCAGGAACAAGAATGTTTGTGCTCGCTCCAACGTGATCCTCACACGGCGCCATTGCGAATGCGCTTTCTTCCTTCAGTACTATAGCGACATGCTCCTTCGTGAGCAGTTTCAAGTCGACCACGAGAAGATCAAAGAGTACTATTCTCTTGACGCCGTCACCAAAGGTGAGTCCACACCCCCCGACCCTCAATGCTTCGATCGGCACAAGCCTGCCCAAGGGCTACCCGTCCTTTCCCTGCACGAGTTGCTCGACTCCTCACTTGCACTGAGCTCCTTGGTTTCTTCCCTCACCTCCTCCCGAATAAGGCATGCTGGATCTCTACGAGAAGATCCTCCAGGTCCGCTTTGTGCCTGTGGAGTCCCACGTCTGGCATCCGGACGTGCAGCTCATCCGTGTGGATGACTCAAGCACGGGAGAGCTCGTTGGTCATTTCTACCTCGATCTCTTCCCACGGGACGGCAAGTACACCCACGCAGGTACGGTTGGGTCACTGGACGTGGTTGTTGACTGGCTGACATCGTCCTCGGCCTACCTCTTGGGCAAAGGCAAGACTGGGCACACCGATCCTGGGAGCCCGTGGCTGCGACGGCTTATCCACCTTGTTCAAGTCATGACTAAATCCTGCCTGTGTGCCTTCGACTGCATTCATACCCAGCATGCTTCCCCTTGCTGCCCGGCCATCTCACCGCTGACCAGCAGCGCCAATCCCCCGTCGCGGCTATGGTTGCCAACTTCCCCAAGCCGTGAGTAGACACCGCGCTGCCCTGCATCAGGAGAAAGGATCAGATTGAGGCAGCGGTGGAAAGCACCGGCGTGTCTATTTCCTTCTCATCATTCACCCGACATGTTCCATCGCCGCCTCGGCGATGCTCTCATGCCCTCGTGTCTCGATTGTCTGACGCCTGTCCTTTGATCCCTGTCCACGCCTTTCATGATTCGTACTCATCGATCCAATTATCGGCCCATCAATCCACTCTCTCACCCGGACACGAACCCTCGATCCATCGTACGTCTATATCCTTTGCACCGTGCACTCGACGCACCCCGCAGTCGTCCAGGATATCCTTCGTTGCTGAAGCACGGCGAAATCATCACGTATTTCCACGAACTCGGTTTGTATCGCGCCTATCCCAGCCCAACACTGTTGCCACCACCTCGCTCGCACCCTCCTCGTCGTCAGCGCAGCGAAGTGCAGCCTCGGCCGCCTTATGACCGGAGGATGGTTGATTTCGAATGGTAGCTGTGATCCGATCCCATTGCTGTCATCGTCATTAACATGGGTCTCAATCTCCTGCTACTCGTCAAACATATCAATCAACGTTACATCAATACAACCGCAACAACGCTCCGCTTGCCCAATGCAATCGTATTCGGTCAGGTCATGTTATGCATGAGATCTGCTCCAAGACCAAGTGGGCTCGGTTCCACGGCACCAACACCGAGTGGGATTTTGTTGAGACCCCCTCGCAGGTGAGTGGTCGAGGCAAGAGAGAGCGGCTCTGCGGTGCGTCAGATGCCCACGGCAATTCTATCCCATAACGCGAAGCAGCGTGCGTCTGTTGGCTCGTTCCTTGAATGGTGCTGATTGGAGTGTTGGGTGCATGGTGTTCCTGTTCATCTGGGGGTTTCTCCGTGCTCACTTTACTGCCACGGACACACTCCCATTGCCATCGACGAAGTTTGACGTTTCATATGCCTTGATATCCCTCCCCGCCCTTCCTTTCCCGCAAAGATGTTTGAGAATTGGTGCTGGAACGAACGAATCCTGACGGCACTCTCGAGCCACTACCAAACCGGCGACAAGATCCCGCAGGAGCTCGTGCAGTCGCTGATCAAGAGCCGCAACGTCAACGCGGGGCTAAACTGCCTCCGTCAGATCTTCTTTGGGCTCTTTGACATGAGAGTCCACGGCCTGGCCGAGAATGGTGAGTCCGTGGCGGCGGGACAGTGGCCGAGCGGTGAATCAGCCGCTGCTGTTGTTGCCACATTATCCTGTCGTCAAACCGACGAGTGCTTGACCCCATGGGAGTGGGGCTAGATTGGCACAGGCTCATGCTCATTCGCCAGAGTCCGGTACACCAGCAGCCACCCTTCGTTGACTAGAGAGGTTGCTAACATCCATTCTATGCTGATACATCGATCCCACTGGATGGGCTGATTCACCTGCAATGGCCACCTTCTCAGAGTCAGTCGATGTGCGCTCGCTGTGGCAGCAGCTGATGGCTGAGGTGACCCTCATTCCGGGCATCGAAGGCACATGTGGTGCAGCCACCTTTGGCCACATCATGGGCGGATGTAAGTGTCTTTGTATCCCATCGCTGGTCCCATCAAGTGGCGACTCTCTGTCGACCCAGATCGATTTCGGACGGGAAGTGGCCGCTGTGCTTTGGTGCAATGTCGCACCGAACCCATCATGCATACTTGTCTACTCCCTCACCCATTCACTCGTTCACTCGTTCACCCCAGACGATGCGGGATACTACGGATATCTGTGTAAGTCATTCGAGTCGATCGCGATGGTGGGAGTAGTCCAGCGGCACTGCGATGCCCACCACAAACGACCATCCTCGCATCGATACTTTGGGCAACGCCACCCAACCATCGCTGGCTGACTTTGATGCCATCGCTCTGCATGGCCCATGTCATATAGGGTCGGAGGTCTACTCAACGGATCTGTTTGAGACCATGTTCAGCGAGGAGAATATCCTCAATGGCATCCACGGGAGGGCTTACCGAGACAAGATCCTCGGCCCTGGCGGAAGCAAGTGTGTATACCCGCGGCCAGATATCAGACGATAGATGGATTGGATGGGTTGATCGGGTGGGTTGCATGAACACGTCGAGGCGACTCATCATGAGTGTGACTCTCATTCCGCGCTTCTCACCGCCACCACTGTTCGCCACCCATCCAGGAACGGCATCGATATCATCCAGTCCTTCTTGGGCCGCCGCCCAGAAGACAGGATGTTCCTCAAGCGCCTTGGAATCTGATGGTGCCAGTTGTCTCAGACATAATACACACCCGGCGCATCAAGCGAGACAGACAAACGCCCCATGATCGGTTTATGTATTGAACGACTCGAGTGGATACTGTTTTGGCGGAGCGAAACGGAGGGATGGCGGGCATGTGGAGGATGGTAGAGCCGCTATGAGGGCAGCCACAACTCCAGGGGCTGTGGCAATAATGCGATGTGCGTGGGGAACGGAGTCTGACTGAGTCGACGGCAACAACAGACAGCAGAAAATAAAAAATAAAAAATACGAAAAATAGACAACAGAAATACGACAAATGCAAAACCGTGTGGATAATCTAGCGTCCACCTTGGGCGCCTCGGCAGCAGCGATATCGAGCAAACACGGGAGAGGAATCAAGGATGGTTGGACGAGCAGAACCTCGTGAGCGGCTCGGATCGTTCGTGCTGGAGAGATATAAGGCGAAATATGTGTTTCCAGCCCGGGAAGCAGGCGACAGGATATCTACGGAAAGATGATTACCATACCAATGAATATGGGTGCATGCGCCAACATCAGCGCAAGTACAGGCCCGAGCGAGACATGGGAATCGGAGAGGGGCATAGCCGTCTCGTGCTCGGCCTGCATGATGGAGCGACCCTCTCCGATCAACGAGGTGCAATGGACACTCACTTTGTGTCAGCAGCTGCTCCAGTACAGCCAATCAAGGCTGGTCAAGATCGCCAGAGGGCAGGGCAAAGGTGACTTTGGGACCGGTGCTGTTGTTGCCGTTGGCGTTGGCGTTGCTGCTGCTGCTGTGCTGATCGTGGGACGTCCTGGACAACAGGGGAGGGGAGGCTGGGCGGGGAGGAGATTTTCGGGCGCCGGGCATGCCATAGCCGCTCGCAGAATCGAAACCCCGCGACCATGATCGGATGCGACGGGATCGGATGTCACCCTTGCGACGCTCTTCGGAGCGGCGACCCATCTTGCGGAAGAGGCAGTACATGCCCAAGACCATGACGATGAAGCCAAAGGCGGTCGAGACAATGATGATGGACAGGGCCGTCGAGCTGAGGCCCTGGGGCTTTGTCCGCGGGGTAAGGGGCGGAAGGAGGTTCTGGCCGTCACCGTTACCGGGATTTGTGGAGTTGGTGTTGGTGCCGTTGCTGGCGGAGGAGAGCGAGCCGCAGACACCCGTCTGGTCGCAGTGCGACAGGCCAGGGTAGTCGCATTCAAGGTTGAAGAGACAGGAGGAGCCGGGAGTCTTGACGGGGACGCAGACTCGGTCTGCGGGCTCGCAGTAGAAGGGGTCCTGGTTCTTGAGGGACGAGTTGGAGGCGATCGGGCGGGAAAAGAACTGGCCGCCGTTGCAGTTGGAATAGAGGGCCAAGACGGTGGTGTCGACGTTGGAGATGGCGTGGATCGAGCTGCGGATACCAGTGTCGAGGGGGACAGGGCAGAGCGAGCAAGACTCCCCGCTGGAGAGGAAGGAGCTCTGGCCGGGGACGACGGCGACAAAAGTGCCATGGGGAATAGCCGTGCTGTTGTCGAGATCGAGAGCGTCTGCCAAGCGGTTGGTGAGGATGCAGCCCGGATAAAGGTTGGTGGTCTGGCAGAAAACACCTGTGCGATCGAGATAGCACGACTGGCCACTCGGGCAGTATGGGGTGTATCCCAGAGTTGGGTCAAAGGTGGCTCCCAGGTTGCATGGATGCGAGAGATTGGCGTCCGGGGGCAAGGTGAGATCAAGGGGAGCGTCGCTCATGGCGGTGATGGGAGATGCGGAGGAGGCAGAGGTGAGGACGGAGAGTGTATCGAATACAACGATGGTGTTGAATACAACGATGGTGTTGAATACTTCGAGGATGGATACCAAGAAGGCGAGACGGAAGTGCTGGCGGCAAGTGCTGGTGGCAGGATGGAGGAAACGAAGAGCGATTTGGGACGGGCGGCGGAGACCGATATAAGGGGCGAGGATGCACCGCCACAGCTTTGTTGGGCGTCGCTGTGCGACCCCGCGGGCGTCCGCGCGCGCCGATTGGCCCGGAGACCCTTGTGGTCCACGGGACCGGCAAGCGCAGCAGCGGAGAGCGCGCACGTGGGGGGCGGTGTATGCTTGCTGATGATATTGATGTGCAATATCCGTGATATGCGGTATCAGCGATATGCGGTATCGGTGGTGTGCTGTGTCCTCATTCGCAGCATCGCCGTGCGATATCGCTGGCCCGCGATGCAACTGGATATCGCGCATCGCCGCGCTGCCGATGTGCAAGTCGCCTGGCTGCAGAGGCAGATTCGGTGAAGCCCACGCTGTGCAGCACCGGGACAAGGACATCCTGCCTCTGCTTGTTGCCGATCGGCTCGGTCAGCACCATTTGATTGCCCAAGGAAGCCATCAAGGTTGGCGGATCGCATTTGGGTCATGGGAAAGGGTGTGTCAGACGAAATGCCTCCACAGATAATCTGACCTGGTCTGAGCCAAGGGCATCAATCCACCCCTCAGTCCGTTTCCAGCAAACCCAAACCGAAACGGGGCCATCGTGCTTGCCGCTTCTCTGGCGCCTGATGCATTTATCCATCGATAGGACGGTCCAAGAGTACAGGACCAAACGGCGATCTGCATGTCCTCCTCGAGACCAAGAAACCGAGCTAGTCCAACTGGGTCGTCACTGGAGCCTCATGCACTTTACTCCGGGAAGCTGTCTCGCCTCCAAGCGGTGTGATTCTTTGTCATGTTTCATCCCAGCCGGCCTGCTCGGCTGTCTTGGTCGCGAGCTATGCGTGCAAAGCGAGACCGCGAGCTGTGTGTGCAAAGCGAGACCGACAGTGGATGACAATACGATTCACTGCTTGCGAGGATACTTGCTGGTCTCTCCGACACCGATTCGGGCGGGATGTCTGGGATGTCGTTGCATTGGACGCACTCGGGTTCGTGGACAGTGCCAGCCAACCAGCGCATCGCCCTCCATCATGCAGTCCTCACCACCTTGTGTACATCAAGTTGATCACCTTAGCTCCCACTTTGCTGCAGCCATCTGCACCATCCAAGCTCGCATTGGAGGATGGTCGCTGCACGCCATCGATCTGCATGTCATCGATCTGCGGCTGTCATGTTCGTTCCCGGCCTGAGCGAACACCCACCGAGACGCTCTCGCTGGCTCTCGGCCCCCCTCTCTTCTCGGCACCCCTTGCGCTTTTGTCCCTTCCTCGTCCTCCATCTCCTCCTCCATCCCATCCACATCCAGCGCTCGCATCGCCCGTCCCTCCGCTGCCGCCGACCTCGCTCATCTGCAGCCTGCCCGCCTCACCACCATGCTCAGTGGCATCTTCTTCTTCAACGCCAAGGGCGAGGTCCTGATTTCGCGTCTCTATCGCTCGGATATCAAGTATGCATCGAGTCTCCCCACTCTCGCCCCTGTCAGCCCTGCCCCGGCGACGGCGTTCTTACAACGGGCATTACGCTTCGCCGCATTCACGAGAGCATCAAGTACCCACTGCTCCATCCCGCGTATCAGCTGCAGAGCCAATCTGAGCCTGGCCGAGCGGGTCTGACCGAGCTGCACCCCTCTTTGCCTTGGGGGGCGGATTGCTCGTTGACGACACGCCTCCATCGGCCTGTTGTCGCCTGGTCGGGCTGTTCTAACTCGAGCGATGCCATCCACCGTCCTGCCGATACGCGAATACAGGCGCTCGTTCTCGGATCTCTTCCGGATCCACGTCATCGCCTCGACCGATGTCCGCTCGCCCATCACCACGCTGGGATCCACCTCATTCTTCCACGTTCGCAACGAAAACATCTTCATCGTCGGCGTCTCGAAGCTCAACGCCAACGCCGCTCTGGTCTTTGAGTTTCTCTACAAGATCCTGAACCTTGGCAAGTCCTATTTCGGCAAGCTGGACGAGGAGGCGGTCAAGAACAACTTTGCTCTGATTTACGAGCTCCTTGATGGTGAGACCATGGTCCGTCGGTCCCGAGCAAACCCACACAGCCAGTCCGAGGCCGCCGATTGACTGCAGCGGCTCAAGGATCGGCTGTGCTCACAGCTATTGCTCCTGTCTCGCCCGAACGGATCGTCTGGGATATTCCTGCGTTCCGATAGAGGTCTGCGATTTCGGATACCCCCAAAACACCGAGTATGAGACGCTCAAGATGTTCATCACTACCGAGGGCGTCAAGTCCGAGATGGCCATGGTACGAGCCTGCCGCCGAAGAGCCAGATTGCGCGGACAGAGTGCTTTCGTTGTCCACATCTTCCGCAAATGCCATCGCGTCCCGATCCTCCTCCGCTGCAATGTGCCTCTGACCCCGAGTTTGCCGATTGCGCTGAATAGAAAATGGAGGGCTCCAAGATTGCCATCCAGGCGACGGGTGCGGTGCCGTGGAGACGGCCTGATATCAAGTACCGCAAGAACGAGGCCTTCTTGGACGTCATCGAAAGCGTCAATCTGCTCATGAGTGCCAAGGGTAAGCACTTATGCATCGCAGCCGCAGAGCCGGCCGCCGTGTAATGTGCACAAACAAGCCGTCGCTGCTCGCAGCTGACATTGTCTGACTCTGCAAATCACAGGCACCATTCTGCGAGCCGATGTGTCTGGCCAGCTGCTGATGCGGGCCTACCTGTCTGGCATGCCCGAGTGCAAGTTTGGCCTGAACGACAGAGTGCTGCTGGAAAAGGAAGGCAAGGTCACCCCCAACGTCAAACAGAGCGGTGCCGTCGAGCTGGATGACTGCCAGTTCCACCAGTGCGTCCGCTTGACCAGCTTCGACTCGAACCGAACGATCAGCTTTATTCCGCCCGACGGAGAGTTTGAGCTCATGAAGTATGCGAGTGTGCAGGGTGCGCCGAGATCATCCGCGGATGCGCATTCGGGTTGTGGGTGTCTCTGCGACTCATGGATACAGGCCGTGGCTATGAGTTGAAGGCAGCTTCGCGGCTGGTCCCGCCCTGATGAAGCGACGGCGGTCGATACTTGATTGGCACCGGCCGATTCTCTCGGGGGCACATCATCTCAGTCGCTCGTCGCATGCTCGCTGCAATCTTCCTTGCCGGAGACACTCTTCCCCCCCCCGGTTCTGACCTGCCTGCCACAACCATCCAGGTATCGAACGACCGAAAACATCAACCTTCCGTTCCGAGTGCACGCCGTTGTCAACGAGGTCTCCAAGACAAGGGTCGAGTTCAAGGTCTCGGTGCGCTCCCAGTTCTCGAGCAAGGTCTTTGCCCAAAACATTGTGGTGTGCATCCCCGTCCCCACCAACACGGCAAGCACCAAGATCCGAGTGACTAGCGGCAAAGCCAAATACAACGGCAGCGAGAACTGCTTCATCTGGAAGTGCGTATTCTGCGGGCGGACGCAGAGGAGAGGTCTCTGGTGCTGCTTTGAAACGTGACAATCTTTTGAATGGAATCGGCACCTGACTGCCACGCTGCTTGTTGTATCGATACCCCCCCCCCAGAATCTCAAAGTTCCAGGGACAGCAGGAATATCTCTTGGGCGCCGAGGCTGAGCTGACCGTCACAACCAACACGAAGCCCTGGTCGCGGCCTCCGATCACACTGGACTTCCAGGTGCAAAGTCATGCAGGACGGTCCTATCGACGGCAGCTCGCCGGATGCTCCATGTGCACATCCCGTGCCATACGTACTCACACCACGATGCATATCTCGTCTCCAATACATCGCACTCGAACGCTGCAGGTCCTGATGTTCACGGCATCTGGGTTGATGGTCCGATTCCTCAAGATCTTCGAGAAGAGCAACTACCCCAGCGTCAAATGGGTCCGCTACATGACCAAGGCCGGATCCTATCAGATCCGGGTGAGTGGCGAGGCTTTGCTGTCCAAGGTTGCGAGACGGCGTTCGTCGTGCAAGAGCAAGCCCCTGTCGGCGGCATCCACCCTGTGCAGAGGACTGTGGTCGTTACAGAGACTGACTTCGCGACCCGCATCGCGTGCCTCTGGCTGCTTTCTCTTCACAGTTCTGAACGCCTCGGCGGCCCTGGCTTTGGAGGATTCCACTCTGATCTCGTCGGTCACAGTGCGATCCTCACCGATGGACACCCTCGTCTCTCATCCGGCCCCCGTCGCTCCTGGTCTGATATCCGTCGTCGTGACTGCTGCGACGGGGCCCCACTTTGGGTCCTGCACTCGCCTTGCGTCTCCGTTACTATGTCACTTGTGTGGGGATGGGGAATGGGGAGTGGGGAAGGAGAAAACGGAGGAGGCTCGCAGCATTCCCTCGTTCCCACATTTGAATGTCCCTTACTCATCCCCTTGCCTTGTCTCCGCGCTTGCCCTCGCTCCAACTTCATTTCTCCTGCCTGCGCCTTCCTCAGAGGTCGAGTTGTGCTATAATAGAGCCGTTTGACAACTGGAGCTGCTGTCCCCCTCCCCTGCGATGCATGGATTCCTTTCTGGCTTTGTGTGAGAAGGAACCATGCATTCAGAGCCACAATCACGGGAATAGCAACAAGAAGGAAAAGAACTGTACTGAGAATGAAATGGAAAGAACGCGGCGAGTGAGAGTGTGTGTGTAAGTGAGAAAATGAGAAAGAGAGAAAGCGAGTGAAAAGGGTGGATGTGTGCTTATGGCCGATGAAGATGCAGATGCAAAAATGTGTATGTGCGTGCGTGTGTTATGGCGGCGGTGGCTTTGGTGTCCGTGAGCAAATAACGAAAGCACCGAAGCTGCGGGGAGAGCAAACAGGAAGGGAGAGAAGCACACATGACAGGATGCAGACAGAGGACCTTGAAGATGAAGATCAAGATGCAGATGCAGATGAAGAGAGCAGTAGGAGGAAAAATAGAGAGTGAGAGAGCCCATTTCGATTTGCAAGGAACAGAAGAGGCGATAGCTTGAGTCTGGAAGTCGAGACGAAGGCCCCCCGCTTGATCGCGACCAATGCCGTGTGTTTGGCGATGGATCTGTCACCAAAGTACAAGCTTGACTTCCCGCAATCCGTCGACACCAACCCAATCGAGCCGCCGGGGCCAGGTCGAGGTCGCTGCCCACATGTTCAGCGACGCCCGCTCTGGCTGGCGCAGTCGTGATGGCCTTTTGACTGTGGGTTCCCGTTGTTTCCATCTTGCTCGAGGCTTCAGTTCCGATCTGATCAAGGCAGGGACTGTTGGTCTCCGCTGCCTAGGTTGACGCCCCCCCCCTTCCCTTCCTCGAGAAACAGGGTCGCCGGGAACGTTACAAGATTGGACTGCGAGATTCAGGAGTTGTGCCAAATTGCTCAGACGCAGCAGAAGACCCCTGGGAGAGGGGGGAGGAACGACTGGTTTCCTGGTCCACTGCCCTCCTCCCCCCACCTCCTCCCACCCTTGTCGTGGGTTTCACGGCCGCTTCAGCGTCCAGTGTACGCACACAGTGTTTCCACTGTCCCGAACGACGATAATCTCTTCGACGCCGTGCCGCTCAATCAGCTCCATCTTGATGATCTTCCAGAGGCGGGTGTGCGTCTTTGGGTGCTGATCGAGCTCTGACGCCAGCATCGACCCCATCAAGGTCTTGAAGAGCGAGTCGGGATTGAGCCCCTCGGCGCTGCCGCGGTCGCGCTCGTTCTTGAGGTGGGTCATGATCAAGCCGATCATGCGCTTGATCACCTGCAGCTCTTCTTGGTGCCGCTGATTCCGGTGGTACTGCTGGTAGCGTATGGACATGGCTGCAACCACGAAGACAGTGCCCAGGGCCGCTGCCACGGTCGCGGCGTTCAGGTTCAGGATCCATGCGGTTGAGATGCGCGTCCAGCCCAGCACGAGCTCTTGCGTAGGCGACGATGACGACGAGGACGACGAGGACGATGATGACGACGAGGACGACGAGGACGACGGCGAGTCATGCTGGTTCGGAACGCAGGCATATTCGACAAAGTTCGGGTAGAACAGACTCCGGACCCACGACCGATGGATCGCCTGGACATGCAGTTGCGAGGCAGGCCGCCGGCCCGACGACTCCAAGCCCTGGCAGCTCCGGACCAAGCCGCCGCTGCAGTGGGCGAATTTGGGACAGGGCATGCAGTTGGACTCTTGCACCGACCCGGATGGGCAGTAGTGCATCAGCGGGTCGCGCAAAAAGTACAGCCCCAGCGCAGATCCCAGCACAGCAACAAGCATCAGCGCAACCCCGAACTTGACGGATTGTTCCAGACACGAGGACGACCGGCCTGCCAAGACCGGTGGCCGTTTGGTCGATCCAAGCAAGTCCGAGAGCCGACCGAGCGAGTAGCTGGGACTCAGGATGGGGCCCCGTCGTCGCTGGCGAGGATTGCCGTCCCATTTCTCGATAAAGACCTGGGTGGACTGCGGCGATATGCGGGGGCTTTGGTTGGGCTCGCATTCGGTCTGGGGAGAGGTATCACATCGGGCTGCGACTGGCCTTTTCGGTGTCGGGGGCTGAGTCGTGGTCGAGAAGGCAGCGACGGGAGCGACCGACGGAAGCTGAGGGCTGGCGAGAGGAGACCTTGTTGTCGCAGCGCTGGTCGCAGGCTGTTTGACGGGCCATGGCGAGAGAAATCCAGGTTTTGGAGCCTCGAGTGGAGCTGGTTGTGGCCGTGGTCGTTCCGATGGCACGGGCGACCCCGCAGGCTGCGAGTGGCTCTTGGAGGTCGACGAGCTGCCCTGGCTGGTTCCGGGGTAGGCTCCGCAATGGGTGCTGGCGCCGGTACTTGGGCTCGAGCCGGCATTAATGTTAGCTCGGGTGTGGGCAATGACATGGACCGGGCCGGCGTGTGTGCCAGAGTTGCTTCCATGATTGCTGCTGCTACTAGGCGTAGGGGTATGGTGAACGGAGCTTTCTTGCGGGCGGCTCTTCTTGAGGGGGGTATGGGAGCGACCGGCGCCATCCACGCGGGCCGCGGGCTTTGCGCCCGACTGAAACACATTCTCGCTGGAGAAGGAAATGTCGTCCGAGTCGTAGATGGTGTCGTCGTCGTCGTGTTCTGGGGTCGAGTGGACAAACAGAGGACGCATTGGCGGTGGGAGCGGGGTGATGCGCGGCTGGCTGTCGACAGAGTCCGGCTCGACAAGCTTACCAGGCTTGGCCCTCCGACACTTGTCGGACTGCACCGGGGCGGGTTCGGGCACGGGTACGGATGCAGGCGTGGGCTTGGACTTGGGTATCTCGGGTGCCAGGTGAGATCGTGTCTTGGCTGCCTTTGGGGAGTGTCGATTTGAGTCGGCCTCATGGAGGGTATGGAGGGCCTGGAAGGCCTGGGTGCTCGGGCCGAAAGTGTCGCGCTTGAGCTTGAAGTGCCACGACGACGCATGGGCGCTGGGCGGACCGGCCGACGGCGACGACTCGTCCTCCTCGCCGTCCGAGCCTGAGGATGGGGCCGGGCTGTTGGAGGCAAGGGTGTGGCCCGTCCTGGCGGAGCTGTCGCTGGCCCGCACGCCCGGTTTCGACTTTGATATCCGCGCGGCGTCCTGAGCAATGTCCTCGACGAGGGTGCTTGGCGATGGTGTGGGCAAATAGGGCGGCGGCACTGTCGCACCGTGGTGCCCCTTGGCGGGAGGATCTTGTTCGTGATAGGACACATGCGCATTGGCGGTGGCCCGCGAGCGACGGTCCTTGGCCGGCGGTATCGAGTGTCGCTCTTGATAATATGGCTTGGCATGTATCCGAGGGTCGCTACTGGATGCGGCAGGCTCGCCGTGGGCCGTCCATGGTGATGTATCCTGGTCCGGGCCTTCGCCCCAGGAGGCATGGAGACGTACCGACGATGCCACCGAGGATGAAGCCGTGGCCATGAACCGCGTCGACGATCCGTCGGTCGAGTACTGTGGCAGATCCCGCTCGAGGATCTCAAAGTCGTCGACCTGCCCGTCGCTGTGGACGTGGCGCAACGAGACCATCAGGCTGTTGACATTGGGGCTCTCCTTGTTCATCCGCCGGAACTCCTCGTTCCGCATCTCTTGCTCGACCGCAAAGGTCGGTGAACGAGTGTCGATCGAGATCCGGGGGCCTGGCGTCCCAACGGATGTGTGAGGCTCGGACTGGTGCGGCCGGATCAGGTGGTCGTTGCTATCGCCCGAAGCCATGTCGGAGACGATCCGGACGGCAGGAAAAGACCGTGAAGTGCCTGAGACGGGCTTGGATGGGGCCGGGGCGGGCGAGGTGCTCTCCGAAGCGACCCTGGGATTTGCTGCTGATGCTGCTGATGCCGCAGCGGGTTTGTTGGATCGAGGGACATGCTGGCTGAGGAGCCGCTTCTGGCTGTCGGAGAACTTGTCGAGGCCACTCTCCCGCTCTCCAAATATCTCGGAAGGCGACAGCGAGGGCCGCAGGGTAAACTCTTGCCCGTCGCCGCTGACGATGGTGATGCCGGCGGTGGAGGGCGTCATGCAGGCCATTGTCTCGATGCGGATGCGGGCTTTGTGGATAATGTCGTACTGGTGAAAGAGCTCGAGATAGGTGTCCTTGCAAGCCAGGACGACACAGATGGGTGGTGGTTAGACGACAGTGGCGATGGGCAGCAAGCCGACACGAATGACCGCGACGAGATGAAGGAGGGAAGCATGTAAGCATGTATGCATGTAAGCATGTAAGCATTCATGCATGTAAGCATGTAAGCATTCATGCATGAGACTCGATACCTTCTTTGCCTTTGTTGCTGGCAGAGGAACGTCGAACTGAGAGAGGATGGACGACAGCTGAGAGATGGTGAGCCGGCTTGGGTTAAAGCTGGGATCGGCGAGCGACTTGACGAGATCGACCAAGGTAACGGTCATGGTGCAGGCCGGATGTGAATGAATGGATGGACGGGTGGATGGATGAGCGAATGAATGGATGGACGGATGGATGGGTGGAATCGGTCTCGATGATTGATTGGGATGACACCAATCCCGACGAGGGTTATTTCGGGGCCGCTGGGTGCTGGACTTGGGGAGCCGTGGATACGAGAGAGATTGATGCAGCAGAGGAGAGCTGTAACGAGTCCAGGAAGCGAGAGCAGGTGTGGGGGGATGAATTGCGGATGAGTGGCTGCGATAGTGATGGCACCGACTGGCCAGCGGGTCCGCTCTGCCCCGCCAATGCTTCCTCCATCTGCATCTGCATCTGCATCCGACATCCGACATCCGCATGGGGACATGTGCGGTTCTCCTGCACTGCCTTGGGAGGAAACGGCAGGAAATAGCTCGAGCTCGAATGGACCGCCGCGAACCAGTGGCCTCCCAAACACCTAACCCCACCGAGCTAGCAGTGCCTTCTGCCGGGCTCTCTGCTGGGTATGGCCACCGGCCCAGAAGATGGCTCTACAGCATGCAGCAGGCTGATGCTGTGTGTGAGGGGGGGGGGACGAGCACAATATCGACAAAGCGGCAGCTTGCCTTGACCAAGGACTGGTTCTTTACCCCGGAGACGAACGCTGCAGGCCTTCTGGAGGAGACAGAGCCCTCTCGGCAAGAGCGATGTTGCGACCAGAGGGAGAGGAGAAAGCGGCCGAGGACCAAGACCAAGACCGGCGCTGCAATATGAAGCCGGTCGAATTAGATGGATGAGCGGGAAGTGTGTCGGGCCAGGCAGGACGCGGGAAGGGATGGGAAGGGAGTGAGAAGGGGAGGGGAGGAGCCTCAGATCCGGGACGGTGGATACGAAGGTGCCCTGGGGACAAAGGGAGCAAGGTTCAATATGCCCAAAAACGCGATGGATGGTTCCACGACGCCGAGCTGAGCTGGAAAACCACCAGGGGGTGGCTGGCGGTAGGACGATGTGGCCGGAAGGTGCAGGGAAGGGGGAGGGGAGCGGTTGAATCAAGAAAAAGGGAGGGAAAGAAGGGCAGGGTGCGAGGAAACCCCAGGCCGAGCGGGCGGAGAGGCGGGGCGGGCTGTCGTGGCGGCGGGAACGGTTGGGGGGAGTGCTGGCGAGAACAGTCGGGCGACGAGGGGAGGACAGCGGAGGGCTCGCTGCGGGCGGGAGGGGTCACCTGGGGTGAGAAAGGTCACATTGGATGCTATTACCAACGGCGGACAGAGGAGGAACAGTTGATGGTGTGAACCGAAGAGCGCGAGGGCGAGTCGGGCGATGGGGAGTGTCGATGGCGTGAGAATGGCGATGTGTTGCAAGTAAAACCATCCATCAATACCATCTACTGATTGCTGCTTGGGTTATATGGGGAGCGCTGTTTGCATTTTATGGTATTTACTGCTCTGCATCATGGGATGTCTATTAAATTGTATCGCGGAATGTCTATTGGCATAATCCCATGGAATACACTACTTCTGTCTCATGGGGTGTCTATGACATTGTCTCGTGCTCGACTTGCGGTTGCGTGTGTCGGCGACACCCATCCACGAGAGTGCAATATATGACCCGCACACTCCCCCTTCCGACTTGGGCGCCAAACCGACTCTGCCCCGGGTGAACTCATGACAGCCCTCCCTGCGAGTGGATCCCGAGGAAAGTCCGTGAGTGTCAGGACAGACCCTCTCCCTCCTCCCCCTCTCGCTGTCGTCCGACGATGTAGAGTCAGTCCTGGCCCTCGCAGATCTCGGCATGCGGCAGGCATGTGGCAGGCATGCGACCGAGTCATGTGGCAGCGCTTGGCGGTCTTTGAAGCCGACCGTGTGAAATGGGGCCACACAGCCCTCAGAATACAATGTGCTGCATTGCTTATGGCATGGTGGTATGATGGTATGTGGCATGATGGTATGGTGGCATCGACTCGATTGCATCACCCTGAGGCAAATTGGTCTCTTCAGTGACTGCAGGTGGTGGTGGATCAGAGCGGCAGCCGGCTCGACGATGGGTGGGCTTGAAAAGGAGACCCAGAGAAAAGCGACACGCCTGGCCCATCACAGGATCTCTCGTTTTCAATTTGGGGCTTGCTGTAAACAGTATCCTATTTCATCGGTTTGTCAACACTAAACCATCAAGCCATAGAGGGTATCGGCCTTTGCAACACAGGTATACTCCCACTCAATATGCAAGACTACAGGGACTGAGTACATACTCGACTCGGTTGCACTCGAGCCGGCCTCATGGCCGCTGCCAGGGAACGGCAGCCAACGAACACGAGCGAAGAAGGGGCAAGGTCAGCAACATGGAGATGGAGATGGAGATGGAGATGGAGATGGAGATGGAGATGGAGATGGAGATGGAGATGGACTGAGCAGAGGCTGAAATGACAAGCGACCGCCGAGTGGTCCAGGGGCCATTACTCTGGGTTCAGGACGTTGTTCACCATCCCGTGCTGGTCATAGCATGTGTTCTGGTCAAGGGCGCATCTCCACTGGCCGTCCACGAGAAACTTGAACTGCCAAGGGCGCGAGCGATCGAGCTGCAAGTACGCCTCGAATTCTCCATCGTAGACCTCGGTCATTTCGATCTTTTGCTGTGGCAGAAGGAGCAGGGACGCCAAGATCGATTGGCGGTCCAAATGTTAGTGATATGGAGGACCGCGGTATCTCATGGGAACGACGAGCACTATGCCTCCGACCAGATATCTTTCCCATAGCCCCCCCCCAACAACAAGCGGCCACTCCCATGATGCCTCAGCCCCCTGCTCTGCCTCGATCGCAGCTGAGGGTGGGTGGGCGAAGACGGCGTGCGAATCCAGCTGCCCACGAGAGCCGTCGTTTGGCGCCATTGGGATGGGCTGATCTCGACCGCCAAGGGACGGAGCGACGGGCGGGGGCGGATCGTTCGTCCCGCCGGTATCCGCCTCGCGATCGGATTCGTGCACCGGAGGCCGCTCTGCCCATTGAACCGCTCGGCGGAGGCATGTGCTGTTTCTTTTCTTCAGTACAGACGCCTTGCGTTGGCCCAGGTCAGGAGCGAAGGGAGAGGGGGAAGGAATTGAAAGTGCCTCCGCATGATCGTCTCGAACGTGCGTTTTGCGGGCGGCTGGATTGTCGAGGCGGAGCTGTCTCCCTCGGCCGGATAAGGCTTCCCTGGGCCATGGATTGGACGATCTCGTCCGATTTGCCTCATTACCGGCGCCGATTCGGGCTGCTGGTTGCCCTCCAAGGCCCATATCGGAGCTTCTCGTCTCAGGCGATCCGGTTCCACGTTCCGTATCGGCTCGGTCCAGTACAAGCTCCTGCTCTTGTCCATGTCCATGGGCCGGTCCGCATGTGATCGCAGACCTGCCCTGTCCTGTCCTGTTCTGTTCTGTCCTCGTGCACTGGTATCCATAATACAGCACATATCCCCAGCTCTCCCACGGACGATTGATCAGCACAGATGGGAGCCGTACGTACCTTCCAGTCGTCAAAGTCGCCCGTCAGAATGACTCTTCTACCGCCGTGGACCCACCGGAACGGGACAATCCTGACGGACGAGTTCGAGTGGGTCGAGTCGGAGGATGTGGCCGATCTTGGGCTCCGTGGCGAGGGGCGCGAGTTGACGGGCCGGGCCAGATAGCGATCGGTCTGGATCTGCAAGCACTTTGAGTCCATGGCGATCGAGATGAGCCTGGGCGGAGCAAAGGAAGGAAGAGAGATGCAGGACGGGGGAGGAAGGGGATCGGTGTGCCGAGCCGGGCGCTGCGTCGGGCAGGGGTGCAGGAGGTTCGGAGCACGATCGGAGCCTGAGTGGGAAGGCAGAGGCGCAGGGGTCGCAGGTGCACAGGCACGACGATGCGCGAAGGGGTGGGCAGAGACAAATTGGAGAGCGGGGGCTGCTGGGTGTGCGAATTGCAGGATCTCCCAGACGGAGAGATGGTGGGAGGAGTCGGTCGGTCGGGGCAGAATCAACCAGGGGGGGAGTGGCTTTATAGCAGCACCCTACAGGGGGAATGCAGACGTATCGGACTGCAGATGGGGGCCGATAGCGCTCAGATAACAGCCCGGACAGCAAGCCCACTTTACACAAACAAACCGATAACGGCTGCAATACGATGCGATTGGCGAGGCGACGGTGTATTCGCGTGTCTGCATCAACGATGCAGCAGCAGCGGGCCAGCCGATGGCCGAGAGCGCTGCCGGGCCAACCTTGACCGATGGAGGCAGTGGCGACAACACAAACAACGAGGCAAAGTGGAATCGGCCAGAGGGCAGGCAGCGTTTGGCCTCGAAGGGACTAGTGACGTCGGCGATGGACGGGTGGCTGCCGGCGAGCACCGGCCGATCGACGGCGAGCGCGGGGAGGACGGGTGCGACGGTGATTGAGCAGACGGGAGCGTTGCGTGGGGCTGGTGAGATATGCATGGGGCTGGTGGGGAGTGTGGAAGAAACATGGTGTTTGTAGCCCGGGGGCTGAGTGGATCTGCGATGGCGCAAGCGAGCGCACGACACTGGCAGTGCGATTGGCGAACGATGGTGCGGTGCAGCCGGGAGGGAGGATGAAATGAGGATGTGTCTGTTGTCGATAGAGAATAGACACCAACTCCTGCAATATCGACATCAAATACTACAAAACACCAACACCAATCGACATCAAGTTAGACAAATACCAACACCAATCGACATCAAGTTCGACAAAACACCAACATCAATCACCACGAAACATCAACACAAAACATCAATCGACACCAACCCCCGACTCATCCTGACTCTGACTGCGGTGTCTGTCTGCTCGGAGACTCGGACCCGGTCCAGCCCGCTCGGGCCACGGCACCTGAATCACTGGATCCTGATCCTCGCCCTCTGGCCGCAGCCAAGCATTCGATGCGATGTGCGATGTGCGATGTGCGATGTGCGATGTGCGATGTGCGATGTGCGATGTGCGATGTCAGCGATGCGGTATGCATGCCAGCGGGACGGACCCTCTGCCGTATCAGATTCCCCCCCCCAGGCCGCATGCCCCTGCACGTTCTGCTCCACTTCGCCCATCTCCACGACCATCTCCACGACCATCTCCACGACCATGTCCATTCCCATTCCGGCCATCTCCGGTCAGGTGTGATGACTGCAAGTCGGCCGCGGCCCTGCGCTCCCGGCGGCACAACCGCTCTCGGAACAACACCAACCCGCTCTGGAGTGCGCAAACAAAGCCAGCATCCAGGCGCACCAGCCTTGCCACCGCAGGAGTGACCACAGGGACTGTGGTCGAGTCGGATGCACTTGCCCAGTGAAAATCCGCCGCCCACCGAATCGACTTGCCCATCCCGCTGCAACTGCGGCTCGGCACCTTTACCAACCACTTACCACCTTAACACTCTCACACTCAACATTATCACACTCTCACACTCAATACTCAACACTCATCATTATCACACTCACCCATTCCAACATTATCACACCCCCCAATACCTCAACACTTGAACACGCACCCGCCAGGCTCGCTGCCCTTGTCCTGGCCCCAACAAGCCCCAGCCGCCCAAGAGCCCTTTTTTTCCTTGCTCGCCCCTCCGTCTGCATCTGCGTCGCTCCTGCATCGGCCTCGTCCTGGTCGTCCCCACTCGCCCTATTTGGGCACCTTTTTTTTTGTCTCTCTCGGATGACACCATTGATCGCCCACGCATCGCGCCGTCTTTGAAGAACATGGATCGCCGTCGCTCGTCTGCTTCCAATGCCCCGCCGTCGCCGGCAATATCCGCGGTGTCGTCGGTCTCCTCCACCTCGTCGTATTTCTATCCCCATCGGTCATCCAGAGGCGCCGTGGAGATCGATCGGTACTCGACGGCCTCCTTCGTCTCTCTGCCTTTCGACTTGCCCTCCGAGTTTCCCATGCCGTCCGACCCCCAGGCCTGCTTGCCCGCAGGCGAATCGCACGCGGCTGTCCCTGGAGAGGGCGGCCCCGTCGTTGTCGTGGACATCCCCAGCGACGACGTCCCGACTGAGGGCCTGCCGCCCCACGACCCGCTTGCCAACACTGTGTCCCAGTCCCAGCACCCCGCCGACATTCTCCTCCAGCACCATCGCCAAACCCACGCCCAGGTACAGGTGCAGACCCTCTCCCAGCCCGAGCTCCACCCCGCCCATGTCCATCACCTCGATTCCGACGCCGATGCCCTGCACCACCAACCTGCCGACCTGCCTCCCGAGCGGTCCTTCACCAAGAGCTTCACCTCGCCCTATCCCGCAACGGCTGCCTGGACCGATACCACGGCCCTCTCCGACCATGAGGACGAGAACCTGCTCACCGTCAACTCTGTTGGCTCCAACCTCGCCCACCACTTTTATCTCCTGCGCGAGTCCCGCAACGACCATCTCTCGCCCGACCGCCGCACCCCGAATGCCTCGCGCTTGTCGGTGCTGAGCGCCCGCAGCTCCCAGCTCAAGGACGGCATCTCCAAGACCATGTCCACGGCCTACCAGGCCGCACACAAGAGCGGTCTCTTTGGTGAGAGCATGTATCCCAACCCACGCTCTCGGCCCACCAGCCGCGCTCCCAGCCGCTCGGCCAGCCGTTCCGCCAGCCGCCGAACAAGTCCCGCCGACCGAACTCGCAGACGAGCCCGCACAGCGAGCCAGCTCGGCAGTCAGCCCAACAGTCCCACCCACAGCCCCTTCAGCACCCCGCCCAGCAGCCAGCCCAGCAGCCAGCCCGACAGCATGCCCCAGAGCCGGCCCAACAGCCGCCCTTCGTCGATTCGAGCGCATCGGCTGCACCACGCGTCCCGCCCTCGCTCGGCCGCCTCGCTCTCGAGCATCCTGAGCGCCGACGACGTCCAGGTCGACGACCAGATCTCGCCGGCCCAGATCCACGCCATCGAGCTGTTTCAAAAGATCAACCAGCTCTCGCGCTCGCCGTCCGTGCAGTCGGGCCACTCTGTCCGCTCGGTGCACTCCATCGCCGACAGCATTGCCAGCATCCCGCACGTGCGCTTCGACGTCGACGACCGCATCGAGACCGAGGAGTCTGTGTGGCCGACGGGCACGCCCTACCGCAAGTCAGACACCAACGACTTTGTCAAGACGCCCTCGGTCCAGACCATTATCGACGGCGTGCCTCAAATCGACATTGTGAGTGTGCTTGTCGGCGGAGCAGGGGGGGGCAGTGTCCTTGACACATGTCACAGATCGTGCTTGGTCACTCCTGTCTGCATTTGGATGGGGGCGTGTGGCGCATTCCGGTGGTCCATGCCGATACTGCCATTACAATCGCCACTGCCATTACAGTGGTCCTTCCTGACACCACGCTCCTTCCCGCCTCTCCCCCCAGGTCAAGCGCCAGGACTTTCTCATCAAGCTCACCAGAGCCTTCACCAGCTGCGGTGCGCCGTCGCATCGCCTCGAGTATCACCTGCAGCAACTCTCCCAGATCCTCGATGTCCCGAGCGAGTTTGCCGTCCTGCCGGGTATCGTCATGATCTCCTTTGGCCGCGAAGACCATACCTCCAAGACCCACATCGTCAAGACCCCCCAGGGCTTCCACATGGGCAAGCTCACCGACATCAATCGACTCTGCCTGGACGTGGCCGAGTACCGCATCACCATCACCGATGCCTTTGTCAGACTCAACGAGATCCTCACGGCCCCGTCGACGCCGCTGTGGGTGCACTTTATCATCCAGCCCGTCATGGGCAGCACCTTCTGTCTCCTGGGCTTTGGGGGCCGGTGGATCGACGCCGCCATCAGCCTCTTCATGGGCGTCGTCATGGCCGGCTGGATGATGCTTGGCAGCCGCTACCCGAGCGTGACCTACCTCGTCGAGTTCATGAGCTCCTTCACCATCGCCTTCCTCGGCCGCCTGTTCCAGTGGCTGCTGCACATCTACTCGCCCGACACCTGTTTCAACTACATTGCCGTCGTCTTCAGCGGCTTGGCTGTGCTGCTCCCGGTAAGAATCAGCAACGGGTGTGCTGCCGCTGCCCCCGATGTGTACAGCGCGGAACAGCCATGCCAACGTGAAGGCTTTGCCTAGCTTTGCCTGGCCATTGTTTTTTCTGACCCCTTCCATCCCGAATATGGCTCCATTTTCCCTCTGCACACGCAGGGACTCGCCCTGACCAACGCCATGACCGAGCTGTCGACACGAAATATGATTTCGGGCACCGTCAAGACCTTCCAAGCCCTTTTTGTCGCCATGATCATTGGGTGCGTTCCGACTCTGATGGGCAATGGACAGCCTTGCTCGCGATGCCATGGATCTGTCGACCATGGGGTATCCGGGCTCATTGCGAAAACACCCCCTGTGGGCCATGATACGGCCTTGCGGTGTGGGACAAGATGCACATATACAAGCTTCGTACTGACGCCGATGAACCCCTTGATTTCTCTGCCTCTCTCTCTCTCGCCGGATCTCTCCCCCTCCCCCTCGCACAACCAACATCCCCGCTCCAGCTTTGGCATGTCGATGGGATCCGCCGTTGCCATCTTCCAGCCCAACGCCACCAACCAACTCTCGACCCAAGCCATCTGCTCCGAGCCCGTGTCGCCTTACTGGGGCTTCCTCATCTTCCCGCTCCTCACCATCTCGGTCAACATGCTCTTCGAAGCGTACCCGCCGCAGTGGCCCGTCATGTCGCTTGTCAGCGCCCTGGGCTATCTGACCTCGTTCTTCCTCTCCAAGGTCCCGGCTTTCACAGGCCAGAACACCAGCGCCGTGACCGTCGCCTCGGCGATGGTGGTCGGGCTTGGCGGCAACGTTTATGCGCGCATCACGGGCGACGTTGCCGTAGCGCCGATCCTGGCGAGCATCTTCTTGCAGGTGCCCGGCAGCGTCGGCGTGATGAGCTCGCTCGGGTTCTTTGGATCCAACATTATCGACGGCACGACCTTTGCCTTCAAGATGCTCCTCGTTGGCATGTCCATCACCATGGGCTTGTTCATCGCCACCCTGATCGTATGGCCCGTCAAGGGTCCTCGGCTCAAGTACATGACCTTCTGAGCCGCGGTCGCTCAAGAATCCGCAACAAGACCGACCGCCGTGGTTGCTACCGCCACTGCTGCTGCTGATGATGTCGCTGCTCGCGTCATGCCCACCTATACCACTGGAGGCAGCAGGATCATGGGGCCGCTGCGTTTGGCTCTGCTGCTGCCATCATGCCAGTCTTTCATCACTCGACGTTGCTGCCTTCTCTTCGTCTCTTTAGCTCTCTCCGTCACTCCATCTCGACCATCGCCTCTGCTTTTGGTACCGTCATTTTCCTAGAATACGAGCACGACTCTGCTCTGTTTTGCCTGCTGTTCTGCCTTGTCTGCCATTCTATCCTGTCTGTTGTTCTGTTGGCCCGCCCGATCCCAGTTCAATTACGCTATGTGTTTCTCTTTTTTCCTCCCTCATTCGCTCCGCGCACACTATGCTCTATGGTTTCGTATACCGGTTCCCTCTTGCTTCCTCGGCCTGCCATTTGCCGTTAATGTTTCTGCCTGTCGTTAGCACTCAGTGCTTGCTAATGAGTTTGCGCCACTCCACCCCCCCCCATGACGCAGCTTGGTTCTCTTTCTCTCATATTTGGAATCTGCATGGTTCCTATCGTATCGCCATGTATTAGAACCTGTCTGATCCCATCGCACTGGTCCCGTTCAAAGGGTCTGCCCAGACCCCGTCCATTTTTTGGAATCTGCAGTTCCTCCAGCGCACATTCGAGGGGCGAGTGCGGCTCAGTGCACGATACGTCGCTGCGATGCCTTGCGCTTGGTGAGGAAGGCGGGCTGTGGTGGCAAGCTGCCCCCTGCCGACAGAGCCAGCCCGGAGCGTTGGTTTTGGTAGTCGTAGATGGAGTAGTATGTGCGCAGGAAGACGTCTCCCAGAATCCACTGGCCTTTGAGATCGGCTGTTGTGCGGTGGGAGTGCAGTGGGAGGTGAGTCGGTGCTTCCGATACCAGTGCCACGTTCACAGAGAGACATGGGCATCATCGCATCGAAAGTACGGATGTGCTCCAGCTTGGGCGAGGGCACTTTTGCTGAATCAGATACGCCGTCTAACCCACCATCCACATCCATCCATCCTCTCGACACATTCGTATCTTGTTTGCTCCCTGCCCTCGCTCCGCCCCGTCTGGCATCTTGCCCACTTACATGAACCCGAGAACCCGAGGATGCACACGTTGTTGGCCGGATCGTACTGAATGTACTGCTGCGGAGGCACCGAGAAGGATGTGCCGTAGATAACAATCTGGATGGGCGCCAGACCGAAAGCACTGTTGCAACTCAGAAGGTACAGCCGGCTGGTGGGGTCGTAAGTAAGTGGGATTCCAAGGGAGGGCACGATGATCGAGTCAAAGTCGCTTTGAGGGACCACGATCAGAGACGTGCCTGCATTGTGGTTCGGGGCAAGGGGCAGCGGGTGATTGCGATGGCGAGAGGGGAATGAACGCAGGAATGATTGAGTGGATGTCGTTGCGCGGGCCGCAGCACAATCGCCTCGGGCGAGAACGCCCCATATCCTCCAGTCCAAGATACTGTCGCGCTTCTCCATGAAGGACATTCTCTCGCTGCGTTCCAAAGACAATATACAACGATGCGTACCCGTGTCCAATATAGCGACAGCGTTGCTGATGCTCGTTGCGTTGGACTGGATCGTGACCTGGTCCAGGCGGTGGCTCCAGTAGTCAAAGTACTGCTGTCCGTCGCTGATGTAGGGCTGGAGCGGCAGCCATGTGATGCTGCCGGTGTAGTGCCTGCTGTCGTATCCGCCCAGAACGAGCTCGCCGCCAAAGGCATCCACCGAGCCATCCGTCGAGCCGTTGAGCCACACAGAGAACACCGGTTGCGACAGGACACCTTGGCTGATGAGCCCTTGGATGACGGATTGATCCTTGCTGTCAACGCCTGGGATCGAGGCGCCGCAGGAACAGGCGGGACATGTCTGCGCGTGAGGACCAGAAAACGGCAGCGATTCGGCCCCAAGGTATCGGCCGCCGCGACATCCCTTCCCACATCGCTTTACGGCGGCATTGGCGCTGTGACGCACCTTTTCCATCGTTATACGAGAGTCCAATGATTCCATCGATGCCGTACGAGAAGATCGGTGACATGTCTTTATCGACCGAGTATACAGCGCTAAAGGCCTGGTTGCTGGAGGTGAGTCCTTCGATCTGAACCGAGTCCTGTCGTTTGAAGCGCATTCGCCGATGAGACCCAGATGCAACACAAGCCCTTTCTAGCTCTGTCCTCTTGCTCGTTCAACCACCAAGGAACGAGATGCTCGCGAGTACTCACAAAGGAGATGGTCCCATTCGCTTGCCCGAGCCCGTACGTGAGGGTTTCCGTCAGCGATGATGTCGAATAGGTGCTGCTGCTTTGGCTGCTGAAATGGTTTGGTCCATTGCATCTGCTGCACCCCTGAGTCTCGACCCAGAGGCGAGACGATCCGGTGTCCACTTGGACAGAGAACCACTGTTGCGGGGTGCTGTGGTGGCCCAGCGCAGAGGGGGGGAAGTGTGAGTACACTCAGCGCGCATGTTTTCGAGCACACCACGGCATTCTGCTGACGAGACCAAGTTAGTATGCTTGGATCGCGACCAAAGCTCACCCACCCGATTGCCACGGCGATGGAGTACTAGAAAATATGGACAGCGAGAACAGATATCACGGTTCCAGCCAGTCAGATCCAGCCAGTCAGATCCATTCAGTCCGGTCTCGATGGGGCCCTCTCAACTATCGCCACTGTCATTGTCCCCGCTCAAACGTGGCTGTCATTGTTGCTATTGGCCCTTCAGACTCGAACTCACCGCGGAATCACTCGCGTCCGTCAGATACTCAGCAACGGCCCGCGGTTGCAACGACGGCTGGGCGGCCGATCGGGGCTCGTCTTTGTTCAGCCGAGTCCTCCATCGATCGACTGCACGGACAGTGTTGGCTCCAAGGCGGATGTGCAGCGGCTCGTTTGGCCTGGACGCCGTTCTGCTGAGTGGGATCCTACATGATGGCGCATGAGCGAGGGACAAGTAAGTTCGATCGAGGTCCGCGGTGGGAGGGGGGAGGAGGAAAGGGATGCACTGGATTGTGGGAACGGCAATTCACGAGTGGTACTGCAGTTTATACGTCATCATGCATATTTTGATACATGCATTGCGCATACCTGCCAACGCCAACCGTTTGGCTTGCGACTGAAGCTGCGCTGATTCCGGCGAGCAGCAAGATGGTCCCAGAGAGCATGAGAGGCAAATGTGGCGGCTGCAAAACTAGATGGTGTCTCTGGAAGGGGATGGGACGGTGGAGAGCGGAGAAGGAGGGAGGGAAATCGTATATATCCACCAGGGGCGATGGAGATCCATGGGTCCCAAACCCCCTCTTCCCGCGCGGCGGGAGGGGAGCGGGCCGGTCATGGCCTCCAAACCGCGCGCATCATCCGAAACCAATCCCGCTCGATTGGATACAGCCCGCCCGCATTGAAATAGTTACGCGGATGGCATGGATGATGTTGGTTGCTCTTGGCTGCTGTGGGCGTTGGTCTCGGCAACGGCATGCTGCGTCGATTGCGCCTTCGACTGCTCTCCGTTGCTCCTCCGCTCCCTGCCACTCCATTCCCTCCCTTTCTCCTCGGGTCGTTCGCGCTCTCTCCCGCGCTTTCTTCGTTCATAGTCTTTGGCGATGGATGGGTGTGTATTCAGGACCCAGAAAGGTCACCATCTGCGCTCGGGAACGGGCGTCCCGTTTGGGTGTGTGAACGTGAAAGGCGAAGGCAGTTGGCGCGTGCGGCAAACCAAGGAAGGAGGGGTGAGATTCCAGCAAGAGTCAAAGCGGGAGGAGGGGATGGATGAGCGGTACAGAAACTGGATTATGAACAGGCAGCATCGGCGCCAGCTCGACATCGATAGCTGCTGTCGGAAGGACACACGACACTCATATACAAACAACAAAAGCTTACGGAGAGCTGGACATGAAGAAATGGAGGCAAGGATACAAAGAAACGGAAGGTGGCTGGGCTCAAAGGATGGGGCGCGGGAGCAATAGGCGCAAGTTCGGACAGCACCGCGGGAATGAAAAGACGGAACGGATGAGCGGTGCAAGTGCATCAACATGCTTCAGAAGGCGAGAGTCGTCAACGGTTGCTCATCTTGTGGCCCATCCTGTGCTCATCGTGTCGCCACTTGTCCCAGTTGCTCATGCGCTTTCCTTTCGTCTTGGACCATTCAGTTTCCTCGGCCAAACATCATGGACCCGCGCTTCTGCGACTTGAGGCTCGCCTGGATGCCCGGGTTGGCGCGGAGTAGGTTTGCCGACACGCCCGAGAGGTTGACTGCCGGGGGAGTTGTGCTGGATGGGCCGGTGGTCTTGCGTCCGCGCGAGATGGGCAGACCCAGGATGGTGGTCGATTCCTCGGGATCCTCCTCCGAGATGCTGGCATCGTCGCGCCCGGACGAAACAATCGACCGCTGGTCCGGCTCCACAGTCAGCGCCGAGCGCGAGGACGAGGCCGTCGGCGGCCTGGCCGGGTCGCCAGAGTCGTTGGCTCCGTAGTTCATCAGTCCCCGCAGCAAGCCTTTGCCTCCTTCCTTGAGGCTGTTGGTCGAGGTCGGGCCGACCAGGATTTTCGGAGCAGGGGACCGCACCGAGTTCTGACGGGTGGCGCCGGAGAGACTGCGAGACCCTTCCCGTGTGGGCACACGCTCCATTGGGACATTCACATCGAGCGAGTCCACGTCGTTCGTCAAGCTGGCGGTTCTCGAGCCCAGCCGAGGCGACAGGATCGGGCTTTGAGTGCCGGACATGATCGGTCCTGGGAGCTTCTGCGAGCTCGAGGGCGACTGCGCGAGCGTGAGCGTGGTGCTGAAGCTGCCCACGGGGCTGTAGATGTCGTCGGGTGACTTTGCCGGGGAGCTGGCGAGCGGGGTGTCGATGGCCATGTCGCCTTGGTCTTTGTAGCTCTTGCTCAGGATGCTGTAGCCGCCTCCGTTGTCGTGGCTGCCGACGGACGGGAGGGGTTTGATGCCCTCCTGCTGCTTGCGCGAGACGAGTGACTGGAGAATGTCCTGAAGCTCCGAGAAGGACTGGTCGGTGCCGTTTTCGGCGTCGTCGATCCCGAGGCTGTTGGAGAACCGGAACGAGTCGCCGCGAGTCTTGCTGATGCGGAGCGGGGCCGACTCGAACTGGAGCTCAAGCTTGGGCGGCAGCACCGAGGTCTTTTCGTGCGGCTTGAGCGCCTCAAGCTCCTGGGAAAGGGCTTGTTCTGGTTGGCCGTTGCTGGGCTCGCTGCGTCCGCCGACAGCGCCGTCGCTATCGGGTGCGTTGTTGCGGTTGGCGTGGTTGGCGTGGTTGGCGTTGTTGTTGGGCCGTCGAGCCGAGATGGTCTTGGGGGCGTGCGTGGGAGTGGGAGGGAATGGCCTGCCGCCGCCCTCAGCAGCCGCAGCCGCAGCAGCCGCAGGCGCCGATGTGGAAGCGGGGGCTGTGGCCGAGACAATGTCGCTCACGAGCTCTTCGTACATGTCCGCCTGCTCTTCCTCATACCGCTGGTGGACATATTTGAGGTCAACCAGCGTCTTGGTGAAGTGGTCCAGCTTGGCCTGGTCAGCAGCGGTTGCGCCTGAGAGACGGTCGCGGTGGCGCTGGAAGAGCTGGTAGAGCATCTCGGACTCGTGGCGCAGATCGACGGAAAGACGCTCGATAGCGGCAGGGAACGGGCCAAAGTCGGGGTTCTGTGCAGTTGGATAGGACGCAGCAAAGATTGGATCAAGTCAGTTTATGCGGTCCATCGATGACAGTGCTTCGGAGGCAGCAGCGACGTGCGTGGGTAGCATCCCAGGCGGTGGTTTGAGACATCCAACAGAACCCGTACCGAGATGTTATCCAGGAACAGCTCCATGTCCTTGAGATTCTTCTGGACGAACGGATTGACCTATCGGATCCAGCGGCCACCGCACAGGTTTGCAAGGAGTGATTCAGCGAGACGGGGATGATTAGAACGAGCAAGCGATGCGATGCGATGTGATGCGACTGCAGTTCGGAGGCGAGCTGTACCTGGATCATGAAAGCCTCCTTGGCGCCAAAGGTGGAGAGATTGGCCAGGTTCTGGATCACCTTGGCGATGAGCTTGAAGTTGCGCGAAGCAACAGGCGAGGGGATATCGGGCACAAGGCCAAACAGGTTGGGCTGCATGCACAGACAGGCGCAGGGCGGATCAAAGAAAATGGGCTCGCGTGAGCCATGGACATAGTGTAGTGGAGGCAGCTACAATCAAGCAGCGATGGCATACCGAGAGAATGGCTGGCACAATAAGACGCAGGAAGAAGAAACAGTTGACGCCGAGGCGGCTGGTGTTGACGCTGCCGAACTTCTTGAAGACCTCTTCGCGAACATGACTCAGCATCACGACAATTTCTCTGCAAGGGTCGTGAGAAATGTGCGGGTCGGCCGCATGAGCACGCATTCCGCACGAGGATACACTCCGCACGAGCACGCATTCCGTATGACACAGCCCTCGTTCCTTCACCAAGCGCAGGTTCTGTTTCTGGTTGCACACTTCGTGCTTACCTCGGACACAGCATGATGGACTTTTGGATCGCGTCCCAGGTCGCCGAGACGTAGAGGATCAGACGCTTGTAGTTCTTCTTGAGCTCGTCTGCCATCCTGATCGTGGGCGTGTCCTCGACCATGGCTTTGCTGGGATCGACCTCGCACGACTCGGTGCTGTGGTAGATCTGCAGGAACAATGTGCCAAAGATCGACTGGAGGAATCCTCCGGCGAGGCTCTGGACGTATCGGTCGATCGCGACGGTGGTGAGCGAGTTGCCGCGGAAGAGCGTCGACGTCTCCTTGGACTTTGAGATTTCTTCCACAAGCAGTGCCTTGAGGCCCTCCTCCGACTTGCCGACGGCTTCGAGGAAGCGCATCACAACCATGGGCAGGTCTTCTTTCTGGAAGAGGATGTTTCCGAGGGCCTTGATGCATGTGAACTCGGGCTCGGTGGTTTCCTGTGCAAGGAGAGGTGCGCAGTCCAGGTCAGAGGACAGGCGAAGAGCGAGGTTCGAACAGGACTGGATGCTCGGTTGCCCTCGAGCGGTACCTGGATAAACTGGCGGTATTCTTCCACAGGGATCACGTTTTCGGTCTGGGTGGATTGGCAATCGTATCGTCTGTGTCAGTGAGCTAGATCGCTGGAATTCACCAGCATCCCAGATTGACCATGGCATCGCTGTCCATCCGAGTGGCGAGCCGGATGATTCGAAGGAAGGATGCTCGAACGGCGCAGCACGCGCGCCGGAACTTACCCAGAGCTGGAAGGCGACTCTCATCGAACCGGGCCGCTCGCTGGTGCCATAGTCGGGGAAGGTCTTGATGGGATACCACTCCTCGACGCGGCGCTCCGTCGGAAGGTCCTTCAGATTGACGCTAATATAGCCTGTGAAGGCCGAGAAAGCCGAGAAAGATGCATGAGACCTCTGCTTGCTGTGTGTTTCTACGCTGGCAATGTTGACGACACTCCTGGTCGCATTCGCCTCAGGTTCGCTGATCCCCAGCGACTAAAAGCGAGGGCCGGCCGCGTTGACTGATGCCACAGTTCGTACGAGACATGCGCGGCTGTGGCGGGACAAGTCTCTCTCCATTCTTACCGATCAACTCGTCATTCATGAGGGGAACATGCCCAAAGAGTGCGATGCGGACCTTGGAGTGGTGGCAAGGGAAGTCGCTGGAAAAGGAGAAGATGGCGGTGGAAAGCGAGTCGATACCAAAGATAAGTCCATCTGATGCTTCTGCAGGTCTGGGACGCGGCCCTTATGAGAAGCATAGTCACCGACGCACCGACACACCGACACGCCGACACGCGACTCACTAGAACTGGAAGGTCTCGCCCCAGAAGGGTGTGGTGCCTTGCTTGATGGTCGTCCGGGCTTGTCGCACATCGTCGAGCAGGACGATACAGTAGGGCTGAGCTTTCTCCCGGGTGACGTTGCGGCCGAGGGGCAGGTCTCGGACCTCCATCACCCACACTTGGAGAGTTTGCAAAGCGCGCGCCATCAGCGGCTTGGGCTGGTGGAGCAGGCTGAGCTCCTCGTTCGGGGCAATCGAGTTGGGGTCGTCGGGAATGTAGCCATACAGGCCAGCACACGGGTCACAGCAGTACATGATGCGCTTGAACGAGGCCAGCCATGCCTGCTGCTGCTTCGGGCTGGACAGGCGGAAGCTGATGGTCTGTGAGCCCGTTCGGTGCTTGTAGATGATCTGGACAACATTCTTGCAGTCAAAGAAACTCTCGTGCACGCTGTATGCGTATGCGGGCCGCAAGTCGATCACGTCTCGGGCCTTGACTGCCTGGAGAGTCGCAAAAAACCCAGATCAGCATCGCGATGTTGGCACAAGACCGGGGCGACCCCGCCGAGGAGCGGTCGGTGGGAGTGTATATGCGAAGAAGGATGCTGCTTCCACGGTGCGCGAATGTCCCACCTCTTCCGATTTGAAGATGTAGAGCATTCTCCGCTCCAAGCTAATGACGGCATAGACTTGCTTCCAGCCAAATCGCGACTCGCCGCGCTTGTAGTCCACATAGTCGGCCTTGAAATGGTCCAACTCCTTCGGCGTGATTTTGAGCAGCACCTGGTCGATCTCATCGCCGAGGCTCTAATGGCGCAAATCAATCACAGCAGCCGCGTGAGAGAACGGCGGTCATGTGTGGAGTGAGCAAGCAAATCTGGAGTGGGCAAGTATATGGAGTGGAAACGGGCTGGTGTTGGGCGGGCTTACATAGTTATCGACAAATTGCTGAACGTCATCGGCGACGTCAATATCCATGATCTGCTCCTCGAGCGCGTTGGACAGATACATGCACTGCATCACGAGCTTCTTCTCGAGCTGGCTGTAGTTGATCATGCAGTTCTTGACCGTCAGGCATCGCTCTTCTTCGCGGAACCGCAGATCCTGTGACCCGAGGCGGTGGTGAGGACAGGGGTGAGGACAGGGGTGGAGGCTAACGGGAGCTGACCTGGATACGCAGCCACCAGAGATGGGGAGTGCGAGCATCGACTTACCTCGTGGATGGCGGGAATAAGCTTGTTGTGGTACTCATCCTGGGTCTTTTTGAACAGCTCCTCGCAGGCGTTGAGGTTGTCGAGGGCGGCGTTGGCTTTTTTCTGGAGTCCCAGGACCTTGTTTGTGGTCTGCGGCGATACGGCGATACGGCGATACGGCGAGGCGGTGAGGCGGCGAGGCGGGAATCAGGCTCGGTGCGTGGCAAAGGCGTTGGCGTTTCTCGGACGGAGGCGTTGGCGGGAGAGGGGAGAGCACTCACCTTCTCGAGATCCTTCAGCCGAGTGGATGGCTGCGACGACATCAGTTGGTGCTGGTTGCCAGCCTCGACGGCGGCGGTCTGACAGAGCTCGTAATCCTTCCGGGTCTGCGCGGGATGAAGGCGGGTTAGGTTAGCAGAGAGGGTGGGTCTTGGCCAGGGAGCACGGCGGATGCAGCTGGGCAGGGGCGACGGTTACCCTCTTCAGGTTCATGTAGACATCCTGCATGTATTTGGTGTAGTCGTAGCTCTTGTCAACTTGCTGCAGGCGTGGCGGCAGAGACGGAGACGGGAGGCATGCACAGCGGCGATTGAGCGAGAGTGTTAGAAGAGTCTTGGCATGTGCCAACAGCAACAGTTGCCACAATGGGGGGCGGATGCGGATGAGGGCGGGAAACGAGGCAAGCGACGAGGGAGGAGGCGTGGGCTGGCGGCTGTGCTGGCGGCCGGCGAGATGCGGCGGACGGAGGTGTCAGGACGTACTGCTTTGCGCTGGAGCTCCATCTCCTTGATGATATTGGTGTAGGGGTCGATAAGGGTGGCCTGCAGATTGGATGCAAATAGCCGCTGGAGTGGGGGGTGGTTGAAGGCAGGTTGGTAAGAGCGGACACATCTAAGTGTTGGTCACAGAGCGAGCGAGTCGAGGCAGCACATACATGGTATTCGCTCAGCTCTTCGTTGGCCGCAACCAGGTCGTGGAAGATTCGCCAGATATCGCTGGAGAGAGGGCCATGGATTCGTTCGGAGCAGAGGAAACACAGCAGCAAGTCAGACGGTGGCGGCGACAGAGAATACTGGAGGGGACAGAGAAGAGGCAAAGGCTGCAGCACAGAGAGTGGAGCAGGCCACACCAAGTGCTGCAACAGCAGGTCGAAAGACAACATGGCCGGAGTGTACAGCGACAGCCGGATGATGCCGAACAGCAGGCGCCGCAGCAGACACATGGGAGGAAGATGTGCATACGTTTTCATGAGATGATCCATCTGGGACGGGTTGGAACTGAGGTTTGGCGGCGGAGCCAGCTTGGGAGCCGATTGGCCGAGTTTGGCTGGATGTCGAAGAGGGGGGGGGTGAAAGAACATGGTCAGTGGGGCGGAGAGGTATGGGGCTCGCACAGATAGGGACGATGGCTTGGGAGACAGACAGGATCCGGCGAGGCCACAGAGGCCGCCGAGGCCACCGAGGACACCGAGGCCGAAGGGGGACGGTGGAGAAACTCAGACAGCCGATACGGCTGGCACTGCGGCAGATGTGTGCAAGAGATAGATGCATCCAAGAGTCCCAGAGGGAGTCCGCAACAGACACGATGCGATCGCCTTGCAGATCGAGGCTGGGGGTTAGCAGTCACCTAGTGCTCGGGAGTATTCGAGTTCTATCGCCTGGCGACGCTGCAGATAGGCAACGACGTTACGGCACTGGCGGATCGAGTCCTCGCAGTACTTGAAAGCATTCTCAAAGGACATGTTTGGGGCGAGAGCGAGGGAGGCCGTGGTGGCAACGACAGCGGTCTCGAGAATCTAGAGGCAGTTGTGAGGGACTCCAGGGTTGGAGAGTTGCAGAGGCAGCCGACTGGTGATGGTGTTCGTGTTGGTGGATGTGTTGGAGTTGATGTTGGCGGTGGCCCGTCAGGAGAGCAGGATTGATGAGCCAGAAGCAGGAGCAGCCCGGGGGGCAAACGCAAAAGCAAGACAAAAGCGGCCAAGTGCAAACGCAAACGCAGCGGCAAACGCAACAGCAACGCAGGCGGAAGCAAGAAGAGAAAGGCCCTGGGACAGACCGAGGATGCAGGGAATACGCCGCGGACTTGGGCGAGACCAGCAGGCGAGGCGTTGGGCTCGCTGGGCTGTGGGAGAAGGACACTGGGCCCGAGCAGGCGCAAGATGGCGATGGGAACCGAGAGGGCGAAGGCGGGCAGATGACCCGGGGCACACAGGACGGGGCTCAGAGGACGGCGGTGGGCGGGGGCGACAAGGCCGCGGCGGCTTTCATGGCCCTGCAAGGCGCCTATATCGGGCAGGCGGCCACCGCCACAAAGCGCGGCAGTGCTGTGCCCGCGCAGTGGGACGCCCGGCTGCGCTGTCTGTGTGGAAGCAGGATATGATGTGAGCCAATATACAAAGTGCATGGAATGGTGTGAGCCAATATACAAATTGCACGATATACCGTGGGCGAATGGATTATGCAATGTACAAAGTGCGCGATATACTGCAAGTGAATCTGCATAGTGCGCGTCAAGCGACACTGCTTGAACTGCACTCACACAGTCGACCGCACTCCACTGTCGCATCCCGCGTCGCGCACACCCTCGCACCGCTGTCCAGGGCAATGAACACAACCGCGTGCGTGTTCTGGCTCTCCGCAGCGCCACAGCTGCCCTCAACAGACACAACGGCGCAACAGAACACTGCAGCACAGGGACGCGCCCGTGCAACGCCCGTGCAACGCCTGCCGCGCACACTGTATCCCCGGCGCGTCCGCCCATCCACACCCCGGAACAAGGTCCACCCCCTCGAGTCGCGGCTGCTGCTTGTCGACGGTCATGCTCTGCATGCGGCGTTTGTCTCTTGCCTCTTGCTCTGCTCTCTGCATCATCCTCCGCAAACACATCCTTGCCAATGCATCATGTCGCGATTCCCACGCTGCATGCGGCCATGACCACGAGCCCTCATGCATTTCCCTCGCTGCCATCTGACGCCGCGGTGCGGCTATATGGTGCATTGCTCCCGGTCATGTGTGCGATGGAACGAACAACATCCGTGTTCAGAGGCAAGGTCTCAGGTCTCAAGCCTCAAGTGCCGTGCACCGAGCTGCAAGTACCATCTGCATCATGCCACAGGCCCCGCCTCGCTCGTCTGCTACGGCAGCGATATCAGCGATCCAGACCGCTGTCCACCCCCGTTCTCGCGGTCCTGTGCCGGCTCTGGGACCATGTGTCCCCCGTCTTCGAGCCCCATTCTGTTGTCTCGTTGTGAGTCCGTCCGCTTCGGCGTGCCGTATTCGCTGCCGTTGCGCTCCGTCACGACCGGCTGGATCTCTCCGAGTCTCCGGCTCGATGTCGAGAAACTGCTCATCCCGCGCAGATACGGCATGCCGGCATTCTCTCGTCCGCCGCTGCTCTTGGGGCTCATCGGCACGAGTAGTGGTATCGAAGGCTGCGTCGTCACAGGCGGTATGGCCAACGGAGGCGGAAGCACCGGCAGCGGCGTGATTGGCCGACTGCTGGGCAGACTGCCACATCCCGCCGAGCCGGCTCCCGATCCGCTGCCGCCAGGGTTGTAAGACTTTGCCCGTCGCTTCCACAGGCTGCCAAATCCGCCAGTCGAGTTGCCGTTGGCCGAGGTCAGGCTCTCGACCGAAGGTGAGATCTGGATCGAGCTGTTGCTGAAATGCGCCCCGGATGGCAGCAGTCCGTTTCGCCCGAGCGTGCCGCCACGCTGCGACATCACCGGGGTCGAGTGGTGGAACGACTTTTGCTTTTGCGGTAACCGGCCCTGCGATTCGCTGAGCACTTGCCCGTTCGAGTTGCGCTTGCCTCGCAGCTTGTTCATGATCTGCACGCCGTCACCGTATCAATAAGAAAAGCAGAGGGCAAACCGATGAGCCCAAGGTTCTGGGAGTAACTCTATCCGTGACTACCGGCCTGTGCTGCCTCACACCACGACTGCTTCTCAAGGAACCCTGCCCACCAGCTCTGCCTGACAAGCAACCACGACATTGCACGGCATTGCACGGCATTGCACGGCATTGCACGGCATCCCACGTCACTGTGCTGCAGACCCGCTCGACGCACCTTGGTCACAAACGTCACAGACGGATTGACTGCATTCTCAATCTCCTCCTCCGTGACTGGATCGAACTGACAGTTTTCCTCCGTCGTCATCATCGGGAGGTCCCCGGATTTGGTCACCCACGGATGGTCACGTATCTCCTTGAGTGTAATGCGGGCGCCGGGGTCCTTCTGGAGCATCTGGGTGAGCAGATCCTGGAGATCCTTTGAGCAGTAGTGGCTCGAGATCACGGGCGGATCGTTGACGATCTTGCCGTACAGCTGGAGCACATTGTCGTCCTCCCACGGGCAGTATCCGTGCACAAAGCAGAACAGCGTGACCCCGAGCGACCAAATGTCGACGGCCTTGCCGCTGATTTCTCGGGTTTCGGCTGGAAGAGACCAGAGCCCACATTGTCCAGAGGGACACATTTGATGTTGCGCAAAGAGCATGTCGCATTCATCATCCCGAGAAGCGGCCACCAATTCGCGGAACCGAGATACGTCATGAGGTCAGTGAAGCAGGCCTCGGACTTTCCCCAACGCTTTCTCCCACCACATATCGACCACTCCATGCGCGCTCGTCGCCCCAAGTGCATCGATTCGGCCCAAGGGCCCTGATTCGCGCCAGTCCCTATCGCCCAGTCAGCCCGCCTTCTCTCCACAATCGACTTACGCATGCATGCCTCAGGAGAAGTAAACAGCGGCGAGGCATTTTTCTGATCCAGGACAACATCTTCTTCGTCGTCGCCGCCCCCGCTGTCCATGCACATGTACGAGATGCCAAAGTCCGAGATCTGTAGCGTCATATCGGCCCGGAGTAGCAAGTTCTCGGGCTTCAGGTCCCGATGAATGATCTTGAGAAAATGCACTGCCATGCGACCAAAGTACCAGATACCGTAAATGATCGCACACGGTCAGTGCCGTTGTTCTCCGTGCGCTTCAACACACGATGCAGCAGCCATGACGCCGCACGAGTGCAGCTTCGGATACATACAGTACTCGAGTCCAAGCACCACGTCGCGGAACAACTCCCGCGCCAGATTCTCGGCGAACGGTCGCACTCGGCTGTTGACGGCCATGTGCATGATCGGCCCGTACTCGCAGAGGTCAAAGACTGCGTCGGATCAATCGAGTTGGATGGAGACGTCGGCAATGATTATCGATAGTGTCGGGTCGTTGGCGATTCGGAGATACCAGCAGTTGTCCAGACGCGGCGAGTGGGCGGGAAAGCATGTCGATATCTGCAGTCAGTATCCGTCGGCTGCCGAGACTCGCAAATGCAGCAATCGAGTCATGTCAGCCACATCCGCCGATCGAGGCAGGAACACTGCAAGAACTTCCTCTCCTCCCCTGGCTCTTGCCTCGCAGTCACTACAGCTCAAGTCAGACACACCCTCGCTTTGCCGGCCGTACTTAGATACAGATTGTCCTCCTTCTGGTCGTCAAGCACCTCCACAAGTCCGTTGATGTTGTTGTGCTTTGATATCTTCTTCAGAATGGCAATCTCTTGCCGCACAGTGGCCAGAGCGGCATCTTGCTGGACAGTGCCGCCTGGGGTGCTGCAGCCGCCGAGGCCGCCACCTTGCCATCGGAACTTTTTCCGCAGCCGCAGCTTCGAGATGATTTTGCAGGCATAGAACCGTGAGTCTTCTTCGCTACGGCAGAGCATTACCCGCCCGTACGCACCCGAGCCGATCTCGCGATAGATGTGGTACTGGTTGACGCGGCCCTGGGTAGACTCGGGTGCCTCGGCCTGGGTCGAGGACGGGCTTGAGATCGGCGAGGAGGCGCTGATGGTCGAGAGGTTGTTGAGGCTCGGGGATGGGGTCGACGGCAAGTTTGGGCTGAGCAGACCGCGGATTTCCTGGGGTGGGAAGACCGACGGCGCCTCGATCTTGGCGTAGATCACCGATGTCTCGACGATCTTGCGGCCGAACCCGGTGTTGCGTCGGTATCCTTCCCGTCCAAGCGTGCTCAGGTTGGATCCCATCGACCTTGATCGGCGATGGCTGAGTGGGACACCGCCCTCGCTGCCCGTCCGCGGAGGTTGCAGGAGACCCGAGCCGGCTGGGAAGCTGGGCTGCAGAGGCGACAGGTTGCCCCTGAACGGCGAGCCCGAGCTGCTCACAAAGCCATCGGGGCACGACTTGGACAGGCTCACTCCCGCGTATCCCTCGGGGATATCATCAGTCGAATGCCGGCGCACGACCGGCGGCAGCACAAACAGTCTGTCGCCGGGCGACACCGGGAGCGCATCGCAGCGTCCGGGGATGCTGACCGGGGTAGCTGCATGGAGAGCGGCCGAGTTGCTCACCGTACGAGTTCGGGGCATCGTCGCGCTGTTCCCAAAGTCGTCCCTGTCGGCGTGCTCGGTCGGGTGGAAGACTCGCGAGGAGAACCTGAGGACGTTGCCAAACATGCTTGGAAACGATACCTTGCGCATCGACGACGGCGTCGGATACGAGTCGGTGAGCGGGCTGCCTGGAGATGCGTGGTTCCGTCGGCCGTCGTGGACATCCTGGCTAGGTGGGTAGCTGGGTGGGATCGGGACTGTGAGAATGGTCCCGCGAGGCGACATGTGCACGCCGTGGTGCTCCGGCTGCGTGGCGATCCGGGCAAGACTCAGCGGATCCAGGCTCTCGATCGGCGGATAGAGATGGTCGTATGCCTCGGACCCTGACCGGGCCTTGGGTACGCTGGGCCGAGTATCGCTCGGCTCGTTAGCCTTGGAGACGCTGGGCTGGAGGTCCTCAACAGCCTCTGCAGCTTCGGACATGTACACCGAATCGAGCGCCAGCAGAGGGTTCTTTCGTCCTGAGGCCACAGCAAGAGATGTCGATGCTGCAGCCGCAGTTGCACTCTTTGCCACACCTGCCGCCGAGTCCACTGCTGCAGATGTGGGAAAGGGAGTCTCCGACCGAGTTGTATCGTCTGAACTCGTGCTTGGGGCCTCGATGCTGAAGGAATACAGATCCTCGGTCTCGATGCTGTTGCTTCCCACACGAGACGAGTTGGATTGTGTGTCGGACCGCTGGCTGGCTTCCTCCGGTCGCAGGATGCGTATCTTGATGCCGGCACAGCTGGTCCGGGCAAGGGAAAGAGTTCCCACGCCTTCCGTAGCGTCCAACTGGCTGCTGGTGCGCTCGGTCTCGCTGCGTCCAACCGAGAGCGAGTCGGTGGTCCCGTAGCTCGACATGATCGACAGCGTCAGGCCCGACGAGTCCATCCGCCGCTGGGGCGGAATACTGGCCGAGTCGAGTCCGGTTGTGCTGGTTGAGTCGAGTCCGTTCGAGGTGGCCGAGTCCGTTGGATCGGCAAGCGGCTCGGGCCGCTGGTGTGGCAGCTCCCACTGCCGTCTAGGGCTCTTGTAATTGCTGGCATCGTCGGCGTCAGTGCCGGCATCGCCATAGTTGCTGTCCTTGCTGTTGCCGACACAGCCGCTGGCGCCGTTGTCGTCCTCGGCACTGTCGAGATCGAATTGGGTGGCCGACTGCTGCGTCTCGGGTAGATCATCAATGTCGGTGGGTTCGGCTCGGTTGCGGATCCAATTCTTGACCCTGCCGAGCCTCCGCGGACCCGGCTCGCTTCTGCGCTTGTCGCCCGAGGGCGCCAGGCGAACGATCTGCTCCGGATCGACCTTCTCTGGTCGCGGAGACGAGAGTGTCGGCGTCGATGACCTCGAGGTGCGAGATTCGTTGCTGCTGCTATTGCCGCCGCCGGCGCCTTTGCCAAACTGATGCAGGAGCATATCCAGCATGCCCTCGAGAACTCCGCGCGGCGACGTTCGGCCGTCGCTCCGGCTGGACGATCTCGAGTGGCCTGTCGCCTGTGTGGGCTCGGTCTCGGCAACGACCGAGCTCCTTAGGATCTGGGGCTGCCGAGGAACGGCGAGCTGCTCCGCCTTCGTAGGCTCGACGATTTGGACCGAGAGGCTCTTGGCTACCGAGTCGCCCTTGGCGGGGACGATCTTGCGGCGACGGAAGGAGAGCGTCGAAGAAGCACTGGGCTGTCTCGAGCGGATAACCGGAGAATGTGGGGTTTCCATCTCAGCGAGGGAGTTGCAAAGGCTAAATCGGTACGGCTGTTCGAATGCCCAGACGACTTGCAGAGGAGCGTCGGTGGAGGCGGCGATAACAGATGGCCGAATGGTGGGAAAGGTATGCGGTAGGATCTGTCGATGGTATCTGTGAAATCGACTGCTGCAGATCGGGCAATGTCGACCGCGGTATCAACTCCGAGGATGACCGTGGGAATGGGGTTGTGCTGAAGTCCCGGGAACGGCGCAGAGTCGTGGGAGGGACGGAGTTGTATGAGGGTTGTAACTGCAGTAGGCGTTGTGGCTGCGGGTGCAGCCCGGAGATGAGTGTCGGTCAGCAATGAATACCTTCAAGCAGATCTATCGATGGCAAATCAGCCGTTTGGTATGTAGGTTGGCGTTTGCGAGGAGGGGAAGGGACTGGGTGAGTGGGTCCTGGCTTTCTTGCGGTCTATGAAATGCAGGTTGCGAGTGGAAGATGGTGGTGCCAGCAACAGAAATCGTGCAAATCCCAAAGATGAGCGACTGCAGAGGGATGGATTGAGGATGGACTGTGCAGAGATCAAGAGGGAAAGCACCGCCAAGGGATGGCGGTGGTGGTTGGGTCGCTGGGATGAGAGTGTGTTCGTGGCTCTGGCACGGCAAGCAAAGCGACGGGTGACCAAGCGAGTGGATGGCCGCCTGGGAAGAGAGATTCGTGTGTGTTGTGGTGGCAGCGTTGGTTGAGATTATTTATCATCGAGCGCCAGCTTGAGCCAGCGGCATGTATAATCGCAGCAGCGACAGCACAGCGTGGGAGGCGAGCGAGGGGCTGTGCGGCAACCAGGAGAGACAACGGCCGCTGCAACAGAACAGGGTGATGGGGCTGGAGTTATTGCAATAGCAGCCAGCAATGCAGCATTAGTCTCGTGCAGGGCAGAATTGTATATGCGCCGGCCAATAGCAAACATAAAACACAGAAACAAATAAACAAACAAGCGAGCAGACGGCGCTGCCACCGAGGGCCCTTCTCCGAAAAAGCAGGTGCTCGGCCGAAGCAGCAACAGAAAAGGAAGCTGAAACAGAAGTGGACAGCATCGAGCCTCGCACAGCAGCGTCGCTGTCCCGGTCGCCGTCAGGAGACGATACAAACAAACACCTGCAGCTGGTTGGAGAGTGTCCGCCGCAAGTGGCGATCGAGGCCGGCTGCTTACGTCGAACTCATTCTGAAGTGGGACTTCAACACCCAAAGCCATCCAAAGCTGCTCTCGCAGATCAGCGACATTGCTCCTGAGATCCATCGACATCATCGCACATGTCATCACAGCCACCGCGAGCGACATATCGCCTACTGCGCGGATGTGGCCAACCCGCACTGCATTCCGTCCGGCAGAGAGTGCATGCGGCTCTCCGAATCGGACCGGGCTCGCTCCCTCGTACGCAATCCTCCTCCTCCTCCGACGCATTCGATCTCATCGATCCGTGAGGTCACATCATCGCTCGCGGCGGTCGTATATCGGCCAGGTGATTCGCACTCGTTCCAATCAACTCGCTGCCGTCGACGGCCGTGGGGCGTCCGACTGCATATCCTTGCCGCCAGCTCTCTGAATCCCCATCCTGGTCCTCCTCCCAACTGCAGACGCGTGGGTGATGAACCATTTTCGAGCCCGTCCCCTTGCACCCCCTTGCTTGCGTCGCGCCCCCTGCTGCATCGGCTTCGTCGTCGTGCCTTCCCCATCATCGTGCACTCCCGTCGCACCTCCACAGCAAGCGGCTCTGCATCGGCATCGGCCCGCTCGGGTCTTCCATATTGTGTCCTGCTCGCCGGGCTTCCTCCCTCCCTCGGTTCTGGGGTCCGCCCGTTTTTGCCCGCCTCGAAGAATCCCCCTTCCTCTCACCCGGCTCGCATTGTCAGTTCTGAGTGATTAGAGGTGTGCAGTTGCCGCTCTCGACCCTTCCCTCCATTTTTTTTTGTGCGGGAAATCCCTCCGTCGTGACCGCCTGGAGCAGCCTCGACCCGTTCCCCATAAGTACCCCCCCCCAGGAATTCATCATCCGTCTGGGCTCGACTCGGTCGACTACACCGCTTCCCTTGCCACCAGCCCTAGCTTCAGCCTCTGTTCCAGTCCCCTTCATTTCCCGCTCACCCATCACTCCTCCAGTCACAGCTCCATCCCCACGTGGCAGCACTCGCCCATCACCACAACCCGTCCCACATCCTTCCTGCATCACGTCGTTGCCACCAAACAGCACGTCCCCTGCTACCAGACATGATCTCCAGCGAATGTACTCCAAGCCAGCCTCGCTCCATCGAGAGCGACGCCTCAGGCAGTCACACTGCAGTCCAGATGGGCGATTTCCAGCCGGCCATGGAGTTTAATCGCGGACCTCAGGCACATCCTCGCGTCCATTGGCATCCACTCTCCTCCAGAATCCAAGCCACAGGCCAGCATCCTGAGTACGTCCTGCCCTCGCTCCCAAATCTGCCCACCAACACCTCAGCCCGCTCGTTCTCTCCAAGTATCCACGAGGACGACTCGGCCTGCTACAACTACTCGCCTGTGGATCTTCCAGCGGTTTGCGAGGTAAGCGCCGCGTTTGCGTCCCTTGGACTCATGGCAGTGCGGCATCAGTCATCGCTTCAGGGACGTGCAGGGACGCCCCGCGTTCCCACGTTCGGTCCCGCCCTCGAACCCTGCCCGCCTTCATTCGCGCGCCTCCGAAACTGGGCTAAGGATCCGCTGTGTGTGGCTCCAACGGGAAGGAGCCAGCCAAGCATCTGGCTCGGCAGCACCTTGTGGACGAGTAGAGCGCTCGTTTGGCGACTGTTTTCTTTCCGCGAGCAGATCTGTGCGCTCTCCTCCCTCCCGCCCTCCCTCTTGCATTGGCAGTGTCCGCTTCTGTTTCTCACGATGGATGCCCTTGTCTCGTGCGATCCAAGGCTGTTCACTTGATTCCCTCAGGACAGCCCAAGAAGCTCGTCAATGCCGTCGTGGCCATCCAGCGTGCCTTCCGCTCCAAACACACCCTGACCTCCACCAAGAAGCTGTCGCTCGAGCGAGCTGCCATCAAAGTCCAGGCTGCCTTCCGCGGGTTCAGGGTCAGAAAAGAGGTATGTGATCGGCATTCTGGATACCACACGGCGTCTGCGATCGAGCACTGCTGCAGCTGGACTGCCAGGCTCTCCTCTCATGGCGCACTCTGCTCACTGCGGGTCCTGCAGAAGGAAATCGCCATCAAGGATGCCAACATGCTCAAGGCTTGCCAGGAGCTGCGCCATCGGGCCGACTTGATCGAGCAGCTGGGACATGTGAGTTGCTCTCTTCTACATCGAACCAGAGTCCGTGTGTGACTCTCATGCCTCGACACTTGGACATCGTTGCAGCGAGATCTGCCCTCATTGCAGCGAGATCTGCTATCGCTGCAGCGGCATCGGCGTCTATTGACTTGTATGTTGCATACGTATCAAAACGACAGCACGTCTCCGGGCTGAAGCTCCAGCTGGACGAACTGTCGGCTTCCTACGAGACACAACTTGCCTCGAAGCAGCAGCAGATCGAGTACATGGACAAGGATCTTCATCTGGCGCAGCGCGCCGTGAAAGAGCTCCACCATCAACTCAACCTGGGCGCCTACGGCCGCCCGGAGCGTGTGCTGTTTTCCAAGGAAAACGTTGGGTTTTTGCAGGTGAGCTGCCCCCGACGAGCATCCGTATCAGCTCTGGACAGTGCAGCATGCGTTGTGTGGTGATCATCTCGCTCCCATTCTCTCTGCTTACACGGTCCTGCGTTTTGGCTTGGCATCCCATTGCGATCATTCCATTGCGATGATTCTATCGCGGCCATTCCATTGCGGATACAGCGCCAGAACCAAGCTCTACAAGGGCAGGTCAGCGAACTGCGCCAGCACATCACCGAGCTGCATGCTGCCCAGGAAGCACACATTGCCACCATCGCCAAGAAAGACTGCGAGATCAACGATCTACGTATGCAGCTCAAGAATATCCAGATGCTCCTCGGGTCCAAGCGCAACAGCAGCTCGCCGGTCGAGCGGGACTATACCTTTGACAAGCTCTCTCCCCAAGGGGCCTCGTCACTCGATCGTGTTGTGCCATCGTTTCCCTCGGACAAAGACTTGTATGCTTTTACTCCTTGTGGAGAGGACCTGAAGAGCTACGCTCCGCTCTCTGGACGCCCGTCTCTAAAGTCCATCTGGAGCCCAGCCGAACAGGTGCCGCCGTTCCTGATGCTTCCTCCCGAGCCGGCTGGCCTGGTGAGTGAAGATGCTGGACTTGTTCACGGCCTGGCCGAAAGCTATTGTGTCTCAGCAGTGATGGATCGAGTGCCCTTCGGTTGCATTTGGTACTGAAATCCACGGCCGTTACCAGCAGCGATGCGACTCTCCAGTCAGCTCGAACAGCACCAGTGTGCCTGATCTCGGCGCCACCAGGGGGAAGAGAAACCACATCAAATCAATCTGGAGCCAGTCCGAGGGCTACGAATGCAGCGGCGAAGTGCAAGCCATGGAGGTATGTCGATGCGATTGTCGGAGTCGATCATGTCGTCGCTGTGTCCACTCCAAAAGGACATTGGTCATACCTCTGTGAGTATTATCTAATCGATTTTCCCTCATCGAACAGCACATTCAGCCCCGGGAGATGCACATATCCGCCCTCAAAAGGGCGGGGCCCGCCGATCCGCTTGTCGAGTCAAACGAGTCTCTACTTCTCCAGGCACAGATATTTGCGCTTGAGAGCAGCTCTGCATCTCATCTCCAGGTATAATTGCGATGGGGTTGAATCCGTTTGAATCTTGGGGGCAGCGCGAGCGTGTGATTTGGAATCTACTGTAACGCATTCAGATGATGGACACTAACGGAGTGTGTATCTCTCTCTCTTCTGGCGATGGGTTGGCTTTGGCGCATCTGTACGATCCATCTGCACGCCCCATCTCCATCTGACTGCACCCACAGTCGATGGTCGACAAGATCCTCAAGACAAACGACCAACTAGCCTCGCTCGTTCTCCAGCAAAAGCTCAAGACCGCCAGCGTCGATGACCGAAACATGATCTTTGATGCTGTACGCGAGCACAGCTTGCCTCTGATGAAGAATCGCTTCGGCAATTTTCTGATGCAGCGGTGCCTCGAGTTTGGAACGAGAGAGCACATCAAAGTGCTTGGGCTTATGATGAAGGGCAACGTCTACTCCCTGGCGTGCGATCGGTTTGGTTGCCACGTTGTCCAAAAGGTGAGCCTGACGGCTGTATCGCGCAGTTCGACTTCCCGCTTACGTTGAATTCAGGAATCTGTGTGTTATGCCGTGGGGCCGCTGAGAGATGCTGATCCAACCCAACACTGTGCTCGTGCTGCTCCATGACTTACCAGGCACTCGATACTGTCGACGAAGATCTTCGCTCAGCGCTGGTTTCGGAGCTCTTCTGGGTGATCTCCGAGACCATCACCCACCGATTTGCCTGCCATGTGTGGCAGCGCGTCTTTGAGATCAAGTGGAGATCGGACGGGTCGTCGGTGATTCAGTACGTGCACTCTATCCTGAAGGGGCAGTGGAAGAGCATCGCCAATGATGAGAACGGAAGCCTCGTCGTCCAATGCATTTTCGAAAACTGCACTGACCGAGAGAAGGCACCGCTGCTCTCGGAGATCCTCGCGCACACCCTCGAGATCTCCAAAGGTACGATCGATGCGCACTTTGTGGGCTGGGTTGGGGGCGATCCGAGATTCGAGTGGGATTCGAGTGAGAATCGGGTCGTATCGAATGTCGGCGTGCACATGCCTGCAGATGAGTACAGACCCGGGGAATTACAGTACCCAAGGCGAGCCCGGACACCATCCTTATTCCCGTTCACGCCTTTGCTCTGCCACAGGCCAATGGGGGAACTGGGTTATCCAGCACATCCTGGAGCACGGAGGCCCACAAGACAAGGTCTTGATCCTCAAGGTGGTTGCAGCAAACATTTACAGCATGAGCATCGACCAATACGCCAGCAAGGTGGTTGAGAAAGCACTCAAGACTGCATCCAAGCACGAGCTGTTTGAAATGATCGACAGCGTTATCTCTCCCTTGGCCCGGGACAATGGGTAGGTTTGATCCTCGTCGGAGGCCCAGACGATACCGCGACACTCGCATGAGCAAGTGACCAGCGCTCCATCGGAGCAATCCCGTCGATTGTATCACAGTCTTGATTGAGCTGACCAACTCGTCTGACCGACACAAACCTGCATTCATCCCATCGCCCACACCTCCAGCCGTCCTCTAATTCTCGACATGATGAACAACCAGTTCGGAAACTATGTCGTCCAGCACATACTTTCGCTTGCAGAGCACCACCAGCGTGAATCGTGCATCCGACTGTTGACACCGCATCTGTCGACCCTACGCTGCTCCAAGTACGGCCAGCGGGTCGCCGCCATGGTGGAGAAGTACTCCCGCGGCTCCCACCACCGCTACAGCCATGGCGCTGGACTCTCGTCCTCTCGTGCGATTGGCGCCAACTCGACCTATCCTAAGCCTGGCACGATCGATAGTCTCCGCCATTGAAATGGCTCTTGCCTTTTGGCGATACCAAGTTGGGCTGGGCCGAACACACATGGGGCGGATCTGAAACAAGCAGTCGCTCTCCGTCAACTCGGCCCTTGAGGCCTCTGTGCTTCTTTCTCTTCCATAATGTTTGACACTGTGTTTAGTTTCATATGCCATATGGCCCTCAGTAAGCCGTGTGCGTGACGGTGGCTTGCCCTCACATTTTGCATTCTTGATCACCGTGTGTCTGAGCACCTTCACTCTTTCAACAAGCCACTGCCCGCCATTCGCACCCATCTAGATATAGACTGCACTTTGCACATCACCATCACAGTCCCGCACCAACTTTATCGTTCTTGCTTCGCTTCCTTCTTTCTTTGTCTCTCTCTCTATCCGCTTGCTCGATGATATTTATCCTCTGTCCGTATGATCTGATGCCTGTACGTACTTCAAGACTGTCTCTATCGATAGATCAGCCCACTTCACACCGGTTCGTCCGGTCATTGATGCTAGATGCTAGATTTTATACAATGGTGATCCAGATGAGGCTATCTGCCGGCAATGCCTTATTCGCATACATTTCGTTGAAGAATCCTCCCGATACGCTGCAGCATTCGGGTGAGGTGTGGGCTGAATCGCTCCCACACCCTGCTCAAGAGCGATACACGGACTGCGTGCATCCTGGATGGCTATGGCGGTCCCCAAGCGGGCTCGCCCGTGGCCGCGGGCCTTGTGGAGTCTGTCCTCTCGCCCGCGAAGGGCACACCCCACTCCGCTCGCAATATGTCATAGCCATACAATGTGTTCCAATCACGCCGCTAACTTGCTATAAGAGCTGCAGGCGGGTAGCGATCGCTCTTGCCCCCGATCCACTCTCCCTCCTTTGGTCGGGTTTGGTTGCCTTCATCCAGCACTTCCCACGCGTCGCCTCGCTTCTCACAGCTGCTTCTGCACCTGATCCTGTCGAATCCATCGCAATGAGAGTCTCTCCCAACACGGGCTGGTGCCTGCTGCTGCTCGTCCACGGCATCTTGGCGACCTTCTGGTACGACGACCACGCCATCAACCCCAAGGGTCTTGACGGCGTGCTCGATCGTGTGCCCTCGATTGCGCAACTGAACAGTCGGTCTGCCATCGGCGCCCAAGTGGCCGGCAGTGCGTCCAGCACCGACTCTGGCAACCTCGTCAAGCGTGCCTCCGCCGGCTCGCAGAGTCCCGCTCGCATCAACCCGGCCATCCCTCGAGCGACCGCGAGCCCGGCCGTTCACTCCAGCAAGATCTCGTCGCAGAATATCTTGACCTTTGGCACCATCTATCCGTTCTACCCAACCTCGCCCTACAACAACTCAGATCCCACCGTGCTGAGCACAGGTCTTCAATGGGTAAATTAATCGCGCGCGTATGACATGCCCACGTTTATGCAGTCCACTCTGCTGCCATTGTTGCCATTACAATTGTTGTTCTCGTGTTTCGTGTCGTGTGTTTTCGCTTGATTCTTTCCTCTCGTGTGTTTCTCGCGCCCATCACTCGTTTCGCGCGTCGGGTGCTTTGCTCCAAGACCTACATTTGGCTGGCTCTGGGCTGCGATGGCGGCTGCGATAGTATCGTGCGTGTACTCGCCCGGTTGTGACTGCTGCAAATGCTTGATAGGATGCAACGAACGCGGGGCTCCACCATCATGTTTCCATTGGAACGCGACATTTCGCGTGGATTATCGATATTTGCTCATATCCAGACGCGAGGCGCGCTCCTCGGACCACGGCGATGTTCCGGCTCACTAGCCTGCTTCGTCTGAACTGTGCTGATCCATTTCGCTGCTTGACAGAGCAACGCGATCAATATGGCCATCGATGAAATCAACTCCAGAAACGACCTGCTGCCCGGCATTGTATGTTCATTGGCCCTGTTCCTCGAGGCGCCTGTGCTTGTGGTGCTTTTGGCTCCATTCGGCAATGGCTCTTGATGTCGAGGCGATGTGTCTGCCGCGGTTTACTGACATCTGCTCCTGCGTCTCCAGCTTATCAAATACAACGAGTACTCTTCGTTTGACCAGCAAGGCTCTCAGGGCGGACAGGCTGTCCTGGCCGCAGTGCAAGCGGTTATCACAGACTCGATTCACGCTGTGATCGGTGAGTTAAAGCTGCGATGCGACGCACGCACAGAGCAGAGGCATCGCGCAACGCAATCCTGCAACAGTTCGCTCTGGCATTGACGCTTTCTCTTCATTTCGTTCACCAAGGCGACTGGAGCAACGACCCCACTAGTAAGTATCGCAGACGTCGGGGCTCGTGTCTGCAGCAGCGTTGCGTGACTATGCTCTACTCAGCACGGAGACTGACTCGCCGCTCTCCACCTCAGGCTACGAGGCGCTCCTGGCTGGCCGTTTCAACAAGCCATACTGTGCCCCCGTTGCGGACTCGAACACGGTAAGTGATCCCAGCACCGAGTCCACACGCACTGCCGGTCGATGCTCAAGCTATATCCGCCATGATGTTGTGGATGGACAGCGTTACCCGTTAGCGTGGTCCGTATGAGGCTCACTTATACCCGCTTCAAACTTGTCCAGCTGTCCACCAAGAGCACCTACACTTCCTTCTTCCGAATGCTTCCCCAACAAAGGTCCGTATGCATGTCTATCGACAGCCTCAAAGCCACGGTTTGTTGTTCATGCCACTGACGCGATCACCACTCATCGTCTGCATCGCTTGGATTCGCAGTGAGAAGGGCAAGCTGATCGCCGACTTTGTAAAATCGATGGGCTGGCAAAAGGCCTTCATTATCGCAACGGTAAGACTCAATGGAGCGGTCTGGGTCGAGACCCAATGCCCTCCCCTCATTCACACACCATCGAGAAGCATCTGGAGCAGCGTCGAATTGACCTGCAAGAACAGAATTTGATTTGGTTGAGAAGTGAGACAGGGCTGGGTTGCTTGCTCGACAACTCGACCACTGACCCATCCGCTCAACATCGGCATCACCTGTCTTGTCTCAAACAGGCGACCACCTATGACGACTACGGAGCGACCTATGTCTCAGACCTGATCACGCGTTTCAACCAGACAAACCTCCCCGTTCCATCGTCGACCTTTTTCATGGAAAAGGGCAACTCCTCGGATCTCTCGGTGCAGCTGAATGCGATTCAAGCGAGCTACTGCCGCGTCATCATCGTGTGTGCGGCCATCTTTCCTGCCTCGGTGCTGTATGCTGCCGCTATGCAGGCCGGCTTGACGGGTAAGTCGGGCTGTGGTCGAGCTGTCGTCGTCGGGCCGTAATCGAGCCATAATCTCTCAGACTGACGGCCCAGCTTCTGGACACAGGTCCTCAGTATGTGTGGATTACCACGGTATGTCTCTGTCAATTTGTATTCGGATTGAGCACACAGCATCCTTCTGCTGTGCGTCAAAGCATACTGCTCACCGTGGTCTCGGGTTGAGACTCTTTGCACCGAGTCGAAGGCCGGCATTGAGGGATTGCTGCTGACCGCTTGCTCGATATAGAATGACAGCGCCGGTTGTGTCAACCAGCTGTGCGTGTGCTCCGCTGATTCCATTTTTCTGGTATCCATGCCGCTCGATAGGATGGTATCTACAACGCCGCGCAGTACCAGCTTTACATTCCCAGCAACCAGATGCCGACCTCACTGCAGTCGGTTCCTACAAGCGACAGCAGCATCAACGCTCATTTCAGACTGTATGTCGTCACTTTGCGTGGGCTTGGTGGAAGGAGGAGCTTTCTTTCTGACGAGTTGCTACTGACAAACAGGATTTCGTGAGGCGATGCTGCCATGAGAAACTGACAGAGTTTTGTCGCTCGCTCCATCTCTCTCCCTCTCCAGCGATGGCCCCATCAACCTGATCCCCAGCAACCCTTTGTTCAACTCCTTCTTGACTCGATGGAACACGCGTACCAACATCCCCCTTGATGTCCACAACGTTGCTGTGTGAGTTGTCGCAGGTGTCGCTGTACCTTGCCACAGCCAAGCCGAGCAGACGAGTGGATGGACGAGAGCGATGTCTGGGACGGACGAGAGCGATGTCTGTGCACACGAGGGTTGGACGTGCTTCTGTTGCCGCCGATGCATCGCTGATTATCGTTCTATTCTCTGAATCCAGTCCGGCGTATGACTGTGTCTATGGCCTAGCCTATGGCTTCCAGTCGGTATGTATGGATCGCACGGCCGCTCGCCTGTCGTGTGATTGTATGGCTGCCGGTTGACTTGACGGGTATTCACGAGCGCCACCAGCACCGCTGATCGATTCACGTCATCACGCTGACTCATCCATGCATACGAACCCCGCGATCGTTTGGATCATATTTTAGCTGATCAACACGACCCTCAACGGCAATGCCAGCAGCTTCTTTGTGGGAGCCGATCCGATGGACAACGTGATCTCCGTCAACACCACTATCATCTTCAACACCAGCTTCCCGAGTCTCAAGGGAGCATTCACCTTTGACGGTCAGTATTGGTATCGGTGGCGCATGACGCAGCAAGCAAGGCAATTTGCTCTTGAGATATATTCCTGACGCGGTGCGATGGTCCCTCCCTCTCACAATCTGCGATCACTTCAGTGAACGGAAATCTGGTCTCCAAGTGAGTAGCTGCTCCCGACGGCGTTTGTGGGTGCTTGCGGATGTTTGTAGATGTCTGCGGATGGAAGGGGCGGTGAAATACCAGACAAACAGTGTTTCAGGAAACGTGCTTCTCCGCTAATTTTGCACCCGCTGTGTTTGTGTTGGGCAGCCAAGTCAACATTATCAACAGATTCCAGGGAGTTGACACCGTCATCACGCAGCTGTCCGTGCCGTCCAACAACCCCCTGGCAGCGAACAACTCTCCTATCATCGCAACCATTGCTCCAGCACAGTTCTCTCAGTCCGGCTCCTTGACGGCCACCGGTAAGTCATCACTTTCGGCGTACAGGGATTGGATTTGATGCGCCTCAGTACTGAGCATATCCACCACTCTCCCACTCCAATTTTCCCTATCCCTCAGCAACGGTTCCCGCCGACTTTCCTCCGAACCTCCCTATCAACGAAACCTGGGTGTCGGGCGTGTGGGCACCCATTCTCGCGGTGATCGGCATCCTGATGTCCTTGATCACGGCCGTATTGTTCTGGGTGTACCGCACCCGCCCGGTCATCAAGGCGACCAGTCCGCTCTTCTGTGTTTACCGTAAGCTCTCATACATATCAGCAGCAAACACAGGTCCTCGTGTTCACGCTCAAGTTCAGGATCTGCGGTTGCCCTGTTTACTGCCTGACAACTGTTGCATCCCTCCTCCTCGACAGTCCTTGCTGGCATCGCCCTCGGAAACGCCACCATCTTCCTCTACATTGGCATCCCCACCAACAGTCTCTGCCGCGCTCAGCCGTTTGTCGTCACAACTGCCTTTGGCCTTGTATTTGCGTGAGTTTCTGAATCGCCTCGGTGTCACGATTGCGATACCATCGACTGATATAAACTGTGGCCGTGGAGAGCTGCAACAGCATTCGCAGATGGATTGGAAACGCAGGAGACTGACTCACCTGTGGCACCCGGATTGACCCTCTCTCGCTAATGGTCCGCTCTGTATCTTTTCTCACGGCGACATCTGTAACATTCCAGCAACTTGCTAGCCAAGACCTATCGTGAGTGTGACGCTATACTCATTTGCATCTGGAGGCCGGCGCTGTCCTGCGTGGAGTAGCGTCGGGGGTTCTTGTTAGTGCCCAAACGTGTTGCATCCTCATCCATTGATTCGATCTCACACTGGCTCGCCAAAAACCGACAGGTATCTACCGTATCTTCAACAACCCAAAGCTCCAGAACATCACGATCAGCGATCTGCAGCTCACAGGCATCGTTGGATCGATTGTGTTTGTCGAATTGGTACGAGCGAGAGAGCATTGTCCCGACTGACCTTGTGTGTGGTCCAGCCAGCGTCGGCCCTTGCGTTGAACTGACTCTGCTTTATCCTGCTCCAACCCACAACTCGCAACTGCGGGCCTGCCCTAGATCATCTGCACCATCTGGGTCATCGTTGGCCCTCCAGTCGCCACCAGCATCACACTGAGCCCCGTCAGTCAGTACTGGACGTGCATGTCCGTCGATCCCAACATCAACACCATCTTCGTGGCCGTTCTGCTGGCTTTCAACGGAGTGCTGCTGTGTGTCACCACGTATCTCTCCGTGCTGACCCGCAACGTCATGAGCGCATAGTAAGTCTGGCCACCGGAGCGAACCTTGGATCATGATTCCGATACCCGAGCACCAAATCCAGGGGCGGAGCTGCGTCACTAACGAGGTCTTCGTTCCACATGACGACGCAGCAACGAGTCCAAGTTCATTGGTCTCTGTGTCTAGTAAGTACCAGATCACCATCCGAAACGAAGGACTTGGGCCAGGGCATCTCAGTGGTGGTGTTGTGTTGTGCTATGCTTGTGTTTGGGTTTTGCAACGGGGGTTGGCCTGCATCGGGTCCAAGATGATGACATCTAATGATCATATCCACCTCCATCTCCATCTCCATCTCCATCTCCATCTCCATCTCCATCTCCATCTCCATCTCCATCTCCATCTCCATCTCCATCGCCTCTCGATCAAACACAGCAACGTTTTTGCTCTGTCGGCACTCTTCCTGCCCTTGATCTATGCCGACATTTTGATCCCCTCGCACTTTATCCTGCGCTCGGTCGGCACTCTGCTCGCGACCTACACGACCCTGGGTCTGCTGTTTGCTCCAAAGTTGTACGTGCTCTTTGTGAATATGAAGCCCGGCGTCGATGGCAGCACCCTCGGAGCCAGCAGCACGGGCAAGAAGGGCCAGCTCAGCTCCAAGGCCTCCACCAACTCAGAACACGCCGCCAAGGACGTGATGGTCACCCGGTTCCCCAAGATCCCGATGCTCAAGATTGTGCCGAACTGGTTCCTGTCGCTGTTCTCCAAGTGGGAGGAAGGCAAGTGCCATGATGTGAGAGGGAAGGGGAGGTGCACATACCGCAATGTGCAGATGTACTTGTGTGCAGATGCACTTGTGTGCTGGAGTGCAGTGGGTCGCCGATCACTGACGCAACATGTCTCGAACTCAATAGTCGACATTGCCTTGATCCCAAACAACGTTGTTCTCATCCTCCAGACTGGGGTAAGGACGGCCCCCCCCCCGCTCACTTGTTGCAAATGACCTCGCCGACCCGAATGGGCTGCTCGAGTCTTTCTCCCTCCTTTGCATCGATTGGCCCGGCCAGTTGACCTGTTGGCGGGAATCTCACAGTGTGTATGTTCCTCATTCTGCAGAAAAAGTCCAGCATCATCAACCTGCAAAACTCCAAATCCAAGCTGATTGCCGACACCGACGAAGGCTACATCCTCGAGCTCACCGTCAAGAGCGGCGAGAGCTTCAAGTTTGAGCTCAAGAATGTGTCCCAGGCCACCGCCTGGAAGGAGTTCTGCAAGACGGCCGACAATGCCGTCGTTATCGGTGAACTCGATGCCAAGGATGCCAGTACCGCAGCGCTCTGAGCTTGGCCGAGAAGCCCACCGATCGAACAGCTGAAACAGACACCAGTCCCAGTCCCAGCCGCGCTCTCCAGTTACATCTTCAGACATTTCCTGCAGTTGATAGCTCAGACAATTTTCATTGCCCATTTCAGCTTTATTATCGACCCTTTTCTTCTCTTTCGATATGCCATCGTGCCATCTTGCCAGCTTGATCATGACCCCCCAAGTCCGCGCTGCCTCTGGGTCCAGAGCCGTGAGCACACAGATTCATCCAGACCGAGTTGCCATCCACTTCGCATTACAATACACATACTGGGTTCGCGGCTGTTTCTGCCGAATGGCATATGAGTACGCCGCACACGCAGGAGGGCATCCCCGTTTTCAGATTGGATTGTATTGGGGGGCGACAACGGAAGGAAGTGATATCGGAGTCGAAAGTACCAGCATTTCTCACGCTCTAGAATGGATTCGGTTTGTTGGAGTGATCACGGGCGGGCACCACCACGAGGGCGTGGCAGGACCAGCCAGGTTCACAATGGGAGGGCGACGACTGGGATGAAGCATGTATGTGGAGGCGTTGTGGATGTGGAGGCGGTGTGCTGAAGGACAACATGGAAACAGCGGAATGGGGGGTTGGAGGATGGGCACGGGAAGCATAGACACCACCAGCGTGCAGCCGGGGGAAGCTCAAGAAGATGAGGACGGGAGGGTGTGGTCAAAGTATAGAAATCAAGGGCGGCATGGCAAGACCCAGCACGCAGGGAGCCGAAACGGTTTATGCCTGGAAAGTACTTAACCGCGGTTGCCGCGGCAGAAGGAGGAGGCAACGGTGCGGTAGTTGGCGACTCCGCTGCCCTTGCTGACACTGGCGGCGGCGCCAAAGAGCTCCTGGTGGGCAGGGGGAGCAATGTCAAAGTGGGCGCTGTATCCGCTGGGGGGAGGGCCGCACTGGTCGATGACGGTGACATGGACGGTGTTGCCGGTGATGGTGTCGGTGAGCTCGATGCAAGTGCCGCAGTTGGGGCTGTTCCAGCCGGCGTCGTTGAAGGCCATGACATAAGGCCACAGCTGGCTCAGGTCGCTGTATCCCCAGCGGGTGATGAGGCCGTTGGAGCCGTCACTGCAGGAGACGGTGTCGAGGCTCTGTTGCGAGGCGGAGAGAGCAGGCGAGAAGGGTGAGGTTGATGGTGGATGTGAGATGTCAAGTCGATATCGCCAGGGGATGCATGCACTCGGGCCTCATTCTCGGTGTGCAGACGCTCAAGACTCACCTCGTTGCTGGTGTACATGTGGTAGGTGGCATAGCCAAGGCCCTGGCCACTGGGCGGGGGAGGAGGAGGAGGAGGGACGGAGGACGGAGTGGGCACGGCCGTGGTGGAGGGGACGTCAGCCTGGGTCGTGGCAGGCACGACAGGCACGACAGGATCAGCGCTGGTGGTGGTGGGCAGGGGAGCGGGCTGGGCAGAGGTGGCGACGACGTCAGGGGTGGCCACGACGGTAGACTGGGGCGACGGGCTGGACTCGACGGGCTGGGTGGCGACGGGCGACTGGGCGGTGGTGTAGACGACCGAGGACGAGGCCGGGGCAGCCGACAGGGTAGAGGCGACATAGAAGGTCGACTCGACGGTCGAGACGGCGCTGGAGCTCTTGGAGGGCTTGCGGCACTTTGCCTTTGCGGCGGCCTGGCCAGCCAGGGCAAAGAGGGCGACGGCAACGAGACTGGACTTGTGCATAGCGACGGCGAAAGAGAGATGCAAGCGAAAGAGCGATGCAAGCAGAAGACGCAAGCAGAAGATGCAAGCAGAAGAGGCCTGAGCAGGAGCAAGTTCCGAAAGACCGACGGCAAGTCGATGGAGATGTTTTGTATCGACCAGGAATGCATGTGGGCACAGGGGTGGGACAAGGAGAGGGACGGTGCGACGCAGTGCGACAAATGTGCAACTGATGTGGGACATGTGTGCGACAGGCCGTGGCAAGGAAGGGCGTCACTGGGCAGTGCTGCTGTGTTGTGCTGTTGTGCTGTGCTGTTGTGCTGTGCTGTTGTGCTGTGCTGTGATCGCTGAAACCACTCACCGTGGCTCCTGCGCGCACACGGGAACACAGGCCAGGCACGAAGTGGAAAGGCGACAGCCCCTCTGGTGCCACAACGCCCACAGGCACAGGCGGCTTTCCTTTCCCGGATCACTGTGCGACCGCGGCGCGCACGCGACTGCCTGGCTGGATCCGCCGGCTGGATCCGCCGGATCGACTCGGATCCATGCATCCCGGTTTCTCCATCGCCACCGATCCTCGCTCGTCTGTCATCATCCATCACCATCTCTCCATCGCCATCGTGGTTATCTCCATCCATCCATCCGCTGCGTCTTCGCTCCAGAAGCCACCCCCCTTTGATCCCGCCGCTCACCCTGGCGGCGCAATGAGCAGTAAGCGGCCGCGAGAGGATCCCTATTTGCTGCCCGAGCTCGACAGGCCACTCTGGTACATCTCGCCTGGCGACATCGTCCGTCGCTCGTCGCGCCCATACGACAGCTGGCGCTTCGGCGATGTCTTCACCGGCATAGTCGGCAACGTCCAAGTCTCCATCCAGCAGCTTGAGACAACACCGAGCGACCGGGAACTGGTCGAGCTTCTCAACAATATCGACGCCTGGCACAAGCTGAGCCATCCAAACGTCCTTGAGCTCCTCGGCGCCTGCGGCCAGGACATCGACGGCACGCCGATTCGCCCCTTCTTCGTCTCGCCGCTCCTGCCCATGGGCAATCTACGGAACTACGTCTCGGAGAACAGCCTTCAGATCCAACACAAGCTCGCTCTTCTCTACCAAGTGGCCTCGGGCATGGCCTATCTCCACGGCAGAAATGTCATCCACGGCGACCTCAGGGCCCTCAACATTCTCATGCGCAGACCCTACTCCATCGTCATCTCCGACTTTGACATTGCCGGCACATCCCATTCCTCGTCTTCGCTCAAGCGCAACAAAGCTAGTCCATTCTACAGGGGCACACCTGGCTACATGGCACCCGAGATGCAGGACGACGAAAGCCCCTGCGGCCTCTCCGGGCCCACAAAGAGTACAGATGTCTTTGCCTTTGCCATCACCGTATGTGAGGTGCTCAAAAACGCAGATCCCGTCTGGGTCACCTCCACCAACGAGCCCCTGCGTGAAATCGTCGTCACCTTGCAGATCATCCGAGGCAGGCGGCCGAGACGATTTGGCGGTGTCCCTGCCGACATCTGGTCTGTCATCGAACGCTGCTGGCAGCAAGAGCCCGCTCAACGACCCTCATTCCCCGATATCCTTATGCTCCTCGACGACTATCGTGACCCCGCTGACGATGCTCTCCTGGTGACCGCCATCGATGCGCTTGAGTTTGAGCTGTCCTGAGCTCCGTTCAGTTCATGGTGAATGATCCCATTGTGCGAGGCTCTCGCTGTGTTGTCCTCCCCGAACTGTCCTCGCTGGCACCGACATGGATAGCATGTGGCTCTCAACATCGACATGCCACGGTCCGGGGATGGGGCAATACGAACTGTCCAGCCGGTCGATTGCATGACCGATGCTCGCTGTGTGCTGACACCAGAATATCTTTGTATGTATATATCCAATATGATACCGTGAGACTCACTGCAGTTGCTGCCATTTACACCCAGACCATCCTCAGTCTCTACAAAACAAACTTGGACGCCTTACATCAAAGTCTTCCTCTCAACCACCTGAGACACACCCTGCCTCTGACACATCCCCAAACACATTCTCATTTCCACAACCAACACACGGCGTCTGTCAAGTTGGTTGTGACTGGCTGTGCGGCATGTTTGCGTCGCTCCTCGATACATTATTCGACAAATGGCTGGCATTCGACCTGGTTCGGTATGGTGTGGGAAGCAGATCGGCTCATGTCCACTTGTTTCCTTTGTCGGGATGCTGCTGCTGTGGTCAGCCTCAGCGGTACCGATGTCCAGGCCAGCTTGAGACCATCGGCGACACCAACACCGAGCCGAACAGGCCAGGTGATGCCAGCCGATCCTGGCAGCTGTGATACGATCGGGTCAGGCGGGGCCATGTGCAGGCCGCTCCTGGTCGACAGAAGCAAGGACCCTTGTTTTGGGCCTGCACGAGCCTCCGCTTCACGCGCACGGAACCGCGACACGGTGATACGGTCCGTCGTGCGCAGCGTGTCTCCCGAGAACCGGCATTTCGCTCGGCTCAATGTGGGTCTGCGGTCCTGCTTCTCCACCGACCCGCCCCTGACCTGCTCGCCGCCTGCTCGCCGACCTTCATCTGCTTGCCCCTCATCTCCTCACCAGCCAGTCCACCAGCCAATCCGTCCACCATGAGCCAGCAATACTGCGTCAACGAGCTCTGTGTCCAAGGCAGCCAGCAGAACAACTATACCTGCGCTGTCCCCATCAGCTCGCTCACCGCCGGCAACTGCAACAGCGTGTCGGCCAGCCAACTTACGTATATCAAGACCTTCCTGACCTCGGACTCGCAGCACCAGTTGCTAGCTCGGATGTGCTGCGGTCTCAATGGCTGCCAAGCTTCCAACCAAGCCATCAACCCGTGCTCCACCACAGACTCCAACTATGCCTGCGTCACCGGAATCGTCGTTAACCAGCCTTACGTCGCCTGTCGTGACTTATTCTTCGGTGATGGCAGCAATTTCTGCACCTTTTCATTCCCGGGGACTTGGACTCCCACGGCATGCGCAAGCCCTTCGGCTGCCGCCCCCATCCCAACATCGGGCGCCGCGGTGGCCACTGCGCCTGCCTCTGGGCCGGCCTCTGTATCGGCTTCTGCGCCGGCCCCAGGGTCTTCTTCAGCCCCAAGCAGCAGCAACAACGGCGGGTTGCCGATTGCTGCGATTGCCGGAGGTGTTGCGGGTGTTGTCGGTAAGTATGTGACTGCATGTCCTGCTCGTGATGGGCATTGTCAGCCGTCGTCGATCTGTTCGAGCGGCTGTTTCTGACCCTGTGCTGCAATCCAATCTCTCCTGCACCCAGTCGTTGTTGCTGCCATCGTCGGCGTCATCTGGTTCCGCCGCTCCAAAAAGCCTGCCAATACGACGCCGCCTGCGCAGAGGCCTTCCATGAACAATCCGTCCATGATCGAGCTCGTTCCTGCTCAAAACTCCAACCCTTACCTTCATCAGGGTGCCCCCAACACCATGTCTGAGTATACGAAGGGCACATATGCTCCTGCTGTCGCCAACCAGTCTCCCGGCTATGCCACCAACAGATACGAGCCTGCTGCCTATCAGAGCAGCGCTCCTGTCTCGCAGCCGACCGCCTACTATGCTCCTTCCACGGGCTATTCCGACAGTGGCGCTCCCAACCCCTCTGTCTATGCCCCCAGTACTTCGAAGCACTCGGCTTATCGAGTTCCCACCCAGACCCAAGCCTACAGCCAAGCCCCTAGCCAGACCTACAGCCAAGCCCCTAGCCAGACCTACAGCCAGCAGCAGCCTGGCTCCTCCAATGCTGCGGCCTCCGTCAAGTACGTCGCCATCGCCTCCATCGATACAAAGAACCCCCAGCAGATCAGTCTGAGTCTCGGCGACACCATCTTGGTCCAGCCACCGTTTGTTAACGGATTTGCCCAGGTAAGAGTTATTGGACTGTGTCCTGATCTTGTCGGCATCGCTGCTGCTGCTGCTGCTGCTGCTGCTGTGTCTCAGTGTCCTGGATGGGCAATGCATCCACACCTTCGTCTTGCTCACGTCCTCGTCATTCGTCTTGCTCATCAAATGTGTCTTGGCAGGGTTTCAACCAGCGCACAGGTCGCTCTGGCTTCGTCTCCGAGAACTGTCTCCGCGCCGTGGATGTCGCTCCTCAGGCAACACACGACGACGGCCTCCCCAGCTATGTTCGCTGAAACCCGCTGGCTCGCCAAGCTTGCACAATCCCTCCAATGCTGCTTCCTCCACCTCGTCGGGTTATCCTCTTGTAGTCTTTACTCTGCTCTCGCTCTTGTTGTCCCAATGTCTTGATGTCTCGATGTCTCGTTGTCTAGTTATCTAGTTATCTCGATGTCTCGATGTCTCCTCATTGTGACATCATGCCACACCCCATAGTTTGCCGAGACATGCTCTTGTCGTGCTCGTTTCTTTGATTGATACTTCTTGTTCTCATGACGCTGTCAACTTCGGTCTTGCCTGTCGCCGCCTGGTCCGGCACATGCTGTTTCTTATCCAACCTGCCCAAGACACAATGGAAATATAATTGCATCGATTGGGGTTGATTCGTCGGACCAACTGCTCAAGACTTGGGCGAACCCAGTCGGGATGGCTCTTCTTTGGCCCCCAGTCTGTTGCCTGCCAGGTTTGCATTGATCAAGCCAGCGACCAACTCGGTTGGCACTGCAGTCGATCTGTCGACGAGAGCCCAATCGCTCGACCGATTCCGCTCATCGGAGCCTTGTAGCATACATGCTGGGTGTCTCCAAAATGAAATGGGACACCCCGTTTGAGTCATGACAGGGTTTGTTTCTGTGACCTGAATACACCCACCCACTCATCGTATTCATGGCCAAACACAGCACCCTCGATTTCCGCATCGCTGCACTGTGACCGGTGGCGTTCGCTCGGAAGCTGCCAAAGTGATCTGTTCTATTTCTTATGGCATAGCTAGACGCAAGCACATCACATACTACGCCGACAAATGGGTTGTGGGCAGGTGTCCCATTTCCCCCCTGAATTAAGTGTATCACGGGGCGTCGTGGTACACGCTGGACAGAGAGCCATGAAAGCAGCGCATGAACAGCACAGGATCGGCCTGGGGTCGATATGCGGTGCCATTCGATTCGAGCGAGAAGCTGTCCTGACGCTGCTGAAATGCGGATGTTGCCGACTCCAGCAAGGCGGAATGCCATCCGGCTCCTTGGGTCGCTCCAGCAACGCAGAGGCAGCCAGCCAACCCTAACCCTGGCAATGAGTTGCTCGACCACATCCGCCTTTGGTGCCATCAAGACACCGTCAATACCACCAACACCAACACCAACACCAGCACCAACACCAACACCAACACCACAGATGATCGTCCGTCCAAGAGTCCTTCCCGATGTCGGTATCCGCATCTGCACCAGCATCGTCCCAGCCGTTGGCGGCCTGTCCTGACTGCCCGACCGCATCCGCACTCCTTCACAGGCCCGTCTCCCGCTTCGGCTGCCGGCCCTCGGTCTGGATGAGCCTGTCGATATCCGCTCCATCAGCACCGGGCGTCACCTCATCCTCATCACCATCAAAAACCTCTGGTGCCCCGTGTGCCCGCACCTCCTCAACATCCTCACCTTCCTTGGTTTCGACCAAGGACTATCGCAGCCGATCTCGATCACCCCCAACGCTGCTCCCCGCAGCCTTGTCGACCCGTTTAACCAGTCTGTCCGATCGATTCCGGAGCGCGAGGTCGCCAGCAACCGCCATTTGTTGACCCAGGACGCTGCCTTTCTGATCCTGACCCCGGGTCCCCGCGACGAAGCCGTTGTGCTGAGGCAGTCCCTGGGGGGCCTATGGAACTCCGTCCCTTTTGTTCTGGATGACGGTCTGTGGCTCGCCGGTATGCTGGGGCTTCGATTCCCGATGGGCATTGTGCCGGCCTGCTGTCTCGTCAAGGAGGACGGAAGTCTGGAGGAAATCCTCATTGGTCGAGGGTACGTCACCGGCGACGACTTTGCGCACCTTCCCCGCACCTCCCGGTCCGCATCCGACCCTGGTCCATGCAGAAAACGATGGGCGACCCGTCATTGACAATCCTCTTGTTGCAACTCTCCGATCGCTCCTGCATCGCACCTACCCTCCCATCGACGTTTGGCTCACATCCGGATCCTTCTGATCTGCAAGAGAGGGATACTATGGCGACGACTACATCATGAAGTTCCTACGTCGCTCCCGCTTTGATACCGAAAACGATGCTCAGTACTCCATCACCGTGACCCGGATCATGGCAGAGACTCTCGGCAACAAAGTTGCCCTTGGACGATACACATTTGCCCCGCTTCCACCAGAGCTCCTCGGCCGAGTCCTGGCGTACCTCGGCGACAGGGACCTCGTCTGCGCCGCAGCCACGAGCACAAGCTGGAGGCGGACGGCCCTCGATGTCGTGCGCAAACGCCTGGTGGCAGCAATCTCGGGGCTTCAGCGAGCCCTTCCAAGAAGTGCAAACGGAACGATCACGCCCATCAACGTCAACACAGGCTGCTTCCCAGAGGACACTGTTGAGTTTGGCGAGGGAGTCAAGAAGATCGACCGACTTAGGGACGAGCTGATGGAGTTGCGCGACTTTGCCAAAGCTATGCTGGTTCAGGTTGGTCTTTGACCCCATCCAAGAACTACCCATGAGCTCTGCGACGTGCTGCTCAAGTCGAGGTGTATTTGCCGCCAGAGCGTCTCCTCCGACAAGCAGCAAATACAGGATAAGGATGTGGCAAGCACGACGACGCGGGGTGCTTGTCCATATCGATCCATTCCAAGCTGTCATCAGCCCCGGATGGCATGGCTGTCGGGATCTGTTGCAAAGCATCGGTGTTACTGATCTGGCGATTTTTGACGTGGTACTCGCATCTGCGGTGCACCCAAACCATCGCAATCTCGCCGCTTGCGCATGCTGTTGATGGCAGTGTACTCTTTGTACCGCAAGGACAGGCTCACACAGTTTCTTGAGTCTGGCAAGCAAAACGGGGGCTGGGGGCGGGTGACTTACATGTGACAATACAGAACTCGCACAGCTTCTGCAGTATCGTCTCAAAATCCGGGCCGAAAATGATGCAGTCGAACAGGGTCGGGTCGGTGTATTTGCTCGCCAGCGATACCGCCGTCGTCGACCGAGACGGCGGCCTGGCCAGGCTGTGAAGGGTAGCTTCGGATGAGTTCACATATTTCTCGGGCGTATCGATTCGAGGCAGCTCGTCTGTGCTGTCCGGCCGAGACACCACTCCGCCCGACTCGGGAGATTTGACCACCGAGACATATTTGCATTTGAGCGGCGAGCGCTGGACGATCAGGGCTCCCTGTTCAGCCACAGAGGTTGATTGAAATGGACGCAGCGGCGATTCACAGACACAGTGGCGATTCCCAGATACAGTGGTGATTCCCAGATACAGTGGCGATTCCCGGATTCACGTTCAAGGAGAGTCGCATGCAGAAGTGGAGCAGACCAGGGTGAGGATTCGGCAGGACGAGGCAGACTGACGCACACATCCGAAAGGACTGGGACTCGGTTCTTGCCGTCATGGTGCTTTCCATGTCCTTGTTACTTACGATGGCTTCCACGATGAGAATGCAGATCTTCCCTTCTGCCGTGACACGATCGACTTCATCGAGCGAGTTACCGTAATGATGCCCTCCCGTTTCAACGCACTCAACGAGCAGGCCATCCAGAAGCATCGACTGCAGCGTCAGGTCGGAGACAAAATGGTGATCGACTCCGTCGATCTCATCTTTGCGTGGAGGGCGAGATGTGTACGAGACTGACAGCTTGTAAATATCAGGGTAAATTTCTACCAGTGCCTTCGCCAGGGCCCTGTTCAAAGTCGAGGGTCGTTGACGAGTTGCACACGGTTGCATTCGGCGGGCGATGGTTGGGTAGCCGATCGAAATTGATGCCGGGGCGAGGGAAACCGACCAAAGTGAGAAAAATTAAGCGTGAGTGTCAATTGGACGGCACTGTGCGAGCAGTGCAACATCAATGGTTTTGTGTGCCATGCAAAGTGTGGAAGTTGCGATATGATGTTGCTGACGGCGCAGCTCAGCAAACCCGGTATGGGCGCACAGCACCTCCATCATGAACGAGATGCAGATGCACATATGGCTTGAGCAAACCGCTGGCTGTCCGCTCTCCTTCCTCACCTCTTTCCAGTGTCGGGTGGACCGCAGAGGACCAGCGGCTGCAGCGATTCTGCTCGCATCAAGTCGACGGCCCGGATCTTTGCATACCACCGCAGCTGGGTCATTTGGGTCTCGATGTGCTGGATGCTGGCGACGACCTCTGGCGGCGGGCAGTAGATATTGAGGGCCCTGATTTTCTCCTCGGGGCTGACCGGCAATCCATTAAAGGTGACGAGGCGTGCCAGCCGATACACCAGCCAGAGCCGAAACGTTGGGTCGTCCTCGATCGGGTTGGTCTCGAGAGTCAAGGCACGCAGCATTTCGAGACCTTCAAGGTGGTGGATTTCGTCGCGATCGACGATCCGGTTGGAGTGAAGCAACAGCGTCCGCAATGACGGGTGATTGACGTCGATGGTGGAGAGGCTCTCGATGACGTTGTGGCTGAGATTGAGTTCCTCGATCCCGGGCAGGCCGTGGATGCCGGCGATGGACGAGACTGAGTTGTGGGACTTTGTACAGCGACGTTCGAGAGGTAACAAGCACGACCAGGATAGCCGAGGCCGGCTGGGTGAGAATTTGTATGGTTGCATTCAGCGGGCATACGAATATGTGCTTTCGTAACTGCGCAATCCGATCGCTCAAAATCATGGGCAAGTGCATCGAAGAGGTGGACAGTGCTGACGCTGCAGCCTGTGAACCTGCCAGTCCGATAGAAGCGGTCTCCAAACGCCGAGGCTTTGGCCCTTCTCTCTCGCACTCACTCACCAAATTCAAGTACACAATCGGCAACCCATCGAGATTATCGATTCGAGAGATGCGATTGTGTGCCAGGCTCAAGTGGCTGAGAAACTTGCATCCGGAGAGCCCGGATATGTTTTCAACGAGGTTGTCTGGCAATGCAACACAAGTGCTATATCAGGATCGACGACTTTTATGGCTCCAGAAAGGGGGCCCCGCTTCCGTCGCAGTTTCGAAAGCACCAGCGCCGTGATGTTCCCGCCCAGGTCCCATCCAATGCCTACAATCGAGACAGAGCTTCTTGAGAAACGGATGACTGAGACTGTCTCCGATGTCTGTGATCTGGTTCTTCGAGAGATCCATGACTTGGAGATTGTATGGAGGAGGGTCGAATCTAGGTACGGACGACAGCCGATTGCCGGAGAGATCCAACTGAACCAGGTAGCGCATCGAGCTGAGCACGGAGCAATCTTGTAGCCGTCCATAATCCAAATCCAAGATAGTGGTTGCAAGGAAGAGTAGTGCACGAGACTCGTCAGTCAAATGCGACAGCGAGGCCGAGAGTGTCCGGCATAATGGATCGACTTGTTGATGTGCAGGGCAATAGGAGCGACGAAGGAAGGCCATCACGACCGCCGTACCAGATATGTTGTTCCGCGGGAGCTCCAGCACTTGCAGATAGACATAGTCCTTGAGAATGCTAATATCCTCGAGTCCTCCCCCCTGTCGGCCACGCAAGGAAGAGAGGAATGCCCAGAGTCAGAGACGCACGGCCACAATCAGCACTTGCTCGTTACTAGGCCATGTGGGAGTGCTCAAAGGACAATGCACAGATGCCGCTCCTCAACAGCTAATGTCCCAAAGGCATTGTGCCCACAAAGGCGTTGTGTCTACAAACCACAGAGACAAACTCTACTCCCCTCCCCTTCCCCAGACGATTCGAGACAAGAAGCGCAAATACCCTCAACGTACATGCACCGCAAGTTTCAGATAAACCGGCCGAAGCGTGTCCGGCGACATGCCCAGGTTCGAGAGCCCTCGCTTAAGCACATCCAGGGGCAATCCAAGCCTTTGAACCCGCTCCTGGTAGCTTGCGATCCACTCGAGATCCTCCTGGGATATCTCTTCGATCGACTCCGTCTCGGAGGTGTGAGAGGGGCCGAGGTCGACGCCGCTGCCACTATCATTGGTTCCATTGTTGTTGGTACTGTTGCCGTTACTGTTGTTGCTGTTGCTGTTGCTGTTGCTGTTGCTGTTGGCGTTGGCGTTGTTGATTCCGGCAGTGCTGCCGCCGTGCTCGTTCTTGGAGGCATCCCGCGAGTTGGGATCGTGCAGACTCGGGAGGGACGCGGTAGCTGATGCTGTGTCGGTGAGAGCGCCTTCGCTTGCAAGCGGCTTTGCGCCAGCGGAGGGACCGGTTTGCTGACGACTGAGACGAGAGTGCTCGGGTGAGTGGATTCGCGCATTATCGATCGTTGCGCTCGAGACGCGGACGTCGGGAATACCCGACATACTGCTGGATTGTGAATGTGTATGGCAGAGAAGTTGGGCAACGAGGATAGAGAATGCGAGAAAAAGATAGAGAGAATGAGAGGACGGTGCAGCAGGCGCGTGGGAAGTGACGATTTGAAGGGCTTCCGGCACCAAGCCATGCACGATCGATGACCCAAGGCGATGCGGGTCGCTCAGCCGGGGGTAGAAGAAGCCACAGATTTGCAGCTGGCCGAGACTCTGACACCAATCAGGGTCATATGGCCGCTGTTTGCATCATGCCCCGCCAAGCACACGATACCTCGCTCCGGTGCAGAGCTTGGAGACCGATATTGCGATTACCTTTGGGAATGCCTCCTGGAAACAGAGGAAGAGATATGCATCCAGCTCACGGAGACTCAGGTTTGCTCGGTATTTCGAGCAACTCATTCATGTGTGCTCGGTGAACGAGTTCAACACATCCTAGGTGTGCTCACAGTGACGAGAATCCAAGCGACTCGAGAAAGCAGAGTATCTTGATATCGAGAAACCATGGAGCTGTCCAGAAGGTCGAGAGAATGCACCGCACTCACATATCGAGGGAATGCACCACACTCACATATCGAGGGAATGCACCACCCTCACACATCGAGTGGATGCACCGCACTCCAATATCGACACATCAATGCCAGTCGATCGTCGCCACAGGAGATTGCCAACCAGGACGGGAAACAGTCGCATGGCTTGCTCACTGGAGCCTATGAAAGTTCAGTAGGCTTCAGGCATCTGATGCCAGGAAGGAACTGTCCCGTTTCTTTATGGATCTACTGTATGAAGGAATCGTATTCACACTATTCACAATGGCTTAGCTTGCAATCAAATACAATCAACTGTCGTTTCACAAATATTAGCATTACTCTACACCCTTTCCCCCCCGCTGATTCTGTCGTATCTACCAACTTTGATATTCTCGACACCATTACCCTCCCACAACTTTTCATTGTCTCTCGTTTTCTTTCTCTCTTTCTCTCCTCTAAAACAACAATCAAAAACAAAGCATATGACATTAGAATATAGCCAGACCACCGCCCGTCCAGTGTCGATTCCCCCGACTGCTTCTCTTTGGCGGTGGCTCTACTTTCCACACATTAGATCTGGCCCTCCATCGCTTCATTCCTCTCCATGGCGCTGGATGGGACACACATGGCCCGTCAGCACCGGAGAGAAATGAATCGACAATGACACAGTAAAGAATAATTCAAATATGAACGAGGTGCGCGTTTGTGTGCGGGAGGGGGGGGAGGGAGAAGCCAAGGGGAAGGGGAAGTGAAAGGAGGTTTGATCCAATGCAGCAGATAAGAACAGTAAAGGTAGAGGAGGCCCTGGAGCCCTTGGTCCGAGGCGCACGAGTCGCCGTCCTTGGAGGCGGCATGAGCAGCGTCGCGCTTGTCGGTTCACTCGATGCTCTCCGAGACCATGTCGGCGCCCAGGAGCTCAACCGGCGCCATGTAGGCCATAAATAGGGATTCGTCACAGGCGGCTTCGACGGCGGCAGATGAAGATGCTTCGGAGCTCGAGATTGAGCCGTGGGCCTTGATTTCCGGGTTCTGGAAGGCTGCCATGGGATCTCGTGACGACGATGGAGGACCGACCTCGCAAAACATCATATTGGGATCTGCGGAGAGGCCGTCGCCGACCTCGCGCGTCAACGTCAGCGACGAATGGCGGGAGCGCGACCATGCCGGAGCCAGTGTCAGGTTTGGATCGGTGTCGACGCGGCGGCTACAGTGCTGGGTGAAGAGGCCGGTCTCGGAGGTCGGTGAGGGCTGGTTCGCCTTGGCGACGGGCGCCGGTGTTGGTGCCGGCGGAAGGTTCGCAGTGGCAGCGTCGTGCTCGGCTGCGGCGATCAGCTCGGTTGCTTCGGTCGGGTACGTCTGCGCCTGGGTGGCCGCATCGTCTGGGTCGGCTTTGATGTTGCTCAGCATGGAGTGGAGCGTCGATGCCGCCTGGATGCTGTCGCCAAGGGGGGAGGAGATCATCCCCACCGAGTTAAAGGCCAAGGCATCGGCTGGTGCCGGACATGAGCCGGACCAGACCGATGTCGCAGGGAGTTGGTCGGAGGAGCCAACGCCAAATCCCCACAGCTCGGCAGCGTTGGAGCCGACGACAGCGCAGGGCGTGGTTGTGTAGTTGTTGAGATCGAGCAGGTTGAGCGCCACGCTTTCCTGGTGGAAGGGCTGCTCCAGCACTGGCGTGAGCGAGTAGGTCGGATCGCTGATGAGGGACTCGCCGATAAGACCGCCACTACCCTGTCCCAGATGGGCATCGACCAGCGAGCCGACAATCTCGCAGTCTTCGCGGATAATGAAGGACTCTGAGAAGGTCAGGCAGTACTCGTCCTTCTGGTCCGAGACCTCTACGAGGACATCGGTGGTGCGTGGGCATTGGACCATCACGAACGGCAAATGGATCGGCTGGCGCGGCTCCTTGAGCTGCGACTGGCGGGCAGCATTTTGCTGGATCAGCGCCTCGAGTCGCATTTTCTACGGATGGAGAACATGGTCAGCATCGCAGCATCAGTGACACGACAGGCCAAAGCAGACCAAGGACAGTCAGACCAGGAACAGGCACATGACGAATGCGAATGCGAATGCGAATGCGAACGGGCATGAGCGTGCATTGGATGATCACGCGGCAGGAGAGGATGGTGCAGTCGGCCAACATCGATCTGGATCGAGAGTAGAGAACGGGCCAGCCCTACATTCTTCATGTTTTTGGTAATTTGCACCTCTTCGGCAACGATCTTGTCCCTCAAGTCTTGGATTCGTTTCTGGATCCGCGGATAAAGTGACTCTGACGTCAGGACACAATCACAGCGATTGCCGATCCATTCAGAGTACTCGGTGTGAGCCCAAACAGCTGCTGCCCAGGCATGTGGGCAGCGATGCTCACCTTGATTGCACCGATATCCCTCGGCACGTTGGTTCTGGGTCCGCCGGGCAGCCCCACCCACTTGATTTCCCGATGCTCTTTCGAGATGATGTCGAGCGCCATCAGCACGTTCAGTGCATCGTAGACTCGCCGCCGGATATTCTTTTGGTCGCAGTTGTGCTGTTGGAGACAAACGGATGGTGCGGGTGAGGATGGTGTTGCTGTTTGGCGGAGGCGCCGTGCGAATGCAAAAGTACATGAACCCGCAGCTTGCAGAGCCAGAGGATCAACTGGGCTCTTGCGGCTGGTACCCACCCCGTTCTGACGCTCAAAGTCATCGACGAGCTCCTCGGCGACCTGCAGCGATGCGCCGGGAAAGGATCAACACAATCAGTAATGAGCTCGACTCGTGGGCTTGGTCAGTCAATCGTTGCACCCTCGCTGGCGATCGGAGTATTGTGCATATATCGCATGAGCGCTGCTGCAGGATCAAGCGAGTGCTCCGGCAAGTGCGGCAAGATCGCGCATACCTCGTTGTACGTCGTGATGCCTTTGCTTTGCACCTTCTCTGCAACCAGACGGCTAAAGTGTCGCAGGCCCTTGGCCAGGCCGCTTGCCGATCGGGACGAATGCTCCACGGGCGATGATCCGTAGTCGTGACCGGCCATCTCATAAGGCGACTGGAACGAGTCGGGCGGGGACGTGGCTTCGGCCGCAAGGGCGATTGGGTTCTGCGAGTTAGCCTCGGTGTAGAGCGGGACGACTTTGAGCTTCTTGTTGGCGCCATGCCGGGTGACGGCCTGGCTTCCGCTGACAGGAGCCAGCCGGGATTTCAGACCGGGCTCGTGGGCAGCGGCCCTCTTGGCCGGAGTGGTTCGGAGCGACGGCGGGAAGTGGCTGCCGAAGGGCTGGTAGGGCTCGCGCATGGGAGTGGAGAACGGCTGCAGCTTCTGGGTGAGGGGGAGGCCGGAGGACGAGCCCCACTGGAAAGCCGGAGTGGAGTCGGGCGTCGCCAAGATCGAGTCCGTGGGCGAGCCCAGGAGCGGTGTGTCCGGAAGGCTCTGGGGGGCCGAGGCAGTCTGGGAGGTCTTGGTGACCTGGATCCTGCAGGGCCGTCCGCGGGACCGCTTGGCTAACGGCGTCGTCACGGCCAGAGCCGAAGCACCATAGCCGGCTTTGTGGCCTGTGATCAGAAAGGACGATTTGAAGTCGCCGTAGTGGACCTGGCTCGGCAGAGAAGAGGCAGCGGTGCGGTACGAGTGCGGATAGAGACCTGACACGGCAGAGGGAGTGCTGCAGATGTGAGAGAGCGACGTGTTGTAAGCCTCGGGGTAGTCAATGAGGTGGTCGGCATGGTCGGCGTTGGTGTGGTAGAGGGCCATGGTGCTGGGGTCGTATGCGAGCTCAGAGGGCTCGGTAAAGTCGAGGGTGGGATAGATCCCGTTGGGTCCATAGTCCATTGCGGAAAAGTCCAGGTTGTGGTTCTGGCTGTGACAAGAGTGGTCCCAGGCTCCAGCAGAGTGCACTCCGAGGTAGTTGTGGCTCTGGAAGGGATGGCCATGGTAGAGCTCGGCCGAGAGATGGTCCTCAGACTCTGCTACGGGTGGAGAGATGTGATGGGGTTGGGCCGAGGCAAGAACCGGCAGAGCGAGCTGATCGGAGCGATCGTCCTCGAGGGCCTGGCCGTTTGAGAGTTGTGAGACGAGTGGAGAGCTGGGCGGGGTCGAGGCGGGGTCGAGGTCGAGGTCGAGGCGGTGCGAGGCAATGGTGGGATGGAGAATGCGGTGTATGGGGGAGGTGCAATGTGGAAGTGCACGGCCGGGAAAGTATGGTGCGGTGAGGGTGGAGTCAAGTGAAGGGCAATCCATGCGATCCACCGCATAAGCGATCACACCAGAGCAGCCACGCGATCCATGGCATGATCAAGTCAACGATGGCGCGGTGTTTGGCGGGGAATGTGATTGGAGGGCAATGGATGAGAGTGGGTGAGCGCCAAGGGCAATCGCAGTCGATGACGCATCGATGCATTCAAACAGCGGGGAAGTTGGATCGGTGGACGGGTTGATCGGAGACGGAGGAGGCACAGGGAGAGGATGGGTCAAGAGGCCAGGGTTGAGCCCAAAGCGGTTCATGAGTTGGAACCAGAAACACCGGTTTGCAAACGGCATGGCGAATGGAGTGAAACAAGACAAAAGCAGCGAATCGGAGTGATCAAATGGCCATGGGCCAGGGATCGCAGATCAGGATCAAGGGACATCCAGGCGATAGATCGGACGAGCAGGAATGAGCGACAAAGGAGGAATCAGCCAGAGCGACGAGACCAGCGCTTGGTCGATGACGGACACATGCGTTGCTTGATCATCTCAAAGCCGGCCCCGAGCCAGAATCGGGATGTCAAAGACAGCGGCCACATACCTTTTGGCGAGCACCAGTCCCGCAGGCGAATCGCTTGAATCTGGCCCTTCGGAGGCCTCCGAGGACTCGTCCTTGTTGATCGCTGGTCGATGCAGCTGGAGGGGGGCGCCGAGGGAAGCAGGCTTGAGCGAGCCCTTGAACGTCGCCGTGCCGGGCTGCGAAGGATCGAGGAGGTGAGAAGGCTCGCCGTCGGCCGAAGAACGCGCCAGAGGCGAGGGAGCGGTGGTAGCGAGCATGGCAAGCCCGATCGAGGAGCGGGGGTGGGGGAGGAAGGAGGCAGGACGAGGAGGTAAAGACGAGCCTGGTACTGGTGCCTCAGAGGCGAGTTGGCGGGAAGAAGGGCCAGGGGAGAGCAGGGCACGATGAGGGGCCGACGGTTGAAGTGGACAGCCAAGCGGCAATGAAGTGATCGGCGTTGGCGGGAGCGGCAGGGTCGCGGTGGGATCGACCGCGACGTTCTTGTGCTGAAGAGGAGCAAAGTGGAGGAAGAGTGGCTGATGGGCGGGAGGGGTTGGATAAAAAGAGAGCGCGTGAGGGGACGCAGACGATAGCACGGGACCGGGGAGGGTGGGAGAGGATGATCGAGGGATGGAGAGATGAATAAGCGAAACAAATGGATGAATGGACGGGAGAGCGAGTGGGAGAGAGAGGGAGAAGGTGGGCGAGTGTGAGGGAGTCGACTGAGAGCTGTCTGAGAGTTAGCTGAGAGTTGATTGAGAGTTGTCTGAGAGTTAACTGAGAGATGTCTGAGAGCTGACACTGGTTGGACGCCGTTGATTGGATCGAGAGCGAGGGGGACAACCGCCGTGGACAGAGAGTCCAAAGCCGCTGTTCCAAGATGCGGGCGAGGGTGGAGTGCGATCGATGCGGCAGTAGCCAATTGGCCAGTTGTGGATGAGGAGGATTAAGAGTAGTCGAGACGAATGAGGAGGATCAAGGTGGATCAAGATGGACGGGTGGATGGATGGATGGATGGAGAGAATCAAGGTGAATATACCGATGGCGCCCTGGAATCGAAGGATTGTCTTGGACGGTGGGAGCAGGATCAACGCCGGCTCAAGAAGGCGTGGGATTGCGCGGCAAGCTGTGACTCAAGCAACTCTTTCGATGTGGGATGTACTGCCCGTGCGGGGCTGCACGGACGGTGGATCCTCTGCCATGATGCACCCCAGGAGAGCCCCAGGCGACCAGCATCGACGGATCCAGCATGCGCTTGAATGACTCCCTCCGTCCCGAAGGTGGGCCCTCTGGCATGATGTCTGGGACTTGCCAAGCGACCGATGCCATGCAATCGATGCCATGCAATCGATGCCTTGTGATGTATGCCTTGCAATCGATGCCTTGCGATGTATGCCTTGCGATGCCTTGCGATGCATATCAAGACGCTCGGGCAGCACGCTTGCCCCACTGCTGCTGCTGCTGCTGCTGCTGCTGTCCGGCGCCCTTCCCGCTTCTCGTCTGCTTGCTCCGCCCAAGCGGAGTTGCCAGCCGCCGCTCCGCCGGCCACAAGGCCCGGACACTCCGCCACGTGGCGCAGGAGATGGCTGCAGCCGGATCGAGCCGCGTGTGTGTGTGTGCCTCTCCAATCCACACTGCATCCACACTGCATCCGCACTCCATCCGCACTCCATCCGCACCCCTGGTCGCTGCCCTTCTCACTCGGTTCCGCCCTTTGCCTCAGCTGTTCGTCTGCATCGCCATCGCCATCGACACCGGCCCTCCCCCCCCGCCTTCGGCCAAGCACCCTCCCTGCACGCCGTCGCGATCCAACTTCCGTCCACACGCTCCCCTCCAGCGACCCGCCGATATCCCGCTCGCCACCATGGATGCTGTCGTGGATAAGCTCATTCAAACGGCCAAGGCCATCGCCACCCCGCGACTCAAGGATCTGATCAAGTCCATTCGCTCATGCAAGACTGCTGCAGAGGAGCGGGCCGTCATCGCAAAAGAGTCGGCCTCCATCCGTACCGCTTTCAAGGAGGAGAACATGGACACGAGACACATCAACGTCGCAAAACTGCTCTATATCCATATGCTGGGCTATCCTGCCCACTTTGGCCAGATGGAGTGTTTGAAGCTCGGTAGATATTGTCTCGCCCCCATCCTGCTCTTTCCCACCGCCTCCCTTCCGCATCGCTGCGAGGCAATCTCTTTTCAAAAGGAGGACCCAGTGCTCGTCACACTGTCCTGGCCACTCTGCTTTCCTGCCGCGCTGGCTCGCTTGATAACCCTGGGGCACCGCCCAGCGAGCGGTGCCAGCCACACTCAGACCGTCCTTCCTTGTCTGCAGTTGCCTCCCCCAAGTTCAGCGACAAGCGGCTGGGATACCTCGGAATCATGCTCCTCCTCGATGAGAACCAAGAAGTGCTGACCCTGGTGACCAACTGCCTGAAAAAGTACGATTGTCCTGTCCCACTGCGCATCGCCGGGGTCGCTGCGTTGCCTGCGCCAATTCGTATGGTGGCCAGCATCTCATCGTCTCTGGACCTCGTCATGGCTGATCGCTATTCTGACTCGCGCTCTCCTTCTGCTCGTCGCGTTCAGCGATATGGCCAATCCAAACATGTTCATTATGGGGTTGGCGCTGTGCACTCTCGGCAACATCTCCTCGCCCGAGATGTCCCGCGATCTGTGCTCCGAAGTCGAGAAGCTCATGTCGAGCTCAAATGCGTATGCACGCAAGAAGGTACCCCGCATAGACGCTCTCCTGCCGCCGAACACTCCGGGACAGGATGCCGTGGTCGAGGGCCCGTCGCGACTGACGGTGCCCAGCCTTGCATAGATGCATGGGTTGGGGCTGCCCAAAGCTGCTCTGCGTTGTTGATGGCTCTACCGCCCAAGCTGATGTTTGCCGACTCTGCCACTGACTCGTGCGTTCCATTTTGCCGATCCTCCCGATCGCTTCCCTGGCTCACAACACCAACACTGCAACGGCACGCTCAACAATCAAAGGCCAACCTGTGTGCCCTCCGCATCATCCGCAAAGTGCCAGATCTGATGGAAAACTTCTTCCCAAAGGCCAGGAACTTTGTCAACGAGCGCAACCACGGCGTTCTGCTCACCGGCATCACCCTCTTGACAGAGATGTGCGCCATCAACAAGGAAGTCATCCCCGAGGTTCGAAAGGTTGGTTTGCCGTGCTACTTTGTCTTCTCGAAGCAACATACGGCTTCGTCCTCCCCAAAACAACGTATGGCTTCGACCTCCCCGTACCAATGCCCTCTGCGCACAGTGGCGCTGCCGTGGTCTCTGTCGGCTGACTCTCCCAACATCGATCCTGCAGCTCGTTCCTGCCCTGGTTGGCCACTTGAGCAATCTCTCCAAGCCCGGGTTCAGTCCCGAGCATGACGTTTCGGGCGTCACCGATCCCTTCCTCCAAGTCAAGATCCTGCGCCTTCTGCGAATCCTGGGTCGAAACGATGTAGAGGCCAGCGAGCTGATGAATGACGCTCTAGCAACTGTGAGTCGGGCGATACGTTTCTTGCTCGGACTCGGAAGCTCTTGCTCAGAGCTTCCTCGCGATGCATTGCTTCTCTGCAGCGATCTTCCCTCTGCCGCTTTACGACCTTTGCTCTGCACAGTGTCTTCGGTCCTCTGGCTCACTTTGGCTTCGCACCCGACTGGACAACTCTACAGGTTGCCAACAACACCGAGGCCTCCAAGAACGTTGGCAACGCCATCTTGTACGAGACAGTGTTGACCATCATGGATATCGAGAGCGAAAAGTCTCTGCGTGTCCTTGCCATCAACATCCTCGGTCGCTTCCTCAGCAACCGCGACAACAACATCCGATACGTTGCCTTGACTACCCTGACAAAGACCTCGTCCAGGCCTGAGACTGCCGACTCCTCAGCCCTGCAGCGCCATCGCTCGACGATCCTGGAGTGCTTGCGCGATCCCGATGTCTCGATCCGTCGACGCGCCCTCGATCTGTCGTTCTACCTGATTGACAGCGCCAACATTCGACTGCTGACTCGCGAGCTCTTGAGCTTCCTGGAGGTTGCCGAGGGCGAGGTCAAAGCCAGCGTCGCATCCCGCATTTGCGACTACGCCGGCCGCTTCCGCCCCAACAAGCGCTGGGAGATCGACACTGTGTGCCGAGTTCTGCGCGTCGCCGGCGCCTTTGTCGACCAGCTTGTCATCAACCACTTTGTCAAGCTCGTGTCGACCTCGCCTGTCGAGCTCCAGCAGTACACCGTCCGTAAGCTGTACAACATTGTCAAGAGCGAGGGCGACGCTGCTTTGATGCAGGAGGGCCTCGTCCAGGCCATGGTCTGGTGCTGCGGCGAATACGGCGACACCCTCACCACGGGCACCTCGCGAATCCTCGGTGCTGACGACGAAGCTGGCGACGATGCCAATGCCGACCCGCACCTAAGCGACTACCAGACCGCCCCCTCCGAAAGCGAGGTTTACGAGACGTTTGCCTCGATCCTCAAGGGCCCGTACGCCACGGACGATGTCCAGGAATACGCTCTCACGGCCCTGGCCAAGCTGTCGACGCGATTCCAACAGACCGCCGTCATTAGGTAACAGCCTAGATGATTCATGCTCGCCCGCATGCACAGGCGTGCGCTCGAGTGCAACCAACGCCGGCTATGACTGATGTTTCTTTTGGATCCCCGCCTGTCCAACTGCTGACGGTAACAGCCAAATCAGGACACTCATCGCTCGATACAAGGTCAACATCGATGTTGAGATTCAGCAGCGTGCTGTCGAGTACACCAGTCTCTTTGGCCTCGATCGCGAGATCAGGTACGTGGTTATCGATCGATGGCTCCGATCGGTGTGCGTGTGCGATGTGGCCAGAGCGGACGGCCGCTTCGGAGAACGGCATCTGCGGGACATGTACCGACGGTGGTCTGCAGAGCGTACTCTCCATTCGATGTATTGTGGCTGGCCAAGCCGTTGGCATGCAACGCTGTACAGTGCTCGATGACTGCCCTTCTTTCTCCAAAAGCGACAGTGCCCACGTCCCCTACTAACGGACCTGCATTCCCTGACGCGCGCTCCTTTAGCGTCGCCATCTTGGAGGGCGTCCCCGTCCTCGAAAGCGCCCTGAGGGAAGAGGATCTCAAGGGCAAGGGAACCATCGGTACGATTCCTGTGTGCATATCCGATGCTGCCGATGCGCCCGCCAATGTTGGCGTATCCCTTTCTTCAGCACTAGAGATGCCAAACTGCTCACTGACAATTTGTGATGCCTCTCCACGCGCCGATGTACCCTTCCTGCCGTCTGATCTGCGGCCATTCTGTGGCGTGTCGGCGGTCTGCCGCTGGTCTTTGTCTTGCCAACTCATCTGCTCCAGCTGCCATGACCAGCCCAACCATGGGATTTGGCGCTCCTGCAGTGGATTTGTCGGCTCCTGCACCCAAGATGAACGTTGGCGGAGGTGTAAGTAATGCGGCCGCGGTCGTGCGCATGTTTGATGCAACAACGAGGAGGGTGCTGGAGCACCAGTAGTGGGTCCCAGGACCCAACATGGCGGTTGGTCGCTACTGCGGTGCTAATATGCATGCTGTTTGATCTTCACGCTGCAGTCCAACATCATCGACCTCCTTGGGGACGCTTCGGTCTCGGTCGCGGCTCCTGCCGTCGCTGCCCCGACCACCCAGGTCGATTTGCTTGGCGAGCTCTTTGGCGGGCCTCCAGCCTCCGGGCCTGCAGTTGTTGCTTCGCCCTCAGCTGCTGCCCCGTCGATGGCCATCGACCCTCTCGCCGACCTGTTTGCCTCGGCCTCGCTGACTGCGGCGGCTCCGGCCCAGCCACAGGCCAAGGTCTACCCTGCCTACGACAAGAACGGCCTCTTGATTACCCTCACCCCTGTCCGGGAAGCTGACGGCACCGTCCGCGTCACGGCCGACTTTAGCAGCCGCGGCCCTCAGATCCAGAACCTGCAGTTCCTGGTTGCTGTGCCCAAGCTGCTCAAGCTTCAGGTGTTCCCGCCAAGCTCGAGCGTTGTGATGCCAGGCCTCAACGCCAATCAGTTTATGAAGATCGAGAACCCGACAAAGGTGCGTCTCTGTTCCGGCCCGTCACAGCGAGGCCGGAAGATCGGCTGTCGGTGATTTGGTGATGGATTGTTAGTGATTTGGTGATTCGATTGTTGGTGGTGGATTGTGGGCGATTCGCTTGTCTGTGACCGTTTGCGATCCCCATTATCCACCCTCTGTCCCGCAACTTGGCACACTGTTCTTGCACCACTTGTCTTGGCTCTGACCCACACCGTCTCTGCATACCCGCACATCCTGCTAAAACCCGATTGACGGCTCGAAACAGGCGCCGATCCGTCTCCGCCTCAAGGTTGCCTACACCTCGAACGGACAGCCCACGGACGAAGTTGTCGATTTCTCCTCCTTTGACAAGGAGCTCTATGCCTGAGGACTCCGAAGGCTGCCATACGGGACCGGCGGACGGCTGGCCGGAATACAGCGGCGATGCGCATGCTTGAGCTCTCTGTCAGCATCGCCCTCCGGCCCTTTTCGCTTGGCGTCTGTTTTTATTCTGATTTTTTCTTATTTCCTGCAAATACATGCATGCTTCCCCCCCCACGCCCTCAGGGTTTCAGGGGACTTAGCCTCATTCCAGACGATCACTTCAGCGTGTTCGGAGTGGTATTTATCCGCCAGTCCCCAGCCGGATCTCGACTCACTATGGCACCGAGGACGACGTGCCTTGGCTGCTTCGCGATGTCACCGTAAAGTACCTCCGGCTTGCGCATCGTTCGCGGCAAGATCCAGTAGCTTCACTCGAGTCACGTGCATGCGATTGCAAAGAAAAATCCGTCGCCCGAGAGCAATGGTCAGAGGTGCTTCACACAACCATCTGACAGCAGCCCAAGACAGCAGGCTCGTCGAGCGGACTCCCGAGACAGCGCCAAGATTGCAAGCGACATCCCGGGCACATCACCAGCACCCCCCTCCTTTCCCCACATCCACCGTCCAGCACCGCGGCCCAGTTTTCGTATCCGCTTCCAATCCAACCCTTTCCGATCGAATCCAATCCAATCCAATCCACTTCCATCATGTCCATGATCGCTCGGCAACTCCCGAGGGCACACCATGCCCTGGTCCCATTTGGCCGTATCTTTGGCAAGAGGGCGCTCTCGACCTCGCTGATTGTGCATCAGGTAGGGTTCTGATCCGGCTCGCTCTCGATGTCAGAGCTTATGTATCCGCCAAGAACAGATGCAATCCCGCCCATGGTTCCGTTCACCGGCTTGGCCCTGCATGCCTTGCTTCTCGGCACATTCCATTCGCCCGTATCGCAGACTCTTCAAGCTCCTCGGGCGCCTCTTGCCATTGTGTACGCTCTGCCTCATCATTCGTCCGTCGACTTTTCTGCGGCTAACCGATCCAACAAATCGCTCTGATATGACGCAGCAAAACTTCAACAGCCTGTTTTCCCGGATCATCAACCCCATCGGCTTTGCGCAGTATCAGATGCACAAACTGGATCTGGCCAAGGCTGGCTTCGACACCTGCACCCAGAAGCTCTCGAGCGAGCGCGAGCTGTTCCTCACGGGTGGGTGTGCTGCACTCTCTCTCGGGACGATGGGCACATGGCCGGGCCGGACCGAGGGTGCTCGTTGTTGCCTGCGGTCGTGTGCCTGAGGTGGATTGAGGTTGATATGGATTGAGGCTGATGTGGATTGAGGCTGTGTATCGGAATTGGTTTCGCTATACCCACTCTGCCTCGGGCCCAACACTAATCCTGCATCTGCCCTTGCCTCAATCGAATCTGAACGGCTGCTCGATCGGGCACATCAACTCATGGTGGCCGGCCTGTTGCTCCACCGGTTGCTCCGCTTGTTGATCTCGGATTAGAGCTTGGGCTGCCGCAGACCTTCTACACCTGGTTCAGTTTGACCGTCCTTCACATCTGGATCTACAGCGCCCGCCTGAGAGCTGAGGGTGCCGAGGGAAAGGAGTATCAACAAGAGCTGTTCAACCTGTTGTGGCTGGATGTTGAGCTCAAGCTGAATGAGGCTGGGGTAAGTTTGCCGTCGCGATATTGAGGTGGTTCGAGATGCCCGACCACCTGGTGTCTTGATACGCTCGAAAACAGTGGTTGCCTCGAGGAGGATCGCATCAGATCCAGCTCCTTGTATCTGACGCATTCGGGCTTTGATTTGATTCATCTAGATCAAGAAGCGAGTCGGCAAGAACATCGAGGAGCTCATGGCGGCCTACTACGGCCAGATCCTGGCTTACGATGAAGGCCTGTATGAAGGCGATGCCATCTTTTCAGCGGCACTGTGGAGGCAAGTGTCTCGGCGACAGCGGTAGCATGCATCTGCACCGGCGAGATGGCACGGTCCAACAAATTGCTATCGCAGTGGTGGATCATGGGAAACGGTCACTGACTGTGGCTTGCACCGTAACTTGCGTCCGCTTTTGGGGTTGAACGACAGAAACGTGTATGCATCTCAAAAGGTCAAGCCGTCGCAGCTCGTTGGGCTACTGTCCTATGTCCGCAAGCAGCTGTGCCACATCGACAACGTCTCGACCGAGGATCTGCTGGCTGGCAAGGGGCTCTTGCTAAAGGATCAGTAGAGGTCGAAGTGAGTGCAGCTGGATGGCCTAGTATTCTGCTGGCTGGCGGCATTGCACTTCTCGCAAGACTGCCCACACGCCCGTGGCTCTGTTGGAATGGCAGGAATACACTTTATTCAGAAACAAACGGACACCCTCACGATCCCATATGCCAGCGTAGTATACGATGGCCTGGGTCCAGCAAAGCTATAAGAAATAGAACAGATCACTTTGACAGCCTCCGAGTGAAAACACCGGTTGCTCTCCGGTCTCCACAATCGATCTGCACTGGTGTCGGAGTGCCAGCGATGGATGGTGCACTTTGACACACTGGATATGGAGGCAACTCTTCTCAGACTATGGATGATGGTATTGCATCGCATCAAAGAATGGTCGTGGCCAGCGCGATGGTATTGGGTAACAAAATATTCGGTCAACGACCAAAATACCAGGGTAACCCGTTCTTTAGTGGATTGACTGTTATGCCGCTGGACGCATCGGATGCGCGATACACATTGGGGTTCAGTCGTGAGGCGACTTCTTGCCTGCTTCATGGGTCGCAGAGCCGTGTTGCCGATGGACTACTTCCCTGCACCCTGTCCAGACACCTCCCCCCAGCCATGTCGCAGTTTCACACTCTGCCTCCGAACCTGATTGCTGATGCATGTCACATCCTTCGCGACCGGGATGGCTAGGGGTAGGGCTGGGGTTATTGCTGCGCCGCCTCGGTCGCACAGACCTAGGGCTGCACTGTCCAGAAGCGAGATCTCGAAACCGCCCATCAGCACACCGACTCGGCTTCCATCAGACCGCCGTTGCCGCAATCGTCACCGCAACGCAGTCGTCACCGCAACGCAATCGCCACCGCAACGCAGTCGCAGCTGCTGCATCATCCCCCCCACGGAGGAAAACACCCGCGTCGCATTCGTCTGCATCTGTCGCGTGCGCCTCGGCGACAAGACCGCACAAAGCCGATCGAATCGGCAGCCAGGAACTCCTTCCAACTCCTCCTTTCTCTCCCACCCATCCGCTCAACCTCCCGCGGCATTCCCGCTTCACAGCTGCAGTGAGCATCATCGCCGATGGGTCGTCATCGCTCCTCTTCTCGCGGATACGAGTCGTCGGGCTCGGCATCGTCTGCTTCATCGGACGGCCACGATTCCTCCTCGCGCAAACGCAAGCACCATTCCTCGTCATCGTCGTCGGTCAAGAAGAAGGACTCGCACAAGAAGCACTCTAAATCGGACCGCCACCGCAGTAGCCGAGACCGCAGCCACGAGCGGCGTGAGCATCGAGACCGAGACAGGGATCGGGATCGAGATCGAGACAGAGATCGAGACAGAGATCGAGACAGGGATCGAGACAGAGATCGAGATAGAGACCGTCGAGACCGCAGCCGTGAGCGCGGATGGGATCGAAACAAGGATCGCAGCCGCGATCGACACCGAGACCGCGAGAGAGACCTCAAGCGCCCCAAAACTGAAGAAAGAGCGCATGATAGCCCAGCCCGGTCGCTCGAGTCGATCGATGCAGCCGGTCCCGGCCGTACTCGCGAAGGCAACAGCACCCCGTCAGCACCGATGCTCAATCCCGCACTCTCGGCACTGTTTTCGGAGACAACACCCTCGCCCATGGTCCAATCCAGCCCCGCAACCCCGACCCGCTCCGTCACCAGCGATGTCCCTCGCAGATCCCCCGAGGCATCAACAGCTTTGTCAGCTGCGCCGGCTGCATCAATACCGAATGAGGCCGTGGTAGCTGTGGCAACAGAATCGGTCTCTGCGCCAGCACCGAAGACAGAAAGCGGCAGCTCGGTACGTCCTTGTTGGTGTGTGCGGTGCCTTATGGGTGTGCTCGCTTCTTTTTGAACTCATGATCTCGCAAAGACTCCAACACAACTGCGTTGTCGCAGGGGGAGGGCATTGCCTATCGCTTGAAGTATTATTGACGATCTGACTGCTCTCCGATCCGCAACTCGACCTCGGCACTGATAACCGTGCACGGTTCGCCATTGTTGATGCTCTTGCAGACACAGCCGGCTGCCACACCCGAGGAGATTCTGAGACAGCGGCAGGAAAAGCTTGCCCAGTGGAAGAAGCGCATGTCAGAGCAGCAGCAGCAGCAGCAACAGCAGCAACAGCAGCAACAGCAGCAACAACAGCCCGCTGACTCGTCTGATCGAGTGGCTTCAATCCCTGCCCCCAACCAAGACTCGACATCTGCCGTCGCATCTGGTCCAATCGAGACGCTACCTCCGTCTGCTCCTGCGGTGTCCTCACAGCCCGCGGATATTCCTGCAAGTAATCCCCGAGTTACCGACTCAGCAGGTATTTTCCAACTAGATGCGACTTTTAGGCGTGTGTGTGGAGATCCAGCCCTTTGTTGGATAGAGGACGAGCAATCGAGTGTCCCGCAAGGCACTCTGGACAGACGTTGGGTGCAATTTTAATGCTCTGTTTCTTCCCATCCGCCGGTGTTCTCCGTCCGATGGCTGCCCAACACCTCTGTCTCGCCTGATATCGACACCGTCACCCTTCCCCGCCTCTCCTCCCTCTCCTAATGCCCCTCACCCGTTGGCTGTGAACGCTTTCGACGGCCTGTAGCCGGCGTCTTGAAACCGAGCTGCAGGGATCTCATCCACCAACTCGATGCTAAAGATTGTGTTTTCGCTTTCTCCATGCTTGCAACGTCAAACGGTCTCGTCAGCTTCAGCTGAGAATCTCTCTCCAAGCAAACCCGCGATGACGATCCAGACAGGGCGCGCTCCACTCAAAATCCCCATCATGGGTAAGCCGGCTACGGCTCTGAGCCCACGGGCAGGCTCGCCCGGGCTCAGCAAGATCGGGCAAAAGAGCGGCGGCCTGTTTTCGATGGGCGCCTCGAGCCCAGGACCATCCAAACTCGGCTTCTTTGCCAAGGGTAGCAGCGCCAAAACACCGACAGTCAAGAGCAAGGTCGTCTTTGATGATGGTGACGAGGTCGGCGAGGTCCAACACAAGAAAAAAGCAAGCAACATAGACCTGATGATGGTGGATGACTTTGCCGATACCCCGATACACCCTGCCGAGCCCGATGTGTCTGTCTTTGCCGATATGGACGACGCGCCTGCTCCCGAGCGCCCCAGTGCCGCCTCTATGCAGGTTGATGAGGTCGACCCCCTCGATGCGTACATGGTCGATGTCGAGTCCGAAGCCCGCAAGATGCTCGAGGAGGACCGCGAGGCCCGCAAGAACAAGTCTTGGAAGAAGGGCGAGCTGCAGGAGGACGTCGAGGCTGGAGCCGATGTCACGGATGTCCGCCGCATCGAGGACAACGACGAGGAGGATATCGGGAGCGACCCCGAAGACATCATCGCAGCCGCTGCCAAGAGGCTGGCGGCCAAAAAGAAGGACCTGGCGCCTGTCAACCACTCGACGATGAACTACGAGTCCTTCCGGCGCAACTTCTTCATCGAGCCGCCCGAGATGGCGGACATGACCCCGGCCGAGGTGGACATGAAGCGACTGGAACTCGACGGCATCAAGATCCGCGGCGTCAACTGTCCCAAGCCCATCGAAAAATGGACACAGTTTGGGCTGCCCCATGGCGTGTACGAAGTGATCCGCAAGGTGCTCAAGTACGACAAGCCCAGCTCGATCCAGGCCCAGTCGATCCCGGCGATCATGAGCGGTCGCGATGTCATCGGCATTGCTAAGACCGGTTCGGGCAAGACGATTGCCTTCCTGCTTCCCATGTTCCGTCACATTGCCGACCAGCGTCCACTCGAGGCCATGGAGGGCCCGATCGCGCTGATCATGACGCCGACACGCGAGCTGGCCGTCCAAATCCACAAAGAATGCAAGCACTTTGCAAAGGCCCTGAATCTGCGAGCGGTCTGTGCCTACGGTGGATCGCCGATCAAGGACCAGATCGCCGACCTCAAGCGAGGCGCCGAGATCATCATCTGCACGCCTGGACGCATGATCGATCTGCTCTGTGCCAACAGCGGCCGAGTCACCAACCTCAAGCGCGTCACGTATCTGGTCCTCGACGAAGCCGACCGCATGTTTGACATGGGCTTCGAGCCGCAGGTCATGCGGATCGTCAACAACATCCGTCCGAGCCGCCAGACGGTGCTGTTTTCGGCAACGTTTCCGCGCCAGATGGAGGCGCTGGCCCGCAAGATCCTCCAGAAGCCTCTGGAGATCACCGTCGGCGGACGCAGTGTGGTCTGCGCGGACGTGACGCAGCACGTCGAGATCCGCGACGACGACGCCAAGTTTGTGCGCCTGCTTGAGATCCTGGGGCTCTCGATGGCACAGGACCCCGACGGCAAGGTCCTGATCTTTGTGGATCGGCAAGAGGCGGCCGACAACCTGCTGCGAGACCTTTTCCGCCGCGGATATCCGTGCCAGTCCCTGCACGGCGGCAAAGACCAGGCCGACCGAGACTCGACCATTGTCGACTTCAAGACCGGCGATACCAACGTTCTGATTGCGACCTCGGTGGCAGCGCGCGGCCTGGACGTCAAGCAGCTCAAGGTCGTCGTGAACTACGACTGCCCGAACCACATGGAGGACTATGTGCACCGTGTGGGCCGCACGGGACGAGCGGGCAACAAGGGCACGTCCTACACCTTCATCACGCGGGAACAGGACCGATATGCGGTCGACATTGTCAAGGCTCTCAAGATGAGCAACGCGCCTGTGCCGGACGACGTCCAGACGCTCGCGAACGAGTTTATGGAGAAGGTCAAGAGCGGCAACGCCAAGTACACGGGAAGCGGGTTCGGAGGCAAGGGCCTCGAGAAACTCGACAAGGAGCGAGATATCGTCAAGAAAATCCAGAAAAAGTCGCACGGCGGCGTGTATGCCGAAGACGAGGAGGAGGAAGAGGACGGACACGAGATTACGCTGCAGGTCAAGGCTGTGCAGGTCAACGGCGTCAAGGTCGCGGGTGATGGTGCGGCGGCCGAGACGCAGCCCAGCGCTGCAGGCGCTGCCGGGAGCGCGACTGCCTCGGGGGCGAGCACTGCTGTCGGTGCTGGTGCAGCGGCTGCGACGGCCACTGCTGGGGGAGCGACAGCAGCGCCCGTGTCGGCAGCGGCGCTGGCGGCTCTGAAGGCGGCCCAGAAGGCAGCCGAGATCATCAACGCCCAGGTCGGCGCTTCCGGACGCAAGGCGCGGGATGTGATCGCCGAAATCAACTCCAAGTTTGGCAAGGATACGCTCGGGCATAGTGCTGTCGGGTCTGGCGACGACGGCGTGCGACGCACCGGTGCTGAGGCCTCGGCAGCTCCGTTCTCATGCGAAATCGAGATCAACGACTACCCTCAACGGGCGCGCTGGAAGGTCACCAACAAGGAGCAGATCACTCTCATCGGAGAAATCAGTGGTGCGGCGATTACGACCCGTGGCCAGTTCTTTGAGGCTGGGAAGCAGCCTGGGCCCAACGAACGCAAGCTGTATCTGGTATGTATCTCGGGCAGCGGTGCGAGGAATGGAGTAATGAACCGCGGCATGGCCGGCGCCGGGGTGCTTGTGTATACGCCAGATTATGCAGCACAGCGAGTGTCTGTACTCGTCGGTTGGAGTGCCTGTTGGAGTGCCTGTTGGAGTGCCTGTTGGAGTGCCTGTTGGAGTGCCTGTTGGAGTGCCTGTTGGAGTGCCTGTTGGATTGCTGGGATGAGGCAGAGCATGAAGATTGGCTTGGCATGAGTGCTTGCTAACACGCCGCCATTTCGACTTTCTCTAGTTTCTTGAGGGCGATAACCAGCTGGTGATCGACAAAGCCAAGAACGAGATCAAGCGGCTGCTGACCGAGGCCACGATGGCGAGTCTGGAGAGCGAGCTGGCGGGCAACACGGGACGATATACGGTCGTGGGCAATTGAGCGATGCGGCTTGGCGCTGCCGCGGCCATTGACGAATACACTTGATGCAAGCGGCTCCAGCGTGGGTGGTGGATGGCGCGAGATCGCGGATGGTGTTGGAATTGGTGCGACCCCGGCTCCCGCTCACGGTGACGTCCGAAATCGACCTTGGTTCGCCAGGTCCCGCACCTCATCGACCCGACGCACGCACACCAGCGCAGGACCCCGACCTGGACCGCCAATGCACGCCAGGCGCATGTCGTCGCCGTGGGAACGAGCATGGTGGTGCTTGCGGACAGGCGCGTCGATGCCCAAGATGCAAACAAGCGGGTGCCCGATCAACCGGGGCCGCAGCGAACGATGATGCATCGACGTCGATGGCGACGGCGACATGCCGTGCGGCCGCCCTCGCTCTCGCTCGCAGACCCTCCCTTGGCACCGCCGCTGATGTGGCGGCTTTCCCATGGCGACCTGCTCGTGTCTGCCTCGGTCAGCGTGACGACGCAGAGACAGACGCCACCGACGCACTCGAACCGGCGGCGAGGCTGGGGCAGATCCCGTGACTGCAATCTCGCCAAAACAGGGCACATTGCCTGCCTTTCCGGGGAGGCGATCGCGGCGCGCGTGTCTGCGGATTTCAATTTGCACACTTTGGGACGGCCGCCAATCAGACGCGCGGGCCAGATCACGGCGCGGGATCACACACAGACGCGGCGCACCACAGCGCTGATCGGCTGCGCACACAGGCGCTGTGTTCTGTGCCTGTTGGCCGGCGAGGCACGCACAGCGGACTGGGCACCGCCGGCGCAGTCCGTGTCGACACAGACAGTGGCGACGCGTCCTGTGCCCACACAGTGAGCGGCTGCAGCACACAGCGCCCACACAGACAGTGCGCCCTCGAACCAGCCGAACCAGTTCGCCATCGACAATTTTTTGCTCTTCGGGTCTGTCCTTCGTCCTGCGCGAAATCTCGGTCTTGGCCTTGGGAATCTCGTCGCCCCTCCCCTCCCCTGCCCTGCCCTGCCCTTCGCCGAGCGTTGGTCGCCGTCTCGGCCGGCTCTTTCTGCGCCCTCTCCCCTTCCTCTGCCCTCTTTCTCCCCTCCTTCGCTTGCCCAAGCGCCGCCCTCCACCGCCATTCCTGCCCCAAGCGCTCCCCTACCTCCAGCGTCCTGCCTCGCTCCTGGGGACATTGCCTTCCTTTGATCACCCCCCGATCCCTCGGCTCTTGCGGGTAATGCTTGTCGCGGTGCTCTGCCGGTGTGCTCTGCCGGTGGTCAAGTGTGCTTGTTGTCCTTGCTCGTCCCCGCCGGCAATCGCTTCTCGGCACATCCTCTTCCCCTTCGTCTCCGTCTCTGGCTCTCTCCCACCCCTGTGATCCGTTATCCAGGGCTATTTAGCCACTGTGCTTTGCCCTCCCCCAACTCGTTCAGTCTTATTGTCGTGGCCATGTCGAGTGCCCTTTGATTTGGGCCGATTTTTGATTCCGCGATCGCACTTGTGCTTTGGCCGGGTGTGCTTCGTTTCCACGCCAAAAGCATGTTGTTTTGCATCTGCTTCTTCGGCCCAAGGACCGGAACGGTGGCTCTCGACTCCCAGGTCGGCGCCCTGTTCTGGGCCATGGTCTTGATGGTGGTGGGAGCGAAGGCGAAGTGGAGCGGAAGTGGTATCGCAGTATTATTGCACTTTTTGCTCTGGATACCCTCCGATTCAACGGTTGATGATTTGGCGCTCGTGGTCTCGCAGCAGCCGTCTGTCTGGATGTACTTGATCCACAGCGGTTGCTGTCGCCATTGCTGCCGCTCTTCGATCCATTCCCGTTGTCGTTACAACCCCCCCCCACTCTGGCCATGATCGATACGCTCTCTCGTCTCTGTCTGCATCCTGCGTCTCTCGATCGCAGCGACCGGACCAGTGCCCTCCTTTGCCCTTTGTACATCCACCGTTTCGATCCCGCCTCGCCTTCCTCCGGCTTCGACCCCCCATCTTGTCCAATTCATCTATTGCCATTCTTGCGCTTCCGCCCGATATTCCCGCCTTCTGGACCCGCTCGTTTTGCGGCCCGGGTATGACCGGTGGCTTGAATGCAACCTGGTTTGCCACCGAGGCCACAAAACAAAACCGAGCCCGGACTCCCTTGCTTTTTCGGTCCTCCCTTTCTCTCCCCGGGCTTTCTTTCCTGGCCTGCTCCCTCTCCCGTCGCCCCACCGGCGTCGAATCGGTATATCTGCCTGTTCGTATCCCTGCTCTACCACATTGCCCTCTGGCTCGGACGGTGGCCCTGGCCCTCGCCCATTTAACCCAGTGTTTGATCCCCGTTGCTGCTGCTCTCCTCCCTTGGCCTCCTGCTTCCTGCCTCACTCACTCCCCTGGCCTCTCTGCCTCCCCATCACTTGCTCCCTGGGTCCTTGATCTCCCCCCCTTTGATCCCTCTGGTGGTCGGTCTCCCTCGTTTCGGCACCTTCACTCTGCCCCTCTCGTCGAGCCTGCTGCTTGCTTTACTTGCTTGCTTATTGTGCCGGTTGATCATCTGAATCAATGGTGTATATGTACACCCGCAATACAGTTCCGCATCCCTGTCGCATTGCGCGCAAGCCGCCAGTGCCTGGATCCGATGCATATCCACTCGATGTGCATCGCCCGCCATGCGACAATCACAGTGCATCTTTTGTTTTCTTGAAAACAAACAATAAAGAGGGCGCCTTGATCGCCCAGGCACGGCCCGAGTCGTCGTGGTGGTATATACGCCGGTCGGTGTATACCATCGCGCTCGCACTCGCTCGGCCAAGGAGCTGTTTTTCTGTTTGGATGATGCTGTCACCTGTTTTTGGTTTCTTCGTGCTGTCTACTGTTTTCACTGCTTCGTGTTATCAGCTGTTTTCACTTCTTCGTGCTGTCAACTGTTTCGCTTCGTGTGATCAACTGTATTTACTCTCCACCACTTTGACTACTCCCCACACACTCCCGCTGCTGCCATTCCATATCCTCTGGCCTCTATTTTCTGCCTTCACGTCGATCTGTCCTTGAGTGTGGTATCTGTGCTTGATCGAGGTTGCCGCCAATTTGTTGTTTATCCACTCCGCATGTTTTTTCTTCATCTCCCGGCGTGGTCAATGTCCGTTCGTCATTCGTTACCAATCTGTTGCACCCATTTGTCGCCGATCTGCGCTTTTGCGTTTCCTGCTGTTCAGCCTCGTCTTCTGTCATTCTTCTCTGTCCTGTCGTTCTCTCTCGGCATTTGCTCTCTCAGATCTGCTGTTTTGCCCGATCGGGGTCACTTTGCTTCGCCATCTCCCCCCCTCCTTTTCAATCTCACCCATCTGTCGCTGGTCTTGGATCCACCAATCCTTACCCCACACCACCGCGCTCCATCCCATCTGCACCACCTCTGGCTGCCGGCTGGTGCGCCGTGCTGTGCGAGTGTCCTTGGCTGTCCCAGGTCCCAGGTCCCAGGTCCCAGGTCCCGAGGTTCTGTGCTGATCATCGCCTCTCCTCTCCTCTCTCTTTCTTTCTTTCTCTGCAGAACCCACCACGATCCCTCTGCCATGGTCGCGCACACTCGGGCTGGCCGTCGATCGGATCCAGAGCAGCCCTCGGCCCTGTTCGTCCCGCGGTCTGTCGATGAGAACGCCCTGCCCGTGTCCAGCCAGGGTGATCAGAGCTTCCAGGTGCCTGGCGTCCGGCGGTCTCGGCGGGTTGCCGATCGCAGACCCGGCGACGATCTTCCCTCTGGTCCGAGCTTGTTGGCGCCCTTGGGCGAGCACGGCTCCAATTGGCTCGCCAACCACCACCCGTACTCCACCGAGACCCCGCTCGCCGCCTTCGCAGCTGGCCTCGATATATCAGCGCCCGCGCCCTCGCAGCGGCCGTTTCCGTCAAAGTCGCCGTTTTCTACCCCCAAGGCCTCCTCGTCGGCTGCATCCGCCTCCATCACGCCCACCGAGAATAAAATGATTGTCGCCATGCCTATCACCCCGCATGAAACCCCCGTGCGCCGCAGAGACGAAGCCGTTCCCCTGAAGCGCAAGCAGGACCATGCCTTTTCACCCGAACTCGCGCCCTCGTTCGCCTTGCACCCCCGACTCCGCGAGTCAATGTTTACCCTCAACGACGACTCGGCCTTCAGCTCCCCAAGCTCGGAATCGCTGCAAGCCATCCCCTACCCACGCCTGGCGCACTCAAGACCCGATCTGTCCGCGAGTGACGCCGGCATCGAGTTGCCCATGTCCCCGCCGCCGTCCTCGCAAAAGTCGCATGTGTTTGATCACGAAACCTCGGCTCTCGACTGCCTCACGACGCCCTGCAAGCCGCCCGTCTACTCGCTGTCGTCGTCGTCATCGTCGTCGTCATCGTCGTCATCCCTACTCTCCACCCCCGTCTCTGTGCTCAAGCCCTCCGGGTCGACCCTCTATGCCCCAAGTGAAGCCTCGCTGGAGCCCAGCCAGGGCTCGCCCGCCTTTGCTGGCCGCTCGGACTTGTCGCCGTGCATCGCCTCTGGCATGCCGGCGCTCGAAGTTGGATTCACCATGTCGTCGGATTTGCTCTTTGAGGAGCCGATACGGTCCTCGCTCGACGGCTCCCAGGAGTCGACGATCTCGTTCGAGGACTCGATCTTTTCGTTTACAGTCCCGGCCTCGTCGGATCTGTCGCAGGCTCCGGACGACTACGGCGAGTTCCCAAAGTCGATGACCTACCGGGATCGGGTCTTCCACATGGGCGACTATGTCGTTGTGGACTCGCCCAGCGGTCGCGACCGCTTTGGCGTCATCCATGGCTTCTTCTCCTACCAAGATTTTGTGTCCTATGATGCCCCACAACATGATGCGGATGACGACAAGTTTGCCCACATTCTCTGGCTCTCTCCTTCGGAAATTCACTTCCGGGAGGCCGCCATCGAGCAGCGGGACTACTTGCCAACGGACTTTCAATCAGGTATGCATCGGTTCTTTGGTGCATTGGCTTGTTGGTGCACTGATCTCTTGTCGAGTTGATCTCCTGTCGCGTTGGTCCTGGGTGCCAAGGACAAGGAGAAGCTCGGGCAGCACCGGGCCTATACTCACCCGCTCCGATTTGCCTCTCCTCGTTTCGTCCACATCAGTCCCTTCTGCCTTTTCTACACTGGAGCCCATGCACTCCATCCAGAGAACCTTCTACTCGATACAGGCCGAGCAGGCCGAGGACCAAACCTTGCCGCTGCTCATGACCGAGGGTGAAATCCCCAACGAGTTTGAGCGGCTCCTGCAGCTCGCCGGCCAGAGCGACGTCTCTGTCGACAAGTTCACTACTTTGGTAAGCACTCCAGTTGCACATTGTATCATCGCCGTGCCTTTGCCTCTGTGTGCAGGTGGCGGCCGGCGAGGTCTCGTTTGCTTGGCCATGAGCCGATCAGATCGCCGCACCGTACTGATCCGTATCATATCCTCCAACATCGCTTCCAGATATCCCAGAAGCTCACATCCAACACCCTGCTCTTCTTCCGTCTCTTTGGCGACAAGTTCAAGAGCTGGCTCGACTGGATGGTCAACATGGACTCGGTGCGCTTCAATACCTATACCAACAAAGTGTTCATCTCCGAGTACCTCCGCATGGAGAGCCTGGACGAAGAGGACTTTCCCGAAGAGGATCTTCAGCAGCACATTCGCTTCAAGACCCTCCAGGGCCTGATTGAGCGGCAATTTGTCGGCCCCTCAGGCCTGGGTTCTCGCGTCTCTCAGATCCTGCACGTCGCCGTGGGCCTCCTGGAGCGGCTCAAGGGCCGAGAGTACGGCTGGTGGTCGCGGCTGGACGAGGCATGCCAGCAAGCTGATATAGTTCACTTGATGTACCAGTCCGAGGCCTTCCCGCTCCACCTGACCCAGCTTGCGACGCTGTCAAAGCTTGAAGCCACCGCCCAGACCAAATACCGATGCGACGTTGCGCTCGAGCCTCAGATCGGCTTGATTCCCAAGTCGCTCTGGGGCGCCGTCTATTCAGAGTCGTTCCCCTTCCTGCTCGACAGCGCCCCTCTCGAAGAAGGCCAGATCGGCCTGTACGCCTCCTTCGAGGGCCTCTGCTGCCGCCTGATTGCGCGCTACATGATGGACTTTGTTCAACTGGCTCTGCAACAAGTCGTGGACAACATCGATGACAAGGACTGTGTCGTGTCTGTCGGCAGCGGCTGCCGTGGCTCGCTCTTGGGTCCCGATGAGTGCGCTCGCGATGACTCTGACTTTATGGATACCTACGATCACCACGATGAGCTCGGGATCCTGACGGACGAGCAACTCGAGGACACGCGAGTCAAGAAGCTCAAGCTTCTCAAATTTGTCGAATGGAAGATGAGGGAAGAGGTCGTGCGCCGATCGCTCGAGGACGGCAGTCTGATCTAGTCGAGCACTTCGCCTATCGAGCCCGGCAGCGGCCCGATCGCCCCTCCGCCCTCCCTCCTGGTGGCGATCCGATGCCGCCGCGCTCATCGCACGCCGATGTGTCCTTGAGGACTTTTCGTTTGCTTTTTGGTCATTCTCACCTCGCACCCATCCCATCCGATCACGTTCGATCACGTTCGATCACATCCGATCACATTCGATCCCACTCGATCACATCAGCGATGGCTCTGCTTCGTACTCACCCCATATTGCCTTCTTGCAATTCAAAAGACGACAGTACCGCATCCATGCAATCGCCCTCCCTGCGCGCACCTTCATCCGCCTCCCAAGCCGCACGCCAGTAATTTATCAATACCTTCTACCGATTCTTCTTCCCTCTTCCGTTCCTTCAGCTACCCGCTCAACTTCCCTTCCTCCGCATCCATCTGTCCCGCCCCACATTCATCTGTGTACTTATCGTGTTCGTTCCTGTCCATGCTTTTGAGTTGCGAAACTCCCCTATAATCGCCGCCTATTCCTTCCCCTCACCCTTCCGCTCCCCACACACCACTCGCCACAAACTACAAACTACAAACCACCCAACCACGCACAACCCAACCCCATCTTTCCCCGTCGCCCTCCTCCCACGAGGCCCTATCATCCAGCTTTTGTGGTTCCGTGACTTTGCTGCTCTTGTATCAATACTTTCGGCACGCCGCCTCCTTTCGTGATATTTGGCTTCTCTCTTCACCTTCGTTGTCTCTGACTGATTGATCAACAATGATTGCTCCACCGACTTGCACCACTTGCGCAACCTTCCAAGCATCTGCAAATACACCCTGTTGGTTGTTGTGACATGGACTGTGTGTCGACGGGTATACGGTCTCATGCCCTCTGCTATCGGATGGACAGAGTCTGTGGGGGGCGGTTCTGCGAATTTGCTCATTTTACTTTGGATTGATAGAGCCCTTACAACAATTTGATAACATACCAATGGGGTTTTAATGTCAAGACAATACCAATGAGGTAACGATTCGATAGGTAGCATCAAAACCTGAGTCACTTCAAGTCGCTGAAATCGCTCTGGATGCCGAGCAGGCACAAAGGCGGCATCGCATCATGGCTGCTCGCGTTGCTCGTGCTGCAAGTATCCCCTGCACGGCCGAGACGTCGCATTCACTGGGCTGTGGAGCGACGCTTGAACAGAATCGGCGGCGGGCGCTTCATTTTGAGAATGATGCCGCTGGCCTCCTGCAGGCAGGCTTCCGACACTCCAGGAGCGACCCGCCACTCGTAGCGCTGGACCAGATGCACCAGGGCAGCCGCAAACTCGACTTGCGAAAACCGCTTGCCGACGCAGGACCGGGCGCCGGCGCTGAATGGAATCAGCGCGGCCCTGTTCCAGGTGTTGGGCGGGAGGAATCGCTCGGGGCGGAACTCGGCCGGGTCAGGCCCCCAGTACCGCCGGTTGTAGTGGAGCCCGACGGCATTCAGATCCACCCGAGTTCCCTTTGGGATCCAGTAGCCGCCGAGGTTCTGGTCGACCTCGCAGACCTTGAACACTGACGTCACGGGCGGGAAGAGCCGCAGCGTCTCGTTCATGATGGCCGAAACGTACTCGATGCTGGAGCAGTCCTTGTATGAGGCCGTCGCTGCAGCGCCATCGCTGTCGCTGATGCCGTCGCCGTCGCCGTCGCCGTTGGATGCGGCCAAATGTCCGACGACCTCCTGGTAGAGTCGCTCCTGCTTGTCTCGATGGAATCCTGCAGGGCGGTTGTTACTTCAAGTCAGAGCCAAGCTGCACCAAGTTCGAAAATCGGGAGCACACTTCTCTGCCCCCTCCTCCCCCAACACGACTAGTTCGCTCGGACACCGCCATCCATCGAGCAAGCCCACTCCCCCACTCTTCGCAGTCACATACCCAGCAGCGTCAGTGCAAAGGTCAGGGTCGTTGCTGTGGTATCGTGGCCGGCGAGCAAAAATATGAAAATGTCGCCGACAACCTCGTCCTCTGTCAGCCGAACGGCATTGTGCTCGTCGTCCTGGACCGAAGCACCGACGATGGCCTCCAGCAGATTATCGGGCTTCTCAGAGACCTGGTCTTGAGCCTGGCGGGCCATACGGCGGACGTACTGTTCGAACTCTTCAGGTGGCGACAGTGCAAGTCGTCAGAATGGAATGCACCCACACACGGATGCATGGTAGGTGCGCTATGGATTCGCCCATGGTGTGCTCTTGGATGAGCGCGTGAATCCAGACAGAGATACATTGACAGCGGTCGCCGACGTTGGTTTCCACATTCATGCGCAACTGTCTTTCGCATCGCGCAGGACAGAGCTGGGACAGGGCAGCTGCACCGGTCTGGGTCTCAGCCAAGCGCCAAGTTGCTTACCGTCAAACTGGCGGCCGATCGTTCGGAATGGATCAATCGGCAACTTGAATATCCACTTTGGCAAGAAAAAGTTGAGCGCCAGGTTCTTGAGCACAAGCCCAATGACCTGCTCAAACGAATACCGATGGCCCTCGTCCGGCTGGTCACGGACGCTCCAGCTGAATTTGCGACCAAAGCCCGCCGCAGAAAACACAAAGAGGGTGAGGCGGCTCATGTCCTGCGAGACATTCACCTGGAACTCGTCCGGGCTGTCTGGGGCGCGAACGGCGGTCGTCTCCCACTCTTCACACATTTCGGCGACTAGCCGCTGGGTTTCGTGGTGGACGAGGAGGTTGTTGGTTTCGGAGAAGTGCGGGCTGACGATCTTGCGATGCTTCCGCCACTCGTCACCCTCGGTCGTGAGGATGTTGCTCCCCTGGGTAGTTGAGTCAGCCAGTCAGCCAGTGAGCCAGTCAGCCAGTCAGCCAGTCAGCCAGTCAGCCAGTCAGCCAGTCAGTCAGCCAGTCGAGAGCCATGCCGCGATTGTATCGATCACGAGGGCTCGCTGTCGACTCATGAAGGGAGACGTCGCAGTGAGATGCGGTGGTGGGGTGTGTGATGGGAATGCGCCCATGGCCATGAAGCTCCGATCGAGACTCATGGATACTTGCAAAAATGTTGAAGGCGCGGTACTCTTGCGTGGGCTTGGGGATCTCTACGCGGCGGCTCGCTGCTTCCTTGATCAGATCGGCATCGGCGATGGTGACATAGGCGCTCCAGGTGTTGACGACGGCAAAGACGTCACTCTTGCTATAGCGAGGTTGGAAGCCGCATCAGGGGCGTCAGTTTGCTCTCAGACGCAGCCAGCCGACCCGCCAGCTGGACAGTGGATCTGCCTGGCGACGATCCCAATACTCACAGCTCCTCGAAGCTTTCGTGCTTAGACTTCCAGCGCCAGCCCTGGGTGTATCTCAGCATCGAGCGAGGGATGATCTGCAACCAGGCAAACTGTGTTCAGGAGCCGTGGAGAGGGCAATCGACGGAGCAATCGAAAGAGGCAATCGACGGAGCAATCGAAAGAGGCAATCGAAGGGCAATCGAAGAGGCACGACGGAACTGACGGTGCGTAGCATCGGAGACCAAGACCTTCATACCTCGAGATAGACGAGGATGCTGAAGCGACGCAACGGATTCCACACAGCCTCGACGGGCATGTGCGGGTTGGCCTTCTTCAGGGTAGCGGCCTGCGACAGGATGTGGTGCCGGAGCCATAGGGTGAAGAGGGTCGCAGAGCCCAGAAGCGATGCGAGAATGCGGGCCGAAAGCGGCCACGCGAGCCAGAAAGCATGGAAAGACATGATCGAGAAGGCACGGGAAGACATGATCGAACGAGGCTGGGTGCCCCCGTTTCGCCTTGCGCTGGCTTGAAATCTCGGCGCCAAGAAACGAGCAGGCCACCCAGAAACGAACACGTAGAACCGGGTGGCTGGTGTTCCATCCGAGCCCGCGGACATCAGATGGTGATCCTGCGGATATCAGATGGCGAGCCCGCTCACCAAGCACACGCAGCCTGGAAATCGATGGGCACTGGCGACGGTGAAGGTGCTCAGGGCACGAGCGAAACCGAGTCTCTGTGGGCTCAATGGATATCCCTTCCACGAGGCACTCCCAAGGATGAAGACACCAACGCAGCAAACAGCGCCATGTATTTCTGTGACTGTTGTTCATCGTGGCATCGCTAGACACTCGACGTGTGTCGATCGCAGTCTTTGCGATCGATGCGGTCGGTGTTGGACGTTCCCGAGCCGGGTGCCTGTCCGGACAATGAAGCAGTAGACTGCTGTGGGATGATGTGAAAGAGCATTATATGCACAGCGGCGAGCGAGGAGCTCAGGAACAGATTTCCAAAGCGAATCATCACCAACGCCATGTTTGGCATGGTATCAGTCCAGGCGGCGCTGAGGGCAAGTGCAACCGTAGCGAAGGTACTGCGAGCAAGCATGGAAGATGCGAGCGATGAGGGAAGATGTGAATGCCGCTCCGAGGTGTGAGACCAACTGCCGGCCAACGCTCTGACATTGTAAGGAGTGAACAAGCGCAAGGACGAAGACCAAGTGCTTGGTATGAGCTTTATTAGCTTTTAGCCCCGAACACCAAAGAACAAGTTTTGTTCGAACTGGTGTTCAACATAGGCTCAGACATGCAGGGCTATTTATAGACCGGGAGAAGGTCGAGGGGCAAAAGTGGGCGAGAAGGGTGGAGCATCACAGAGAAGCGAGAAGGGGGTGCGAGAGTGGCTGGTGTGCAAGCGAGAGAGGCTTGGCACAGCCCGGGGACATGTGCCGAGCGGTGGGGGAGGCAGGAAACCAGTAGACGCGGGTGGCAACGGCGCGTGCTCATGCATGGGGGCAAACAAACACGTGGGGACTCATGATTGGTGCGGAGGGCGAGAGCATGCGGGACAATCTCATTGGTCCGTTGTGATGCTGGTCATCACACTATCTCCTCCTTAAACTACGGCGTGTTCCATCTTGAGTTCTCCTGGGGCCAGGCTTGTCTGGGTAGCGTCGGTGGTACTCCGCGGCCACCGTTGGGGCAAAGACAATGTCGGCGGGCTCCCAACTTCGATCGGTGACCGGGTAGCCTTTCCAATCGATGAGATAGTGCAGCTTTCCGCGCACGAACTTGGAGTCTAAGATCTCTTCGACCTCCCACTCCAAGTTCCCATCGATGACCACCGCAGGGGGCGGCGCTTGCACCCGACCCGGAAGCGAGTTCTTCTTGTAGGGCTCAAGAAGAGACACATGGAACACCGGGTGCACCTTTATGTCCTTTGGCAAGTCCAGGCGGAAAGCCAATGTCCCGACGGCCTCGAGGATGGTGAATGGTCCAATCCTCTGGTAATCCAGCTTCTTGCTTGGGCGAGTGGTGCTGATGTTACGAGTCAGCACCCAGACTTGATCGCCCGGACGCAAGTCGGGAGCCTGGGACCTCCGGAGATCTGAGAAGTGCTTGTAGTCAGACTTTGCCTTCTCAAGATTCTCCTTCAACAGTGCCAGGTTCCGCTGGAGATGTTCAACCCTCTCCGTGGCAGAGGGAACATCAGGGCCGCCAGCGACAACGGGGACTTCGAACCTTGGGTGGAACCCATAGGTTGCCAAGAATGGCGAGGCATGTGTTGACGAGTTCTCGAGGTTATTGTAAGAGAACTCGGCCAACGGCAGCAGCTCGGCCCAGTCATCTTGCTGATACGACGTGTAACAGCGCAGGTATTGGTTGATGACCTGGTTGACCCTCTCAGTCTGTCCATCGGTCTGGGGATGGAAGGCCGTGGACAGACTGGTTTGGATCCCGAGCTGCGTGCAGAGTGCCTTCCAGAACCGAGAGGTGAACTGACTTCCTCGGTCTGAAACCACTGTGTCGGGGAGGCCATGGAGACGAAAGACATTGTCGAGGAACAGTGACGCAGTCTCCTCCGCCGACGGCAGTGAACGCCAGGACATAAAGTGTGCCATCTTTGTGAGGCTGCATACCACCACAAAGATGCAGGTGTGACCCTTGGACTTTGGCAGATCAGTGATAAAGTCCATGGTCAGTGTCCCCCAGGGTCGATCGGCTGTCTGGAGTGGCAACAGGAACCCAAACGGCTTGTGTCGCGGAGCTTTCGAGCGTGCACAGGTGTCGCACGTCGAGACGTACTCTTTGACATCTTTCCGATAGGTTTGCCACCAAAACTGTCGCGATACCAGAGCCAGAGTCCGTCGGATGCCTGGATGACCCACAGCGACTGGGTCATGGCACGACTTGAGCGCCGGAACTCGGCACGACTCTGGGACCACAATCCTGTTCTGGAAGGTGAGGTACTGGCCATTCCAGACGAACTTCGGGTCACGACGGTATTTGTCTAGACCGGGATCCCGAGCCTGCTCTTCGGCTATGAGCTGCAGCAAATCCACAGGGTCACTGCGACTTGCAACCGAAGAGCGGGCGTCTCTGCTTCGGAGCACGCGTATCACCGCGGCAGGATCGAGAAGCAGAGGCGGATCCCTCGACACGGAGGCCGACGAAGGGATGTAGTCCGAGCGACGAGACAGGGCATCGGCCTTGCCGTTCCTCGCACCAGGACGGTACTGGATGCGGATGTCGAACCGAGACAAGAACTGGGACCACCGTGCATGACGCTGGTTTAGGATGCGAGCCGTTGCCAGGTACTCCAAGTTCTTGTGATCGGTCAGAACGGCAACGGGATGCTGGGCGCCTTCGAGGTAGTGTCGCCACGCCTCGAAAGCCTCCTTGATCGCCAACAGCTCTTTCTCGTATATGCTGTAGTTACGTTCAGCATTCGAGAGTGTCCGCGAATGGAACGAGCAAGGATGAAGGCGATCATCAGCACCCCGCTGGGAGAGCACGCATCCAAGCGCAAAGTCCGACGCATCTGACTCTACGACGAACGGCTTGGATGGGTCCGGATGCACCAGAACGGGCTCCGAAACGAAGGCATCCTTCAAGGATCTGAATGCTTTATCGGCTTCGCGGGACCACTGGAAGCCATGCGTCTTCCGGAAGAGCCGAGTCATGGGCCCCGCGATCTTTGCGTATCCATCGATGAAGCGTCGATAGAAGTTCGCAAACCCGACAAAGGATCGAAGATCCGAGATGTTGCGCGGTATGGGCCAATCCAAGATCGCAGAGAGCTTGGATCGCTCCATACCGATGCCCTCGGGCGAGACCATGAAACCAAGGAACGAGACCGAGGTTTTGGAGAACTCGCACTTCTCCAGCTTGCAATACAGCTTTGCAGCTCGGAGCTTCGAGAGGACCTGCTTGACGTGCTCTACATGCTGCGACGGATCAGCACTGTAGATCAAGATATCGTCAAGATACGCAATTGCGAACTGGTCCAACTCGGTGCGCAGGACGTCGTTGATGAAGTGCTGGAACGTCGCTGGCGCGTTGGTGAGCCCAAAGGGCATCACCAAGTACTCGAAGTGCCCATATCGAGTACGGAAAGCTGTCTTCCACTCGTCCCCGGAGCGGATGCGCAGCAGATTGTAGGCTCCACGAAGGTCCAGCTTAGTGAACACCTTCGCGCCTCGAAGTCGGTCCAGCAGCTCGCCGATCAGCGGTAAAGGGTAACGGTTCTTTACCGTGATACCGTTCAGTGCGCGGTAGTCAACGCAAAGACGAAGTGAGCCGTCCTTCTTCTTGACGAAGAGGATTGGTGAGCCTGCTGGGGACGACGAAGGACGAACGAATCCCTTGGCAAGATTCTCGTCGAGATAGTCACGCAGAGCGTGAAGTTCGGGCTCGGACAGTGAGTACAGAGGCCCGAACTTTGGCGACTTGCCCGGCTCCAAGTCAATGGGGCAGTCATAAGGGCGATGCGGAGGCAAGGAGTCAGCTTCCTGTTTAGAGAAAACAGACAGGAAGTCCTTGTACTCCGCAGGCACTTCGACAGTCGCAGTGCTCGGCTCGTCAGTGGGCAGGACATGGACCTGAAAGATGGTCAGGGGTTGCGTTCCATGCCTGCATGCATCCAAAGACTCGCGCATCGAGCGGTAATCAATGCTGCAGACGCGGAGAGGAGCGTCCGAGCTGAGAGGAGGGGCGTGGACAAGGTCAGAATAATGTTCGACGGTTACTTTATTCTGAACAATGTCCGAAGAACAAACAACAGGAGGAGGTACATCAAGGAGGGAAAGAGAACTGACAACAGAAGAAGGGGTTTGGGAAGAGCGAAGGGGTTCGGGAGGAACAAGACAAGAAGGGGAAGACGAAGGTGGGAGCGTAGGAGAGGAGCTTAGATCAATCAAAGGAGTGGAATCATCAAGAAGGGGAGTGACATTGGAGGAAGTGGAGCAAGACGAAAGAGAAGTAGTGCATGGAGAGGGGTCGGAATCAACAGAAGGAGGGAGACAAAGAAGACCGCGAGACCAGACAATCTTGGGCTCGGCGGTGCGCAACCAAGGAAAGCCAAGGATAAGTGGTTGATGTGGAGACCTGATCACATCGAACCGAAGGCGTTGCGAGACGTCCCCGAGAATCACCTCGAGTGGAGCAGTCTCGCGGAGGATGGGGCCAGACGACAGCGGCTTACCATCCACGCCTTCCACTGCCAAGGGCGAAGCCTTGGAGCAGGTGGGGACAGAGTGTCGAGCAACAAAGTCCTCGTCGATAAAGTTGCCAGAGGCACCAGAATCGACAAGTCCTTCGCACGACAGAGAATCACCAGAAGGAAGACGAACAGCGACGGGAACAACCAACGAGCAACGACGAACAGACGAAACACAAGACTTTGGTTCGGTACCAGCTTCGGCACCAGGGTTGCGGCTAGCACAGACAGTTAACTTTGCCGAGGGTTGGCAGGACAGCTCAGGTATTTGCACCTGTGGATGAGGTGCAGTTCCCAGTGACACCAGAGGTGCCACGGGTACTATGCCAGAGCTGAGAGTGTCCGCCGGTCCAGAGGCAAGGCGAAGCTGTCCGCACATCACTGCTTCCCCAGTACTTACCAAAGGCACCTTACCAATGTCTTCACTTTCGGAAGGCGGTGGGCACGGCTCCGGTTCAAGGCCTTCACTTAGAACCGGGCCTGGTCGTTTCCCGAACTGAAGTCTTGCACTTCTCCATCTTCGTAAACGATGGTGCGGATGATCCTCGGGCCGGGAGGTCCAGGGGGCGGTCCGGTAGCTCTGGTAGATCCAAACTTGACGGGGCAGTTTCGTACCAAGTGGCCCTTCTTGCCACAGTACAGGCAGAGTCCAAAGCGGCGGCGGCGTTGTTTCTCCTCGGCGGTCAGGGGTCCAGAGACGGCAGAGTCCACTTGCATGGGCTCGGAAACAATGTAGGAGGGGTGCGGCGGAGCGAGGACGGGCGCGGGAGCGATGGCGGGAACGGCAGCGGAGGCGGAACCAAAGGCGAACTGGGAAGACCGGTAGCGGGCAGGCGTGCTTCGGCGCTCTTGACGGCGCTCGCGGATTCGTGCATCGAGCTCGTTACAAAGCTCGATGTACTCCTCCAGATCTCGTGGCAGAGGGCGAACTCGCGAAAGTTCGTCTCTGACATCATCCGACAAGCCAAGTCGGAAGAACGAGATCTTTGCACCGTCGTTCCAAGTCGTATCGGCGGCAATACGAAGGAACTCGGATGCATAGACTGCGCACGGGCGGTTGCCCTGAGACAGTGTGGTGATCACTGACTCGGCAGTCCTGGCCCGATCAGGGTCGTCAAACACTTTGGAAAAGCGTTCTAGGAAATCGCCAAAAGAGTTGAGTCGGGGATCACCCATCTCAAGCATCGGAGTCGCCCACTGGAGAGCCGGTCCAGTGAGCAGACTAATGACGAATCCGACCTTAATCGGGTCAGCAGGGAACCGGTGGGGCTGCATTCGTATATACAGTTTGCACTGATTTACGAATGCCCGGAACCCTTGCCGGTTACCGTCGTAACGGTCCGGCATCTGCACGCTGTACCCAGCGGCAGGAGCATCGCGAGCTGTCCGGAGCTCGGCGAGCTCGGCCTCCAAGGCACGGAGGCGGTCCACGAGGGCAGGATCCATGGCGGGACTGGGACTGGGACTGGGAAAAAAAAAAAAAGCGAGGAGGTTCAAGAACAGGAGAGCGAAGAGGGCTCAGACACAAGTGTGCTTGAGGTTCGGACAGGACTAGGAAAGGGGCGGGGCTAGGAGCGGAAGATACCAAGCAGGTGGTATCAGTAGAAGAGAGTTCGAACAAAGTGTAAGGAGTGAACAAGCGCAAGGACGAAGACCAAGTGCTTGGTATGAGCTTTATTAGCTTTTAGCCCCGAACACCAAAGAACAAGTTTTGTTCGAACTGGTGTTCAACATAGGCTCAGACATGCAGGGCTATTTATAGACCGGGAGAAGGTCGAGGGGCAAAAGTGGGCGAGAAGGGTGGAGCATCACAGAGAAGCGAGAAGGGGGTGCGAGAGTGGCTGGTGTGCAAGCGAGAGAGGCTTGGCACAGCCCGGGGACATGTGCCGAGCGGTGGGGGAGGCAGGAAACCAGTAGACGCGGGTGGCAACGGCGCGTGCTCATGCATGGGGGCAAACAAACACGTGGGGACTCATGATTGGTGCGGAGGGCGAGAGCATGCGGGACAATCTCATTGGTCCGTTGTGATGCTGGTCATCACAGACATTCAGCCATCACGAACATTGCGTCCATGCATTTGGCGCCAGTATACAATATGCAGCCCTCGAGATGATCTCGGCCAAATGCTGGTTTGGGTAACAATAGTCCGTCCCTCCGCCGTTGGCGCTTCGATACCGACTGGGCACTGGGCCGCTGTTGGATTGACACTTGCCTAATCAGTAACAGGATTGCAAAGACAATCCGCGTTTCCGGGAGCTTGGATACCACCCCCTTGAGCATATCCACACCACTTGCACATTTGCTCGGAGGCTTTTTCGTGCTTGGGTCGTCCATGCTTGCCCGCAGGACTTTATGGCACTTCCTGAGTGTGTATAGAATGATTCCGCTTGAGCTTAGCCACGAAAGATAGATAAACGCAGCATAGAGAACTTGTGCCACTGCCTTCCAGGGACGCAGTTTGTCGTCCAGCAAAAATGTCATGTAGAAGCAGGCACAATGCCAGGTTGAGAAGATATCCAATGTAATCCTGAGTGTGACGGATGTCGATTCATCAGTAGGAGCGAGCGACACAGCGCAATGGCGGGCCGAGCTAGTGTGTATCTGGCTTCGCTTCTGTCACTCTGCAGCATCGCCAACATCACAAAGCATCACCGGCATTCTGCATCATTCGAGCCAGTAACTGAATGTCATCCAGTAAAACCGGTCCAGATTCAACGTGACAGATGCCACGAACGCATTCGTTTTACCCAGAGATCATGATACGGAGCCACGGGTTTCATCAGAATGAGGACCAGATGGGATAGGTGCACGGTGGTAAGGCCATAGAGCCCAATGAAGAAGTTGGCAAACTTGCTCCAGGCAGTAAAGTACTGGATCTGGGTACATATCCATGGGAATCGCGGCAGCCATCGGATGCACATCCATCAGACTGAGACGGGATCGTCGGCAAACGGAAACGCGGCGATGAACTGCATCGGAATCCCCCAGCCCGCTCGGCTGGCCAGCAGGCATGCAACACATCAGAGACTTGCCACAAAAGCGCGGCGTTACCGTCGTGGGGTCGGCTGTACCATTTACAGTTGCGGTTTGGGCCTGAACATAGAAGCACGTAGTGATTTGGGATATCGGTATTGCCTGAGCCGAAAGTGACGAGAGCGAGAGCGAGACGTCAGGGAGCCTGGGCCGATGTATGGTGGATAGAAATGCGAGCACCGATACATGATGGGTGGGGATGCGAGCGCCGATGCAAATCGCCACTGGGTTAACTTGCCACCGCGACCACGAGGAAGAACAATGCGTTGGCCTGATTGACTTTTGGTGGCCAGTGCAGCCTCCGGAAGAAGGCCTGGGCGACATAGATGTGCACGACGAGCGCCAGTCCAAGGATGATGTACTGCCCCGTTGTCGAAGCGCTGGGTGAGATGTCTTGCATGGCTGAACGAGCAGCCGCACCACGACACGCAGCCAGGGATGCACCAGGACGCACCAGAACAGCCGTCGCAGCCGAGCACGAGACGCTCGAAGAGCGGACGGAGATTTGTCTGGAGGCTCCCCGCTCTCAGGGCGAGCAGCGGGCGCGCGACGTTGTACAGTGCCGGATGGTGTTCGTCGTGCGTCAGCGGCGGGATTGGAGATATAGTTAGAGATGGTGTTAGATGTGTTGTTAGATATGTTGCCGGATATATAGTTGAAGATATCGCGAGCCGGCAGTGCCATCGAAGCCATTGTCGCAATGATCGCCCCAACCCAACTCAATCGGCCAACAAGCGCCGCATCCGCTCTCCCTGGCCATGGATGTGCTTGCTCATCAGGGGTGTCCAGGAGACCAACCTCGACCATCAAAGGTCAATCCGTGTATGGCTGCAGTGCTCCGTACGAGCTGGTTGTGCCGAGGACCGGCCACAGTATGTAAAACTTGGGGCCATCCAACCTGTGCTACAGCGACGCAACAGGCAATGGCTGAAGGAAGATCACCTTTCATGGTCATCTCCTTCAAAGCAACACCGCTTGCCTCTGGGGGGGGGTTTGGTAACAAGGTCTCCCAGATCTAGTGTAGCGATCGAATCTGATCCACCATCGCACCACATCGTCGCTTCAGTTGAAGCAGGACACAGCTCGACCACAGGGTGTCCGGCCAACTGAGCGAGCACGAATGTATTCAGGATCCCGGAAGAATGGAAAGGAATGGAGGCAAGCTCATGTCGGTCGTTTCAACATCAGCGACAGCAAACAGGACATGCTGTTCCACTGGACTAAAGGCTGTTTGGGTGGCACGGCATTCGCGATCCATAGCCTTCTAAGGATACGAGCGGAACAGTCCTGTCGATAGAAGATACTCAAATGACTCCTGGTCCCATTTTTTCCGCACACTCGAGTGGTCAAAGATCTTGTATAAGATGGGCTGGCTCTCAGGCAGGGGCTGTGGTCGAGAGCAGCCACCAAAGCAGCAGGAAAGAATGTCAATGACGGTCAAGTGCCGGACCACTCGAAAGCGAGTGCACTGAACTGCTGCATTTTGCCTACCGTGTCGTCCCGAGCAGCAAAGTGCCGAATCTTTTCAACTAGGGCCCGAGCGCCCTCGTCTTGTTCGTGCTCGTCTTGAAGCAGAGCCCGCCTCGTCGCCCGCGAGAAATTTACAAATCGGTCGTAGTAGATCGGCAAAGCCCATGGTTCGGAAAGAAAGCTGGAGAGCCAGTTCGTCGGTCAGTGCTTTCAAGATATCGGAATCCGACTAGATCTCCTCCTACACGCACAGCCGCTCCGCAATGTCTGTGTTCCAAAGCCTCGGGACAGGCCCGCAACAGCTCCCATGTACTGCATTGAGTTGATCGATGCCCACCTTACAAAATCCTTGATGACTCCTTCGTCGAACCGTGCCACCAGTCTGTTCAAGTACTTTTCGTGGAGACCATACAGACACAGGAGATTATCGCTTGCAATCCCTGGTACTCCCAGATAAGTGAGGGAATGAATGTACCCCGATGGCGACACGTGGATTCGAAAATAGCTTCCGGGCTGATCAATCACGAGATCCCGGCCCTGACAGCAGCACTTTAGTCAGAAGCTGTGGCCGTGTCTGCAACCTAGAAGCGACAGCGCGGCAAGTGCTCGGCTGCGAAGGACTCACATAGTCGCCTTGCTTCGACCGGAATGCAAGAGTGTGACTCTGGAGCCTGGGCTTGTCGCAGTGAAGGTAATACAAATCGCCTGGTCGGCACAATCCGCCATCAAAAGTTGTTACCAATCATGTTGGTGTGCTCGGTTTCGACCTTAAGCGCCCACAGATAGCCTTGGTACTCATGCCTTGGCGGCACGACACCCACCAGGAAGACGAGCCTCCACCTTCTTGGAGACTGTGAACGGGAGGATGTCCAAATCGTCATCGATCGGCTGCATTGGCGCTGACGAGTCGAACAAGGGCAAGAGTGTCTCCATCAACTTGAACCCGACTTCCCGCGAATCGTAGAGGGCGTGTGACCACTTTGTCTGGTACTTGCTCGAATATTTTGTTATGCTTCCAGCTGCATATCTTGTTCAGGAAAGGGGGGGGTTTCCAGGGAGGCTAGCATCAGCACGGGTGGTGTCGTCGATGTTTATGCTCATCTCCACAGCCATGAAACGGTCCTTGAAGCCAAAATACGCCGATTCATTCGAATTGAAAATACAAACATGTATGGATCCTGTGTGCGAAAGTATTTGTCGATTACAAGTCGACCGTCAAATACGAGCGAACTGTCATTGATGGATTTAAAGGTGTCCGGATCGACCAGCTTTTCATCGGCATAGAGAAACATGGCTATGTTGTTTATCGTCTGTACTTCTTTATCGTCCTTGCTCTGAGATCGCAAAGGGCCAGCGTGAGAGAGTGAAAGCGAGGCCGATATATCAGTCCGCAACCATGGCCAGGCTGGATCGCCTCCATGAAGGCAGATCCGCTCTTGCTCGGCTGAAGCACAATATCGGCGTGGGGGTCGACAGCCACTCGAGCAACACTGTCCCACTAGCACTCAATTGTATATTTACCGCAATTGTCAGGGAAGAAAGCGAAGCCTGCTGGGACTCCCATTTCAGCGGCCTCCAGCCTCGGTAGATGTGAATTCCAAGCTCTGCCATCTTGGACTGCACCTAGATGCCTCGACAAGAGACAATGTATCAGGGAGATGGCGTTAGATCAGTGTTTGCGCGCGTCATTTGATCGGACTGGAACGTGCCTTTTGATCAACAGCCTCATTGTTGAAGCAGCTTGCAGGGAGCTCCAATGGCGGCTCGACAAAGTGTACGTCTTCTGGTTTGACTGATTTTTTCAAAAGACCTGCGCGCGCAGCTATTCATTCAGAATCTGACAACCGAATCGAAGTACGAGAAATATACAGAGTCTTGCGGCCATTTTTGCTTGTATCCAGCACAGCTTATACTTGCCCTCAATCGTGCTGAAGGCTTGGATGTTCCTCCCGAAACTGATTATCAATCAACCAGCAGAGGGTTAATAATCGGCTCCCGTATAGGAACGTGGTTGGTCCTGAAGCGACCGTGATACTGGTGGTGATAATTACTGGATGTCCGAGCAGCTTGCTGCTCGGTACCTTTTGGAACTCCGAGGATACGGAGGAAGAAAAAATGGGTTGGCCTCGAGGCGTCCTCAAACTTACACTATCACAGCTGTGCCTTCACCACGCTTCTCGACTTCCTTTGTGATGGTTTCTAGATTCTGCGGAGTGACCTCATACACGCCGTGGAGCATTGCAAATTTCTCTGAGATCTGGGTCGCTTGGAATTGAATTCCCGGCGTCAAGATCAAATAGTCATATCTAGATATGAGGCGAGTGATTGAGCCGCGTTTAGAATCTCCGTGGTTTGCCAAGAACAAAGGCTCAGGAAGAACCGACAGACACATCCGCATCAAATCAAGTCAAATCAAATCAAATCAAATCAAGTCAAATCAAGTCAAATCAAATCAAACGCTTGCACTTATAAGAAGCCTACGCCAGCGTCATTCCGTTCCGAAGGGTGATCCGCTTGAGGACCCTGTCCAGCTCATAGCACGAGCCTTGAATAATATTGACGTAGTGTTCGAGTCCTATTTGCTCGAGCCTGTACAGCGAATCAGTCAGTTCAGTTCGTCATGGATGAATGAAGCATCTGGGCCGATGACGTACACGACGCTATTATATAACAGCGTGGCAGAATTGAACGTGCCTACGAACGCATCATCCGAAATGATCGAGCCCATAGAGTCCATAAGGCCCATAGAGCCGATGGAGCCGATGGATCTGCCGAAATTCGATGCGCGTTCGATTATGATATGCAAAGCAGGTAGACACTTACTCCAGCCCGGTGTAACATCGGTTGCTCGCAAAAATGCCTTTGTTCTCGAGGGATGGTATTCCGTCATTTGATACAAGAGTGACGTTCCTGAAGTAAATATGCGGACACTAACGAGTTTCAAGATGGGTAGCACCGCCATGATGCGCGAGAAGGTCAGTATCCCATCAATAGCATCCACACTTGTCCAGCAACTTGACAGAGAGCTCGATCGATCGAATACCAATTAGCTTGAGAGATTACAGCGTAGTCCTCCCGTCGACCAACTTCTGGCATTGTCAAAGGTACTCACGTAGACCAGACTCTCAAGGAATGCTACACCAACGTCGGAACCACCGATGACGACAATCCTGGAGTTGATGGCGGTCTTGTTTATGTCCATATTCAATATCATAAACGCGATAAGTCTGTATCAGAACGTCACTGCTCGGGTCGAAAGTAGTAGCTCTGGTATGTACATGACCAAAGTGAAATAGGTCCAATCGGGGGAGAGGGGCATCTAGAAGCATTGTCGACGGCACCCACTGACACCCTAGTCAGAAACGGCGAGTGGTCGCAGACAACTAGCTCACCTTCGATTCGTAGAGAAGCGGGGCTGAGAGCAATTGAATACAGTGTTCGATTGGAGCAGGCATGCGCTCTCCGTCTCGAATATTTCCCGGGTAGATGATCCTGTTGCAAATGGTCAAGTAGGGGGGGGGCAGCTTGAGCGCGACGTGCCCTCGAAAACTTATCTCAGGTAATGCAAAAAGAACTCGGAATGCCAAGTGCGATGTTGGTAGCGCTTACTCTCTTCTCCGCCGAACCGGCCAGAACTCTCGAATGGCCATTTGCCGCGTAGCCGCATCCCGCTTGCTCCGTCGATCCACAGGATACAAGAGGCAAGTGAGACCAAGGATCCTCATTGCTTCCTGTGTGTTATTGAATTCGAGAGTTTGGTAGATACCATCAAAAGCACTCGTAAGTAACGATAGTCTTTGCTAATACGCTCGATATGGCTGGGAAACAGCGAACCAACCCTGCACCTCAAGAGATCCATACGCAATATGCCTCATGGATCGGTCTCTCCGAGATTAATTCCTTCAACATTGACTGAACAGCAAGTGGTACTACAGCGTGAGATGCATCATACCTCCAGCACAAATCTTGCCGTATGATCGAATAGCGGGTTCAGAACCAAGTGACGAAGAAGAACTGGGCTACCCTTCAAACTGTGGTGGCCAAGGGTAATGTACTCCTCGATATCAAACTGATCGGTGTAGCCGCGCGGATCCAGGCACTCTTCAAGGATAAGTATGCCCACCACTTGGCTTGCTTTCTCGATCAAGAGGGATTTGAATCCTGGGGAATGGGATGAGCTCAGCGATCTAGCGTTGTCAGCGCGGGTGGACCATCGCAGGAGGGCGACTCTGTGACGAACCAGCCGTTTGCCAATCCTCCGATCCACACAATATTCATATACAGCTGTTGCTCAGTCGATATCTGTTCAGTGGAGGAAGCAAAAACTCACGAGTTATGGCATGGCCCTTCTCAGCACTCTTTTCTGGACTCTGTAGGGACTCGGCAAAGGCAGCAATCACTTCGGACTCGTTGCGCAAGCCCTCCAGTAGCCCATAGATGTGGGTTACATCGGCCTGGGCTGGAAGCCGAACCGACACCGGGTCGCCGATACCATAGCGGCTGACGATATATAAACAATGGCTGAAAGGACATTGGTCAGCCTGCAGGACATGAGACCCTCTCGCCGCTCAAGCACATGTGCTCATCCTTACGAAGCAATCTTCCCATATCGATGGGGGATGAATACAAAACTCTTGAGTAAGGTCAACTCCGGCGCCGTTGTTGGGATGGTGATGACACAGTAATCCCGCTCCGGGAACATAGAAAACGCAAACTTGATAAACTCGATGGCCTGGTTTGCAAACGGAGGCTCGATGTAAAACAAGTTGATGCAGATGATATTGCCGACTGTCAAAGGATCAGCCAGCCTGGCGTTGATTTGCGCTGCTTCCTGTGCAGCAGCCAATGCTGCATTTGCAGTTGCGGTACCACCAGTCGTTGCCTGGCTTTCGCCTGTGGGTGGCAAAGGCGATCCAGGATGATTATCGTGATCAGCGCGAACGCGCCCAGAGGACGGGCGTGAAGTCAAGTTGAGGTCGATAGTGGCAGTGCTACGCCCCTTTGGAAGCTCCGGAAGGATAGTATCTTGAATCTCTAAAGGCCGGAGAAAGTCACGTTCAGATAACTGTACTGGCGTATGCAAGACGCCAATTCGAGCTATTCGAACGTCGGCAACGCCAAATAGGGGATACCTTTCCAGAGTTGGTCAAAGTTGTCCATCTGGAAGACGTCGGTAAGTATTTGTTGATCAAAGTCGCAAGTGGCGCTCAGGAAGCCGACAATCTCTCCATCCGCCTGCATGCCCATGATGGTGGGTTGCGGTCCGAGCACGGTGATAGACCCCAGGTCGATAGGGTTGGAAGCGAATGTCAGATCTTGCTGGAGACAAAAGCATGGCCAGGAAACCATCCATAGAGCACCACATGTGATTCGTGAGGACCAATGCGCCCTTGGGTTCAATATATATGCAATCGACAACTCACTTCTGCCACCAACGTCTTGGTGGATTCGGTTTTGGACTCGAGTAGCTCCGCCAGGTAGTAGTCAGCATGGCTGCCGTTAAGGAGCTTGAATAAATCGATGTACTTGGATGTTAGCAGCTCAGCAGCTCACCAGCTCACCAGCTCACCAGCTCACCAGCTCACCAGCTCACCAGCTCACCAGCAGACCACAAACCGGTCCCAAACTCTCTCTATTTCCTAATATTAATATACGATCGTCAACCCCCAAGAAATGCCCCGGCGATCTTGTTAAGCAAGGACCTCAACGCACGCTGGTCTTTTGCGACTGATATTAACTTACGTTCTGTTTTTTAAACATTGGAGCGAGATCATCGCAGTCTTCGACCATGGCTTTCCTGACTTTGAGCAGTGGGACTATGTCGCGCCGAAGACAGTTGTACAGACAGTATTTGCTGTCCGCATTGGGCTTAAGGGGGACCTCAAGAAAGTATTTTCCCTGGTCTCGCCGGTTACGCCGACCGGGCCGGCGTTTCTTGAAAGGCTTCTTCCCCTTGGCAAGCGAGTTGGCGGTCGAGAGTCTGGGATCATCCGAAGCGAGCACGGGTGCAGTATACCGTGGCAACGAGAGGGGCGGAAAGAGAATCAAAAAGTCCGGCAGTAGGTACGAGATATTCTTGAGCTCCGGTAACCAGGCAAAGGCCGAGATAAGGGCCATATCCAGAAACTCAAGGGCGCATTCGGGCTCGGCGACAAAAAAGGACAGAAACTTTGTATTGTGAATCTGGATGGAGGGCGGCGAAAATGCGTGAGCAGGTGCGGAGCGAAGAGTGGGCTCGTTGTACCCGGGTCAAACAGAGCAAGGGGACTGGAGCCTCCAAGCATCAGAGAGACACCTACATGAATGTCCTTGGCTTCGAAAACACTTCCGGTCCAGTTGTCCCATTTAGTCTCCTGGAAAACATGTGCCATGTCGCTATCGTGGGCTAGAGTAGGGCCATTGTTGATCGCCATGAACCCGCAGAACGCACCAGTCTCTCTGTGAGTACCGATGATGCTGAATGGAGACACATCACTGGCCGAATATAGGCAATCGATGGGAAGGTGGTTGAAAAGTGAGAATAATAGCATGAACGAAGGCGAGCACGAGGCGGCGAAATCGATGGTGTGGTCGGCCTTCGGAGCCTCGCATCCATTCCCCTGGCAAAGCTTCCCACCCACCCCAAGCAAAGGATCGGACACCCGAAACAGCGATGGCCGCAGGTTGAATACTCTACATAAGCCACGCAGCATTGGCTGTGCCGTAGCGCTTTTTGAGGATGTCCTCGAGAGTGTCGCCTTTGGCATTCTTTGTTTCGTTGTGGATAAATTCGTTGATTGCAACGGCATCGGCGGGCTCGGCCCGGCGGAGGTCCATGGCTATGGCTCTGTGGGCGGTTAACCTGCCGACAGTACGCCTATAAAGTAACGACGGGAGGAGGCAATTCGTATAGCCCGAAGAGTGCAATCGGTCGAGGACGGACGAGCTCCCCGAGCGTACGAGCTGCTTGGTCAAAACACAAGAAATAGCCGACGCAGTCTCCGATTCCCAGCCATCCGACGGCTCAAGGAGGGGCCGTGATCCCTCTCGATGATGACGTTTGGCGGCGTGCGACGTCCGCCCCAAGATTGGCTGTCCCCCATGCATTACAATACCCGATCAAAGGTGGCTTGCCCGTGTGCTCCGGTCGATTGGTTGGCTGTGTCCACTATGTCCAGAAAATTATCATAGCAACACCAGCATGTTTAGAGCGTATCCATTTTGAAACAGGCACCCTGCTCTGAACCAGAGGTATCACTTTCTGGCTCGTGAATACACACTCGACATCGCCCGCCATGACCAAACGATGTGCTCACAATGCCTGGAGGCCAAGGGATTCGGTTCCCTCGACTATCACGATATTGAGTATCCCATGGAGCTGTCCAAAGCTTGAATGCACCGCACTCCCGCATCACGATGTCAATGCCAGTCGATCATCGCCACAGGAGATCGACCTGATGTATTCAAGGCCGTGCTCCCGAAACCAACGAAGCCCAAGAGATTGGCAACCAGGACCGGAGGCAATCGCGCGGCCTGCCCCCTGGGGTCGCCGGAGGTTCAGCAGGCTTCAGGCCTCTGATTCCAAAGAAAACGGACACTGTCTCATTTTTTTTTCTGGACTGATTGTATCACGAAAGATGACTGGTCATCATATACAGCCTGGCCATGTATTCGGGAGGGTGGTTTGTAGCAGAGTTGTTGCCTGTGGTCGGTCGACACGGTGTTTGCAACTTCACTTCGCGAAGGTTGCACTCTTCCAGCTCAGTTTCATGGAACCGTCGGGTCCTCGCACCAGCGTCCAAATCCGCTCAAAAAACTCGACAAATACGCTCTGAGAGAGAATCGCTAACAGAAATTCGTTGAATGACAGCCTGAAGGCTGCGCTGTCATCGACGTGGTTGCCGTTCTTGGAATTACTGGCTGTCCGGACCGACATCGGGGTGTTTTTTTCAGTCGATGTTCGGGAGAGGTGTGATGAAGATGTCGATGCCGATCGGGCTCGTCCGCTGCTCTTTGGCAGGGAGAGCACAGGCGACGCGGTTTGCTGCTTTGCCCGCAAGTCTTCAGCCATGGTTCGAGAAGGGCCGGTCGCCTCAGGTCGGAGCCCTGAGAGGGAGGACTGTCCGGGACCGACACTACGCAATGAAGCTACCTCGGCTCGGCTCGACGGGTCTAGAGAGAGCACCGATGAGTCGATGCTGGGCGCGCCATAGTAACTGCTTGATTTTTCCATCTTCTTGAGCTGGTGCAAGGGCATGAGCAGGCTGCTTCCTGTCGATTCGCTCTGGCTCTTGCCTCCGCCAATTTTGAGCGCGGTATTGAGAAACGAGCTCACGGCCGCGAGGTAAGCTTCGTCACCGCGCGACACCGGCGACACAGGAGCATTGCTGCGGACTGGCTCTTGGCGACTTTGGTCAAACATCTCCAGGAGACTGTCCATGACGGCCTTGAGCTCCAGTTCGCTCAGAAACGAATCGCCGTCCACGTCATGCAGATCAAACAAGAACCGAAGCCGTGCATGAAGTGGTTGCTTTGTAATAATATCGAGGACGTGCACCACCGTTGCAAGATCGACAATGAAGGCCATGGACTTTTTGCTTGGATCCACGAGCGGTACCTTGAGTCCGGCGTTTTTGTCGTCACTGCCCTGGAAGCTGTGGTGGATCGAGCAATAGTGAAAAATGCGATCCATCAGGCATATGGCCAGACCGACTTGCTTCTCGTCTTTGCCCCTGTCGCCGATGGCCACGCCCGATCGCCAAGGCGACACCAGTCGGAAGATGGATCGGAAGTCCACGAGCGTGAGCGCCTTCGAGCCAAAGCCCCCATTGTCTGATGTGTCGGTCGAGGGTGACAGCGCATTCGTGAGGATGCCCCAGCCACCGGCCTGGATAAGGCCTGAGCGCATCTCGCTTTCCAGGCTTCGGGACCGTTCAAGCACCTCCGAGTGCCCGTCATTGAGGTTTTCCTCGTGCTTGTATTCCAATCGACGGACCTCATCATAGATCATGGCGACTTCGTCGAACTTGAGAGACACCTGCTCACACAGGTTGCGAACCTGGCTTTTGCGAGAGGTCTCCTCCATTTGGTGAACAACCTTGAGACGGAATCTGGCTCGCAGGGCCTCGATTGTCTCCGTCGATATGAGTGGACCAAAGGTGCCATAGGCCAGCGACAAGATCTGAGCAAGTAGCGGGTAGCCGCTTGCCTTGGTGTCGCCAGGGGAGGAGTCCGGTCCAGAGAGCCTCTGGAAAAATCCACGAATGGCGCCAATGAAGATGTCGTCGTCTCTTCCACTCTGGATGAGCTCTTTTTCGTTATGCTTGAGAATCGCGAGCGCCGTCCAGAATAAAAACTTTGGGCCATCCACAAAAAAGGCATCCAGGAAAGTAGGAGCCATTCGTAGCGAAACCGAGTTGAGAAACAGACACACAAACCAAGGAACCGATATCGTTGACAGATCCATATACAGTTGCCCAATTTGTGCCGAGACGGCAGGCAGATGCTGCTCCACGAGCCACGTGAAAACCTCTTGGTCAACAACAGACCCAACGAGTGTTTTTGAGTAGTGGTCGGGGAGCAGACTTTCGACGATTGTGCCTTTGCATAGCATAGGTCGTGCACCGATAAGTGTGTGGCTCTACATATCAGTATGCGAAGCGCGCTGACCCACTCCGATCAGATCGAGGACAAGCACAAAAGCTCCGATGCGTTCTCTCATACTGTCGTCCGACAGGATACCTCCGATCTAAAAGTCCGATACGTACACAGCATCCAGAAAGCATCTTCCTCCTTTAAATGCAGGAGTAGCACCGCCGTGATGATGTTAAGTGCCTGCGCATATCCCACAGCGGGGTTGCGCCACGAATACGTCGTCAGAATCCTCCGCAAAGCGTCTATGCCGATATTGGACTGATAAGCAGGGTGTTCTGGGAGACTCCTGTCACGACGGAAGCCAAGGGCCGATCGTTGATGTGAACGTTAGCAGATCGATGGGTGTCGCGTTATGAGGAAAGCAACTGTCGGTGTGTATGTGCGGTTGTGCGGTTGCGCGGTTGTGGCTGTGCGATTGCGTGTAGGGCGCGAGGGCGGCAGAGTCACCTTCGAACATCCTTCTCTATTTCCTCGATATAGAACGACACACGGCCCGTATTGCTGCGGAGCATATTGCGATAGTAGCCTGGCTTTGGTCGCGAATACCAGGCTCCTGAGCATATCATCCTGCAAAAGCATACCATTTCAGGTCAGTATGGCTTGCGTAATGTGGGCAGCAGGGAGATCTGCGCGCAGATGCACCTACCAAAAGTCTCCTCGCAGGGAATCAGGCAAGCCGCCAGTTTTGATAATGAGCTCACGAATGGCTCGAAAATCTTTAACCATGCAAATATCTCGGCCATTCATATCCAGATAGGTTCCCCACTGCTTTTGTTTTTCCAGGCTTGAGTCGTCCGTTTTGGCGGCATCTCTGTCCTCAAAGAGCAACTTCAAACCCATTTCTACAATTGGAATAACCTTTTCCTCAATTCCCATGTTTGCCGCAAAAGTCTCCTCGGTCTTGAGGACTTCGATCGAGGACATGAACTCCTCCATGCTTGTGCTGGAGCTCTTTTTGGAGCCAGCATCGTAGACTCCCTTGGGATTTGTGGGGCTAGCCCCAACCCCGATCGCCTCGGTGTTGGAGCCGTTCCTACCTCCCACAACCAAGTCGTCGTCGAATGTCCAGTCAACGGACTTCATCCGTTGCAAGATTTCGTCCGAGATTTTGTCGCGGGCCTTCCCCGGAACGGCGCTGAACGAAAGCCAGTACTCTGCTTTGCTACGCGACGAAATCACAAGGTAGCCCGACATGGAGAACGACGTCAGATTGACGACTTGGGTCAAGGCCGTGGGCTGTTGTTTCTTGACGGACGTAATGTGGGAGTACGGAACGGAAAAGACAAGAATGGGGTCCTGTGGCGAGTCGAACAGTAACGACGTGTATGTGTCGGTCACGGTCGCCAGCGTAACCTTGGAGAGGGCATTAAGGCCGATTTGGGCCACGTTGGATGGATTCGAGATCGACAGAGAAACAAAACACAGGAAGCGCTCAGTAAGATAGAGGGTACCCGCGTGCGAAGTTGACGTGCTCTTGTGCCAGAAATAGCATGGTGACTCCTCGATCGATATTGTCTCTGCAGCAGGAAGGCGGAAGAGATTGCGAAACTCAATTCCTTTGGTCTGCATGTCCAGATCGCCAACACTATTAATAGTCTTGGTGACGATTTCGGAGTGGTTCAAAAGCGGCTGCAGAATAGGGTCACTCCGCTTCTCGCTGGGCATGGACGGCCTCGGGGTTTGGCCTTCAGAGAGACGGGTATCGGCAAAGTCCTCTTCGTCCCAGGACCGCGACGGATTGAGACTTGCACCCTTGAGAGAAGATATCTCCTCCCGGAGCTTCCCCATGGCAAAGAGGCCGCCCCCTCGATTCATGGAATTGTTTGATAGGTCTCCAGTCATGTTGGTGCTCGCTTTGGCATACATATCGGCCAGTGACAGGCCCGAGTTTTCGGCGCCTTTGATGAGTCGATGCATTGCGGCGTTGGTCAAATTGGTCAGCGCCCGAAATATCTCCCTTCGATAGAGATTGGATGAGAAGTTGTACTTGAGTCATGCCAGGTGCGGACAGAGTCAGGAGAGCCCAATTGGTGCCAAGTACGAATGTATGGTGGTCGACCGCGCGTTAAAATTGGATGTACACATCGAGGGGTCGCTCTTGAGCTCGTGATCCATGGTTATTGGGTTGTGTCCGTGTGCACCAAGCAACTATAGATCAACTTGTTGCATCACGATCGAGTGATCTTTATAGCTCACCCCCAGCAATGCGGTACGGCTGCAATAGAGGATTCGCTTGGTCTTTAAGAATCTAATCTCTGAATCCTCGTACCTTTCTGTCCGTGATGCTGATTTGGAGCGGGTCTGAGAGCATCTCGCGCTTGGCACTGACAATCTGAAGGCTCAAGATATCCTTGAAGGCAACTGATAAGGCAGTTTGAGACGTAGGCCGATCGACGGCATCAGACTCGTAAAAGCAAGCGTAGTTGCGCGTGATCAGGAACTGCCCTCGAATCGGAGCGCCCTCTTCGGATAAAAAGATGCATTTGTAGCCTGCATGGGTCAAGAGGGGGGTATCGAGTCAGATAGAGTCCTTGGTGGCAAGTTCTTTCCTGGCTTTGGTCTCACACAGTTTCGTTTTGCACCCGGCAGACATTGGATACAAGAACGTGTCCTGAGGACAGGCTCTGGTCAGAGCATGGCAAGCCGGTCAGCAGCGGGTCGGTCAACCCAACTCGGCTTTGCAAGCGTTAAAATCGAGAGCGACCTTGCAACACCACTTCGTCTTCAAGGCTTGGGAATATTCGGTTCATCTTGTACTTGAGATCAAGCAATTTAGCTTGCTCGCTGGCCGATTTGGGGTCTGGTGGACATGGGGAGTTGCCGTGTCAGTCCGCTCTGCCGTACGTCTTAGTGTGTTACGATCTGGGGTGGGAGACTCGCCGGCAACCATGGACAGTGATGTAAGACAGGGGCGCAAATGAATGGCCAAATGAAGCAGGGTGTCGCAACGGCTACCATGATATTCTTCGTGCAGCTCGATGAACTGCGCCAGGATAATGCTATCGACATGCTCGGGCGTCGGAGCGCTATCGGCCGCCTCCAGCTCTGCAAGCTTCAGGCCGAGCAGCAGCCAAGGCGCCCAATCCGTTTGGACAGAGAGATCAGTCTTGGCGGCATTCTCGGCGTGTTGGATAAGATCCCATTCAGAAACGATGCGACTCAGCATCATGCACGAGTGCGCTGGCTAACAGACCTTGAGGAAGAGATGGCTCTCGATCCAATTCCAGTCCATATGAATTTTCTCAAAAGTGGCATCAACCGCAACGACGTATTCTTTTTTGTTTGCACATCGTAGAATGATCCGAAACTCTGCATCGGCGACCTGACGCTTGAGGGCCGCGTCAGGCGATGATGCCACGGGGATCAGAGGAACGATATTGGCGAAGCTGAAGAGCGACTTGAGGGCCGGGGTTTGCTTCCGAGACTGCAGCGCAAAGTGCTGATTGCCTGCATGGGCCTGCCACACATTTGTGTCCGCAACCGCTGCCAGGTCCAGTGGCTTTATGAACATGGCGTGGGCTCAGGGAACGTCAGGGCCGTGTGCTGGTGCTGGTGCTGGTGCTGGTGCTGGTGCTGGTGCTGACGACCAAAGTCGACGCGGGCGTTTGGGCTGGGCGGCGAGGTGTGGCTGGGCGGCCTTGGTCATGTGAGGGTCATCCTGCACTGCGCCACAGCCAGCTCGGCGCGAGTGGAGCTGGCTGTGGACCGACAGCGACCCCATAATGACTTGTGGGTTGTGTGGATCAGATGGCACCCAAACTCCATGAAATCCGCTCGCCGGGGTCCTCCGGCGATTTTTCTCTTTGCCCTACGTCTTTCTTCGTCATACTAGATATGTCTTCGTGCTTTGGCTTGCAGTGACTGCATCTGCAGCAGCTTGCTGATCTCCGTCGAGTCCACTCACTCCATGCATCTCCCTCGCACACGAAAATGAGTTGACCCGCTTGACCGGGTGTGCGATATGATGCGAGTGCACCGTATTTGTCCGAATGAGACGGTGTGTCCCATGGTTACTTCGACACGCTGCACCGCTTCGCATCGCTTGCTTCAATGCATTATTCCCAAAAGAAACGGCAAAGCCTGTCTCTTGGACACACTGTTTGGTCCCGGCGCATGGGTATTTGCGTCCACAAGAAAAAGTGACACAAAGACTCGAGGGCATGCTGACTCAGCTCGGCTGGTGCATGTATACTTGCGATAGGAGCACAGCACCGACAGGAAACGAGACAAACCAAATACTGCAACTGTAATTCATCGATGGAGACTCGTGCCGATTTGCCCCGTCTCTGTCGGACTCGGTCGTCGTAGCCATGTTCGTCATGGGTCGTTGGGTGCGGTACAAGGGATCCAAGGATAGCATGTCTCTGCATCTCTTTAGTTTGTGGACGTTGAAAAGTAGTCCAACGTTGCGGCTGTGATTTCGGAGATATCGCCTTCGGCAGAAATCTGTGGCATTGTTATGGGAGAATAAATTGATGGGGGGGGTTATGTTTCGCGCATTCATGCATTTATGCATTTATGCATCAATGCCAATCTCCCGCGGAACTTGACTCTCCTGTTGTGCCCAACTCGCTCGAATTCTTCTCTTCACTACCTTTCGCAGCCGACCATCAGATTGGTAGAATTGTATGACAGGGAAGCTCTGCTCATGGAAGATCTTGAGTCGCTTCACAATACTCTCCATGTTGTCATCGCTACGCCCGCTAGTCGCGCCGCGCTTCATCAGTCTCGCCGTCAGAGTTTCGTCCGAGGCCTCAAAGTAGAGCGCAAACTTGCAGCTCCCAATGGTTTGTTCGAACTTGGTCACAAGGATTAGACCATACGTGCTGCTGGATTAGTGCAAGGCCGACCTACGCTTTCCACAGGCTATGCGTCGCTCACCTCTGCGGCCTGCTCCATCGTTCGGGGAAACCCGTCGACCAGGAAACCACGACAGCCACGACTCTTTTCCATCGCGTTTGTGAGGAGTCTCAAGGTTGTGTTCTTGGCACCGAAAGAAGGAGAAATAGTTAAAGATAAAAGAATGAAAGAGGGACAGAAAAGCTCAAGCTGGGCATCCTTACTATCCGTCAACATGCTCCATCTGTCTCTTACCAACGAAACCATTTGGCCATCTTTCATAAGCTGGTCGATCTGTGCCCCGAGCTCGGATCCCGTTTGCACCTCCTCTCGAAGCAAGTCGCCGGTGGAGAGATGCACAAAGCCTAGCTGCTTCACTAGTATATCGCACTGGGTCCCTATCGGCAGCAGATGATTTCGATTACATTAGTTTGGTCATGCGAGTTGCATCGATTGTTGGTCGGATGCACGGGCAATCAAATAGATACGACGATGAAACGTATCTGAGGTGTGGCTACCTTTTCCACATCCAGGGCCGCCGAGAACGAAGATAATATTCTCCCCTTCAAACGGCTTTGATTTGGATTGGATTGCTAGACGAGATTTCTCATAGACTTCGTCGATCGAAGGGATTGATGAGATCTGGCACGATATTTCACATCCCAATCAGCATGCAGCCGCACTTCATGCTCCTCATGAGTCATCAGGCCATTTCCAAGCTGGCATTGACCGTCCTAGATGCGATATTCACGATATTCGAGATATTCGCAGCAACAGCCAAGGGGATACCTCAATAACTCGTCCAGTTTGCCGGAAATGCTCGATCACAGGCATGCTTTGATCTTCGAATGTTCTGAAGCGCTTTTTGATTGTATCGATGTTATCGTCGGCACGACCACTTGTCTTGCCGCGCTCGAGGAGACGTTGCTCCAGCACATCGAGTGGACAGTTGTAGAAGAGAACGGCTTTGCAGGAGCAAATCTACCCGAGTCAACACAATAGCGATAAAATAGGAAGGAGTCAGTGTGTACTGCCTATGGATACAATCGAGTATAGAGCGACGTCTGTCGGAGGACACAGAGTGCGGTTTCGGTATATCAGCGACTGGCTCAACTTCTCGGTTGGCCACCGAGAGGGCCTACCGATCGTTCAAATTCGATTGCTTGGTCGACAGCTCTCGGGAATCCATCTGGGAGGCATTTTCGTTGTGAGCGACATTGTTCAGCCACGCAGAGTCTGTACTTCGAGCTACAGCCTTGACAGCCAAGCTCTGGTGTGTATGAAGCCGGCCTTTCTATATCCAGCGCCTCACCGATTAGCACTCCAGGTGATTTGAAGTTGGCCGTAATAGCATCTCGGAGGAGATTCAGGATCATTTCCTGTCGATTCGCATGGTTAGTGGGAGTAGCTTTTGTTCTTGGCGAGGGAAAATGCGCACAGGTTTGACTTGGGGTTTGAAGTAAATAGCCACAGCTCCAACGCTACGAACCATTGGGACTATTTTTCCTTCTTTCATAAGACTCTCGGCTCTCTTTCCGACCTCAGACCCCTTATCTAGTTCTGCGCGGAGCAAATCACCGGCGCTGATGTGTGCATATCCAAAGTCACCAGCTAGCTTTGCGCACTGAGTTCCTTTTCCTGAGCCCGGGCCACCTGAATCACGCATCTGACTTTGTTAGTGTTTTATCGAATCGACGTAATTTCTGTTGTGCGGATGTAAGGGGGCATAGTGTTGCCTCCTATCGCGGAGGAGAGACACGAGTGCATACGAGTGCAACCGGATCGGTAGCTCTCGAGCGTTGGGGGTGGTCGCCCACAGCGCGCATCAGAAACCTACCCAACACAAACCACAAATTTGGATGGTTGAGAGGATTAAAAGGGGAAAATAGTCGTCGCGACTCGGCATAGACTTCGTCAATAGATTTATCCGATAAAATCTAACAGTATGCATGTTCATTGTCAGCAATAAATATATGACTTGAGTGCATGCAATCGAATGTGTATGCAATCGAATGTGCAACCGTCGATAAAGAGTGCTCATGCCGAGCTGCGAGTATCACCTTGGTAAGGCGTCCGCCGCGTTCAAAGAACTGGATCACGGGCATACTCTCGGTCTCAAAAGTCTTGAAGCGCTTCTTGATTGTGTCGATATTGTCATCGGATCTGCCGCTGGTCTTGCCTCTTTCAAGCAGTCGGGACTCAAGGACGTCGAGCGGACAGTGATAATACAAAGCGGCCCTGCATCTGCAAATCTGTGAGCAGGAACGGATATCAGCCTGGTTATCTGGCGGATTATGCCGGACTTTGCTTTCACCAAAGCGCTCCAGACAAGTTCGTCAAAATACATGATTACTTAAGCACGTACCGTCCGCTCGAACTCATCCAGCTGCTCCATTGTTCTTGGAAAGCCATCTGGATCCATAGATGAATAAGTGAATGGGCTGGAAGTGTTAAACAGCCACGATCATTGGCAGTCGGCGTAGATGCGGATCACGGAGGCCACCACAACTCTTTTTTACCAATCAAGATTCCGGGGCTATGCATCCTCGACTCAATGGCGCTTCGTAAGAGCGTAAGGATCGTTCTCTGAAGTCAAATGGAGTGGTCAACAGCGTGACGCTTTCAGAGTCAGGTGGTCGCATCCAATCATCGCCATATACGTACCATTGGAACCATTTTACCCTCATTCATTAGCGCCTGTGACTGCTTTCCGATCTCGGTTCCTTTCTCGAGTTCGCGCCTCAGCAGGTCGCCGGTGCTCAGATGCTCAAGGTGAAACTCTCGCGCGAGCTTCTCACATTGGGTACCTTTTCCTGACCCAGGACCTCCTGCATAGAGATTATCAGTACCGTGGATGATTTGACTTCAGCTTCAGGCCTTCATAACGGCGCATCGAGTGCTTACCAAGAACAAAGACAATGTTTGGGTGTTGAACTGGAGGCTTCATGAATAAGAACGATGTCCGGGCCTGTTCGTACACCTCGTCTATGGTTCCAACGGACGTGATCTAGGTAGAGTGATGTGAGTCAGTGGCTCGTATTGTGATCATGAATGCTTGTTCATTCAACTCGTCCAGACAAATTGGTATTGAGAACCCCGTTTGAGGGTGATTGGGCTTGCCCAGACGGCGACCACAGGCTTACTTCCACAACGCGTCTGTCGTCTTTGAAGTACTTCATGACCGGCACGGTTTCCTCCTGGAAGGTGATGAACCGCTTTTTGATTGTGTCGATGTTGTCATCTGCACGGCCACTTGTCTTTCCGCGCTCCAGTAAGCGTCGCTCAAGGACATCGAGAGGACAGCTGAACGAGAGCGCAACTCGGCCACGGCCAATCTATCGGCCGCCATAAGAATAAGCTCGCCACGAAGTCATCCGTACTACTTCTGAAACAAAAGCGGTCAAGACTGGAAATTTGCAACCGTATCGTCATACCATCCGCTCAAACTCCACTGCTTGTTCCATACTTCTTGGGAATCCATCTAATCGTGAATAGTTCCATAATACGGTCAGCCTTTCAGTCCGATACAGCACTGCATGATTGCTATACGCTACCGATTAAAAACCCCGGCGCTGTTTGGTTCTCTTGAATGCGGTTCCGGAGCAACGAGAGGATGAGGCTCTGCGAAACGAGAAGGATGAGCTCGACAGAGATACGAGATCGGTGCTGCTTGTCCGTCGGCTTTGAATCAACATGATCCAATTTGCCTATCCTAAACTTATGACAAGACACACTACCATGGGTACCATCTTGCCCTCTTTCATTATGGCATCGGCCTTGAGGCCCGTCTCCGACCCCTTTTGGACTTCCTCTCGCAGGAGATCGCCCGTTGAGAGATGGATGAGGCCAAATTCTTGAGCCAAACGGGAGCACTGCGTTCCTTTTCCGGATCCAGGACCTCCTGCAGCCAAGAGAGTTGGAGCAATTTGGTGAATACTAACGATTATCAACACTCGCAAGTTCATGCCAACAGCATCGTGGCCAGACCTATCACAAACACTATATTTGGGTGGTTGATTGGGAGCACATCTGCGAGGGCCCTCTTGGTGAACTCGTACACCTCATCGATCGTCGGAATTGATGAAATCTATACGAGAAATGAGTTAGCCGAATGAGCATACTGCGATTCAACAAAACCCACATTACCTTTACGAGCTTTCCAACGGATTCGTAGTGCTGCACAACAGGCATGCTCTGGTTCTCAAAGGTAACGAAGCGCTTTTTGATTGTATCGATGTTATCGTCGGCACGACCGCTTGTCTTGCCGCGCTCGAGGAGACGTTGCTCCAGCACATCGAGTGGACAGTTGTAGAAGAGGACCTTTTTGCATGGTCCGACCTACGATTGGCAGTTACAAGGATAGAGAGTGAGTGAGTGAGCGAGAGAGAGAGAGAGAGAGAGAGAGAGAGAGAGAGAGAGAGAGAGAGAGAGAGAGAGAGTGAGAGAGAGAGAGTGAGTGAGTGGGTGAGTGAGTGAGTGAGTGAGTGAGTGAGTGAGTGAGTGAGTGAGTGAGTGAGTGAGTGAGTGAGTGAGTGAGTGAGTGAGTGAGTGAGTGAGTGAGTGAGTGAAAGTTGAAGGGGGATGAAGGCGGGTTTTAGTGGACAAAGAATGAGAGAATCTCGTGTTCACCGATGTGTAATCTACTCACTGTTCGCTCAAACTCAATTGCTTGGTCGAGAGCTCTCGGAAAACCATCTGTTTACACCGTGGTTGAAGGAATCTCGGATTAGATACCTAAGCAGGAAGCGATACCGAGCTTTGACACCACAGCAATCTCTATAGTCTGTTGGGAACGCCACTGTGCACGTTGATAGACTTGGAACTGGACTCAATGTGCCATTTAGAGTTATTTGTGCGAGTACCCACCTATGAGAAATCCAATCGTATTAAAATGTTCAATCATGGCCTTCCTCAACAAGCTAATGGTGATTTCCTGGATGGGCATGAGTTTGAGTACGTTATTAGTTTTCTGATGGGCTCAGAAGCCCACAATGCATCGAGATCGAGATCGAGTGTGGAGCCAGATCGATGCTGGAATGAGGAAGAACGCAATGTAATGCATAGCAGCGGTATACAAGGGAGTGATGCCCGATGGGAACATGACTGCACTGTCGACCAGAGCCGACTGTCAATGGCTCACCATTGGTACGATCTTCCCTTCCTTCATGAGACCGGAGGCTTGCTGACCAACGACCGAGCCCGTCTCGACTTCATGCCGCAATAAATCACCTGCGCTGAGATGCGCGAGTCTGAACTGCTTGGCCAGTATGGCACATTGTGTTCCTTTTCCGGATCCCGGTCCACCTAAAGTTCATTCGAGAGCAGGAGCGAGAGCCCACGTTGGAATGGATATTATCATGGCTGCTTTCTGAGCATTATGTAGTTCCATTTCTGTACACACCCCACCCCGCAACGACGGATAGGAGGTGGCCCTCCATCCGACAGGGCCAAGGGACGGTGAGAGAACCAGGGAAACAGGGAAACAGGGAAACAGGGAAACAGGGAAACAGGGAAACAGGGAAACAGGGAAACAGGGAAACAGGGAAACAGGAAACAATATTGCAGCCGGGATTCATCATGAGTGCATTGGCTCTGTTCACCACATCAAAAACACACACTCACCGAGCACAAATATAACGTTCGGATGATTGAGCGGCCCCTCGACAAGATTCATTCTGGCTTGGGCGTAAACTTGGTCGACTGGCGGTTCGGACGAAATCTGGAGAAACCCGGTAGGGGGGGGTTGTGGGGAAGAAATGAGGCAACGCCGCAAACACGGCCACACTGCGCCATGACTTATTCACAGCACAGCCGCACATAGCATGCACCTGCCTTGGCACACCTGCCGAGGCGGGTGAAGTACTCGATAACAGGATAGCTGGTATCGACAAAGGTCTTGAAGCGTTTCTTGATCGTATCGATGTTGTCGTCTGCTCGGCCGCTGGTCTCTCCCCGTTTCAACAAGCGCTTCTCCAAGACAGGCTCGGGGCAATCAAAGAACAGAACAAGTTTGCATGCGGCAATCTGTTCTTCAAACACTTTGGCTTGGTCGAGCTGTCTCGGGAAGCCATCGATAAGAAACCCAGGGCAGTCTTTTGCGGCATCCATGGCCTGGCGGAGGAGCCGAATCGTGATTTCCTGCCACACACCGCAGAGTCATTCACAAGGACAAGTGGTCGATCAGCCCGAGTCGGAATCGCATGGCACGGGGCGTTGCTTTTTCATTGCAGGCGGCATATGGCCATACCATCGGCACGATCTTCCCCTCCTTCATAATTGAGTCGATTTCCTTGGCCATTGGAGAATTACTGGAGACTTCTTGCCGCAACAAATCCCCAGCAGACAAGTGAGCGTACTTGAATTCTTGGGCTAGTCTGACGCACTGGGTTCCTTTTCCTGGTCAACCAACGCATCGGCAGCATCGGTGGCGAGATACATATGCCAGGATATCAGACTTTCGGGTGCTGCCTCTAGCCGGAGCTCGGAGGAGCCAGCATCCGATCAAGGGTCTCAATTTCCAGAGCCGAGTTCGTGAGGAAGTGCAAGTGGAAGACAAGATCATCACCGTGACAATCGCCACCAATGCCACTCACCGACGTTGCTTACCAGATCCCGGACCTCCGAGGACGAATACGATATTGCCTCGAGGCCTGGATTGTCCGTTGGGTGGAATTCCGGGCAGGACAGCCTTGGCCGGGATGGCATCTGCTGCAAAAGCCACGCTTGCACTGCGTATATCTGCTGGGGTCGAGACTCTCTGGAGATCGTTGGATGTGCTGGGCTGCAGGAAACACACATCATTTGATGGGGTTGGCTCGGCACGACAGCGACCACGCCTGTAACTCTTCGGCACCGAGCCACCGAGTCTTCTTACCTTCTTTGTTGGCAACAGAGGAAGGGGTGCAATGCGATATTTCTTCCGGTTGAGCGTTGGCCTGAGAGGGTCTTGTTCAAGAAGGGACCTGAGCGAGAGTTCTCGCTGGAGCTGCTCCTCTTTCGCTTCGGCGGGAATGAACAGATCCCATCGAATGCGCGATTTCTCCGATAGGAGCTTCTCTGCCCGGATTCGGCTGATGCAATCTTCGATGAAGAGCAGCGGGTCGTCCGGCTGTGCAAATGTCAAACCCGTAATGATGCTCTGTGATATCCAAGCACATGCTCAGGGTTTTAGCGACCGGGGCACGGCGCCGTCCATCGAGCTGGGAAATCCAGCTCACCAAAGATCGAGTGAGGATCACACTTCCGGGGGTGGGCGGCCAGAAGCCCCAAACATCGAACTCTAGGCTCAATGATCGTCGTTGTATCAACTAACCTCGAGAAGCTGATTAATTTGGTTGCGCTCAAAGTAGTCGCGTGCTTCTTGATATGTTTCGTTCTGAACAAATTGCTGTAAGGACCACATTGTGGGTGGAGTGAAAGGGATATCGTGAGCCCCTTCGTCCAGAGCCAACTGCCTTTGAAATGCAGAGAACATCGCCCCTTCGTCGCCTGTTGCTGCTATGGGTCACGCTCCGCTTGGTCTGGCTGCGGCTATTCTCGATTGCCGGAAGGGCCGACAGCCACGGTATTGTTCTAAACGAGCGGATCATTGTTCTGACGACACACAATATCAAGTGAATCAAAGACCCTCTCCCTGCACTCTCACGGCCCCTCCCCCATAGATATCGGGTTTCGACGACGGAACACAGACGCTGCGTCGACCCTCCCATCCGAATCCTTCACTGCACTAGCATTGTTAACAGTCAATCGGGTCACCCTGGTGATTTGGTCATGGGCCGAATATTTTGTTACCCACGCTGGCTATGACCATTCTGCGTTGCGGTGCTACACCGTCATTCAGTGTGTCCAAGAGCACCATTCACCGCTGGCGCTCCGATACCAGTGTGTAGGTCGATTGTGAAGACGGAGAGCGACCGGTAGCCTTCACTTGGAGGCTGTCATAGTGATCTGTTCTATTTCTCATGGCTTTGTTTGACGCGAGCTCATCACAGACTACATCTTGATGAAAGCGGGTGTGGTGTCCCGTTATTTCTGAATAAAGTATACCGTGGCTACTCGATCACCAGTCTGGCCACTGCGCAAGAGCGGTCAAAATGAAATCGAGGTTGGTGTGCAGCAATCCATCGTACACTTTATTCAGAAAAAAACGGGACAATATAGCCGTTTCCATGAACCTGTAGTATGCGATGTGCTTGCGTCAAGCAAAGCCACAAGAAATAAAACAGATCACTTTGGCAGCCTCCGAGTGAAGACCGCCGGTCGCTCTCCGATCTCCACAATCGACCTGCATACTGTGATCATGTTGCGCGCCGCATTGACGTCGCGATTCCACACTGTCCGGCAGCTGGGATTCTTGCAGCTCCTGACAAAGTGGGAATTCGCAACACTGGGCGCATCGAGTCCTTCCAACCGAACTGGCTCCAGGCACTTGGAGCACACCTGCGAGGTGTTGAACTCGTTCGTCGAGGCCACCTTGACGCTTCCATGATGGTGATTGGGACGGCGTCGGTGGTGCTCGAATTGCTCAAAGTACTGAGCAAACCGCTGCCTCCGAGGGCTGGATGCATAGCCCTTGCCTTGACGCCATGACGCATTGCCAAAGGCGATGACCACATCGGTCCGTATCGGGGCGTGCTTCAGGACGGCCTTGCACATCCTGTCGACGGCCACTTGGCGCCTCTTGTGGCCCGTGAAGCGATGGTGACGGGCCTTCTTGCCAAGGTGGAAGTCGAGCTGCACTCGCAGCTCCGGTCGCAGGACATGGGTGAGATGGACCTTGAAAGCCTCCGAGGACGACACCTTGGGCGAGGGGGTGGTCGACATCCAGGTCTCGATGCTGAGCTGCTTCTTCTTGGTATTGTGCCACTTAGTATCGGACCTGTGGCCACACATGTGCTGATAGTGACCATTCGAGAATGAGACCACCTCGTCTTGGTGGCCCGGTGCTTGGATGACCGCCGTGAAGATGGAGCCGACGCCTGGGTCAATTCCAATCCAAGTGGTGCGGTTGGGGTCTGGGTTGCCGATGGCCTGGATGCGCTGCTCGGCAGTCGGAGGAGGCTCGATGGTCTCGGTGCGATCGGTTCGACGCACAAACTTGACGAGACCGATGGTGCATCCAATGCCATCGGTGCTGATCTCGTAGTTGAACAGCTTGTGATTGATATCCCGGTCACGGAAGGGGGAACTACGCAGCTTGAAGCAACTGCGCCAGAGACGATCCTGGTTGTTGACACCGTCATCACCTTCTTCCTTGAGCTTGTCCCTGGTGAGGTCAAGGCGCTTCTTTGGACCCAGGAGTTGCCAAAGAGTGGCCGTGTCAATCTTGACATACTTGGCCTTCGCAGTGCACAGAGGGACCATCGTGCACACGGCCGGAGGAGTGTCCAGAGCGAGCTGCTTGAGGGCCCACTTGAGTCTGGATGCCAGCTTGTTGATCTTGGCCTTGGTGGTGCCGAGCTCAGACTTGGCGTTGGTGAACCTCTTGTCGTCGGAGGGAATGCCTCTGGCAGTGAGCTCGTCCAGCTTGGCCTGGCGCTGCAGCTCGGTGACTCGGAGGGCGGGCATGTCACAGTCGATCCACTTGTGGACATTGTCGACCATCTTGTCCCGGGCGAGGATTCCCACATGGTGTGAGAGGCGATGTAGGGCCCGGAAGCGGTCCTGGTCGTTGCTGTACCGAAACTCGTCCAGGACGTGGCCAAAGTCTGGATAGAGGAACTCGAGATCGGCCTTGGGTGGAGTCTGCCCTGGTTTCTCGAAGAGCTCGAGACAAGCCTCGATGGCTTCGTGCTTGTGCTTGTTGGCTGGGAAGACGGCAGCGCAGAAGCGGCGAAGGAGTCGCCAGTAGGCCAGATCGAGGTGCGTGGTGCAGTTGGTGGCATAGGCATTGACAGCCAGTGTGAGAAGCTGACTGTGAGCACCATCAGGCAGACGAGGGGCCGGAGGCAGGTCTGCGTGCCGAGTGGTCTGATAGTCGCGAAAGGAAGCGACCAGATGCTCGTTGTATTTCTTGGTGTCCCTGGTCGGGGAGAGCGCACCGTCCTGGACGATCTTGAAGCATTGGCGGATGAAAGCAGGGGTGGACTTGGAGATGACGGGGACGGGAAGATCCTGCTCGATGCACCGGAGGATGTGCAGGTTGAGCAGCCTGGATGCCTCGAACTGGATCTGGGTCATGGCCTCGACGGTGGCCTGGATCTTGTCGCGGAGAGCGGGATTGAGACAACAGCCATCCATCGTCTGCTTGAAGCAGCTGAACTGAGGGGCAGATGACCTTCCATCCACGAGTGGGACGACAGAACTCTTGAGGGGGTGATATTCGGGACACCTGTTGGTGTTGCTTCGCTCGTGGTCGGTACCGTCGCACTTGGGACATCGCTTGACAGGACCAGATGAGGGACCAGGCTCGGTGGGATCGACATCCATTGGATCTGCAGAAGCAGTGGTGGTGAGCGACGGAGCAACAGACGACCAAGCATGCGTGGGATCAGAATACGAACCAGAGACAGGCTCCGACTGTGACTTGGCTTTCTTGGGCCTGGGTGGCCGAGGCTGGCCATTACCGGTACCCTTACGCTTCGGAGGCATGGGGGCAGAGGATGCTGGGTGCCTGCCAGTGGTACTGGTCAGAGCAGAGACTTTTTTTTATCGTACAATAGCGCGATGATCCGATCAAGGCGAGGTGAGGGAAGAAAGCAGCAGGACGAAGGTGGGACATTTATACCCGAGAGCAGGAACCCGTCTTTGCGGGCTGGTTGGAAGCGACCCTGTTCAAAAATCGCCGAGAGGTTCAAGCCAGGGATTTGGGCGTGAAAATGGCGGCTTGATTGGAGGGACAACCCCAAATTGGAGGAACTCAACCCCAAATCGGTGGGGACTCAACCCCAAAGAAGTTCTCGATGGGATTGAAGTCGGGCGAGGCAGGTGGGGTGAAGATCACTGACCATCCTCGGCGCTCGATGCAGTCCAGGACAGCCCGTGTCTTGTGCATGCTGACATTGTCCATCACAATCACAGAGTCGTCTGGGAAGCTCGCTCGCTCAAAGAACTCGACCATCGAGTGTGTCTTGAATGATGTGGGGATGTACATGCGATGCAGCACACCAGAGTGGTTGATGGCAAATGCAGCCGAGACGGACTTGTGTTTCATGTGATTGCGCTGGCGAAGCGGAGCACCCTTCGGTGAGTATCCGTAGAGAGGGAAAATGGATTTCCTGATCCCTGTCTCATCGACAAAAACGAATCGTCGTGGGTCGATGGAGCGGACCTGGTCCCTGAACTGTGCCACTCGCTCATCCAGTCGCTTGGACTTGTAGAGGTGTGTTGCACTCTTGTGTGAGAGACCTGCTCGCTGTAGGGCAGTGTGGCAGAGTGAGAGTGAAACTTTCCTCTGGAGAGTGGTTGTGTGGCGAATGGTCATGGCCAGCGCGCGATGGTATTGGGTAACAAAATATTGATCAATGGTCAAAACCCTGGGTGTCCCGTTTTTTGGTGGATACGCTGTAATCATTGCTGGTCATGATGCGTAGATCGATCCTTGGCCATGAAGATTGATCTATGGGATCAGTGTCACGCGTGACTGACAGCCACTTGGTCCAACAGAAGCCTGTCGACGGCGACTGGCATAGCAACTGCTGAAGAACGACTCAATCAGATACCCATTGATGAGACCTGCTCTGAACTATGGCTCATCTTCAGTCATGGAATGATCCAGAGCTAAATTACGATGGCTTGCCTTGCCCACGAGGCCTTATCAAGCCTGACAGCGAGGTCTGTCGCCAGGAGTCAAGGATCAGTCGCAGTGGACATGTATTCAATGGTCAAGATATGGTAGGTAGTCCTAATAAGCTGTGCTGCATCTCGAATCGATGATGGGCGGCGGAAGGTAGGTTCGAAGATTCCGACTGATGACGCGCGGCGATCGATCATGGTTCCGAATCTTCAAGAGCATTGGTGAGAGTGTTGAGCAGCAATAGCAGAATTCTGGCGGCGAGGCGCTGCTTCCAGCCTTTGTACAGACCCTTGAGCCCCCAGGTACTCAGCCAGCCTCTGCGGCGTGACACTTTACCATGACGGCCCTTGACTCTGACCCCACCTTCTTCCTTGATAATTCGCCAGAAGCAGTCCCAAAAGCTCGTGTAGGGTATCTTGCTCTGCTGAATCATGGTTTCGTATTTGGGCTCTTTGGGAAACGGCGTCGATACCTGGCACTGGAGTCGACGCTTGACTGTCTCGATCGGCATGGAGATGAATATTTCGAGCCCGATCAGACCAACTTCAGCCACAAGGACGGTGAGGGGCGACTCATCCGAAGACAACCTCAGCCATCGCTGGATGATCAGCTGCGTGGCGTTCTTAAAGAATGGTTGGACAGTGAAGTGGATCAAGGTGGGAAGGCAGTGAGTTCCGAAATAGAGCGTGGTGAGACCTTCTTCCTCGAGGACAGTCGACAGCGCGTGGAGTGTACCCTTATATTTTCGATGGTGGCGGTGAGCAGTCTGGGCAATCAAGCTAGGAAATCCGGGACGACGATCAGCCAACGGTCGCAAAATCAGCGTCATGTTAGGCAACTATCGGCTAAATCCATGAACTGCAAGGTTATGGATAAGATACATCAAGCGGATTTACTCCATTTGTAGCAAAATAGGGCTCGTACCGTGTCCG